CACAAAATTTGCGAAGCATTAAACTGCCTGCTTAATCAAATTGGGTCTAGGACTCATCACTGTCCTCGAGGTGTGTCTAAACAAACACAGAAATCATATTACGATTGGAACATCGTCGCCACTTCAATCAATAATCAGCTCAATGACAAACCGGGCAGATATTCCCTGCCAGACAAACAATTTGTTAGACATCATCGCAACGGATAGTGGCTACAAATCTTATAAGGCCAAGTAGTCAAATATTACCAGGGTCATAAAAACACTGAACAAATATTGAGTTATTGAGCTTTCATTGAATTCTGAGGGGGATGATGAGAAGGTTTAACGTTGTGACGAAGAAAAGATTCATCAGCACGTGGCACTTTAAAAAAAAAGAATACTTGCCATCACGTCACAAATTCGCATTCGCTTTCGCTTTCGCGCCGAGTATGAACTGGGCTTTAGAAGTTACGGTTCCTCCTTTTCTTTTATTTTACTATTTCAAAACAAATTTAATCACCATCCTCCTCGGAGCCAATGCGATGGCTTTCTGAAAATGTAAAATTTAAAACTCCTAAAAGATTTTAATGATGTCCAATCCCCCCCCCCCCTCGCCCCAATTTTCAAATTTGCACTATCCAGCTGTGTAGAGATCTGTTAGTCTGCACATCAGACAGGATCAAACCCTTCCAGGTGAAAAGTTATACAGCACCATTTAGGGTTGTGGGCCTTACTTGACTCCACTTAGCTGATGAGAAGATTTTTATAGTCAATTGAATGAGTGAATGTGAAGAACACTTTGCACAAATCAATTTTCTCAAGCCATGTTGACTGCATGCATCCCAAGGCCCTTATATCGGAGTGCTCATTTCTTTAACGAGTCTTGGTGGGAGGTCTATGGTATCCTCCAAACAGTTTTATTGGTATCATCACCTTGACAGGCATATCCCAAATTTTTTACAAGCTCTTTAACCCTAACCACCCCAATCCTTCAAAATCGAATTGCATGTTTTGTGGGAATCTGTTGGAGTGAGTACTGCACTAAGTAAACTGATGATGATTCACATGGGATCAGGCATACCACCATAATCAGAGTCTAACAGTCTGGGTGTGTAGATTACAATATGGTGCTGGATTTTGCAAGAGAATAGGAAGGTTCCTAGTAAATCACTCAAGGGGACTAGGGTTTACAGCAAACACCTGGTCCCACATTTATGGAGCTATAAGCAGCAAGTACGGTACCTCAGAAACGTCATACGCTATACAAAGATTTTCTGAGAACCTATCACAAGCAGTATCCATGGCAGGCCATTTCATCCCAGAACTGACATACCGACGAATAAGCATATTGGTCGATTCGCTGGTTTGTCAGCTCTGCGACGATATATTGGGCCTATAGGCCTAACCTAAGTTTGCTAGCAGATATTTTGCTGCTTAGAACATTTATGTGCTCAGCTGTTCATCAAAATTGGCCCCTGGTTAGTAGAGATGAATATCACAGATGCACAAATTTATGTGCTAAGCAAAAATCATCTGGTAACCAGTCACAGGCAAAAACGTGGCATGACATTTTGACTGATGACCTGTTCTAGCTAAGCAGTTATTTTCAGTGCCGAGCAATGTCTGTGCCGAGCAGCTCATTGCAATTTGGCCCCAGTCACTAAGATGAATATCACAGATGCCATCTCATTTCTTATGTTGTTTCAACGGCAAGTTTGCAAATTCTCGCTGCTCAGCTGATACATACGTACAACACTCACTATGTGCACAGCCTAGATGCATTACACATAGATCTCAATAACCCATTCAACAAAATATATGACGTTAACAGTGTCTTGACAGTCACATTCGTAGCTCCCCATGCATAATGTTCATTATAAGTGTAATTAATATATTCCCGGTCCCCGCACACCATATTGGAAAGACACGCATGGAAGCTCAACGACAATAAATTTTAACGGCTCTCGAGCGATTGTTTCGAACGGCAGCTTAATTAAGACACAGGCACGGCAATCGGAACTGCCGGGCCAGCGCACCGCCAGTTATGGATTGAGATGCCAGGTGCCTTGCGAGGCGTGAAGGGTGAGGGCAAGAAGGCATGAAGACAGTTGGAAGAGACAAGGGTTAATGAAGATGCCACATTGCAGGGTCTAATTCGGTCACAGAATGTCACTAATTGGCCTAAATCTAAATACAGGGAAAAAGTAGTCAGTAGAGATTTCAAAATTGTCTGGACATACTCTTGTGCATCCAGAGCTACATGACAATCCAATTTCTTCAATTTCTGCCTTTTTCACAGTGGGGGGGGGGGGGGGGGGGGGGGGGGGAGTACAAATTACAGTAGTAAAAAAAGACACTTATCTTACTTCCAATCCAAAAGAAAACTTAATTCTTAGTAATAATAACCTCAGAGCTAGATAAGCAACATCAACGTACATGTACACATACATGTACCGGTATGTTTTGTGGAAGAAAATAAAAAGTGTACATATGTACAATGTATGTGACTTGAACTTAGAAACAAATTCTTGTCACTAACTGACCCCAAATCCCTACTTTTGCTGAAGTATTTCAAAACTCTCATCTACAGCAAAGTTTGTAATATCACTTTTTTAATGCATGCACTTGACAAAAATGAGAAATTTACACACACTTTTCTACCTGAGAACTGATACCAAGAATACACTTTTCATACACCACGTGGATCAAAACTTGTGATGCACTTGGTGAATTATCAACATTCAAAACACTGTGTTATGTTCCGTCCGTGCAGCCAAATTACAAAGTTATATTTCAATTGTAATAAAACTTTTTGCTGGCCATGTGATAAGCCTGAGTGCCTGACAAGTATGACTGACACAAAACATGTTTACACTGTTTTCTACATTTACACTGGCACAGATCGCGTTTCAAGAAAGTGCCGGCCTGGGTCTGCCTCGGTCTATCTATATCCAGCCGTCCAGATGATATTTGATCAGCGTCGGAGAGAATCGTGACAAGAAGTAGAAACATAACGCTGGTACCTGATGTGTTTTCCTGCTACGGCGACAGTTACAGAATAACCTGAGATCGATTATTACTTATTTATATGTTATTACATCTGTGAAATACAAACAATGTTACACTTGATAAGTCTGTCGCAAAGTATCACACAGGAGTATGAAGATGTTGTCGAGGTAATACAAACTTTTATTACCAGGAAACGTAACACCCAGCTGGTTAGCAAACCATGTTTACATGAACAATTTTGATAAAAATGACTAGCAGGTTTAAAAGTATATTTGCATTTCAATAAGTTTGGCTGTAAAAACACAGAATGCAGACAAAAATTGTGCAATTCACATGGAAAGCAGAAAAATGATTCGATTTTGAAGCAAAAATACACCAAAACAATACAAGGCCTTACCTATGGGTTCACAATAATTAATGAACGTTTTCGTGTCAATCTCTTTTGTGAGTATGTGTGGTTCTGAAGAGAACCTGTTGTCAGTTACTACGTGTACATGTATATCATTATTTAATGAATCTGTCAAAAGATATCTTTATCGTATCTTACTCAAACAAAACGTAGCCATCCAGTAGAATAATTTTGAAAGATATACTAAAAACATGACACTCAAAACAAAACACATCACAAATTAAAGAAAAAAATTAATTCTGCAGGCAACGCAGGCTTTTGTAGAACGTCACAACTAACCTATCACTGTTTGCGAGTTAGCCACGCCCCTTAGACAACCCTATGGAGTTTTTGTACACTAAGTTTTGTTTGTCTTAGATTCCACGTCCATTTGTATATCATGTAATTGTCAGCTGCGTTGACACTACTCGAACGCGATTCTATCGCTATAGGTCAATTGCATAGTAACTTCACAAGTTCAATTTAATTTTAACACATGTTTATCAAACTTATATTCTACACAGTGCACCCAACCATGAACAGCGTGCGTACTAAACAATTAATTGTTTTTCATTCTGGAAAGGACAACCACCATGGGGCAAAAGCAAATGTGTGGAAAACGAAAAATGGCTGAAAGCAGTAGCTTCTTTGCTATTCAAATGATGTCTGCACAAACAGGGGCGGATCTAGCTGTCAGGAAATGCTTGGAGATGGGGGGGGGGGGGTTGATGAGTGACTGCATGCCCCTGCTATAGGGGGCCGGGGGCATGCCTCGTCCGCATTGTAAGGCAATTGGAGACTACATCACGAACTTTGAGTCATTTTTTTGTTATTTTGGCCCCATTTTCCTTTTCCTTTTCCCCCTTTTCCAACCATATTTAATGAAAATAATAATTGTTTGAAAAATTCTTGCACTTTTGCAGGATGTCAATTGTCAGACTACTGTTGTTCAGCCATTCAAACGATGTCTGTAAAAAATTCTACAAATTAGAAATTCCATTAGAAATTAGAACAGTAACAGCGCCCTCAGTCTGGATAATGGAAGATTTCAAATGTCTAAAGAAGTACACTTTTCAAATTGACCAAAAAGGGATGTCAAGTAATTTTCATTCATTTAAGAGAAGTAGAAAGTTGCACACAATGTATTCCTAAGAGAAATGCATCGCGCACTGGCGTGGAGCCATTAAAAACCACAAGTGACATTTAATTTCCCAAACAAGTTTCAAATTAGAAATGGTTTTGAAAGTAATAACACCCAATTACAAATGGACAAAGAGGAAATTAACGTTGTCAGATGAAAATTCATCTTGGAGAAATTTGCTGTGGGCACACTGCATTCACTCCGCAACTTCCGAGACTAGTAGAGAAACTGTGGCTCTGAGTTATTAGCGTGATGCGTGACATTAAACCCAATAGCGTAGTATCATTTACCCACATACCTTTCTATTAAAATACCTGACATTAACAAATACCAGACAGGACTTAACAGTACATGTATACACTGGGACACTTTCTGCTGTCAAAGGAATAACATGGACATGTACACATGTACTGTAATACAAGCGGATGATTTATATTTACATACATGTGTAACTTGACAAGATATTTTATAGGTTTTTTTTTTAAAAGCGTGGGCATGTCCAACGGCTTCAGCACATCAGAACTGCATGAATGCAATATAGGATTAAACTAAAAGGGAGGATACAACATTTGCAAACATCAAAAAGTGAAATGATCAATTTATCACGAAATATCTTACTGGATTGTTAGGGAATTACAGTCTAAAGCATCCTGTAAAGTTGTGGCCCCTGGTGTGCTAACATTTTCAAGAAAAACTGTATTTTTCCAACGCTGGTCGGCCGACCAGCGTTGGAGAAAACTTGCTTTTTTTCAAAAAGTGTTCCTAATTTTTCATATTTAGCTCGTCTGAATTTTCTTTGCAATTGATTACACACCTGTGAAGACTACAAGCCTGCTACACTGATTCTCTGATCTTACAATCCCCCAAAGTCTATAAACTGCTCTGTTTCATCTTAAGTGGGGTCAGGAAACCAGACTACAAGAATATGATTGGTTTTCTTGGTTTTTCCAGCATCTACGAACCCAAAACATGAAACAAGTCAGTGTAACAATATTTGCTATAACATACTAATCCTCCAAATCTATTTATTTCTGAAAATTGCTGCAAAAGCAAATGTTGTACATTCCCTTTAAATTCATTCCAATCGCTGTCACTATGGCATAGGGCTGTGCATCGGAACCGGGTACCCGAGTACCCGACCCTTGATGTCAGGAACTGGTTCGAGATTTTGGGATCGAGAACCCGTTACCAACTTTACAAATTACAAATTACTTGGTATGTGACTTCACAGACAATGAAAAAGAAAGGCTTTGAATGTCAGTTGTGAGGAATTTTAAAAATTAAGACCAGGCTACATGGGGAAAACAAAACATGTTTCTCATTTATGACGCTTGTGCCAGTTCACTATACACACTTGTATCTTGCTGTATTGGCACAATGATGTGGTAGTACAGTCGAGTCTAGTTAATTCAAACTCGTTTGGACCGAGCCAAATTGTTTGTTATATCAGAATTTTGTATTAAGAGGAACATCAGTCCCATTCATTGTGCATATAAATGCACAGTCGGGACTAAGGCTTTTTGTATTAACAGAGTTTGTACTAACAAGATTCGACTGTATTAGCATGTGGATCTTTAAAAACAATCTCAACAGCAACTTCCGAGATTTGAATTTTGGGGTTGGGTTTCTTTAACAGGTACCTGGTGTTTTTTTCAATTGGGTACCAGGTTCCTGTACAACATATACCCATAAATGCACACCCCTACTACGGCAACAGGGGAAAATGCCAACTATAATTATTTTGTTAAAAATCAAATTTTTGATTAGCTTTCATAGTTTCAAGCAGACACTGGTATTTGCAGCTCTGAGCAACTGCTGACCACCCTCTTCACCAGAAGGAGACATTCTTATTTTGCTGTTTAACTATAGACAGTAATAATCATTGTCAAATCTGTTACCGTTGTTATTTTAATAGCGATAAAAATAACATAATTCTGGTGAATATCTGAAGAAGAAAAAATCTTCAAAAATGCACATTGCTGCTAAATACATGTATATAGCAGAATTTAACAATTTATATTACACCTTATATGGTGCTTGATTATGTTCATGCACAAAATGCCAATTCTGAACAGTTACGTTCAAAAAATATGTTTATGAATAGATTTATTATCCGTAAAATAGACAAAATGCAAATCTTTCCTCAATGTATTCAACTGAACAATATGGTACTCTCCAATTTGTCCATTATACATGAGCATAACATACATTGAATGCATTAATGATGAAATAACTTTGCACAACAATGAGTCTGCTTACCTTGAGCAAGTTGATCAGAGGTTTTACGGCGCCTTGATCTACCAGACGATCGCGGCATTCGGGGCCGTCACCGGCAAGATTGCCCAGAGCCCAACAACACTGGTCCTGCGAGACAAGGAACAACAAACACAGCGTTGCAGAGATGAGAAAACACAGATCAGGATTTCTACTTCTTTCTTTTACACACCTCGCCTGCCTGTTTTTGGAAAAATACAAATTTTAATGAAATCTTCAAACTGCAAGCGTCACAAGCTCAAATGTGGTATCAAACTAAAGGGGGCAACAAGACCTTTCATTTAAGTGATGTGGCAGAGAGGTGTTTGCATTTCCTATCAAAAAAAACTGTTTGGACTTAAATTATTGATTTTAGGTAGTCATTTTGGCACCTTGTTTTTTTATATGCAAAATGCAAGTGTTATTGCGAATTTTGGGGGTTTTTTTTAGGGAGAGAGCACAGTTTGTATTTGTGCCAAAGGAGTGTTTTGTTTAGTAGTTTCTTACATGTTTCAACTTGCAACAAAGATGAGCAGACAAACTGTAAATTTCTAGTAGCGAGAGTTACCGATAAAAAACTTCATGCCAACGGAAGTTTATTTGGTTGGCCTTCTGATTTTTGGGTAGTTTATTCACTTAATTTCAAGGAATCTGCTGTAAAAAAAATCTACCCTCAATGCCTTGAATTTATAGGAAAACTGCGCAGAGTTGATGGAAGACGCCCTCTAAGGCCAAGTAACAAAAATAAGAACTTTCTTGTCCAGCCTTTTGAAAACTGAAGGAGGCCGGCGTTCCCCCCCCCCCCCCCCCCCCCTTTCAGATTTTCAAAGATGACGGCAAAGCTACCATTTTGTTGCAAATAAATAAAAAGACAATATATTGACAACATATGTGCAAAATACATTGCAAATGAATTTAAAAGGAAAAAATGTTAAAAGGAGGCAACCGGGAAAAAGGGAAGCAGGCAGTGATGAGAAACTGGTTTATTTTTTTACTTGGCCTATCTTGAGTTTTACATCTGTAAAATTGTGTACGAATTGTTCAACAGCTAATTTGTTAATAACATAGCAACAAGTTAAATAAATCTATATTGCAAAATCCCACTCCCCCCAAAAACCAAAATTAAAACTGAACATGGTATCAAAAGAGGCATAAAAGTAACTGTATGGAATATTTTCTTGAAGATTTTCTTGAAGATTTTCTTGCAAATACATCACATTAAAATGACAGAAAATTTAAATTGTCTGTCATTTTAATATGGACAATAAGCCATCGTGCACAGGTGCATGTGCACTTTATGTAAATATGGACCTCTGCAGTAAATGATCAACCTGTTGGGATGCTATGCCATTGTACCGTGCATGATGCAAAAAAGTACACTGCAGGGTTCATTTGGATAAAAGTTCAACAAGACAGTAGTAAACTGTAATTAAAGCCTTAAAGGGAATGTACAACATTTGCTTTTGCTGCAATTTTCAGAAATAAATGGATGTGGAGGATTCATATGTTATACAAAACATTGTTAAACTGACTTGTTTCACGTTTTGGGCTTGTATATGCTGGAAAAACCAAGAAAACCAACCATGTTCTTGTAGTCTGGTTCCCTGAAACGGATGAAACGGAGCAATTAATACACATTGGGGAATCGCAAGGTCATAGAATCAGTCTAGCTCTGGCTTGTACCCCTTCACAGGTGTGTAATCAATTGCAAAGAAAAGTCAGAATAACTAAATATAAAAAAATAGGAATAGTTTTTGAAAAAAGCCAGTTTTCTCCAACGCTGGTCGGCCGACCAGCGTTGGAAAAATACAGTTTTTCTTGAAAATGTCAGCACAGCAGGAGCCACGATTTTAAAGGATGCTTTAAACTGTCAGTCCCTAACAATTCAGTAAGGTATTTCAGGATAATTTGATCATTTCGTTTTATGATATTTGCAAATGTTGTATCTTCCCTTTAATCAAAGTGCAATTCAAACACAATTACAGGCTGCGAAGTTTTTTCACCACTTGAATTGTGAACTTGAGTACAGTGGCATAGCCGAGGTGGGGGGGGGGGGGGGGGGCAGTACCCCCCACAAATTCCCAGCGCCCCCCAGGTGCCCCCTACAAATAATCCTGAACTTGCCGCTTGCCAAGGAAGTGTCTTTTTAGTGTATTTTTTTGAGTTATTAAAACGAAGATGACAAGAAGACAACTTTGGATTTCCCTAGACACACGTCTTATGAAATGTGAATAAATTGATAAGAAAAAAAAGAGCGCCCTCTAGCATCAAAAGAAGTCCAGCCCCTCCCCCCTGAAAAAGAATCCTAACTACGCCACTGCTTGAGTACCCAAGAAATGCTTACTTTAACCCTAACAGTACCCCCTTCGGTGATTTACTAGGAACCTTTCTCACTCTGCAAAATCCAACATCATATGGTAAACTCTACACCCAAACCGTTTGACTCATGGTGGTATGCCTGACCCCATGTAAAGCATAATCAGTTTACTAGTGCAGTACTCACTCCAACAGATTCCAACAAAACATGCAGTTGGATTTTGAAGGGTTGGGGTGGTTAGGGTTAAAATTGGATCAAAACTGAGAAAAAGATGTAAATAATTTTGTTTCTAGTAATGGAAGGAACATTAGTTTTTCCTCATTCTAATGATATCTCAAATAAGTCATTACACTTTTAGAAATGAGAATTTCTTTGAACTTTTGTTTGTTTATGTTCAGTGTAAAAATAGTATGTGCCAGGTATTTGTTAATTTAATGGGCTCAGTTTCCATTAACAAACATGAGTTATGTCTGCATACCACGCGTTTTTATTTCAACCATCTGGCTCAAGAGAATGCAAAGAAAGACTAATGTTATATCCAGGTACTGCACACATACATGATCCCTGGGCTTGGAACTATTTTAAACACAAGAGGGCGCTAGTCACATTTTCAGTTTGGCAAGCCAGGGGCCATTTCCCAAACCTCAGTTTGTGTGCAGCATCAGCTTCCTGCATTTTTTACCTCAGATTGTGAAGGTGAACTACTACCTGTTTCAACAAAGAAGGCGCCAGTTGTACATGTGAGGACATGTACAACTGGCTCCTTTGAAGTCGAGGTTTCATAAATAGCTCTGGTAAAGGCCACAATTTATCTAAAGGAAAACTATGACCACTATACTAGTGCTGAATTTTGGCGATGCATTATTTTGGCAATCCTCGGCTTTGTCTCTATGTACACATATGTACCATACAAATAGTTTGGATGCAAGAGACAAAGCTGAAGCTGAAACAAAGCTGAAGCTGAAACAAAGCTTGGGTTTCAGAAACCATTCTAGTAAAAGATGAAGTCTAATAAAGAACAATGAAGACTAGGTTTCCACCATCCTATATTTTAATCAGCCAAGGCCATTTACTAAACCTGGGTTTTGTTTCTAGCTTTGGCTAGCTTTGGCTATAACTGGTTTCCATGCCACAAGGTCACAGATGAAGCTGAGATTTCAGAAATTGCCCGGTTATAAGCCACCACTGAGCTAAGATAAAACGTAGTGGCTACCGTTACAGCAGCCGTAACGCAACTTTCAACTGCTATCGTTATGGCATCGCAAATTAATTAAAACACCATTGCAAATCTATCATATTTATAACTGCCCGTCCAACCACAGCGCTTCAGTAGCTCACTTGGATTTAATGTTCAACTACTGTGCCGAAGGTTCCGGGATCGAAACCCGTGCTGCGTACTTTTTAAGTTCTGGCAGGAACCTCTACAAGTCACTTGGTGGTCGGTCGGTCGGTCAGACGGTCAGTCTGTCTGTCTGTCCCCGAAATTTGACCAAAAATAATTCACTAATTGACCAAATGCCATGCCGTGGTCATAAAATCCACTCTTGCTGACGGTTTTTGGAAAATTTACCAAAGTAAGCCCCATAAGTTTCCCACAAAATATAACTACCAAATTTAAATTTTCAAAAAAAAATACAAAATAGATTAAATACTTAACAAAAATTGTTTTTAACAATTCGGAAAGATGTTGATGAAAAGTTTGTAAATGGAGGCAAAATATGTGCAGTAATGTTATAGTCACATGGTATTTATCACAAATCGCTACAAATCTAGGTATACATCTAAAGTATGGTGCTCCATATGTGCCATCGGCGTCGCAACGGGGTGTCACATTTTTCAGCTCAGGACCATTTTGATAGATTTCATGGAAGACTTTCAAGCAAGACGGCCAGAGCTTATTGTGCACTCGCACTTGTTTTTTATTTAAGTAGATTTCATTTTCTTCTTTGTAATCAGTGGCTTTAGAGGATTATTTTTAAAAGGGAAATAAAGTCTGAGAACCATTTGGTTGAGTCTGGTTCCAACATGTGAAAGCTCCAGATGTTGCATACTATTATGTCAGGGAACCAGACGGTTGACCGCCATGCTGTAACCATAGCGGTTGCAAATAGCGTTACGGCTGCCGTAACGATAGCCACTGCAAAGATACGAAGAGAAAATGAAACCAACCTGAAGTGCTGCGTTCTGGCCGCTGAGGTACGTGACTAGATAGGGGGCAGCAGACTGCAACACCACCATGCAGTGCTCGTGGACGCTAGCCGACAAGTTGGTGATGCACCAGGAGGCTTCAAGCTGCAAGGTGGGATCGCGGCCGCTCAGCAAGCCAACGAGGGCATGCAGTGCGTTGTCTACACTGCTCAAGATAAAAGTGAAACTATGCACTGACTGAGTTCGGAAAAGAAAACAGAGTAAAACTGAACTTTGAAGCGGCATCACGGTAAAAATGTAGTTCAGGACACTGCTTTTTTTTACTAGTTTTACTAATTCCTTTCAAAAATGACTGTTGCAAATGACTTTCAATTCCAAAATGACTTTTGAAACCTCAGGCATTCTTTTTTAATTTAAACTTACCGTAGGTTCTTTTAAGTTTGATCAGTACTTTTGAAGAAAATGCGACTTTCTTACCTGTTTTAGCAGAAGAGACGTGTTAGTCACAGCAGTCTTTTTATTCTTATGGAACAGGGTCCTAAACTACACTTTTACCAGTATCAGTGTCACTATTTGTTTCATTTGAATTTGGGGACAAAGTGACATATTCCTGAATGCTCCCACAGAGAAGCTTCCACGTTTTGTAGCTGCATTTTTGTTGTGCAACAGTGCAATTTGATGCAAAGCGCTTTACAATTATTCCCCGTTCATCAGGCCACGAGACCACGCGGCAGCCAATATCAGCGCACATTCGGTCCTCTACCCTCACAGGTACCCATTCATACTCCTGGGTGGAGAGAGGCAATTGTAGTAAAGTGTCTTGCCCAAGGGCACAAGCACCATGTTCCTGGTAGGGTTTAAACCACTGATCTCTATATAAAGACTGGATAGCGGATATGCATACAACATTCACACAGTAGACTTTGCACATTGACCAATTCGCCTCCGGTCTCACGAAGATGGCCGTGTATAATACGAACGTTCTACGCGTAAATACGCGCGCGTTGTATCAACAGTTGACGCGCATTTTGGTCACGTACACATATTATGATGTTCTAAAAGGAACACATTTCCGTAGTGATTATTATTTCAAAAATGCCGGAAAAGTGATTTGCGGCATTATAAAAGTAACCACTACGTTAGAAAAATTGTAGTAAACCTTGGTCAGTTGGTCAGTGGTGGTGGCCAAAATATAAGTCAAGTGAGCCGCGACGTTACAAAAGAAATCAAGCTGTCTATAAAGACGGCAACTTGTCCTTTGTAGATCACCAGCCGGTCTCACCAATATGGCGTCAAATTCGTACATTGTGCGGCTCTTTATTAGCTATCCAGTCTTTATATAGAGATCAGTGGTTTAAACCCACGCACCATCGTACATAAGTCAAACACCATGACCACTGGACCATGGCATTCTACCTACCCGAGGAAGGCATCAATGAGTGCACTGCCCTGTGCAAACATTCTCTTGAGTTGTTTGAGCTGGTCATGACGGCCGGCACTGCCGCGCTTCTGGATCGCCTTAGCCACCTCGATAACCTAGATTTAGAGTGAGGTACATGCAACAGGAGCCAACAAATCATCGGAAGAAATATCGTATTTGAAGTTTTGAACATCTAAAGTACACACACACTGAAATTTGTATCCTTGTGGAGACATTTCTTTGTTCTTGTGTAGTCAAGTTTTTGAGTTTGAAAGTGTAGTTTAAAAATGCTCTTATTTTAACCAAAATTAATTTCCTTGGCTGAAATTCGGACTTAATATCCCTTTTCTGAAACTCTTCCATTTGCGACTAATCAACCCACCCTGGATATTCCAAGTTTTTGAGTAAAATCCATATATCTATTTCATGAAAACCTTGTGGAGACGTATTCATCTATAGAAATTGCCCTGTGGAGACGTATACAATCTTTTGTTCCTATTGTGTGCATGTCTCCAGAGGGCACGGTGTATCAGATCAGTCTACAGTTTGTGGATGTATCTGAGCTTATGAAAAATTACTCTGGCCACAAAATGTTGAATTTGCATTGGATAGATTGATTGCATTCAGCCGCCATCTTTGAGGCATGTTTTGTTATGTTAATTCATTAACAATGAATGCACATGGGGTCTAATCATGCGTATTCCTGTTGAACAAACACACAGGCCTCAAAGACGGCTGCAGTGCAGTCTATAGGGTGTACATGTATTTGCAAGCGTCTTGGGTAAAAACTGAATCTTCACACGGGATTGACAGTAGATCTGCATTTTGTAGTCTATTGCATGTATGAATAATTTGCTTGCTAGGCGATGGGGGGGGGGGGGGCATTTGCCCCCCACTGAGTAAACATAAGCAATAAGTTCTCTAGTATACCGTCTCTGGAAATAACAGGATTGAACACTTTCGATCATCGGGAAGGCCTACATACAGTGCAGTTGCTATGGCGTGGGGGGGGGGGGGCAGGGTGTAGCATTCACCAAAAAGAAAAACATAGGAAAGGGTGTCCTCTATCGACAAGTGAGGTCAATCCCCCCCCCCATTTTTCAAATTTGCAACGCCCAGCGGGCAACAGCTGTGCTTTGCCCCCCACCCCACTTTCAAAACTGTTTCCCCGCCTCTGCAAATAATACAGGGGTGCACTGATCTGCAAGAATGTGTTTGGAATTATGGTATGGAAGGGGAAGAGGATATTCAGAATACTGATTTGTTTGATCATGGTTCTATCTGTCTAATGTTTGATTGTAAGGCTAAAGATATAGGTCTCGTTCAAATGACGTAATTTCCTACAGACCATCCACGTGTATCGGCATTTTGTGCATCAACTTGCATAACGCGCATCGGCTGCATCGTATTTGAACACATTTCGAGCAACAAGCACGCGTGATTGGAACATTTTTAACACTGCCCAATGCGTGCTTGATTGCGTAAAATACGCAGTTGCAGTTCTCCTACAGACATGGCCGTCATTGAGCGAGCCCTATTCAATGCAGCATGTCAATGTCAGTAACTCCAAGCATAGCCACAAAACAAGTGATTACACACAGCCATGCACATGCAGCTGACTAGCTGTACCTCCTCACCTGTTCTTTTGTGTGTTCTTCGGTATCGTCAAATGTTGCCGAATCCAACCTCAGTCTCTTGGCATCCACGAACTTGTCTCGCCTCCGCTTCCGCAGTCCTGATGAGATGGGCGTCAGGAATTAGTGACAGTTGGACAAGGAGGAGATAAGCAACTGTGTATGATACATTTTTTTCTTGGGAGGGGGTGGGGCGGGGGGGGGGGGGGTGGAATGCATGCACACTAGAAAAACTAAACAGTTTCAAGAACCTGATTTTTTTCTCTTGTTTTTTTTATAATCCATAGAATGTCCAAGTCAATTATAAGAATTTGAAGAGAAATATCTCAAACAATTGAGTCCATGGTAATACATCCTTTGGGGGGGGGGGGGGGGTGGAACGGAAGTTGAGATTTCTATAGCCCGCCCCTAAACTCTCTAAAGTCCTCCTGTGAATTAATTGTAAACTTTGTGAAAATAAAACACACTTGTTACTAAAGTTAAAGCTTTAAATGAAGCACAAATATACACAATGGTCTAGATCTAGTTATAAAGATCTTCTGAACCAATGGAATTTAAAATTAAAAAATTAAGGTGAGAAAACAATTGGATGATTGCAGCAAATCAAATGTATTGCAATTCATTCTGTGCATTTAACTGAAGATATATTTGTATGCCAATTTATACAAAAAACTACAAGGAAAAGCCAGGCTCAGTTTTTAGAAATAAAGTTACACAATTTATCTACATCATTTAGTTAAATTAAACTGAAATATTCTCATGAAGCATGTTAATAAAGGGTTCCATTCTAGAAACTTTGAAGATTCTGGACTTTAAGATTTTGTCCATGAAGACAAATTTCCTGTCAGTTCTCTGACTCTCATCGTCCAAAATGAGGCATTTTCACAAAGTTACTGCTTGTCAGTAAAACTAAGATGTGGGCCTTTAGTCACTTTTTCTTCAGTTTGTCCTCTTTCTTAGTTGCCATCTTCATAATTGGAGACTTCAATCAGGTTCCTGTCGGGATCTCGAAAGTAGACGGACCTGATGGGTCCCAGGGCACCAGTGCGTGTCACTGGTCCCTCCACCACTGGCACCCCACAGACCTCCAAATGACGAACCACATCCTCCGAGGACGTCTCGCTGATCAGGCAAATGTCCGCTGACCCCGGGGTAGGGTGTTGGGCTTTGGGCTCAAACTCCTTGCCGGCTTCGTGGAGGTTGATCTTCTGCTGACCAAAACGAAGAGCCTTGCGATCCCCTTTGAAAGATACGAGCTCCATGCCCAATACTTTATTGTAGAAGGACACAGTGGCACCGATGTTTTGGACAGTCAAAACTAAGTGGTCGAGTCTTTTAATAACGATTCGACTGGCAGAAGCCATTTGGTCAAGTTCAAAACTCAGTGCGAAGTGAAGAAGTTCCCTTCAAAGTTCAGGTTGTTCAAATGCCATCGATTAAGCATGCACATGATGACTCTGTGGCTGTCACAGTCACTTAATGTTGTTGGAAAAGGTTATTATCAAAATGATTAAAGGATTTATGAATCATTTGAATGGGACCCAAAAGTCTACAAAACAGTTACAGGCAGCTAGCAGCTAGGATTTCTCTATTTTCTGCCTAAAGAGGGCGCTATGACAAAATAACAATGTAGTCCATCACGGGTAAACGACTTAACTTATGCGTGAGAACATTACAGAGCAAAAATAACATAACAACTAACAAAACCGTAACATGGGACACTTTAATTTGCTCACCAACTTCTTCGTCTCTCCTCTTCTCTTTGGTTTTAGAAACATTGGGCTTTCCTTTTTTATACTTGTCTTTATGATCCATTTTTCCTGTCAAAATAACGTTCTGGAAGTCTCCTCATGCAAGGACAAGGTCACGCATATCGCATGAAAACATCCTCATTCTCGCTATACTGCAGTAATATATTTATTTTAAATATCAAAATGTCTAACAAATGAAAGAGAAAATTAAAAGTTAACTCGGAACGTACAAATATTATTTTGACCATCATTTTTTTGTAAAGCTAAACATTTTGTTCTATTTAAACTTCAAATGTAATATGTTTAATTGAAAGAGACAAATTAAATTGAGGGCGCGCGGCGCGCGTGATTTGTGTATGTAAAGCGCACGTACACAAAAAAACACTGCTCTCACTGCTCGTTCCTTGAGCATGTTGAGTCGAAACATCGAAGTAGCATCCGTCAACTCACTGTAATAATGGTAAATAAAATGCTATATATTTGAAGACAAGAAAGAATGGAAGGCGAACTGTTTCAATGAAAAGCTAGTGGTGTTTCGTCAGTCCACCTAAAACGACGAGGATATGTTTTGACGCACTCGCATTCAACATGTTCAATTTGCGTTGGACAACGCGCGCGCGTTGCAAGCGTTATCTTAGCCCTGTCGGGCGCAATTTGAGTCCCCCACGCAAGTTTAAACTTGCGCGCGCAAGTTTAAACTTGCGCGAGGGACTCCTGAAGCACGCAAATTACACCGCGCCATTTTAATGTGCGTGCGCAAGTTTAAACTTGCGCAAAGGCGATCGCAACCTTCTTTTGCGGGCGGGATTTTCATTGATTAAAGAATTTTTTTTCAAAACACGAGTACATGTACATGGAGAAATAATGGAATATATGAATGAATAAAGAAATAAATAAAAAGGGGAATTCAATTAGCGTCAATGAAAAGAAACATTGAGATTTAGCAGTGCTTATCAGAGAAGTTGTTTAAGGGTACGTGGGGGCGGGGCCGGGGAGGGCACCGGGCAAGCAATCAACTTAAGCACACTAGCGGCGATTGCTTGGAAAGTCACTGAAGTTGTTCAATAATGGAAACCAGCTTCAAGTTTTTTGCTTTGTAAAACTAATTGGCATTTTATAAATCATAATTTCCTAGGTGTAACCAGCTGTTAACGTAAAAAGAATGATTATGATCCCTTCAATTGCTCAAGTTTTAACATTATAGTAATCATTTACATTATTTTTAATATGCTTATGTATTCTACAATTAAAAAAGTACTTATTCTGAAAAAAATACTAATTAATTTAACAATTAATAAATTGGACGGTATAATAATTCATATTGTTTTTAGAAATACTTGCATAACATTTCGAGCGCTGTGTACACTTCAAAAATGCATAATTTGAAAAAAAATTAATGAATGCATTACTAATTTAATTAGTTAATTAAATTTATTACTTTAACAAATATTTTTTTATTGCAGGCTCAATAATCCATATTAAAAAGTGTTTACAACTTAAAAACGCTATGCATATAAAATGGTAATTATTTAAAAAAGTAAATAAATTTGCAAATGATTTACTTAATGAATTTAATAAAATGTTTCAAAAAAAGGCATTAAAAGGCATTGTCTCCCGAAGCTCAGTGATGCTATTAAATCGGAGAAAAAATCTGCTTTAAAAATAATGTTACATATCTGCATGAGTATACCCGAGGGAAAAAATAGTTTAGCGGCTCTGTATGCGTGGCCGGGAAAATCTATGCAGTGCGCAAGTTTAAACTTGCGTGCGCAATTTGTAGCAAGGAAATGAATGCGCGCGCAAGTTTAAACTTGCGTGCGCGCAAGTTTAAACTTGCGCGGGGGACTCACTTTGCGCTCGACAGTGGCCGCGGTATGCTGCGCTGTTCAGCGCAGCATACCGCGGCCACACTAGTGGGGCTATAATGGGGCTAGCGTTATCTGCGTCAATTATGGTGACTCGAGGCCTAGGATACACTTTAAATTTACTGTCAATCGTGTCTAGAGTTGGGTCCGCACACAGGGCAAAGCCAAGGGGGTGGGGCGAGGCGAGGCGAGGCGAGGCGGAGGATGGCAGGGGGGGGGGGTAGGGGTAGTTAAAATGTTTAACTTTAGGCCTAGTCTTTGGCTAGTGAGTAGCTTGAGTAACTCCAGCTGAGTGGCTGACATGCTCATATTCATTCACTTGTACTGACTACTGTCATGTAGCTACATTAGGAATGAATATGAGCATGTCAGCTGGAGTTACTCAAGCCAGCTAGTGAGTATTGAAAATAAACTATCCTCGAGTCATTATAAATGACTCGAGGAGTAATGCCTTGCAAACGCGCGCGCGTTGTCCAACACCAATTGAATGCGAGTGCATCAAAACATATCGTAGGCATTATAGGGGGTCTGACGATACGTGCAATTTATGTAGGACAGTGTAAATGTGTGAAGTGTACTGTAAATTATTGCAGAGAACATTTTAGCCAAGTAAAAAACCACTTCCTCGTCCTCACTCGGCGCCTGCTTCCTTTTTCTGCCCCTTTTTCTACCCCCCTCTTTAGTCTTAAGCCTGGGCTCTTCTTTTCCATACATTTGCAATATGTTAATATATTGTCCTTTAAATTTCCTAAAAAAAAGTGTAGCTAGAATATAGAAAGGGTAACGTCTCCTTTGGACGCAATTTCGTTTCAGCAAAAGAGTTGAGAAAATGGAAGAATCCATCTGTCATCTTGGAAAATCCGCCATCTTGTTGGAAATAGCACCCGCCTCTTTCATTTTTTTCAACACGCCCGGATGAGAAAGTTTCTTAAAGATTTAGGCTAGGTGAAACCGCAAGGAATTCCTTGCTCTAAATGGTTGAATGCACATTGATATTCAGGAAAGAATTTAGCGTCCTGAGGCCACTTGTTTGGTTGTGTTCAAAGTATATGGAGAGTTGAGTGCATTTTCAAAGTATTTTCGAACAAAATTGGAGATGTTTCCAAGTCTTAATCTCTTTGCAACATTTTTGAAATGACTTGACCTTCATTGACATATATACATGATGAAAAAAGTGGCATCGGGATGCAACATTAATTCCCAAATGAAAAGCAAAAAACAACTAAAATTGTTGAAAAAGTTTAGCATCGATAGCTTATTAACATAAGGGCATAGAAGGGGTGTGATACTAGCATCTAATTATATCAAAGTAATTTTCCTTGATTGTATTTTCTTCCTTAAGTCTAGAAAGCGAGGACTGAGCTTGGAGGAGAAGAGACAAAGGATGATGGAAATCTTCTTTGAGAGGGTAAACTACCAACCTATAAAAAGGATCATTTTTTTCTGAAAAGTTCTGGCATAAATCTGGAGAATATCACACTCTTCAAAAGAGTCAGCAATAAACACGATGAACTAAACGGTTCCTATTGCATTTATTACCGTAGCAAAGTTTTGCTTAATTAAATACTATTCCATTATTTGTACACATGATTAATATATATTTTTTGTAATCAATTCATTGTATCATTTGGTTTCTTTTAATAGAAAGAGGTTTTCCAGTTGAAGGAATTGGAGAAAATTGCACCAAAGACAAAGGGCATAAGTGAGTATAATGGCGATAAAAATCTTGAATGAACTTTTGGTAAATGAGTTATAGGCCTACCATAAACCCCCTTTTGTTTGATCAGTCACAGACAGTCAACAATTCAATCCTGTTCCCCTGCCATGCCTTGTAGGCCAAAAACAAAAAAATAGTCGGTCTCCGGTCAGACCAAAGTTCCGGAATTGATGCGGCGATGCGGGCTTTTGGGGGGGGGTGACTTTTTTTTCAGGCTTGGATTGTAAAGACAAAGTGGGTACTATTTGCTTTTTTGTGTCCTCATACCTTGGTGTCCTCCATCATTTGCCTTGGTGCCCTCCATGATTTGCCTTTGTTCCCTTGTGCTCCTTGGTACGAAAATTTGAGGCAGTGTGGCAATAAAGGGCGCTGTTGTAGCTATGGTGGAAAATTTGGGGGAAAAAGAAAGAAAGATTGACATGCATGATCGAAATCGACGCGTGCGCTGACCAGAGACTATATATTTTTCTTGGCCTTACACAGGCTAGTCACCAACAGTCAGATCATATTTCTTGTAGGCACCCTGACAAGCAAATTCTATCAACAGACAAAAACAGATGACTGGTAGGCACAGCTGGCTTATCAATCTCCTACAGTCAAATCATAAAGTCTATATCAGGCTTCGTAACAATCACAGCCAGTCAATCCTGCTTTGTGAAGGCAGGGAGCACTCCACTGTTACAAACAGTCACTTGATTTATTTTGACTGCTGGGCTGGCCTTGTTAAAATTGCCAGCCATAGAGGGAGGGATTCTATATAACTTGTGACATGCATTTTTTACTGGTAATAACATCTGATTTTAAAGAAAAACGGGGCTCTTATTTGTTATGTTGGTAACATGATCCCACTTTAACGATTTAAAAAAAAAAAAAATTTTAATAAAGCTCTCAGCAGGTCTTTGAATGATTTTGTTTAAAATAATGTTTTGTTTTTATACTTGATTTGTTTTTGTATGTTCTTTTTCAAAAGCATCTATGTCAGTGAAGGACGTTGTTCAGAGTCTGGTTGATGACGGAATGGTGGACTCCGACAGAATTGGAACATCCAACTATTTCTGGGCCTTCCCGAGTAAAGCTAGTAATGCTGTAAGTATTGGTGTGTTTTGTTTGTAAAAATATTATTTTGTGATTTTTAAGGCCAAAAAAAAAAAAAATCTGTTTCGATCCACATGGCATTTGGAAATAGGGTAGGTAGGGGAATGTTTTTTTTTTTGGGGGGGGGGGAGGTTTTTTTTTGCAAGATCATATGGAGGTGTCTGCGTGTAGTCAAGGGTAAAATGTAGTAATTGATGGTTTTGGGGGTTTTTCGCCAAAATAAATTAGGGTAGGGGCTGTCAAAATAGGGTAGGTAGGGTAACCAGAAGCAGGATTTTTTTTCAGGCCTAATTTTTGTTAACTTAAAAAAAAAAATTACAGTTAATTTTTTTAACTCTAGAGGCCAACTGTTTTGTAAATTTTTTTGTAGAGGAAGAGAAAGATATCTGATCTCAGCGGCACCCTGGATGAAAGCGAGAAAAAGAGAGCAGCAACAAAGAAGCTCATCGCCAAGGCAACAGTGGGAAAGGAGGACACTGTAAGTTCCATGTTCCATCAACAAATTCCGGTGAAAACACAAATGTCAATAAACATCATAAAGGGATCAGAACGGTAACAGCTGAGCAGAAATATTCAGTGTACTTTATTCTCGATCCTTAAAACTTTGATGTTATATCCTTAATCATTTTTTTTTTCATCCTTAATCATTGATCTTTGATCCTTAATCATTGATCTTTGGTCCTTAATCATTGATCTTTGATCCTTAATCATTGATCTTTGATCCTTAATCATAGATTTTTTATCCTTTATCAGTGATCTTTGATCCTTAATTGTTGATCTTTAATCCTTAATAATTGATCGTTGATCCTTAATCGTCGATCTTTGATCCTTAATCATTGAGTTTTGATCCTGAATCCTATTTTATCTAATTGTTGATCTTTGTTCCATAGTATCTAAACCTTGATATTTTTAATGCCCGATATTTTCCTCGATCCTTACCTGTGATTTTTCATATTTGATACCTGATACTTTATCTTTTAAGAGGTACTTGATCCTTAATCCTAAAGTAGGGCTTGATCCTTGATGTTTGGTCTTCTATAAATGTGTCTGTTCGCCCTGTAACTCCCAACTTTTCCCCAGGATGACAGGACAGAGCTGCTGTCGACACTGGCCGAGCAGGAACAGGAGAACTCCAGGCTGAAGGCAGAACTTGAGAAATACCGGGAATGCGACCCAGAGGTCTTAGAAGAGGTCAAGAAACAAACCTTGGTGGCTAGAGATGCGGCCAACAGGTGGACAGGTAGGAAAAGTTGGCCCTTAACCCCATGGGCCCGGGAAGCGGTCATGGCCGCGGCCGCTAATCCTCATTGGAATGCAGTTGCCAGCTGTGGTATGCCGTGGCACGCCGTGGCACACGGCTAGTGGGTAGTTCCACAGCTGCTGCTTTTGTGCAGTCCCGCTACCACACAAAGGCTGTGCAGTCATGCGGGCCACTTGCTCTATGTGTGGAGGAATGTCCCCATTACACCCCGTCCTTAAGGGGTTAATGGTAATCTCTTATGCAAGTAACCTTGCTGATTCCTCCAAAATCTATCACTGTGTAAAAAAACACTGGCACATACCCTGCAGGACCTTAACTTAAAAGAGGAATCAGTGCCCAGTGTCATGGCTCTGCTTACCGTTAGCGAAAAATCCCTGCTTACTGGAGCAAAACATTTTGTGCTTACAGTTAGCATTTTTCACAGCTTAGCCATGAATTGTGGCTTTTGCGCATGCGTACATCCCGTAACTGAGGATTATGTGCTTATAGGATTAGCACAGAAGTTTCTGCTAGCTATGTTAGCACGAAATAGTAAACACGGAATTCTGTGGTTAGCAGCTCCACGAAACTTGGCCCTGGTCCCTAGTGGAAGTAGCTTGGCTGTGCCTTTTCTCATCCTGCAAACATGGCAAAAGAATCTTTAGAATCTTGTTGCAGATATCAAAGGATCTAGGGTTATGGATAATTGTTTAGGAGATGAGTTGAATTCTCATTGGAGAAGATAGACCGAAAACATTTTGAGTTTTGTATAATATAATTATGGATTATTGGAGGTGCTAAGCCGATATGGACTTCTTTCAAAGGAAATTTTTTTTATAAGAAAGCCTGCATGGTTCATTCAGCAGTAACTGAAAGTTGCATTTGGACTACTTTAGCCCTAACCACCCCCAACCCTACAAAATACAACTGCATGTTTTGTTGGAATCTGTTGGAGTGAGTACTGCACTAGTACACTGACTATGCCTTTACATGGGGTCAGGCATACCACCATAATCAGAGTCCAACAGTTTGGGTGTTGAGTTCACCATATGGTGTTGGATTTTGCAGGAGTGATGAAGGTTCCTAGTAAATCACTCAAGGGGTTAGGGTTAATGACTTTTTTTCAAGCCAGTTTGACTTTTTTATGGCCAGTATCCAGTAGTGTTCTCCTACCAGGAATAGAAGGTTTTCAAATTTCTCTCGCTATTGAATTTCTTACAGATAACGTCTTCACCATCAAATCCTGGTGCAAGAAGAAGTTTTCCATGGAGGAGAAGACGATAGACAAACACTTTGGCATACCAGAGGACTTTGATTATGTAGACTAAATTTTTGAACCTTATTTTATTCACTTGGAAAGTTAAACCTTTGCAGTACTTTGTAAATAGTTGAGAATGATAGCATATAATGTGAGTGTGCATTCACAGAATTGCTGTGCCTAGGATATCCATGTGGGATGTCTGATTGTACAGTGTATGAATACGAAAGAAACCAAGAATATCCTTGATGAATAGAGATGGGTGACCAAACCCAAAATGTACAGGTGTGAGATCTGAAGGTGTGTGACATAACCTGGGATATCCTGGGTGCAGGATCTGAAGGTGTGTGACATAACCTGGGATATCCTGGGTGTGGGATCTGAAGGTGTGTAGAATAAACTCGGATATTCTGGGTGCAGGATCTGAAGGTGTGTGACATAACCTGGGATATCCTGGGTGCAGGATCTGAAGGTGTGTGACATAACCTGGGATATCCTGGGTGCAGGATCTGAAGGTGTGTGACATAACCTGGGATATCCTGGGTGTGGGATCTGAAGGTGTGTAGAATAACCTCGGATATTCTGGGTGCAGAAGCGACTGGAGCGGGAGACCACACGCGCGAGTGGCAAAGCCACGAGAGCATTTTCCAACTTGTCAAGAATTTCTTTTGTTTTTCTTTATAATTTCGATTTTAAAAGGGTAGCAAAATTCCAACCAATCATCAGCCTTTTACTGCGTGCGTGGCTACTACCCGGACCCGTCGACGCGCCCGGATGCTTGCACAAATTTAAAAACAAAAAAAATGCGAGTCTAGTTTTCCACGAGATCGTGACCGCGTAATTGTTCTTACATTACCTTATTTTAATTTTACTTATAAAAGTATTTCAAGAAATTATTTGAGTGTATGAACTTATTTTTTCATACAGTTATTTGCTCTTACGTTTTCCTTACTCACCCTTCTTTCACAAATGGAAGCGACTAGGCAAAATCCGCGTTGTGATTGGTTAGCCTTTCAGCACTCTTATTTGCATAAAAACTATGAATAATTCAACAAAATCAAGTTCGAAAAGGCCTCGTGGCTTCGCCAATCGTGCGTGCTAGCTGACTTAATCTTTGCTCCAGTTGCTTCGGGCTAAATTTCGCAGCTCCGTCGCTCTAAGCCACGATGGCCTTGGCGAAAGGCTAGTCCAGAGATGGCCTGGACTGGCCACTTGCGGTTTATTAGCAAACTGCCTTGGATTAACCAGATAATGTAACAGTGGGTTGAGTAAAAGATAAACAATGAAATCTTGGTATATGCTAAAGATCTTGGCTTTTAAAAGGCAAAATCACCTCATGATAACCTGGGATGTCGTGGGTGATGTGGGCTCTGAAGGTGTGTGATCCAACTAGGATATATCATGGAGGAAGGAATTCCTTCCTCCATGGATATATCAAGAAGATGCTGAAGGGTGTGGGTGGCTAGACCCAAATGCACAATACATTTTCTTTAGAATATATGCCATTGCCATATTGGTACCATCAGTATGAACCATTATGATGTCATGACAGTTATTAAGCAAAATCGTTATATATCAGACTTAAGGCTATGCATGGTGGAGTCTATCGGTATTGTTTGGGTTTGCGGTAACACCATGTGGTAATAACTACTGCTTAGAAGATATTTAGTTCTGAGAAGAACTTGCCCTGCTTGTTATCAACTTTCGCTATGTAGTTTTTGTTCGAAGAGGCAGTCCTGCATGCTTTAAGTTCTAAAAAGAACTTGTCTTTTAGCCTTGATTCAGTTATATAATTTGTTGATGTAAATAATGTAAAAAAAAAAAAACACTGTAAATAAAATGGTATGTATGACTTGCCATACAGTATGTTGAATTTCTTGGGTTCATTTCCGTTTCTTTTGTGATTGATATCGACACAGAAAATAGACCCAAATATTATTGGTCAATTTTGGTCAGAGCAATTTCATTTTAGTACGCCAATGCGAGTAACAACGTTTTTTAGTGACCAAAATCCCCACCCTGGGGCACGAAAAACGTGACCAAATCCCGACATCGGACCTGCAGGGGCAGTGCTAGTCCGAGTAACTTGGACCCAACTTATCGCCTTTTTTAACATTTGGACATGGTCTGGCGATCGCCAGACCATGTCCAAATGTTAAAAAAGGCGAAAAGTTGGGTCCAAGTTACTCGGACTAGGGCAGTGCAGGGGGTGGGTGGGACCATGGAGGATGTGTTTTTATTCCTCCATGGTGGGACATAGGTACGGTGCATTATAGGATTTTTAAAGCCATTATTTTTCCCTTTCATGTCAATTTTCATATAGATGCAACAGAATCCATTAAATTCTCTGTCAGCTGAAAGACATTTCTATTTAAATCGTTTAATTACGCAACTGCACCTTTTAACTTTGTAGTTTTAATGGCATTTCTTAGCCACCATACCACCTGTCGAGGCGAGGGCAACTGGAGAATGGCCTCGGCTAGCTAGGCTACGTGCGTACATACTAAAGCCTTGTCCAAAGCGGGCATTATTTATGGCTACGACTACATGTATTCCCCGCAGCGTGTCAATCACAGAATCTGAAGCAGTAGGCGTAGCCACAAATACACGAACGCGGATACGACTTTCAGCTGAGTGTCACATAACCGGAAGTCGCGCCATTTCTTTTTTAAAAAGCAACGAGTAGTTGGTGATGATTCCATTAGTAATCTGAAATCGACAGAAAATAGAGAACTGAAACTAAATCCTAACAATTTGATTTAGATTGTTTTTTTTTTATCCCAAATGAGACATGGTTAAAATTACAGTATCGGTGTCACGCCCCAACTATCGCATCGGTCCCAACTATAGTTGGGCCTGTCCCAACTGTAGTTCCACAGTTGGGCTGGCCCAACTATAGTTGGGCCTGTCCCAACTATAGTTGGGACGATCCCAACTGTAAGTTCCACTGTTGGGCTGGCCCATCTATAGTTGGGCCACTCCGATCTTTTTTTTTTGCGGTGTCCCAACTATAGTTTACATTGATGTACAACTGTAAAACGTTCCCTACAGCTCTGATACACGTCTGACTTTACTGGGGACCACTGAAATTAGCTATTGATGGGGCGAATCTATAGTTGGGCCACTCCAATCTTTTTATTTTGCGGTCCCAACTATAGTGTACATTGTTGTATGATTATAAAACATTCCCTACAACTCTAAAATACACATCTGACTTTACTTGGGACCAATGAAATTATCTATGGGTGGGGACCATCTGTAGTTGGGCCACCGCAATATTTTGATTTGGCGGTCCCAACTATAGTTTACATTGATGTACGACGACTATAAAACATTCCCTACAGCTCTGGGTCCTTATTCACAAAGCACCCGTAAATGCTTGCGGGCGCGCAACTTCCCCGCAACTCTCACTTAAGCACTTGCGGGTTATTCACGAAGCCCCCTTAAATCTGCGTGTGCCCGTAAACCACCCGTAAATTTGCGGGACCTCCAGACGTCCCGCAAGCACACCACAACTTGCGTGGATCATCTCGATTGTCACAATGGCGGCACTCTTGGCATGTATTTTGGATCTACGAACTGATTTGACGTGCCGGTTCATCTTCCGTGACCGGTTGAACCAACTATAGGATGAGTTAAAAAGAAAGTGACCGAATTTGAAGAATGTGTTCAAAATATTTGGCGCGTTCCATTTTCATGGGCGTCAATCGGTGGGGGACAAGTCCTCCCCCCACTTTTTTTTTTTAAGTGGCGGATATCATATCGTTGCCCCCCCCCCCGCCCCCCCCCCCCCACACACACACTTTTTCTATCCCCGAATAAAAATTGTAGCCAACATAATGATTCTATAGTAGCTGATTCAATGACTCCGAACTCAAAAAAATGATGTTTAAAAGATGATCTTTTGCTCACAAAAGTGGTTTGAGTGCTCAGAAATTGCCTCGGATCGCACCACAGATTAAGCATCTAGAATCAAAAAAAATTCGGGGCCCGCTCCATGCAGTAATAGGTATGTCCTCCACTTTTGGGAAGCGACTGCCGCCCTTTGTTTTTTTATGGGACGAAGTACATCTTATGGGATTTTAAGTGTGAACATTTCACCTAAATTGCACAGTCTAATCCGAAGTTATGTCTATTTCAATAAAACGATCACAAACTTGTTTACCACTCATCACGTGATGCAAACTGAACACCCATTGAGTACAATGAAACGTGGACTTTCCCACCTCCACTGAATGAACAAGAGCATGGGAAAGGATACAAAAATCACCATCAATATTTAAAAAAAATAGAGCTAACTTGTTTCTTATATATTGAAAGCACACATTCTGACAGTGGTTTCTGTCTTGAGTTCAATTATTAAAGGGAACCTGCAAAAGGATGTGTATGACTTAAATAGATTTAAAACAGCTTTCTTGCCATGTTACTATGACTTTCAATCTTCTTTTGTAGTAGTAAAAGGGAGAAATTTCAACATTTCAATTTTTATGCTATTGAAACTTTCCATATTCATGAGCCAAAGCGTGATGTCATTCAAAGCAGAACAGAAGTGTCTCTACAGCTTTGAGTACAAATATAATTATATCACACTTGTTTCTATTTTCTTGCAGTAAGTTCCACTTTTTACTTGTTTATCATGTTAAACAGCTTGTTTGGACACTAGCAGTCGCCACTAGTTTTTTTCGAAGCTTTTTTTGTGGGTAACTTTGAAGGAGTTATGTTTGTACTGTTCATATGCACTTTTGACAAGGAGTTCCTTGTGCGTCAAAAGCAAAATAGCGCCCATTACAGGCGATTGTTTTGATGAAAGGATTTGCTAACAATTGAAAAACTACCACTCTCTTGTCACTTCCAACGAAAACAAGTATTACGATCCTGTATGTATTGTTGCGACACATAATAATGTGTAAGAGAACAAGATGGGCTGAATTTCCACTGCATGTTTCCTTTAAAGTCTTGTTGGCATTTTAAAGTTTGTCTGTAATATGATTCTCACTATTAACTCAATAGCTTCCAATGACATTCAAGGACAGCTATAAAAATGGGCTACGTTTGTAACACATGCATAACTTCTGAAAGCATTGGTAAATTTTAGTGATTCATTTTCTTCTTTAAATGAGTGGAAGAACATGCTCTTAAAGACATGCTTGATTGGTGTTGATTGTTTGCTAAGAAAACAAAGACAAGTTAATCTTTAATCGAATCTGCCTGTAATTTTTACAACGAGCAAGTTCTCTAAAATGGGATAAAATATCTTGGCATGTTTTTTTTAATGTTCAACCAATTAGTTGCGGGTGCCCGCAACATGCGGGTCCACTAATGGAACTCTAAGGGTGCTTCGTGAATGCCACTTAACGCAAGTCTTACGTGCCCTTAACATCCACTTACGGGTCCCCGCAACGCAAACATTTACGGGTGCTTTGTGAATAAGGACCCTGTTACATACTGTCCGACTTTACTTGGGACCTTTGACATTAGCTATGGGTGGGGCCCATCTATAGTTGGCCGGCCATGGCAATCTTTGAATTTTGCAAAATGTTGCTGGACAATCAACCCAGCAGCTGGACAACTCATCCAACTAGGCAGTACCACGTGGCCGGCCAGCCTTGCGGCATGCATGCACGACGAATACACGGTGCCAGCGCCGCGGAACATTTCATCCAACAAGATCTATCAAGCATGAAGCATCCGGCGCAACTCCAGTCCTAACTATAGTTGGGCCGACCCAACTGCCGCACTATAGTTGGGACAGTCCCAACTATAGTTGGGACCGATGCGATAGTTGGGGCGTGACATCGACGATTCGACGAAAGCGCCTTTTACTACATACATGAACTACACGTTAATATTTAGTTGGAATTCGCCGGGTGACGATACGTTGAATCATAGCCGAACGCGCTGTGCAATATGCAAACGGTATTTGCCCCCGCGTGATGCGATGTGAAGTCGGAGACGTGTGGAATATGTCAAACGTTGGACAAATCGTGACAGATTTTCTAAAGAATTCATCAAACCATCCATGTAATGAGTTCACAGTCTGCCCTAATTATTTCCCTATGAATCGGCGTTGCAGGTAGACCCATTTTACGGTCATGATGGCCGGAGTTTTTGACTTTGAGCTCAACGAACCGGGAGCTCAACATCAGCCGACCAACCAGCAGGAGAATGTATCGGATGATGATGTGCTGGAGGTGGGTATTTCTGACGGCTGCGCAGCGTCGGGGGCGCTGAGCGGCAGCTGGTGACGAAAACTAGGGGAAATAATGTGGTATTTAGAAGCCACTTTACAAACGTCGAAACAACGATGCCATGGCAGGAATGAAAACATCCAAGGCATCATGATCATTCTCATCCCATTTCTTTTCAATTTCACAAATTCAAACTTCTTTTGTAAGTAAAGTGCTAGGCCTAATTCTATCTACCTCCATGGGCCTACATTACATTAGCTTGAGTAACTCCAGCTGTGAATGAATATGAGCATGTCAGTTGGACCATGGAGGAAGGAACAGGCCTACATAGGCTACCTACATATTGATCACAGATCAGTGACAGTGGAACCATAAATCCATCACTCATTCACGGCATCACCTCTGCAATTATTATTTGAAGAATTTACATTGTTAATGTTGTCTTCATCCATAATTATCGTTGTCATCCTCGAAAAAACAAACGTAGTGACTATCGTTACGACAGTCGATTTTCATCTTCTAAGTTCTATTACGGCAATTGCAGAAACACCATCGTGAATAAGGGAATAACAGTGTGAGGAGCCGGTCTTCACTGCGTGATAATGACCGGGTGTGGGGGTGACCGCTGTTAATGGACCGAGACGAATCCCATTAATAAATACCTTTATAACGAAATAAACAGTTAAAATGCTCAAATTTTGTGACTTTCTTTTGGCGATATTTCCAGACTTTTTTGTGTTCATGTTCATGGGCCATATTTTAGCTTAACAGCTATAACGACGTAAACTCAACAGAAACTGCTGCTGTAGCGAAACAAATTACAACAATGTTTTCATATCTTTACCTGATGGAGGAAGCTGAAATCTCGTTTACGCATTCCTTGTGTCCGGAATTACAAAGATGCTTGGTTTAGGAAAGGTAAATATGTCGGTGGGTGAAGTGTTCAAAGAAAATAAATCGTAGATCTACGCTTTCGTCGTAAACATCCTCAGTATATACTGCACTGCTGTACGATGTCGTTTCAAAACTTCCTTACGCGCGCGCACGCACGCATCCCTAGCGACTTAACTGTGTTGCGTACGCGCGCGTCAGTCTCATCTCACGCGCCCGCGATGGGGGTTGAGCGCATGTGCAGTGCTCAATTGTTAAAAGCTACCGCAGGACTGTTACTATATTTTGACCAATCATTGGCTTGCATGGGGCTGAACGGGGCTGGATCACTGATCTCTATATAAAGACTGGATAGCGGATATGCATACAACATTCACACAGTAGACTTTGCATATTGACCAATTCGCCCCCGGTCTCACAAAGATGGCCGCGTATAATACGAACGTTCTACGCGTAAATACGCGCGCGTTGTATCAACAGTTGACGCGCATTTTGGTCACGTACACATATTATGATGTTCTAAAAGGAACACATTTCCGTAGTGATTATTATTTCAAAAACGCCGAAAAAGTGATTTGCGGCATTATAAAAGTAACCCCGACATTAGAAAAATTGTAGTAAACCTTGGTCAGTTGGTCAGTGGCCAAAATATAAGTCAAGTGAGCCGCGACGTTACAAAAGAAATCAAGCTGTCCATAAAGACGGCAACTTGTCCTTTGTAGATCACCAGCCGGTCTCACCAATATGGCGTCAAATTCGTACATTGTGCGGCTCTTTATTAGCTATCCAGTCTTTATATAGAGATCAGTGGGCTGGATCAATGCTGGTTCAGGGGCCATTTATTCGCTTGATCTTTGAAGCCGGTCCATTATCACCGTTAATGACCGGCCAGTTGGCCACGTGATCGAGTCTCGACCAATCAGAAACCATCAACTCTCCAAGGTATTTATGAATCTAATATATAAAAGTGCCCTACCAACCAGAGTGCTTTGTTAGATTGGATAAATGCTTGACTAGCATGCCGAAGGTCTCGGGATCAAATCTGTGCTGTGCCAAACCCTTTTCTTTTCTTTCTTTTTTCTTTTAATGGTTTCAATGACTTTTTAAAAATGTTTTTAATCAAATCCTCCTTTTCATTGACGTAGATTGCATTTTTTTTTGTAATCAGTGCCTTCGGAGGATTTTTTTAAAATGGAAATAAAGTCCGAGAACCATTCGGTTAATAATAGTCTGGTTCCAACAGCCAAAGTTCCTGACGTTGAATACTATTACTAGGTCAGGGAACCAGATGGTTGACTGCCATAACATTAGCCACTGCGAAAAACAAAACATCAAACTGCACCAACCATCATAAGTGGCTGCAAAAAGTCAACATAATCACCATCGCTATTACCATTAGAATTACAATCACACAATCACCTTTATCATCACCATGGCTAGGCCAAAAAAATAGTTCTGCCTCCGGTTTCCTTACCTATCCTATTTTGACAATTTTTTTTATGGGAGAAATGAGAAAAAACACCCAAAACCATCAATTACTACCTTTTACCCAAAAAAAACTGCCCCCCCCCAAAAAAAAAAATCCCTACCAACCTACCCTATTTGCTTATGCCATGTAATCGGAAGTAGATGACTTTTTTTTTTTTTTGCCCTAGTATTTTTGTCACCATCTTCATTGCCGTAATTATTGATGAATTGATAATCCTTTTTTTACCCATTTACCTACAGGAGCAGTACCTCACAGCCAGTTCGGGCTCCATTCCTGATGAGTATGTATATATTATTGTATATATTATTTGGTCATTCATCCCCCCTCCCCCCCCCCCCCCCCCGGTTCCCTTTCCATAATCGAAGCCAAATAGTGGAATTCAAATTCCACCACTATTTTAGAAGTGCAGTTTTAAGCTATATCACACCAACCTTCGAATCCCTATAAAAACACTCAAAATAAAAAAAACCCAAAAATCCATATTATTGTTGGATTTACTGTTGTCCTTAAGTTGAGTCAGGTTATCGAAAGCATTTTCCAGATAGCAACAAGTTCCAGCCATTTTTTTTATTAGATTATAAAAAAAGTAACGTTCAGTCAATTCAATCAAAACAGAGTCCTCAACTCAAGATTATGGAATACCACAAAAAAGCAGAGTTTGAGACAACTATTATCAATATGGGCAAAGCATGCCTGTGAAGTTTTGATGAAACGACTTTGATTTAAATTGATCCAGTATTAAATAAGTATCATTTTAATGCATTGTTTTACTTTTTTATTTGGCTACTCAATCCTGAGGCAACATAGTGACATATGGGCAATTCTCCATGGGAGAGCAAAAAATGTCAAAAATAAATATTTACATATTAAACCTTTTTTGTACTTTTTTCAGACCTCAATTAAATGGGGAATTCAGTTCAAAAAACGAAATTAAAAAAAATACATATTTCTGGTAAAAACAGTGATTTTTGCATTTTATGATTAAAAACGTTCAGATTTGGTAAAAAAATAAAATTTTGTGTATGTATTACTTTCTGAATTATAGGGAAAAGATTTGATTTATTTTATGATGTTACAAGTTACTTACATTACTCAGGGTCATTAAAAAAAAATCTAAAAATCTAAATATATATATATATATAGTGTAGGCCTTCATTTAAAAATGTCAAAATTAGCACGTAATTCCGTTACCAAAAAAATGGCAAAAGTTACTTATTTCACAAATTTTCTTGTTTTTTTTCTACAAATCATTTATGTTGAGAAAAGACTCTACTATAAACATAAATGGAAAATAAAAACTTTAAAATAGTAATTTCTTGGCATTTTTCCAAGTGGTAACGGAATTACGAAACGGTAACGGAATTACGATAACGGAATTACGCATGCACAAAGTATGCACACTTCCCCCAGATTATGTACATGTACATGACATATTAAATAGGAGATTTGCATGTAAACCTTGGACAATAACTTTAAATACTAAATTACTTGTTAAATCATTTCCCTCTTTAATTGCTATTATACAATTAAAAATAATCAGGTGTTCCATTGATATTTTTTACTTTTACTATTTCTTTTTTACTATTTAAAAAATGCTAATTGTTTGGATGCTTAAAGGGAATATACAACATTTGCAAACATCGGAAAATAAAACTACCAAGTTTTTACGAAATACCTTACTAGGATGTTGGTAAATGACAGTCTAAAGCATCCTGTAAAATTATGGCACCTGGTGTGAAGTTATTTTCAAAAAAATGATATTTTTGTATACATTTCCAACGGTGGTCGGCCGACCACCGTTGGAAAAACCTAACTATTTTTCAACTACTGCTCCAACTTTACACTCTTTCCAGTCCAAATTTTGTTTGCTACACCTATTTGTTACATGTTCATGAACGGGTGCAGGCCAGCTAGTCTGGTTCCCTTACCTTCCACTTTTCCAGCATCTATAAATTGATCCATTTTAGCTTTAGTGGAGTCAAGGAACCAGACTACTTGAACAGTTTTGTTTTTCTTGGTTTTCCAGCATTTTGGAACGCAAAACTTCAAACATGTCAGTGTAACAATATTTGATCTATTACATGTATACTAACCCCTCAAATAGTTCATTTCTGAAAATTACAGCAAAAGCCAATGATGTACATTCCCTTTAAATATGTTGCCAAAGCCGTTGTCTGGTACCCAGAGAAAATATATTCCACAACAAGTATATGAAAGTTGAGTACCAGACTGTACTTGTACTTCTACTTGGCATAACTTAACATCTTCCCTTGCTCAGAGATGCCAACCAGTACAGTTTTATTGTATTTTCCACGATAAACTAGTGAAATACGATAATACAATTGTTCATAGTAAAATTTGATTTTCGTTAAAAAATAAATATACATTGCTAACAGGCAATGCAGCCATCACCAGACTGCTTTCATTTGACCTTGACCTTTGACCTAAAAAATGAAGCCCAGACATGTTTAGGCCTACATTTACATTTTGATCTGCTTATTTTCACTGAGCTTTCCCCTTGTGGCATTTTACATACTTCTAAAATTTGTATTGTGATGAGTTTATGTTGAATTCAATGTTAATGTATTGCATTTACCTATTACATGTAAACCTATGGCGTAATTCCGTTACCGCCCAGGCGTAATTCCGTTACCGTGATTAAAATGCAAATTATGAAAAGAGTGATTATTTTTTCAACTTTGTTCTGCATTGTAGTTAACAACACCCCTGAACTCTACAAATAACAGGTAGTGTCCAATTTTAAAATTTCAAAACTTCAGAGAGTTTTATTAATTTATGCGAGAACTCAAATATGCTTGTCCTCCGTCCGTAATTCCGTTACCGATATTAAGCTCCGCCCCTAAAAGGGTAATCTTGTGGGATTTTTTTTTTTTAGCGGTCAATCAATTCTACTGGGTCTTGGCTCCCTTTCCATGTTTAGATTAGTTGCCTAGCATTGAACATATTTTCTTGGGAAAGAATAATCTTTGACAAAGTGACAAAATTCCGTAATTCCGTTACCAAAGAATTGCCCATATATGTATACTAAATGTTAACGGCATCCCTTTTTCTGTTTTTGGTTCTCATTTCCGACCAACCCTATTTTCGGCTCCCAAGAAAAAAAAGAACTTGATTTTTATTACAGCCAACCCTGTCTGGAAACCTATAAACAAAAGAAACAAAAACCAAATGAAATAGCCTTGTGTGTTATTTGAAAAGCAACTGAAAATGAATATCAGACTTTCACGCGAAGTAAGGCATACCATAAGCGAAGTAAGGCATACCATAAGCGAAGTAAGGCATACCATAAGCGAAGTAAGGCATGCCAACAAATGGAACCCCAGAAAATGAGAGGATGTTGCCTCTCATTATATTAGGTGTCTACACACAATACTGCTTGGTGCAAATATAATGTCAGTCAACTACATCTTGCCAAATATGGTTTTATTATTTTATTCCGTGATATCAACTCATGATAATAAACTCATTGCAATAAACAAAACCAGAGACTACGAACATGGCATCTTTTAATTTAGCTATCCAGGCCTATATCGGTGAAACTGCAATTTTTTTTTCTCTTCAGATTTTAAATATTTTTCTTCCGACTGATCCGACCATCCCTACTTCAGAGGCATTTTATTCCGTGATATCAACTCATGATAATAAACTCATTGCAATAAACAAAACTAGAGGCCACGAACATGGCATCTTTTAATTTAGCCATCTGCATCGGTGAAACTGCAATTTTTTTCTCCTCAGATTTTAAATATTTTTCTTCCGACTGATCCGACCATCCCTACTTCAGAGGCAAAAAAAAAGAGAACCGTAGAAATGAAATGGGACGCCCTATTATTGGTTTCATTTCATTTGTTAATGACCAACTAGCAAAACAGATAATGTTTACACTATGCTCTCATTAAGCAAAGTTGTGGGCACTATATTTATATCCACACTGCTGGACTGTGATAAGCTTATTGACTTTGATGTTGAAAAAAACACCCAAATGTCACTGGCTAAATTTTACAGATCTACATGTAATAAGATTGCGTGTGTTTGTTTGTTTTCTTTGCCATTGACTTTTGTACTTTTTTTTGTTAACAGTGATGAAGACATTGAACAGCTAGCGCTATCAGAACACACAGTTAACCCTCACAATGAGCGGGTCGGACCAGAACACTTTCAGCTCCTGAAAGTGCTCGGCAAAGGCGGTTATGGAAAGGTGAAAAAATTAATTTCAAGTTGCAATTTTTGAGTTTCGCTTTGAAGAAAAGTTTTGTTTTTATATTTTTTTCTGTAGCAGTACGAAAGATATTCACTTTTAAATGAGACATCAAGCAAAAAAACTGCGCACTTTGAGTCGTGGGGTTCTTACTTTACAAATTTCAATTTTTTTTGGTGACACGACAGTAATTAACATGTATTCACTTACATGCATTGTGCAGCATGGGTGCAAAGAAACCCCAAAAGAAAGGATATTTTCGAAGGGTGGAAAATGTCCAAAGTAGGGGAAAAAAATAACATAAAAGCTGAAAATTGGTTAGGAGAAAATAATTTAAATATGCTGAAGAGCATACATGTAGGTAGAGCAATTTTAGATATTTAACCCTAAATCCCTAGCGTCTTTTACGAGGAACTGGACCAATTCCATCAAAATCCATCAATCACTGTGCGTCTAATACAAAACTGTACATGACATAGTGGAATCCACCACTGTCACACTGGTTGACATTCGTTGACTTGCTACACATGGCTTTTATCACAAAAGCAGTACAGGAAGCTAGGCAAAATCAATCGGATGTGCCCTAACACTGCTTCAGGCCATTAGGCCCAAGTCCATCATACTCCATCAATATTTAGTCACGCCAGGCCTTCTGGACCAAGTCCCCCAAAATCCACCAAAATGGGGGAATGGATTTTGATGGAGTTGGGATGGTTAGGGTTAAGACATAACGCATTTTTTTTTTAAATGTACAAATTTCAAGTCGGGGGAAATTCCAGTACATTTATCCCTAAACATGAGCTGTTCATGCTCTTTCCTCTTTCAGAGGGATAATGTGGGGACCAGTAACCAGTCTACTCACAGATTGGATCTGTTTGTGTGAAAACGCAACCTAAAATAAAAGCCTTTTTGTAATAGGGTTACAGCACCCAAAAAGAAGAAAAGTTTGGGTTTTTTTTCCATTTAGGTAAAAAAACAAGACGATTATTCGGTATCAGAAACAAAACTTACAAACAAGAGAGAGAGAGAACAGTCAAACTGTACATCATTAAATGAAGAAATGTTTACTTTTACCATCTCTACAATGGAAATTATTACAAAGTTTGCATGATAGCCTCCAGATTTGGCCAAAACCCAACTTTGTGTCACATTTAATGATAAAAGTTGAACACAAAGCTTCATATAAGTGCAAGTAGTTTGCTTGGACTGTACTGAATTTATGAAAATAGTGCAAAATACAACATTAGATTTTGTAGATTCAGTAATTCAGGGTTGACAAAAAATTGATTCATTTTTCCCATTCGGTGATAATTCCGTCCACATAAGAGCACGAAGAGTGCACCAGACCATACATTTATTTCCTAGTTGCGTATGACTGGTACATGTACATCAATAACAAACTCATATTGCTAAAACTTTAATATTTTTTACATAACGTTTCAAATTCACTGGTGCAAATTGTAGCCAATATAAATGTTTTCCTTAGCATTGTAGCAAGCAAAGAAAGATTGAGGCATTTTGTTTAGCCTGGCGTAACTTTTCCTGTTATGCATCATAAAAAGTGAGCGCAACAAATTGTATACCTTGATTGGGAAATTTCAGTCTTTAGCAAGTAGGCCTATATGGCCATTTTCCCCTCGCCAAAAACTGAACATTGTAATGAACCTAATGCAACTTTTCAATAGTACTACGGTACCACTAATAATAGTTTATCAACCGCCTTTGATTGTGCACAATGCATTGAGAGGATCAAGTTATTTCCGTGTGACCGAGCACAAGTTACAATGAATCTTCCAAGTTTCATTAGAAATCCATAAATCCATTGTGCATTATAAATTGTGAAACTTATTTTTGTATGGAGTATAATCCTTTGTAGGGGTCAAAACCGATGCATATGTGTCATAAATGTCTGAAATAATTTATGTTTGGAGTTGACCCCGTTTTGACCTGGAAATGCAGGATGTAAAGCTAATCCTCTTAATACCAGAGGCCGATGTGTTTATTTTGCGTTTTTAGTTTTTACCATATTGAACTAGGGTCCCACAAAACTGATTTACCATTGTGCTTTCAGTTTCCGTATTTTAGAAACTGGTCAAGTTTGAGGAATTAGTCACTGGGAAATACCTTTATTATCCGAACTTTTCTCGAAGTAAATGCAGATGAAATTGCCACTGAATGTGAAGCCTACTGAGTCCAAGAAAAAACTTAAAAGTTTGGCCAAAAATAATAAATAATTTTAAAAAGAGTGTTTTTTTGGTCACTGTTGGGGCAGTATTAGTAGGGGAATAAATATGTGCTTGGCCGATTTGAAAAGGGACCTTTAAAACAGGCTAGCATTGCTAGGGGCCGGGACGAGGATAATGGCCTTAGTTGAAGGCCATTATCCGCGACCAGACACCTAGCCAGTTTTAAACGTTCTTGTTTAATACCAGCCAAGCACGTTCATTTATTTATTCCCATTCATAAATACCTGTCCGTCAAAAATTCAAAACAAGTCAAAATTTACAAATTTCCAACAATTTTGTTCAACAATTTTACTTCCTTTTTTGTGTGTGGTGAAACACCCCTCTGGCCATGTGTATGGTATGTGCCTCCTGCACGTAGTGCTTAAAATCCCCTTATATGGAAATTGGCACGTGTGGCACGTACTATGCGATGTGGCGCAGAACGCAGCAGTGTTACCGGCTGTTTAAAACCACCCACATGATGGGCTCTTGACCAATAGGAATGGGTAAACTAAACTGTCTTAGGTACTTATGAATATTAATTGGAATGATGACTTTACCAAATTATCTTTTCTGGTTTAGTCATATCTTAAAATGAACAGAAGTGCTGCACACTGCTTAATGACTGGATTGACCTGAAAAGTACAAATCATTACATCATCAGGATGTTCCTCCTATAATTTCTAGCATTGCAAATTGATTTGTCAGGCTCTCAATTTTTTTATGGATTAATTTTATCTTCTTCTTACATTGTTTTCCACGCTTTATACTTCCCGTTCCTTCGCAAATATCAAGAAATGGAAAAGAAAAGGTCTTAGGTTTGACTACAAATCCAAATAAGTAATGAATGATGGTATGTATACAAATAATGAATGTTTATGAGTGCAATGGTAAGAATAATTTCATGAGGTGACAGATGGAATGTTCGCATCGTGGAAATGGAACATTCCATCTGCCACCTCATGAAATTACTCTTTCCATTGCACGAATGTGAAGCATTCATTATTTGTTTTTTACAACACCTGAATAAATCCTCGTCATCTGATTGGTCAGAGCCATCGAAAGTGTGACCGTGCAATGGAACTTCTATTTACCGTGCAATAGAACTTCTATTTACCGTGCAATAGAACTTCTATTTACCGTGCAATAGAACTTCCATTTTTGCTGTGCGACCACGCCGTGCATCGGAACGAATATCTTAATGACATGTTGTATAACCAGCATTGTATAGTATGATTTATAAGTCAAAGTTTACTGATTTATTTTTTTTTATCTGACATTCTCAAAATAGGTTTTCCAGGTCCGGAAGATTGCTGGCACCGATCCAGGAAAGATCTTTGCCATGAAGGTCCTGAAAAAGGTGAAGTGAATGTCTTGTTGTCTTGGTAACGATGATTATAAATTTCAAAGCGTATGAAACTATGAATAGAAACAATAAAAAGAAATGGATTTTTTTCTTTTTTCTATTTTGTTCAATAGATGCAACTGTGTGTATCGTATTGCATGCATCAAAACCTTGTCGTGCTTATTCCCTTGTTAAGTCACTCAGATTACGTACATGTATTGCAAGTGCATTTTTAGAATATCTGATATCAGTCGATGCGCAGCTGAATTATTTTTAATGAATGTTTAATACCCTGCAGCTGTTGGTGGCTGGTTAAGGATTATGTCATTAGATAGACAGGTCTCATGTACAATGTACTGGTACATTATGACATACATATCCTGTAGTTGCTAAGTTACTTGGCATAATGCTGAGAACATTAAAGGGAAAAACAACATTTGCAAACATCAAAAAATAAAATTACAAAATCATTTTGAAATACCTTGCTGGACTGTTAGTGAATGACAGTGAAAAGCATCCCGTAAAATCATGGCACCTGGTATACTGTCATTTTCAAGAAAAGTGGTATTTTTTGTATCAATTTCCAACGCTGGTCGGCCGACCAGCGTTGGAAAAAACTGGCTTTTTTTTCAAATACTGGCCCCAATTGACCATTGCACTTGTTTGCAATCGATTACACACCTATGAACGGGTACAAGCATTCCGTGCGGCACATCACTCATTTGTTGGCATGACTGTGAGCCGAATAGGAACTTCCGGTGAAATCGGATAACCGTAATTCAGTTTTACAAAAATAGGATAACTGGATTTTGAAATCTTCGATTTCTCCCACCGCTAAATTGTAGCATTCTTTTTTGTTTTTGTTTTTAACAGGCAGTTATTGTTCGGAACCAGAAGGACACTGCACACACCAAAGCTGAGAGGAACATCCTAGAAGCAGTCAGGCACCCGTTTATTGTCAAGCTTCACTATGCCTTCCAGACAGGCGGGAAACTATACCTTATTTTAGAGTATTTATGTGGTATGTACATGTACGCTGTATTTTCAGTGATGCAACTAAAAAATATTTTTACAAATGTTTTTTTTTTTTAGAGGAAACATTGCCTGGTATATCCTGTGGGTTTTTCCATGGAAAATTAAAATTTATTAAAGTAATTAATTGGACCCATTGTACTTCTTTATCCAGAAGTATCAAAATGTTGTTTCTCTTTGAAGTTAAAGCCTTTTTGGTGTATTTTTGGAATAATCATAATTTATTTGAAATCAACAGTTTTGTGTAGATTTTATTTTGCTCTTTTATGATTAAGTTGGAAAACAGTCTCACAATAACAACTGAAATATTATTAATAAATGATGATTTATTTTATGGACACAGGTGGGGAGCTTTTTATGCATTTGGAACGAGAAGGAATTTTCATGGAAGACACAGCATGGTAAGACAAAAATAGTGTTGGTTGTTAAAGTCGCCAAAAGGAAAAAGGAAATACGGAAAATTGTTTTTAAGCCTAATACCTTGTAATACCTTGTAATGTCAATAACTATGAACCTGAAAATGGTATAGAAAGTTGTTAAAAGTTTTGAATATTGTGCGTTCAAAGACAGCAATTATTAGTTTCCAGTTTTTCCTCGAAGAGATCCTGTGTTTACTAGGGGTGTGCATCAGAACCGGGTACCCGAGTACTCAACCGCTGATATCAGGAACCGGTTCCAGATACCCATAACCAATTTTACTATAACTTAGTAACTTCTCAGACAATGAAAAAGAAGATTTTGTGGGGAATTTTCAAAATGAAAACCAGGCTACATGGAAAAGCAGAAACAGATGTTGTATTTTTCACCATAAAGCCATAAAGCTCACTGTACACACATGAATTGCTGCATTGACGCACAGATGTGGTAGTATTGTCGCGCAAACCTTTATGAACAAACTGAACAGAAACTTCTCGAGATTTGAATTTTGGGGTTGGGTTTCTTTAACGGGTACCCGGGTACCAATGTTTTTTTGCAATCGGGTACCCGGTTTTCATACTTCTCGTAAATGCACACTCCTAGTGTTAACATGTTGAGTCCCAATTGCAAAAAAATCATGACAAAAAATGCAGGGCATGTGAAGGCTTTGATCCTCAACCCTAACCTTACCAACTCCATCAAATTCCATCACCCAATTTTTGGGGGATTTAGGCAGATAAGCCATGTGTACCAAGTCCATCAAAATCCACCAGCACCAGTGGTGGATTTCATCGGATTTGGTCCTGAAGCATTATTGGATTTTGACGGACATGGTCTTGTACTTAGTAAAACTAAGTAGGGAGTTGGGGAGTTAATCCTTGAAAATATTTCTGACAGGTCATGCAGATTTTTGATCGATTTAAATTGTACAACCCAATCACTGTAATCTACACTTAAACATGATGTCTCAGTTTTTCTACGTGCAGGAAATGTTCTGTTAACTGCACATTGATGGAGTCTGGCAGATTTGGGAAGGTTTCCTGACAAAAATTGTCACAAAGATTAGGCTTAAAAAAAGGAAATTATCATTCTGTTTATTCTGTCCACAGTTTTTACCTGTCTGAGATAACGTGTGCGCTTGAGCATCTACACAAGCAGGGAATTATCTACAGAGACCTCAAGCCTGAAAACATTATGTTAAACAAACAAGGTAGGTGCCTGTACAGTATCGCATAGCTCCATCACCTGATGTGTCAGGTGGTCACCATTTGGTCATCACATGACCTTTCACACAAACATGTGACCTGTCATGTGATTTTTCCATGTATGCACAAGTGGAAAGCCCCCAACCATTAAACTACTAAACTTGTTAGAGACTGGTCATTCTTAATTCTGTTTTTCTTTAATTGAAACGTTTTATTACATATTTGGTTTTGTTCTTCACCGACATGATTCTTATAAACACTATGTACTCAGTGTTGCGGAAGAGTTTGCCAAGAAAAAAAATCACAAGGTTACTCAGGTGGGATTTGAACCCACGACCTTCTGCTTACTGGCGCGGCTGTCTTACCACGCGAATACCAAGCTTGCAGGGGTCAGCTGGCTGATTCAAACCAATCTGACTGGTGTTGTTTTTAATGATGGAAATGATTATTGTTGTGTGAAATTTAGACCTTGGAAAATAATGTCTGTTTCATAACTTGACACATGCAATTAAGTCAATGCCAGTTTTTATGAAATATTTATTTCAAACCACATGCCTAACAAGCTACTCATCAATATTTTGCTGGCATCAAGTAGCATAGTAAAGAATGTTATTTAATGTGTGTCGTTACAGGTCACGTTGTTTTAACCGACTTTGGATTATGCAAGGAGTCACTGGAAGAGGGGTCAATGACGCACACATTCTGCGGCACCATTGAATACATGTGAGTATCCCTAGCAATAAAACATGTTGTGGGGAGTCCATGGTCAATCCTCATAAATCCATCACAATAACATCAAGGATGTTTTTTCTTCAGCTTCTCTAAGCTGCTAACTTTTGCCGAACGTTTTGAGTTTCAGCTGGCAGTTTCGAATATCCGAATAATCAGTCGACACAGTTTCGAGTAATCAAATACTAAATTATTCGAAAATGGGCAGCAGCACAGCTCTACCGGCTTGTTTATAAAAATGAAGAGAAATTTGTGAACAATATGTTTCTCCTTTTTTTTTATTCGACAGGGCTCCAGAGATTTTGACCAGAAGTGGTCACGGCAAGGCAGTAGACTGGTGGAGTCTTGGTGCCCTAATGTATGATATGCTCACTGGAGGGGTAAGTCAGGGTTTCAGACCTTGTCAACCAACTGACATAACTTTAATTGACCGATCGCGGTAGAATCGCGTCAACGCAGCTTGTGGAATATTGTCCAATGACATGATATGCAAATCGACGCGGAACACGCAAAATCTGAGACAAACAAAACTCCATAGGGTTGTCCAAGGGGCGTGGCTTACTCGCAAACGGCAATAAGTCAATTTTGCATACAAGGCTGTAGACATCGGTGTCTTCTTAATGGTAACATTTTTGTTAGTTTTACTTCAAGTTACCTTTTTTTTCTGTTTTGTCTTTTGTCTGCAGCCACCTTTTACTGCTGAAAATAGGAAGAAAACGATTGATAAGGTAAGAAAGTCATACAGATATACAAATTTCTTGCGTAAAGAAGTAGTAATTTTATGACTTAATCCAGTTTTGTCATATAGTTATTTTATGTCAGCAGCATGGGTGTCAATCCTACTTTTTGAAGGATGGGGGACACAATATCAAAGTTCCCCCCCCCCCCAGATTTTTGAACTCGTGTGTCTCATATACATTGTATCTTTTGCTAAGAAAATATTGGTTAAAGTGGTCAGAAATTGCCTCAGATCGCACCACAGAGAAACCTAGAATCAACTTTTTTTGGGAGGGGGGCCCTTAAGCAGGCCCCGAACTTCACGCCTTAAGCTCAGAATAGCTGATTCAATGACTCCAACCTCGAGAATTATGTTTAAATGATTTATCTTTTTGGTAACAAAAAATGGTTGAAGTGGTCAGAAATTCCCTTAGATCGCACCACAGATGAGCATCTAGAATCAAATTTGTCTCGGGGCCCTTAAGCGGGCCTCAAACCCCATGCCGTGGCTTTGTGCTCGCATTAGTTCTGATTGTGGTATGTCCCCTCCCCCCCCCCCCCCCCCCCACTTTTGAGAAGCAATTGACGCCCTGGGTACAAAGGGTCTACTCATGCCAGTTCCTTTGGAATGAGAGCTCTGCTTAAAATGTATTGCATACCAACCTTTTCTCTTGAACTGTCTGTTTTCTGTGCAGATTTTGAAAGGCAAACTCAACCTACCTCCATATCTAACTCACGATGCTAGAGACCTTTTAAGAAGGGTAAGCTGTTTCTCCTTTCTTTTTGGGAAATGTCTAGTTTTAAAACAAAGAAGGTAGGAATGTTAAAGTTCGTACACAAGTGTTTAGCCCTTCGTTGATATATTTTTATAAACACTGTATGCTCCGTGTTGTCCTGATTGATTGTGAGAAAAAAAACACTCTGGTGAGACTCGAACCCACGACCTCCTGCTTACCAGTGCAGACGTTTTACCACTTGACCACCGAGGTTGCAGGGGTCGGATGGCTGGTTCGAATCCGATTGAATCTAGTTCTGCAGCCATATGTGTTCCTTTATTTAATATGTAACATTTTGTTGTATTATTTTGTACGTTTTTGTTTCATGACATTCTCGTCTGTCAGAATTAGAGTTTTGTTGTACACAGTACACGTTTGAGATGTTGAAAACTGAATTTGGCAGATTAGATGTCAAATATGTAAAACACTGCTTTCCAACCTTGAAGGTATATAAAAGCTTGATGAAGTCTGAATTATTCATATAAACTTTGTCAATTGACTTTCAAAAAAAAAAAAATCCTGAAATTTTTTTTTTGAGAGTTGGCCACTTTTCAATAAATTAGTAACTATCTTTCCACAGTTACTAAAGCGACCAGTGGCAGCAAGGCTTGGAAGCAGTCCAGAAGACGCCAAGAAAATCAAAGACCACAGCTTCTTCAGACACGTCAACTGGAACGACGTGCTGGCGTCCAAATTAGAACCTCCCTTCAAACCCATACTGGTAGGTTGCATCCAGAAGCCTTGTTCAGTGTAAATTTCACAGAAAGTCCAGTTTGGCATTCCAACTTTGCTTGGAATTTACCACTTCAAGATTTCATAAATTTTGTTTTGGAATGAACATTCTGCTATGCACATGCTAAATTACAGAGGGTAGCAATGAACTTTGGGAATTTTTTTATGTATTTATTACACACAAAATTACAAAATCTTTGGAGTCCACCATGATCTAGAGTATTTTCTGTGGGAACAATGGACTCGTGAAAATGTTATCTCCTGTTTTGACCTAAGGTCAAAAATCAGCAATTTGCGATGGCCGGTTGGAATAACGGGCTTGCTTATGGTAGAAAACCACAGAATAGAAGAAAGCCCTCTTTGGTTTTGTACAAAAAAAATCGCCGTAGAGAGTCTCTCACAGCTTGGAATTCTTTTTCCTGAGACTTTCAAGTTGCCTGTCTGTTAACTGGGCATAGGAACAGGTTACATGTAGAACGCCATGGTCCAGTGGTTACGTTGTTTGACTTACGCACGATGGTGCGTGGGTTCGAATCCTGCCAGGAACATGGTGCTTGTGTTCTTGGGCAAGACACTTAACTACAATTGCCTCTCGCCACCCAGGAGTATAAATGGGTACCTGTGAGGGTCGAAGACTGATTAAATAGGATGGGAGCAATGAACCACCGTCAACAAAAAAGTGCACCAGACATTAAAGCGCCGATTTTACGATAAAATAACATCACAGTCGTGTGTTTTCTTCACTTTTTTTTTTTAATCAAATATTCAAACTGGCAAAATGCTATCGAATATTCAGTTGATGATCAAATATTTGAATATTCGTTATTTTCGGGGGTCGGGACAGCTCTATAATTTGTTTTTACTGTGATATTTACAGGCCAATGATGAAGATGTGAGCCAGTTTGACACCAAGTTTACTAAAGAGCCTCCGGTAGACAGTCCCGACGACTCCATGCTTAGCGAGAGCATGGACCAGATCTTCTTAGTAAGTATAAATTGTTAAGATAATCAGTTATTTATCAGTCTTTCATCAGGCAATACATCAATTTTGGGCCCCCCAAAAAATAGTCGGTCTCTGGTCAGACCGAAGTTCCAGAATTGATGCGGCGACGCGTTGTTTTTGTTGTTTTTTCAAGCTTGTATTGTACAGACAAGGTGGGTACTATTTTGCTTTTTTGTGTCCTCATTATACATTGGGGTCCTCCATAATTTGCCTTGGTGCCCTGAAATTGCACCAAGGCAAATGGCCTTGGTGCAATTTCCCCATTTCTTGGTGCTCCTTGGTACAAAAATTGGAGGATGTGCGGCAATAGAGGGCGCTGTTGTAGCTTCCGTGTTAATTTGAAGAAAAAAAAAAGGTTGATGCGCATGATTAAAATCGACGCGCGCGCTGACCAGAGACCGAGTATTTTTTTTTTTGCCTGAAATCAATTTTTTTGTTTCAGGCATAAAAAAAGAAAATAAAAATTTAAAAAAAAACACCAAGTTTGTGTTGCAATGCAGATGCGTTCAAAACATTACTTTCTCTGGGAAATGAAGGATATATGTTGGGTAGTATTTCAAATTTTCAAAAATTCATTTTCTTTTACTTTCAATCAAATTTTGATGCTTTATACTTCGGCCATTTTCTTGACTCTCTTATTTCAGGGTTTCACATACATAGCGCCCTCAGTGTTGGAGAGCATGCAGCGACCTCACCTAGTGAAAGCAAGGTCACCACGCAAGATAACTGGACAGAGCCCCCACACCCCCATCAGGTAAACCAGTCATTATTGTAACGATGTTACATTGAAATCATTGCATTTGTACCAGCATGGCCAGTGCTGCAAGTTTTGTAATCAAGGCTAACTATTACTCAAAAGTCTATAATGGGACAATTCCAGGCGTTATGGACTGACAAACACCAGCCATTTTCATATTTAAAAAAAAAATTATTAACAGTTTAATATTTATCAACAAACAAATGGTACATGATGACAACTACTGCTACTCGATTTCTATTGCACTAACATTTCCAACGTTGATTCATCATATTTATGAAATATCAATTTTCAAAATTGCCATTACGGAATGACGCAAAATGGATGTTAGTTTTAGGTCACATGTACAAATCGCTCAAATTCTATGAATTTCAAATAGCCATCATATTTTGAACATACTCGTTGCTTTCTGTATTCATTTAGCTTTGATATTTTACCTTTCACTTGAAGATTGGTCGAAAATATGTAAATCATGAAAAAAAAAAAAACAAATGTAAATCAATACAGCGTTATGGAATGACCATTACGGAATGACAAAAGGTTTACAAAATGACAGCTTTTCTGAAATGTACATTTATACACGTTTTCACTCAAATCAACAATAAACCTTTCTCTATGCCTTAAAAATAATAACTCACAATAACACTTGCATTTTGCATTTGAAAACAAGATGCCAAAAAGACTACCTAAAATCCACCAGCTGGATTGAAACCCGCACCTTTCTGATCATGAGCCACAAATCCTAGAAAATCACAATCTGTCTGACAACTTAAAATCTAACAATGTGAACAACATGGTCAGAGCGGAATGTTGATAGCTTGTAACTTTATGTATAGGATGTATAGTAGCTCTCTAATACATATTTTTATTGTTTCTTTTCATCTTGCATTGTTCCTTCTTCACTTTCTGGCTTGTGGTGGCTTTGTTTGTCGCTTGTTTACTTTGCCAAATGTTATTTGCGTGCCTTGCCTGTACCCTTGCTTTCCCTGCAGTAGCCCCATGAAGACACCGTGTACGCAATTTGCATTTGATGAGGATCTAGTCAATACCAAATCACCAGCGTCCTCTACAGTTGAGGCAATGGACACCTCTGAGCCAATCATGCAAGCCGGATTCAGATAACCAGGATGCTGATTGGCCCATTCACATTGTGTGATGTAGACTACTGCACTTGATTGGCTGAATGCTTTTTATTTACACACTCAAAAGGAAAACTGACGTTACAATATGCGACTGATGCGTGCATGAATGTGAGGAATAAACATTTAGTCAAACTCTGATTGGTCAGTTAAGTGCATTCGTGTTATAGACTCATCTGATTGGATGATAGCTGATCACATGATAGAAAAGAGTTGACATCATTGGCTGACATAATGTTCATCTGCATGTGTTTGGAGAGCTCATGGAGAATCTGATTGGATAGTTTCTCTCACATGATCTAAAAACACTGAATCATTTTGAACAACCGTGACAATTGTAAGAAGAGGATTGCTGCAAGCCAGCTGAGCAGCTTCATGCTAATGAAACTACTAGACATGCATATCTGATTGGATGGTTACCGTCACATGACTTTAATGTGATTTATTCATAATTGGCCTTTATATGTAAATTAAGAATAAGCGTGTTTTATATTATAATGATTTTTTACCGATCGCTGATCTTCTTATATTTAGGATCATGTGATAATGATGTAAGCATACAAATTATTATGATTCCATTAAATTAAAAAATAAAGTGTTTATTTATCATGTTATTTTCACAGACATTAAAATTCTGTAGTTGGTGATGCTTTCGGCAATAATTACTTCATCAGACGCATAGATTTTTTTTGGTTTTAGGTATTTAAGAAGGGTTTGTGATTATCGTTAGACTGGAGAAGGAAAGTCAGCCATTTTTGTCATTCGGCCATTAGTTTAGTGACTTACGGTACACAAAAACCTATTTTATGGATGAAAACGACTTCTGTTCAATTTTGCCTCTTACAATCTGCCTTCAAATGGACAAACTAAGCAACTAAGCGAAAAAATCCCTTTGCAAAGAGGAAATGCTTAGCATTTTTACACGAATACAAAAATAGCATATGGTGCTATACATGTACATTGTACTTTGCAAGCATACCAAAGTTATACATGCTGTAAGCAGGTAGCTTGTTGTGTAAATCTTCTTAGCTACAAATTCAATTTTTGGATTAACACGCAGTGCATTATTACAATTACGAGAATGGTTAACAAAACAATTCACCACAAATTTTTAACGAGAAATTTCGTGTTATATAAGTAAAGACATTTACTCCCTTGTGCTAGTAAAATCTTTACGTGTATGGATTTCAAATAAAACAGTGTCATGACAAGAGGGTCATTTTGAAGTTTTTAAAATATAGTTATGAAATGTGATTAAGGAAATGTGTTAATATTTTTTTTTTTTTAAAGTGCTGCATTTGGGATATCTGTTGACAGCTGATGAGAAAGATACAGTACATAACCACATGGTTTGATCATAAAAGCTGCATGCCCCTTTAATGTTAGGGCCACTTTTCTCACGGATATGATCTCCATGTGGTTAAAATGTAACTGGAGGGTTAAAGGAGCACTCCGTAAATAGTGAATTGATAATTGTTTGTTTACAGTAGCTGCTTGTATTGTAGTAGAGCGATCCGTTAAGCCCCGCCCCACAATGTTTCGACCAATCACAGCCGTTATGCGCAGTGGGCGGAGCCTAATGAATCAGTCTGTTACATGTACTGTTATTCTGAAACTAGTATTTATTCAAGAGGAAGACTTTTCTAAATAGTGCATTGTTTTTAATTTGATTTATTTGGTTATAGTTACATGTATTCAAAATGTTCTGTATTTAATTTTAAAGAAGCCCCTGAAAACTACCATATCCTGCACAAGTTGAGGTGTTTGAAATTTTACTCCAAATAAATTGTGTTTTACTCATCTCATGCATGTTTATAGAGGATACACATATAACACATACAAAGTTTCATAGAACTCGTAGTTAAAATTTAAATGTAGTTTTTTCCATTATTCAAAAACGTGTGTGTTAAAAACCTGCATAATGAACAACATTCCTTCCAGCGCAGACAACTTTTTAAAACAATATTCAAGACAAAATATGAAACAATTCATCAGTTTTCTGTGTACTAAATGAAGATTTGAGCTGCTCTGCTTTGGTTGAGACAACTTCTCACTTCCACAAGATGTTACAGGTTCACAATTTACGCATATGTAGCCTTATTGTTGGTTAAAGGTAATATGTACAACACTTGCAAACATCAAAAAAGAAAACTACCAAATTATTATGAAATACCTTACTTGACTGTAAGTGAATAATAGTCTCGAGCATCCTGTGAAATCGTGGCACCTGGTGTGCTGTCATTTTCAAGGAAAGCGGAATTTTGTATCAATTTCCAATGATGGGTAGCCAATCATCTTTGGAAAAAAAAACCTGACTTTTTTCAAATACTGCCCCTAAACTTAGTTAGTCCACATTTTGTTTGCAATCAGTTACACATCCATGAACAGGTGCAAGCCAACTAGTCTGGTTCCCTGACCTGGCATACAACGTCAGGGAACCAGATTACAAGAATTGTTATTGTGGATTGCCAGAATTAACTATGACGCGAGGGTCAACCTAACTACGTGCTTACCAAAAAGATGCTGAGTTAAGCGCGACGCACGAGTGTGAAGAAGTAGCTAGGCCAGTCAAACTATAGGGAAGGTGGCACAGCCAAGACACAGCAAAAAAAAAATTTAGAATCATGAGACCGGTGCCTGTCCTCAGACACTTCTATAGCGCTATGAGTTTTTAATTCCACCTTTACAGCAACTTTAAGAACTGACAGATTTTTGGGGGGTTAATTTTTAAGTTTCATATTTACTGCAAGTGCCAAGCATTTACGTATTTGATAACTTCTGTGAAAGCCATCACCATTATTAATATTAAAGAAAACACTGAGCTGTCTTTCTGCATGTACAATTATTTTTTGTCTTTTAAAAGAAATAATCCAGATTAAATTCTTACCTTCTGTGTAAATGTTAGAATTTTTTTCTCAGAGTAGACTGTCTTTGTATTTTATAAGATTCTCACAAAAGAATGTACGTGATTGGAAGACAACTTGTCAATCTTCAATGTTGAGGTGCAAAGCACACAAAATAAAGTAAGCACAAAAATATTTCACTCAGCAAAAACACCTTATTGATCAGTAATCTTGACTATGTATGACTGATACTTAGACTCGTTTAGCAAATTTTGTGCTAAACAAAAATATCAACTCTGGTAATATATGTGTTACCTAACCTATTATTTGAAAGTATTAAGTGAAGTTTACAGAAGTTTAGAAAAACATTGGCACTCTTTACTTTTCAAAGTAAATGTATCATAAAGCGGGTGACACGTCATTCGGTAAATTTTCACAAATTTACATAATTGCATGTTATTATTTGAGGTAATTAATGCCGGTAACGTATGGTTTGGTCACAAGCTGGAATTTTTGTCAACCGTTGTAAGTGTATGAATTCAACTTATTAAGAAATATTTGGTCTTCCACAGTTCCAGGAACTATGTACATGCATATCTGTGGGGGAAATGTGTACTGAAGAAATGTTTGGTTATTGAAGCTGATATTATATTGAAATGGTGGAGTTTTATCATAGAAATTATTGACTTAATCAGCAAAATGTATCAAAATGTGTAAAAAATTTGTTCGGATTTTTTTTTTCTAAGAGGCAGAGTATCATTATGTTAACATTGATTTATAATTATACTATTTTAAATGTGACATTAAGAACTTGTAGTTTTTAGTTTCAATAAATCAAAGTGGAAATACATGTACAAGGCTGACAAAGTGTCTAGTTTTTTTTTAAAATTTTACCACATGAAATTATAATGTGGTTTGCATGAGCTTCCGTAATTTTGTGCATTGGGGGTTATCGAAACCTCGGTATTGGTTTCGGATTTGCCTCTGAATTCTAAATTACTGAGAGGTAAAGTAAACTAAAATACTCGAACCTTTGGCTTCATATGAACCGATTAAATGTTTTTGAAGCATTTTAGGTACCAAAACTCAGATGGAGTCCCTGAAGTTGGGGGGGGGGGGCCTTACATTTCCTTAAGCCGAAACGAGAACAAAGCCTGCAGCCTGTCTGGCCATGGTTTCGAAAAGGCCCGTATATGTTTCTTTTGTGATATCGTCTTGTCTGGTTTCTGCCTCGTCGAGCGTGATGTGCATGCATGTGTGTACGTGCGCCATTGCTACTACAAGCGTGAAATTGCGAATGCTGTGGTGACCGTTTTAGCCGATTTTCGGCTAACTGACACATTTTTTTTGTTAAAAAACGAGTTTGACAAAATTAGACAGAATGGATTTTTTTGGCAGATTTCTGGCAGAATTCTGCAAAGATGGTTATTTGACAGAAAAACAGCAAATTTAAAAGGAACGTAGATTTGTTTAAAAAAAGAAAGCTTCAATCTTTTTAAACAAACCCTTGCAAAATAGGACAGGTTGCCTTGTCTATGTGCTGCAGAGGTTAATAACTGGGAATCGGATTTTGTCGTGACGCAACCTCGTTTTGACTGAAATTTGCACAATTTCATAACACCTTTATATATGACTATACATTGTTTATAATTTAATTTGAATCTTAATTAAGGCAACATTACAACATCTGCATGTGATTTTAAGTGTTTATAATGTATTTCGGGTAATTCATGGGAATTTGGCAGATTTTTGATAAATCTGACAGATTTGTAAACCGCATTTAGCAGAATTTGGCCACGAGCTTACGGTCACCCTTGCGAATGCGGAAGTCACATGCGCATGTTTATGTTATGCAAGTGGATCACGAAACAGTGGTTGTCGCGTCCCATATGGCATATCTGAACTTGCATTAAAAAAACCAGATAGACTTTTCAGCCCCCAGGTGCAGAATGCTTAAGTATTTCAAGCCCGCTACGAGGACTAGAAGTACCTCAAAGGTTGTTTTTAATAGGATCAGGAGTCCTGTCAAAATAAAACCAACTCACCGTACGCGTTGTAAGCGCGAACTTTCATTAGACAGATTCGAAACTTCCAGTTCCAACAACGAGGTCGAGGACAAAAGTAACCAACACAAAAATTGTCACCAACCTTCAAAGAAACTCAAAACAGAAAGAATTCTGCAAGAGAAGCCGTTGCTTGGTCTCCCGTGCCGCAAACTCTCGGCCGAGAATCTGGACTGCGATTATGTGCAGCTGTACGGCAGACGTGAGGCCCTCGAGCTTTTCGATGAATGCGAGCGGGAGTTGAAGTATTTCACCGGGGAGCTGACCCGGGTGCAGGTGTACGGGAAGTGGCACAGCATACGCCGAAAACAGGTATTTCATCTGTCATGTCTGTTGTTATGAAAACTGTTTGTCTCTATATTTTTACACAAAAAAAGTAAATTACATAATCTCCAATCAAAAAGTAATTACATTGTAATTTGTATAAATGTGTGTACTGTAAGTGTTTTAATTGTTTTATTTCCCCAACACAAAAGTGAGACACCCCTTTCTTTTACCCCTTTCTTTTTTGTTCTTAACCCCTTAAGGATGGGGTGTAATGGGGACATTCCTCCACACATAGAGCAAGTGGCCCGCATGACTGCACAGCCTTTGTGTGGTATAGCTGGACTGCACAAAAGCAGCAGCTGTGGAACTACCCACTAGCCCTGTGTCACGGCATACCACAGCTGGCAACTGCATTCCAATGAGGATTAGCGGCCGCGGCCATGACCGCTTCCCGTGCGCATGGGGTTAAACAGCTTTATCATACTACCTCCGTGATCATACCAAAATGAATTTTGCAACTTAACCTTTCTTTGAAAATTCTAAAGATTGCAGTTGCCAAAATGTCCAACAATCTATCATAGAGAATGTGACTTTCGTCCCTATTTTCTTGCTAAAAGTTTTTTTTTCCCCAACCTTTTGAATTTCTTATAGGTTGCGCATGGCGATAGTGGTCTGACCTACAAGTACTCTGGAGTGACGGTGCCAGCCAAGCCCTGGACACCACTCCTTCAAACAATCAGAGGCAGGCTTGAAGAGGTCACAGGGCAACGGTTCAACTTCATTCTTATTAACAGGTGAGGGCAATTTTTTAGAATGGATTCAAAAGAAAATTCAACAAATCTGATGTGTTCACGTTCACACTGATATTGTATCTTTCTTCCTTTTGTCTTCAGATACAAAGATGGTTCAGATTACATGGGAGAGCATCGCGACGACGAGAAGGAATTAATCCGAACCAGTCCCATAGCATCCCTGTCTCTGGGCCAGCCGAGGGATTTCGGCGTGGAAAGAACGCCAAGAGAAACCTGCCACCAATCAGAATTGAGCTGGGGAACGGGAGTCTCTTGATGATGAACTATCCGACGAATGTTTACTGGTACCACTCGCTACCAGTCAGAAAAAAAGTGGTTGGAGTTCGGATAAATATGACGTTCCGATGCCTGAAAACTTAAAGATGATTAGGGATTTTAAGTGTTCTTTAAGCTCAGTGGGTACTGTACTATTTGAGGATACAGAGAAAACCAACAGATGTGCAGTTTTTTGGGCGGTTTAAAAAAAATGGGGGGGGGGGGTTCGTAAATTTGGGTTATTTTTTTTTTCATGTTTTGAATTGCTCCCTCTTAGGCAGCACTCAGGATATGGCTCACATTCATCCAGTTTTTAAAAAGCACCTTTTCTTCAGAACTATACCATTTCAGGTTGAATTATTTCACATGGTTTTTGGTACCAGTCCTTTCTTTACTTTGAGCAAGGATTTTCTCATAAAATTCTTATTTTTGTTTCGTGGGTAATTACCAATGTTCCTTTAATTAAAGAACATGTTTTTGTATTTTGGCTTTCAACTTTCATTTAAGCACTACATCTCACATATCGTGTGGAATATTTAAACATCCAATGCTTCCTAATGTTGAAAACTGACAACATTTGTTATGTCTGAACAAATTTAAGCCATAACAAAACAGCAAAGTTTCTATTATGTACATGTATACTTTGCAACAATTTGCTTTATTTATTACCAGGAAATGACAATGTTTTAATTCTCAAGATGTTTGACAAAGATACCACAATATCAGACAATTATTGTGCTTCAAATGATCAATTGAAAATGTCATTGATTCTCAAATGCTTTCAATACACGTGCATGATGTGATATCACAACTTGTACCACATAAGTGGAATGCAGTGATCAATGCCTCATTAAACAGTAGAATGGACCATGTCTCAAGACATACTTAAGAACTAACCCGATGAAGTTTTAGCTCTGTGAATGCTGTATATTTTGGGAAAGCACAATATTCTGGATCTCCATTTCAGTTCAAAAGTTGCAATGTTATGTTTTGAATTACGCCCTCTTGTGGCACAATCCCAAAATCAGCATTCGGGACATGATTCTCATTCAGCTGATTGTAGCTATGTGACGTCGCATACTGATCTGACAAATAATAGCAGCCGTGCACGGGCGTGTGTGTTGTTAACCTTTGCACCCATTCATGGATTTGCCCAAATAAACTAACTACAAGCAGAAATGTCCAAAAATGTTTCAGTTGACACATCTTTGGAAATGACCTTTTATTGTTTTCTTCAAAATGACAACATGCCAGAAAGAATAATTTCACAGGGAGCTTACTATCTTTAAACCAAGGAAGCTTTTTAACAACAATTTGGTCGGTTTGTTTTTTGAAAGCTGCAAATGGTCCTCTCTACTTTTAAAGCTACAGTCCATCATTTGCAGCTATCAAAAAAGTAACTGACTTAAATATTGTTGAAAAACATACTTGGTTGAAAGATAGTAAGGGGACTAAACTCCCTGTGGAATTATTCTTTCTGGCATGGTGTCATTTTGAAGAAATCAACAAAAGACGCACCGTTGGAAATTTCCGTTAGAAGTTCGTATTTTTTTATTCGGCGAAGCCCTTAAAGCGTTGACACGACGCACATGCGCGCGCGGTTGCTTTAGATCGTCGGTTCAGTGCGCGACATCATGTAGGTAGCTGCAACGAGCTCAGTGAGAACGTGTCTCGGACGCTGAATTCAGGCCCAATTCAAAACATGATTCAGCAAGTTTTGATTTGAAATCGAGATCCTAGAATGTTGTTTTTCTCGAAATATACAGCTGAAGCTGAGCTGAAAGTTCATCAGGTTAGTTGTTCAGCACCCTTCTTTAGATTTTAAGCACGTTTGCTGCTTCAAATGAACAAAATGCACAAATTACAAATGATGGACTGTACCTTTAAAATCATTGTGAGGTCACACTTTTGTTTATATGTGGGCTTTCTTATGGGAGAGTCAAGATGATTTTTGCAGAATAAAACAATTTAAACAACTCCATTGACAAAAGATTTTATGAATTTTGATTCATAATTTACAACAATTTCAGAAAGTTTGTCATGAGCTCTGCGACAAATTTTTCCTCAACGGAGTGATCGGCTCAACATAGAAAAATAATAGAACCAGGCCAATGACAGACGCCCATACCAACAACCTATTTTGCATTCAATGCAAATTTCTAATAATTGCTTGAATGAGTGAACCTTCTATACTAAATAAAACAAGTTCTAGCTATTTACACATCAATTTTTACATAGGAACTTTCCTCTCATTGACAAAGATTTACAATCAGTAATTGTTATGTAATGCCCACAACAAAAGTTAGCTTCACTGGGCCTCCAAGCAGCGGAGTGGTTCGCTCACTGTTCCTGCTTAAAAGCTGGTCAACAAAAACAACTGTACACTAAGGCCAAAAAAAGAAAGACTCCGGTTTCTGGTATGCGCGCGCGTCGCCATAGCCATGCGCGTTAGCAAAATTAATAAGGTTTTTTTTTCAATGTAAGATGATGTCTCAAAACCGCCAAACTCACTGGTTTGACTGGAATCCTGCTGTTGCACAATTTTAATGTGTTTTTAGATGGGGTTACGATCAAGTATAAGCTTTATGTGGCCTCTCTGGGCTCCCATATATTTTGCACTAAATTTAGTCGGGCACCATTTGCAGTCATCAGCCGACTTTCGAAGAAGAAAAAAAGTAAAAAAAGCCGCATCGCCGCACCACTTTTTGGGCAAGCTCCATACCAGAAATTGAAGACTTTTTGGGGGGCCTAATTAAAAGTTTTTACTTTCTTCCAGTGTTGTATTAGAGTCCCTGCAAGGCTATCACAAGTCCTTCAATCTGAAGTCAAGTCACTAGCTATTCAAATGAACTGTTACAAAAGCATTCCTTCGTCATTGTTCATCCAGTTACTTGGGACGGGCTTTGTGAAAGGACTTGTGAAAGGACTTGTGATGGACTCGAATACAACACTGCTTTCTTCCCAGGATCCTGGGAAGAAAGCAACTGACTTGCTTTTTAAAAACTCTTACTATTTTAGTATTGAAAGAAATGCTGGCAATTCTTTACACGGAATTAATGAAGTTACCAAACTGAAAATGACATCCAAATGACAACTAGGTCCAATCTCATGCTGCTAAGCATACACATTTCTGCTTACATAATCTCAGTCAACTTCATGAGAAAGAAATCTGTACGTACAGCAATGAGCATGCTAACTTAAATAGGCAGAATGTGCTTGTTATAGGAATGCAGTAATTAAATGTCCATGTGCGTCACGAGCATTATATGTGCAATGTAAAGTAATGCTTATGGTTAGCACAAATTTTCTGTTAATCATTAGCGCAGCATTTCTGCTAGCCATAGCCTTGGTCAAGATGTTGGGTGGTAGAGTCCGATGCGCTGACATAGTACACAGCAGCTGTGCGCCATGCACTCACACGTTCATACTGTTTAAAGCTAGAGTCCATCATTTGCAGCCATCCGAAAAGTAACTGGCGTAATTATTGTTGAAAAACAAACTTGGTTGAAAGATAGTAAGGGAACTAAACTCCCTGTGAAATTATTCTTTCTGGGAAGCTGTCATTTTGAAGTAATCAACGAAAGAAGGCATTTCCAACGGTGATTCTTAAGAAGCACCGTAGGAAAATTTAAATTAGTAGTTCATTTTGTTATTCAGCGCAGCGCGCACAAGTATTGGAACGACGCACACGCGCGCGCGGTTGTTATAATTCGTCGGATCAGTGCGCGATGTCGCGTATAGCTGAAATTCAAAACAATTCAAAACATGATTCAGTAACTTTTGATTTGAAATTGAGATCTTAGAATGCTGTTTTTCTCGGAATGTACAACTGAAGCTTAGCTGAAACTTCATCAGGTTAGTTGCTCAGTATCCTTCATTAGATTTTGAACTCTTTTGTTGCTTCAAACGAACAAAATGCACAAATTACAAATGATGGACTGTAGCTTTAAAACATGAACAGCGACCTCGCACGGCTAGGCTACACTATGCAAATCAGGTGGGGCTGAATGAACACCTTGGAACAACCATAGCAATTTTCGTTATTTTGTTGCTATATTTGGTCTGTGGACTCCAACCTTTTTGAGAATGTAGCCAACTATCCAGCTCTCTGTCCATGTAAAATACCAGCCTCCACGACCAAGTACTAAATAAAAATCTCATCTTTTTTCACATCCAGGGTCGTCACTGGAAATCCAGCGACAAAATATAGGAAAACATAAGCCAAAGCCCACGGATGTTCCAAGGTGTTCATTCAGCCCCACCTGATTTGCATATTGTAGCCTAGCCACGTGAGGTCGCTGTTCGCCGTTTGCAAAGTACATGCGAGTGCATTGTTCACGCCAACCAACGATCATCGGACTCTATCGTCGAATGCCTTGACCAAAGCTTGCTAGCCATTACCTTTTGAGGATGGAATTAACTGCCCACAGCTGCCTTTCTCTATGGCATGTTCAGTTCTTTTTGTGTCTGTTGTGTAGTGAGGCCCACAGAATGGGCATAAAACTTCAATGCACACAAAACGGACATGAACATATGTTACGCGATCAAGCTAAATGAGTGGTTTGTCAACACTGGTCAAATTTTTTTTTTATTGCAGATTTGAAAAGAGCACAACCTCAGCATTACTCATGTGAAAAATGCATGCTGGTACCATCTTTAGTTCAAAAATTATGGAAGTCGGAACACCAAGAGATGTGATGAAGTTATGTGATGAAGTGGCCCTATTTAGGCCTGTATATCCAAATGAAAATTCCCGACAAACGACCCATGTAGCTTGATCGCATCACATATGGAAATGTGGCCTCAGATGGAATAGACAAAGCTGTTGGCGCTGATATACTGACTTGCCGTCTCCAGTGAGCACCATTTGGAGCTGATACACGGACTCACTGTATATCAAGTCTTAAGGCTGGTTTATAGTGAGTCGCCCGATGATGAAAGTCCAACACTTTTGGTCACTGGACCCTAGGCCTATTTTGGGGGCAGGTTATATTCACTGCACGATGTTTGTAAACATTGCATCATACCTGCTATGTGTGCACAATTCAGCTGTGAAGTGTGACGATAAAGCAATGAGTGATCTCAGCGATCGTGTCAAAGTTCAATTATTTGAACTCTGCAGCAATATCGCCAGCGTCCTTCAGCGACTAGTCGCTGGTGCTTCAGCGACAACTATAACCAACATGTAATATAATTGTGCATCACTCAACCAACTATAAACCGGACTTTAAACCCTATCTTGAATTGACCCTTGGACCTATCATTGTCTTAACTTGTCAACTTCTTGACACCATCACGGAAAGCGCTTCACAAACACAAATGAAATAAATTAGATTAAAATTGAGAAGGCCAAGAACTACGATAACCAGATGCGGTGGTAGTCGTTGGCTCCGAAGCCCGCATTGCACTTGGGACACTTCCGCTGTCTGGTCTCGTACCGCGTCTTGATGCACTCAAAGCAGAAGACGTGGTAACATTTGGTCAGGACGACGTCCTTGCGTCCCTTCTTGCAACACGGGCACGTCAGTTGCTCCTGGAGTTGATTGGACAAACAAACAAACATGAAATGAACATCACAGTTCCAAAAGATCACCTCTGTTTTTAACTGTGAGACATGTTTAAGGGAATATGTGTTTGGTGCCTGGATACGGATAATGGCTTGAGCAGGAGGCAAGGGTAAAAAAACACAAGTTTACTAAGATTTTGTTCAACAATTTTACCTCATGTTTTGTGAAACACCCCTCTGTCCATGTCTATGGTATGTGCCTCAAGGGCATAGTGCTAAAAATCTCCTTATATGGAAATTGGCGCAAAACACAGCGGTGTTTTGCCAGCGGTTTAAAACCACCCACGTGACGGGCTTTCGAAAAAATAGATCTTGGTAATCTGCCTTGGGTATTTATGAACAAACCATTATTGAATTGAATTGAATTGAAATCTTCAATTGATTCAATTGATTCCGTAGACAAGAGAAAGATGTATGACGCCTGAATTCCATCTCTATGTGTATGTAGTGACTCGGCTGTATTCCACTGTGAAAATGCTGCAGGTTAAAGTGCTTTCAGATGAAAGTTAGTTTTGTGTATGAACACAAAAATACCCAAACCTTTCGAAAAGTTTTGGGTATTGGGCAACTGACATGGCCAAAACTTCACAAAGTTTTGAGTATTCTTGTGTTCATACATGAGAAAAAGTAGAAAGTTGATTTTTTTTTTTTTTTTTTTACACATTTCTAAATATTTATTCCAAATCATTTTTTTTTTTAGGTGAATTAAAAATGAAGTCTGTAATATCAAAATACAAATGTTACACTATTAGTTTCTTCACACCACTTTCAACTGGAAGTTGTTCATTCACCTTGTATGTTCGTATCTCCTCCATGAGTACCTCATCTGTGCTGCTAGCCAGCTCCATTCTCTTGTATCGCTCCACTTTCCTCCTTAGATGTTGTGATTCCTCCTAAACAAAATGATGTGAAAATAAAAATGATTGAAGTCCAGGAGATAAACCTTCAGACACAATCAGGTTTCGCAACAATCCACTTGATCAAACACAGTAATTGGAAGATTTCTTTTGACTTAAATTGTATTTGGGGTCGCAAGTTTCTGAAAGACGGGGAGAAATAGTGACTGCATCTCTCTCAGTTTCTCCAGCTAGGAATCCAAATGTGGGGTGGGGGAGGAGGAAGTCCTGATTTTCAAATAGTGGGGGGGGGGGGGGGGGGGGGGACACCTTGTGTCGGTCTCTGTCATTTCTACAGCTATGGGCTCCATGCGCCAACAAAAGAGGGCACGTTTTTACCACTTTTGAGAACCCCCTGGACGGGGCACACAGTGTGTGCGTAACTTAAAGTGCGCACAACTTCCTGAATGTGCCAAAGCTATAGCGACAGCGTCTTCGCGTGAGTGTCAGACGTCCTCAGCGTGCAAATACGTTCGAATATAACTTGCAATGGACTCCCATAACAATCCCCACCCTCATAACTTTGGATCATTTGAAATATGCAGTGGATGGACCGGGAACCAGTCTAGGAGCGTTTTCGAAACGACTGGCTTTGGCTTTGTCTTCGGCTTAATGACATTTTAGGCCCCGACTTCGGGGACTCCAGCTACATTTTGGTGCCTGTTATGCTTCAGGAACATTCAATCAGTTGATATGAAGACAAAAGTTGGAATATTTTCGTTTAGTTTGCCTCTCAGTGATTCGGAAGTACGAGGCGAAGCCGAAGCCGAATCCGAAGCAAAGGTTTTGAAAACACCCTGTAGGTCTCCCCCAACTCTCCTTTTCTGGTCGTTGAAGGGGTACTTGTGCACCGAGCCATACATGTTCAACTAGGTTTGGTGGCATACATGTATACACACTCCTTCCATTATCTATGGATAAATCTGTCATAGATGTAGTTGAGTCCATCACAAACCCACTTCAAGTCCTCCATTCCCAATTCAAATCGCAAGCTCTTCAAATGAGCTTTGACAAAAGCATTCCTTTGTTATTGTTCATCCATTGTTCCCTGTGACTTGACTTGTGGTTGGACTTGTGATTTATTTGTGACTGGGCTTGTGATGCAGGGGTGTGAGTGACCACTGATAAAAATAGCTGAAAACAGCTGAAGAAGGTGTAAAAAAAGCTGAATTTCGGAAATCTCCTATACTTTTGTACACAGCAAGTGAGGGAAAAAAGCTGAAATCCAAAACAAAAAAAGCTGAAATCAGCTAAAAAGCTGAGATTTCACACCCCTGGTGATGGACTCGACTTCATCCCTGAATTATGTCCACTTGACGTTACCTGCGCCCTGCGGAATTTGTGGTTCTCTTGTTCCACGGCACTGGCCTTCTCCTTGACCAGTCTCTGGAGCTCCTCAATGCGTCCCGTTATCTTATCCAGCTGCATCTTGAGGTCAGCTGTGGATTGGCTGCTGTCAAGAGCCTGTCAAAGAAACACCAACAAAACTGGTCGTTGATTGTTTACATTGTGACTGATGCTCTTTTTTTCACAATGAACTATAGACAATGCCAAAACATGACGAAGCTGCTGCATATCATTGTCACGTGATGTATGTCCTCCACTGGTTCCCTTCATGATGGGTGCGGTCAGAATATATAACGGCAGGCCTGACTCATCACTGTCGTCCAAAGTGCACTTGTTTTTACAAAACGAGAACCAGTCTAGCATTATCATCATCTATGCCATCGCAAATTCGCGCTCGATCTCGAAAGATTCTCTATATCTGTCCGTTATCATTTTAGATGCTTCAGGACCATGTCAATTGCTGGACACAAGAACAACAATGTCACTGCCTTGTCATTCAAACGAATCGGAAGTTTAACGTATGCACAAACGTAAGGAGAGATCTTTGAAAAGAATGGCAAATTTCACTTTCCATCTGAATCGTAAGTTTTGGTGTGTTTAGGGGCAATTATTTTTTCGGAAAATGTCAACTCCGCTGGCTAAGTCATGGACATCGTCCCAGCTCTAAATGGTGAAATTCCCGTGTCATGAACCTTAGAGCTGGGTTTTCCAAGCTAAAGTCAAGCCACAATTCCAGCCTACCTTTCTCCTGTTCAGCTCCAGCGGCTGCTGCCTCAGCATTATCTCCTTATCCATAGAGCTCAGCTTGTTGACAAGACCAAACACTCTAAGAACAAGACACAAGTCATGCCTACCTTTCTCCTGTTCAGCTCTAGCGACTGCTGCCTCAGCGTTATCTCCTTATCCATCGTGCTCAGGTTGTTCTGTAGTATCCTCTCTTTCTCCTCCAGTTTCCTGACCACCTGGTTCTGGGCGTCTACCTGGGTCTGCAAGGTCGCGACCTGGTCAGCTAGGACGTCCTTCTCTTCTCTTAGGAGCTTGTGGATCTGGTTGCATTTGATTCTCTGAAATGGTGAAGAAAAAATAATAGTTTAAAAGAAAATAAAGTAACAAGGGTGACATCGAATGTAGCTGAATAGTGTACCCCCTACCCACCTTTATACTTCACCCCCTCAATTGGGCATCTTTAACACAATATCCTGATCCTCTAGGTTACTTTGTCTAGAAACGCTTCCCACTCCAACAAAATGCAACACCTGTCAACATGAGCAGTCTGTATAATGTATAACAAGATCCAACATGTCCGACTTCCGATGCCAGGCTGCCACCGTCTAGAAACTCTTCCCACTGCAACAACATACAATACCTGTCAACATGGGAAGCCTGCATAATGTATAACAAGATCCAACATGTCTAGATCCAACATTCCTTTGCCAGGCTGCCATAGGGTCTGTAGCTGCTGAGTGCGGCAGGATACAACAATGATATTACTCAATTGGACCACCTCCCATTGTCTCAAATGGTAGTTTATGCACTGGTGTTGATGGCCCAATGCAACAAGGTCCAAAAGACTTCAACACCCTTTGCACTGTGTTGTGTCTGGAAGGCTTTGGGTTTAGGATACAAAATCATCCCATGAAGGGCAAAACCTAATATTGATTTACATCACCCCAATGCAAATTCATCTTATGAATAGTTTAATTACGGTACCAGCTGTTACATGAACATCAGATTGGAGCCAGCCAATGGATCCCGCAAGCTCGGTGATCGAGTGGTAAGACGTCTGCACTAAAAAGCAGGCGGTCACGGGTTCGAGTCCCACCCGAGTGATTTTTTCCAATTTTCACTCGGGAGGTAAGACACTGAGTATACAGTATTTATACGTCGGTGAAGGGCAAAACCTGATATTGATTTACATCACCCCGAAGCAAATTCATCTTTTGAATAACATCATATTTCTTTCAAAGAATGTGCATTCATACAAAATAATGGATCTTAACCCTAACCCACCTCACTCCTCCAAAATCCTCCTGGCGGTTTTGGAGGATTCTAGAGGATTGAGGATGAATGGTGATTGAATCAAATGAGGATTCTGGAGGATTGAGGATGAATGGTGATTGAAGCACATGAGGATTTTGGAGGATTGAGGATGAATGGTGAATGAAGCACTAAGAGGATTTTGGAGGATTGAGGATGAATGCATTTTGAGGCAGGACTGTCTGATGATTTTGAAGGATTTGGCGTTGGTTATCCTTCATTTAAACACGAGTGCAAAGTTTTGGGATGAGGAGGATTTTGGAGGATTGAGGATGAATGCATTTTGAGGCAGGACTGTCTGACAATTTTGAAAAATTTAGGCGGAGCTGAAAAATTTTGGAGGATTTTGGAGGATTGAGGATGGTTGTAAGCAACAAGGGCCTAGGGGGTTAGGGTTAAAAGTTTAAGCAAATGTTTCAGTGAAAAGTACTTGATATTGTAATAGACCGCCAGTTTTTGAACGGTCTACTCACCTCAGACATGAGTTTGAAGTTTGCGTCATCTTTCTCTCGGAGCTGTTGTAGTAACCTTGTGTTCTGTTCCTGCATGTCTTCAAATGCTTGACCAGTCACGTCCATCTCTGATAGCAACGCCTCCTCCTCCTGAATTAGGAAAAGTACACAATTATCTGTCAATTTCTGCAAATGTTTACAATCTTTAAAGAAAAATAGGACAATACTTAAGCCTGTTTAAGTGCAGAGAGTCTTAATTTACAATACGGATGCGCAGAGAGTGTGAAAAACCAATAAGCCTACATGTGCACTTTCCTATGGAGCCAGTGGGGTCCACGGTCCACTGAGCACCATAGGAAAGCACACATGTAAACAAAGTGTGACGTCATTAGTACAGAGGCTTATTCCTGGGATTTTATAAATGAACAATTTTGGAATGGGTAAACCATGAATATAACCATTCACAATTGAGTATTATATATAGGTAATGGTAATTAACAAAATTGGTAAAATCATGGCATACACTTGTTTTGAACATTGGGAAGATACCAGGATTCAATTTCACTCAAAAGTTATTTTCAAAAGTCCGGAAAAATAAATCTATGTTTAGAGGCAAAACTTGAAAATAGCATGGGGACACATCTTTAACTATGTTGATGTCTGTGGAGCAGACTATGGACCACATTGAGCCAGAATCCTCCAAATTAAAGGCTTGGAATCACCGGAAGCCAAGGCGGAGACGAAACCAAAGTTTTGACAACCCATATTTGTGGGTCATACACAAGACACTAGACCAGTGTCTAAATCACTGGATTTCATTTGTCCAGCAATTAAGTGGGTAAGCGGACCTGTTTGCGATCGGCAAGTTTCTTCTGTAGTTGGTGTATGGTCTCCTCCAGGTTGCGTATCTTCCGGATGGCCTCTTCGTCGGCAAGCTTACGGTTCTCCATCCTCTCCCTGTCTTCAATGTGACGCAGTCGACACTTCAACTCCTCTACCTCCGCCCGGGCCCGCCTCTCTGCTGTCATCAGCTGGAATTTGTTTTAGAAAAACAAAGAAACTGAACCTGTTAATTCCTGTACAACCCCACACTACCCTGCCTGATACTGCTGTTACATATGACCTTTATGTACTGACCTGTACTTTATCTCTCTGCTCCTTGGCTGCACCTTTGTACATGTCAAGAAGGAGCTTCATCTCTTTCTGATTCTCCTGAGATTTTCTGTAGGGGGAAAAAGAAGAAGAACGATTCAAAACACAGATAATGCATTTGTCTGGAGAAAAAAAAAGACAAGGATGGGCAAGTTTGAGCAAGAACTATAGTTCACTAGGGTTTGACCACAAGAACAATAGTTAACCATGGTTGACCACAAGAACTATAGTTAACTATGGTTTGACAACAAGAACTATAGTTAACTATGGTTTGACCACAAATACTATAGCTGCTTGACCACAAGAAATATAGTTAACTATGGTTTGACCAACTTTACTCCAGCCTACACTACTTAACCATAGTTAAGCAAGTCTAATTCAGGACCAGCCTACCAGGGGTTAGTCGCACTGCTGGTGACCAATAATTGCACACATCATAATGCACAGCAGGGAGGCCAGGGATGAGTTAGCAACAACTTCTTGTTCACAATTTCTTGCTAACAGTTAGTGGAGCCTTGATCTCAACCTCATTCCCATGGTGCTGAGCAGTATGCTCCCGCTACCTGCTCTCTCACCCTGGTACTGGATCAATTGCACGCTCAAAAATCTTGCACATGCAAAATAGGTATGGAATAGTGTGGTGCCTGGCCATGCTCAAACTTAGTGGGTTTTTTTGCAATGTGGTGACACAGGTACATATGGAATCAATTCATCGCAGCGTGGGATGTGAAAACACAAAGTTTTTTTTTGTTATGTTAAAATTTTTATCCATCCAAATGTGCAGTATTACACTACATATTACAACGGTGAAATCTCTATAAGTCAAATCTCAAGGGAATGGATACAAAATATGAGATATCTAGAGTTCGAGTTAAGCAAAGTTCCCAATTTTTCTACAATCACGTACATGTATGCACATGAATAGCTTTCACTGTAACTCGCTATGTCTGGCTATGAAATGGACACGCTATTTGGTTCACTTTTCTTCTTTTTATTGATTTTTATTGAGTTTTGAGTTATCCGAGTTTGACTTTCGAGATTTCACTGAATAAACAAACTGGAAAAGGGAGGATAATTTTTGAGGAGTGGACACAATCATTCACAATGAACGTTACAACACGTAATACGCGTTAGAAATAAAATCACCAAGTAATGTATACCCATAACACACTATGGAATCAGGATACAGGAAGCAACTTTGCTTCCCAGGGGCTACTCTTGGAAATGCTTTTGAAAATAAGGGGGACAAAGTTGCAGTGAACGATCTCTTTTCTGACTTACTTGAGATTGGCCCTGAGTTCTTTGATCGTCTCAGCCTCCTTGCTTCCGTCCTTCTTCTCTTCCTTCCTTCCATCCTTCTCTTTCTCCAACCGAGGGTCTCGCCTCTCCTCGTGGTGCACGCTGGTCTCCTCACGTTGCTTCTGGAGCTGTTCCTTCTCGTGGCTGGCCTCCCTCCGGTCCAGACTGCCGCTGCTGCTGCTAGACGAGGAGCTGCTGGTGCTGCCGTGGCTGTGGGAAGCCATCTCATTTTTTAGCTGAAAACGGAAAGGGTGATATATTTATCTTTTTTGTTTGTTTAAAGGTAATATACAACATTTGCAAACATCAAAAAACCAAACTTTTATGAAATACCTTACTTGACTGTAAGTGAAAAAACAGTCTCAAGCATCCTGTGAAATCATGGCATCTAGTGTGCTGTCATTTTCAAGAAAAGTGCATTTTTTGTATCAATTTCCAAAGATGGTCGGCCGACCACTGTATGAAAAAAAATGATTGACTTTTTGGAAATACTGCCCCCTATTTACCATATTTAGTTAGTCCACAATTTGTTTGCAATCGGTTACACATCTGTAAACAGGTGCAAGCCAGCTAGTCTGGTTCCCTGACCTGACAATTCCCCTAATGTCTATAAATTGCTCCGTTTTCCCAATTCCCCTAACAAATTGCTCCGTTTTGACTGAAATAGCGTCAGAGAACCAGACTACAAGAACAGCATTGTTTTTCTCAGTTTTCCAGCATCTATGAACACAAATCTTTAAACAGGTCAGTGTATATATCAAAAATTCCATCAAAAATGTCATTTTAGAAAGGAGTTTACTTTAATGACTTCAGCCTGTGTCTCCTTGAGTTTGTGCCTGTAGCGGTTGATCTCCCCCTTCAGCTGTGTGTTGTGACTCTGGTAACTGGAAACCAAATGCCTCAACTCTCGGTTGATTGGCCCTGCAAAACCAATACAAACCAGATCCAGCATACATAAACATGTACCATGATGAATATTCAGTTAATTCAATACATATTCGTTACCCCACATGTTTTTATTGGTTACTTGCTCACCGGATCCCTGGTGCAATTGGCTAATTTGAACTGACCTGCCTGTTCATTGGCTGCAAGGTTCTGCTCAAACTCAATGCGCAGCATCTCGTATTCTTTTCTCACTTGAGACAGAGTGTCTTCTAGCTGGATGACTTCCGTTCGGAGCTTTTTCTGGCAGTCAAGCTCGTCACTCTAAAATAGATTGAAACAGCACATTTTCATCATACAACAATCTTGACTTCACAGTTGTTGACGACCTGGCAAAATAGTTTGTGTCCCACTGAAACTCGAAAGTTGTTATGGACACAACTGTAGTCAAGTCCTCACAGGTACTTAAGTCTCAAGTCAAGTCACAAGCTATTCAAATAAACAATGACAAAGGCATTGCTCTGTCATTGTTCACACTGTTACATGTGACCTTACTTTTGATATGAATTGACTCTGGTTGCGGGAAGGCATGTATATTGTTGATGCAAATTTTTGGCCATCAAGAAATTGAACAGAATACCTGATTGGAAAGTAGGGCCTAACCTCATCAAAAAATGTTTTAAGTGTATGAGAAAGAACTAAGTGCTAAAGTTTGGAACTTCAATATTCTGGCTAGAAACCTCGCTAAATGACAAGCCTGCCCAGTGAAGCAAGATCCATCAGGCCAAAAAGCTCAAGGCCAAAATGCCTCAGAGACTGTGGTCACTAACTGCAGTAGGATACAACTGTGGCATTGTTCAATGGGACTAGGTCTCATGGAGTCAGAATTGGCTGTTTATCCACCAGTGTTGATGGCTCAATGCAGCAAGGTCCCACAGACTTTAACACCTGTTGCACGTGTTGCATCTGGCAGGGTAAGTATTAAAGCCTTTCATTTACACACTAAGAAGCCCTCTGTGCAGATGCCTAGCTAGGGCTTTGTTCGCCCGTTGCAAAAATAGAGTTTTCGTCCCCTTTAAACCATTTTCGCTGTGATGATTTTTGCTTCGATCAGTGTCCAGATTTGGCTTTTAAAACCTCTATCCCATTGAACTCTGCCACACTCAACACCCCCTGGCTATTCCTCTGCCTTTGTGCCAGCAATAACATGCAGGGTCTACAGTAAATTATACTGCCCAAATGGTGGAAATGAGCTCATTTTCTTTTCAGGTTTTCGATTACATTCCTTTCAAGTTTTTCCCACAATGGCATTAAACTGTTCTGGGTTGCATTTTACCTCCATCTGTTCCATCTGTCTGAGGTGGGTTCCTTTGGTTTGTTGCAAGAGGTTCCTCGTTTCTTCAAACTGTGCCTTCATCTCCTGGGCTTCCTTGTACAGCACCGAGAACTGTGACTGCAGGTTCTTATAGGGCGCCCTCTCCATGACGATGGAGTCTGGTAGGCGCTGGAGCTGTGTGGACGGAGAAACAAAAATGACTAAATCCTGTGATCTCAACTTGAGGCTATTACCGGGGTGTTACTAAGCCTGCATTAGGTGAAAACTGAAAGTTATTAGAAGACCAAGATGTCTTTAGGGTTTACAATTTTTTTTTTCAATAAACTTAAGGACTCAACAGCATTTACGAAAAAAATCTAGTGACTGCTGATAAGGACTGCACTCGTGCCAGCCAGACTAAATCTAGAATCCATCGGCTGTAGGTAGGTCAATCTTGGTGCTGTTATACATTCTTGTTCTGACAATTACGCGATGTGAAAACAAACATGAACGAACAAGGAGACCTAGGAACGAAAATGCCAGATGTGAAAGGTCGTAAATGAAACTCGTTTTTACCCATCTCCAAATGATTTATCGTCAATTTTAATACCAAGATAAAAGTCCAACATGAGTGTTTCTTGGGGTGGTTGCGGTTAAAAATCATTCTGCCAAAAATTGTAGCAAGAGAAGGGCAACCTAGCGTAAAATGCCCAAAGGCAGGCCGCGCGAGGGTTCCAGAAGCTCGCGGCGTGACCTTTTAATTTCTGGCTCTATTGAACCACATCCAAACTCCTTGGCTACGTTTTTTTGCAATTACGCATGCACCTGTGGAAGCTGCTTGAAGCCACTTCCCATGTATTACTGCTGGCAGCAGCCTTGGTATAAGGGGAAGGATCAACATACAAACTGAGCTTACATCCATCTTGGTTTGCTCGGACTCCTTGACCACTTCTTGGTACTTCTCTTGTAGTCTTTCCAGCTCTACTAGTCGGCCATTGGCCAGCTCCTTGTGCTCCTCCAGTTCATTGACCAACGTCTGGAGCTGAAAATCAGAAGAAAAAAACATTCATCAGTTCCTCCAATTCAGTGTTCTTCTTATGCTGAAGAAAGAAATTGACCGGACTTCAGAATACCACACCTTTGTTACACCAGTGGGGCATTCAGCCGTATTTTTGTGGTATCTAAATATGACCCATCGTCACAAAATTAGCCCTAACCTACCTCAATCCTCCAAAATCCTCCACGCGGTTTTGAAGGATTTTGGAGGACTGAGGCTGCATGGCAAAACGTGTCAGTAGATTTTGGAGGATGCATTGCGTTGAGTTCGTAGGCTATACCCAGCATTGTTTATGTTCAGCCATGCATAATTGAGCCCTGCATTATGCTCGATATCATCCGCATATTAATAATCATGGCTCTGATTGGTCAAACACCAAGAGGCTGAGCTTAAAGGGAATATACATCATTTGCTTTTGCTGTAATTTTCAGAAATGGATGGAATTGGGGGGTTGGAAATATATAGCAAATATAGTTACACTGACTTTTTTGAGGTTTTGGGTTCGAAAATGCTATAAAAACCAAGAAAAACAATCATTTTCCTGTAGTCTGGTTCCCTGACTCCATTTAAGAAGAAACAGAGCAGTTTACTTATTACATTGGGGAATTGTAAGGTCAGGGAACCAGTCTAGCTGGCTTGTACCCGTTCATAGGTGTGTAATCGATTGCAAACAAGTGCGATGGTCAACTGGGGCCAGTATTTGAAAAAAAGCCAGTTTTTTCCAACGCTGGTCGGCCGATCAGCGTTGTGAAATTGATACAAAAATACCACTTTTCTTGAAAATGACAGTATACCAGGTGCCATGATTTTACAGGATGCTTTACACTGTCATTCACTAACAGTCCAGCAAGGTATTTCAAAATGATTTGGTAGTTTTATTTTTTGATGTTTGCAAATGTTGTATTTTCCCTTTAAGGGATCAGTCTACTGCTCTGACCTGTTTGGAGGAGAGGCCAGCCGATCCATCACCAAAGATATGACCGGGGACCAGCGTGGCATTCTTGAGCTTGGTGTAGCTCTCTTCTAGCAGGATCTCCAGTTTCTGGGCTCGCTGCCGGGCCTGGTTCAGGTCAAACCGCAGGTCATCGATCAGGTTGTTGGCCTCGGCTAGCTTGGTCTCGGCTGCTCCTAGTTTGTCGCTCTGCTCTGTGAACTGCAAAGGGACGAGGTAGAAGATTGATTTCATTTAGGGCTGTGTTTTTATGGAAAAGTTTGAAATCTGGTACCCATTTCCCTAGTGGTAGGGTACCTGCAGAACCATGTACATAAACAAGTCCTGAAGTAAGGTGTTTCTCACTGAGAGCACAGTGGCGCGCGCACCACCCCTAAGAAGAGTTGAATTACAACATAAAACCACAGCAGACTCTCTGTGTCTTCTTAATTGGTCAGAAAGACATCTTTTGTTATGTTTCCCTTTCAGAAGGGTTGTGTCTGTATCTACAAAGGTAGTTTCACGTAATAACCCCCCCCCCCCCCCAAAAAAAAATGGGATCGGGTAACTGCCATTTACTGATCGGGTATTGGGTACCCGGGTATCCAACCCAGCCCTGATGTTCTTTTCTTTACCCCTACTTCCTGGGCGTATCTGCTTAGATGCTTTGCGAATCCATCAATTGTAACTCTGTTTGAAAAGTAGTTATTGAGGTTTCATTAAGACGCTCAAAGAACAGAATTTAAGATGGAGCAGGGTTGTCCATTTCCGAATAATTTGGTATTCCATTACTCAAAACTGATTTTACCAAATATTCGGATATTCGAAACTGCCAACTGCAACTGCGTAAAAAGTGGCACAATGAGGGCGCCAGATTAAAATTTGCTTGCAGTGATTGATATGCGGCGCTGGAGTGTTTTGCAGTATTTTATAACTGCAAAGGGCTTTAATCTGCTAAAAGGATGGGAACAATGAACCATCATCGCCTAAAATTTACCACTGGCAAAAACGTGGCACCTGACAATAAAGCGTTGAAAGTTTTCAATAAAATAACACCACAGTCGTGTGTATGTGCAAAGTGTTTTTTGTTTTTCAAATATTCAAACCGGCAAAATGCTATTCAAATGATGGAATATTCGAGTATTCGATATATTCGGGACAGCCCTAAGGCTGAGGTTTATTTTGCTCAGCATCCCAACTTACCTGCAGAGTCATTTTCTGATGTCTCTCTTGTAGCGAGTTGATGGTTTCCTGTAGTCTCTGATTCTCAGTAGTCAGTTCAGCGTTGGCTGCCTTCACTGCTTCATCAATGTCACCTTAGTACAAAACAACACACAGGAAATAAAGGTACCCAATCAAAGTAATGATGCCCACCTTTGTAATATTGCAGAATCCTCAAAATTATTTTGAAGGATCTTTGGTAAGGTAGCATTGTTATAATAATGTATATCTATAAAGCGCACGTATCCACCAATATCTGTGCTCAAGGCGCTACATCATTATGACCCTGCTCATTGGGCCAATAAAACATTCCAAAGGCAATCTCAGCTCCCTGGGGAGTATACAGCTCTATGCTGCCATTTCTGCACAAAGCAGCTAAAATCAATCACAATAATCATCTCTGCCCTCACAGGTACCCATTTATTCCTGGGTGGGGAGAAGCAGTGACTGACAACGTGCCTTGCCTAAGGGCACACACACCATAACTCCAGGCTGGACTCGAACCCACAACCTGCAGGATAACCAGCAGACCACAAATTCAAAGCTCCGGACCACGAGGCCACGGCACTCTAAAATCGGTATCTACTAAACACTAAAACGATGTCATTTTAGGAGTAACAAAGGGATGAAGATTTTGTCATTACCATAAAATAAAAGTTTCTTTTCAGGTAAACAGGGTTAACATTTATGTAATCAAATAAATTCATATGGAAGAATACAAACGTAAGTGTTGGTATGCAAATGTATTTAGCGGACAGGTTTCCTGTACTCTGAATGCAAACTATCTTGGTCAAGAACATAGACCCTTCCTGAATACACGACATAAATCCCCCCCCCCCAAAAAAAAAAAAAAAAATTAACAAGAGAAATGTCTAAGCTATAATTGTTAAAATGTTTCAGTCACAAACAGAAAATAAATACTGAAGTCCAGTTATTTTTTATAAATGGTAGTTGTTTCATTTACTTCTGTTCTGAATGTCGGCAGCCACGGTCTTGCTTTTGTCCTGCACGGCTGCGATGACTGCGACCAGCCTGGTGACAGCCTCCTTGGAGAACTTGCAGCGTTCCTGCATGTGTTGGTCGATCTCAGTCTGGTCGCAGCTCGCTAAGGTGGCCAGGAAGGAGGTGATGGTCTCCGGCTCTGAACACAAGGCAAATATTTGGTGAATTATAAAACAAGGTTGCATACTTACATTTAATAGGGCTGTGCATCGGAACAGGGTACCCGAGTACCCGAGTACCCAATCGTTATGTCAGGAACTGGTTGAAGATTATGGGATTGGGTGCCCGTAACCAACTTTACAAATGACTTAGTAAGTTCTCAGACAAGGAAAAAGAAAGGTTTTGAATGCCATTTGTGGGGAAGTTTAAAAATAAAAACCAGGCATAATTGAGCCATGCATTATGCTCGATATAATCCCCACTGCTTCAGAATGTCATCAACACTGCCTCAACCCATTCACAGCGATTTTGAAGGATTGAGGTAATAGTCAACGCTCCACTGAATAAAATTCAAGAAATAACGGATGATTTTGGAGGATTGAGGCTGAATCCAATGTTTACATGGTGGTAATTGGAGGATTTGGCAGGATGGAGGATGGAGGATGAATCCTAGCCAAAAGGGTTAATACACACAAAGCTGGCAAAGAATAACCTGGTTGTCTCTGGTTATCTTGACTTTAGAACAAAACCTTAAACGTTCCCCAAGGTTTCCGTACCTTTCTTTTCCTCTTTAGCAGCAGGGGTATCTTTCTTCTCCGTCTCCATCTCCATATCCAAGACCTCTGCGTCTTGACTGGCGACCTCGTTTGACCCAGTAGCCTCATTGCCAGCGGCTTCGTCTGTTTCCATCTCTGTTTTCTCCTCCTTAATAGCAGGCTTAGTGTCTTGGCTGCTTTCTGTTTTGATTTCTGGGATGGACTTCGTCTCCACCCTCATGAGAAGAATGCGAATATCCTCTTCAAGCTGAAAAGACAACGTTTTTATTTACCATTACCACAATTGTATGATAGAATATATCATTTTTTTCGGTACTGTCATAATTTTAAGAATCTTTTGTCCAACAGTACGAGGGTAAACTGGAGGTGACAATTTTCAAAAGTCCATCACCTATTTTTTTTTTATCTTTGCCTAAAATTTGAAACATTTATTAATACGGTGTTGTTTGGAAATAAATAAAGTTAAACCATTGAACAAAGTTGATAATGACATGTTCTAATTTTTCAACTTACTGAAAACAAATTTATCTACAGTACTTATAAATTACCAATCATGACTGATAATAGAAATAATTTGCCATCAGTCACCAGCAGTGATGTATAATGAAATAGAAGACCATTTTTAACATAAAAACCAAATTTTTTTTATGACCACATGCAACAAAAACAGGGGACAATTTTCAAACCCCTTAACCCTAACCTTCCCAAATCCTTCAAAATCCTTTGCAAAATGGTAAAATGGAGGAAGTTTTCCAGGATTGGGTCTATATGGCAAAAATGTCTAGCTGATTTTTGAGGATGCATTGTGTCAAGGTCTTCAGCCAGACCTTCTGTTGTTTATGCTCAGCCATGCATACATTTAGGCCTAGATTATACTTGAAAGCCTCCGCAATGCTCCTGGATGTTACTGGCTCTGCCTCAACATATTGACAGTGATTGCTGGATGATTTTGCAGGATTGAGGCAGTGGCCATCCCACCAAGGGCCACATTCAAGAAATAACAGAGGATTGTGCAGGATTGAGGCTGTAGGCCTATGCAATTTTTACACGGAGGCAGTTCAAGGATTTTGCAGGATTGAGGCTGCATCCTAGCAAAAATCCTAGGGAGTTAAGGTTAATAGACCAATTGAGTAGAAAGTCACTGTACAGATTAAACTCAAGAATTGTGCACCCCATGATGGTTACTCTGAACATTTACACGTAGCTTACACAATGCTTCTGCCATTGCTGGGGGCCACCGTATGTGTACATCCACTCTGTGCCTTTCATCGAAAATAAAAACAAACAACAAAATCATCCAATTTAATACCTGAGTCCAGTACTTGTTCATGAGGCTGAGTACGATCTCATCCGTCACCTGTCGTTGCTCCAAACGCTCGATGCGGTTGCGCAGCTCATTCTCCATGAGGGAGCGCATCTCGAGACGCTCGGCCAACTTGCGATTCTGGAATCGCAGAACCTTCATGTCCATCTCCTCCTGCAATCAGGGAACAATTAAAAAATGTGTTAAGTCCATTACACGTAACATACACCCATTCAAGACTGGCATTAAATAGTGGCTCAGCACTAAAAAGCAACAGCGAAATTCTAGGTAAACCCAAATAGCTTCTGGTTTCAGACAGGCAAAAGTTTTCTTTCAATTTTCATTGACTCGACTCTGGAGGTCATACTCAATGACTGCAAAAATCAATCTTTGGATAGCTTGTGAAAGCTAGTCGTGCCTGTTCCGAATGCCGGAATACAGCACACATTAGGTACACTTGGATCCAAGCGCCAAAGTTCCCAAGATTGGATTTGATTCAACTTGTTGATGGCGCCCTCTACCAATGTAGTGGCGGGAACTTGTCCAGGACCCCCTGCCATGCCTGCATTAATAGAGGAATGAAATCCAAGTCAAGTCTTGAAGCCAAGACTAGCCTTGAAGCCAAGACTAGCCATGAGGACATCTTCACCTGTGATGACACCGCCCCCAGCCTCATGGGCTCAATGTGGATGCGCTTGGTGGCTGGCTCCGCCCCCTCTTTGCCATTGCTGGTGGAAGCACCAGGCGTCGGCGAGGAGGAAATCTCGCTTGCATTCCGCTTGCCTGACATCTACATGGGCGAAAAAAAATTACAAACAAAACGATTAAAAACTGATATGGCATGACATATTACTGGGTCTTAATTGGTAGCAAAGCCAAAGGGGGGGGGTGGGTGATTCTACTATTTATTTCCTCCGTGTTCACGGACGATGGTTTGCATCTGCATCTACATCTACGCCGGTACTCAGCAAAGTCCACTTCTGGATGTTAACGTTGAGGTTTGCACCTCTTTCTCATGTACCGCCGAGCGAGGTCTTTCACTCTTTGCCTTTGGATCGAAACCGGATCATGCGGATGGCTTCCCCTGAATTTCCTCATAGCCTACTGTAAAAAGACAATCTTCATCAGAAACTTATATAAATGCAACGGATGACTGACATACGTAATTATAATACCAGCCTACTTGTAATCTGTAACTAACCAAAGACTAACCCCATCTCATCATCAGCACAAACACCATTCACCTCGAACCCAAATGACATTGACAAATCCACCCTCCAGTCTTTTGCTCGGCTATGATTTCAGAAGTGAATTTCAAACGGCATAAATCCCCCTTATTTTACAGCATAACGCCCCACCATTGTCTCCAAACTTTCAACAATAATCAAACTCAATCTGAACACCAAATAATCTCTCCAAACCCACACATTACCCTGTTTTTCATGAGCGTTTCCTTACGCTTTCTTCTCCCGATGAGAAAAAGTCCCGCACCTACAAAGCATTTCCGGGGGTCAAACGATTTCTCGAGCGCTGATTGGTCACTGTCGTCTGAAAGGTCACACAAACCCAAGATGGCGGAATCAGACGATCTCGAGTTCAACCCGCTGTACAAATGTTTGCAGGTATTTTTACCGAAATTCAAAATTTCACGACAGTTTTAATTAGCGGATAAGAAAGCTGTTTACTTTTCCTATCGAATGATGCTTATTTTGTGCACGATCTTTGTGTCGATTTTGCAAGGCAACGATCGTAAACACCGCGAAAAACTGTCATGACTGTTGCTTTGGGGGGTCAGACAAGTCGACCGTTGAGACAACTCGACTCGGGACAAGTCGCCCGTTGAGACAACTCGACCGTTGAGACAACTCGACCGTATGTGCGATAAATGGAAAGACAAGTCGACCGTTGAGGCAAGTCGCCTCGCATGTTTTGGGCCTAGTTTTGGGGATAGTACCGGGGATTTTGACGGCGGCTGATCGCCGTTTGGGAGTTATGACACGTGACAGAGCAGAGCCGATATAGCGCAGCGTGATTGTCCGTGCACATCGTTCGTTTTTGCCGGGCCTGTGCGCGCATCTCCGGTCAACCGCGTGGCCGTACCGTGCACGTGCCGTGCACGTTAGCTGTCTCAACGGTCGAGTTGTCCCGAGTCGAGTTGTCTCAACGGTCGACTTGTCTCAACGGTCGAGTTGTCTCAACGGTCGACTTGTCCCGAGTCGAGTTGTCTCAACGGTCGACTTGTCTGACATTCATTGCTTTGTACTATGTACATGGTGTATACTAATATACAATGTACTAAAATCTAAATGGTGTGAGTTGTGCATGCAGCTAGCTGCAGCAGGGGCCCAGGGGCTTGACTGTGTGATAATTTCACAGAACGTGTATTTCATGACTTTTTGGTTGTATTGGATAAATGTTCACATTTTATAAGTTACCACACATTCGAAATAATAAACAATCCATAACATACATATTACATGTACAGTGTGACAGTATACAGTCACAATCCCACAACTTACAAGAGTTTTAATGACATTTAACGTTATGGCATTATGCCTTGTTTTGTTTACTGCTGTGCTGGTCATGTTACTTGTTAGTACTTTACTTAGCCCAGCCCAGGTGGACTCCCTTACCTCCGTTACGTAATGCAATGAAGACGTCGTCCAACCTGGGCTTGGAATAGTACTTAATCATGTTCATAGTTTTATTATATTTCATAATTTGTTATTTGACGTTAGCTTGGGAAACCCCAGGTCCAATGCTCATCGGGAATTCGACACTAAGAGCTGGGGGAACAACTTTTTTTCCAGTGGTCAGAAAATGGGGGAAGGCCGTAAAGTATGGCCTCAAGTAAAAAGGTCCTTTTCTCCCATTATCCAAACGAATGTCAGACAAGTCGACCGTTGAGACAACTCGACTCGGGACAAGTCGACCGTTGAGACAAGTCGCCCGTTGAGACAACTCGACTCGGGACAACTCGACCGTTGACACAGCTCGACTTAATGGAAATGTATACACGTGGAGCGGGAAAAAGTTGCGATCCTGGGCGCGGCGCGGGCATACTTGATGCACAGAGGGCGCTCCAATCCGGTGGCCGTCGCGTCGGGCCGGCGCGCCCCGCCAGTGAGGACCGGGCCCGGCACGCGGGCACGTCGACCGGGGCGGCAAGTGGGCGCACAGGCCCGGCATAACGATGTCACCGTGCACGGTACGGCCGACGCTGACCGGGGATAAGTGCGCGCACAGGCCCGGCTGCGCTATATCGGCTCTGTTATCATGGTTATATCCACACAAAAACAAAAAACTCATGTGTCATCACTCCCAAACGGCGATCAGCCGTCAAAATCCCCGCGACTATCCCCAAAACTAGCAACAAAAACATGCGAGGCGACTTGTCTTAACGGTTGACTTGTCTCAACGGTCGACTTGTCTTTCCATTTATCGCACATACGGGCGAGTTGTCTCAACGGTCGAGTTGTCTCAACGGTCGACTTGTCCCGAGTCGAGTTGTCTCAACGGTCGACTTGTCTGACCCCCATTTGCCCCATCCAAACCCAGTTGAGAATAGACTCACCATACCATGCAGCAGTCATTCATGAAGCAAAGGATCGACTTGAAACACAGAACAATGCTAACTAAAATATGAAAATTATTATGATTTCGGTGCCTTTTCAGAAAAAACACAAGACATAAAGATTAAATCTTACAATCACTCAAAAAAAACCCCAATTTTGGAAGCCAAAGTGCATTAATAAAGTAGAATTGAAAAAAAGTAATAATAAATAGTCATTTTAAAATTGTCATATCCACTCATGTAATAGTTGGGGCCTAGTCACCAATAAAACGTAAGGGTCGTTCACTTGATTCCTGCCATAACTTAAGCCAAATACATCAATAAATGTACAGTGAAATCACAATGTTAAAGTCAAACTCTGATAACTCAAAACAACTATGTCAAACAAAGAATTCATTGCTTTCAGTGGTGTAACAATGATATACAACCCTACTTAACTCAAAAGTCTGCTTAAGTCAAATATTTTTTGAACCTGTTCGCTTGAGGTTTGACTCATTGTAGTATGATTTTTTTTTTCTTTTCGTTTGACCTTTGTGCATAAGGGCAATTCCACGGTTACTCACATTACATTTTTGATGTACTTTTGGGTTTCCTTGGGCTGTAATTACCTTACTGAAAAGGTACAGTTATCCCCATGGTAGATAGAGTAGACCTAGACCTACCTTAGCACCAAAGATGACATCCAGAAAAATGTGTTCTGTATGATAAACGAGACGCACAAAATCGAAAATGTAACGTAACCGATTTTGTGCGTCTCGTTTATCATACATAACACATTTTTCTGGATGTCATCTTTGGTGCTTAGGTAGGTCTAGGTATGGGGATAACAGTTATCAAACCTTTTCAGTAAGGTAATTACAGCCCAAGGAAACTCAAAAGTACATCAAAAATGTAACGTGAGTAACCGTGGAATTGCCCTCAACATTAATTAAAATCCACTTTCTGTGTACATTGTGATATTTTAACAGACGAGGTTCCGCAATGAGTTTGAGACTGCTCAAGATAACTGCTACCTAGTCTGTATCCCACAAACCGCCTCCTTGGTTGGAATGTCAATCAGCCAAGGAATTGTTGGTAAGTCTAGCATTTAGACTTTGGTCTTACATATTTTGACCAACTCAACGTGTTTGATAAATATTTGATGTTGTGTAAAAATTGCCAAAACATTTTCAGAGATGTGATTGTGCATGAGAATAATGTACAGCCTGTTTACTACACATGCAAGACTAGTCTGAAAATTTGGGACTCTCAATACTGTGGTATGAGAGTCCCAAAAATTAAAGATATAGTCCATCATTTGTAATTTGAGCATTTTGTTCATTTGCAGCAAAAAAGTGTTCAAAATCTAAAGAAGGGTACTGAACAACTAACCTGATGAAGTTTCAGCTCAGCTTCAGCTGTATATTCCGAGAAACACAGCATTCTAGGATCTCAATTTTAAATCAAAAGTTGCTGAATCATGTTTTGAATTGTTTTTAATTGCAGCTATATACGCGATGTCGCGCACTGATCCGACGAATTATAGCAAGCGTGTGCGTCGTGCCAATGCTTGCGCGCGCCTCGCCGAATAACAAAACGAACTACTAATTTAACCCTTACTCTCTGAGGGTAGTTTACTGCATGTCAGTTGGTTATGCCAATGCCCTCCAGCTGCAGTATATTGGCAGATAAACTATCTTGACAGTGAAGGCTCCAATTGGCAGGAGTTGGAGGCCCTGGAGGGTGCCTGATACTGACCAGCTGGGGGCACTCACTTTGTTATCAGAGGACTCTCATTGTTCTCTGTGGCATGTATTGGAGTGCCTGTCCAGTTACCCTTGAAATGACATGGCAGATATTGGAGGGCCATGCAAAAAACATAGGAGATTTTCTTGAGGCACATATTGGCATGCGTTGGAGGGTCAAGTAGGGTAAGGGTTAAATTTTCCAAAGGTGCGTCTTAAGACGCACCGTTGGAAAGACCTTCTTTCGTTGATTACTTCAAAATGACAGCTTGCCAGAAAGATTAATTTCACAGGGAGTTTAGACCCCTTACTATCTTTCGACCAAGTATGTTTTTCAACAATAATTACGCCAGTTACTTTTCGGATGGCTGCAAATGATGGACTATAGCTTTAAGATAACTGGTACAAACATGCAATACAAGTATATAGAGTTATAGACTGGTACATGAAACAACCAGTCTAACACCCCTTTAGTACTGCATCAATCAACTGTCAAAAGAAACATCTGGTACCCAGTTTTATTTCTACACATTTCCATAGTCATGCCATCAGACTTCTAAAGAGTCAATCTTCGAAAAAAGTTGGACATGTACCAGTCTAGTCTTAGGCTTCAAATTGAAATCACTTGGCTTCACTCTTAGGTGCAAAATATTGAAGAAAAGTCTCCTTCAAAAGTTAAATTGAGACCTCAAAACGTGGCTGGTGAAATACTGAGGACCATGTCTTTGCCTCAGGAAAATTGTGGAGAATTTTTTGTCTGCTAAAGAGTGAATAAAGGTGTTGTTTTGCATGGGTTTTTTGCACTCAAGACCCTAGTCTGATGCGAGACACGCATCAATTAATTAAATAGAGTGTTAATTGATAACTTTGTCAAGCAGATCAATACAATAGATCAAGGCTCAAATGTTCAATGGTAAATTTCCAATTAAATCGTAATTTCCTTTAATTGCAAAAGTTTTAATTTTATTTTTCTCCCTGTTCTATAGACACACATCTACTGAAACCCTCCCCCATGTTAAGAGAGTGAGTATTGCTTAATCTACTTTTTTTTTGCTTTGATTAAAAATCTTCAAACGTGTGATAATATTTATTTTATATTTGACCATTCTTGAACTTCACAGTCTAAGGTATGTAACTCTTCCTTCTGTAAAGATCTTAGGATAACTTGCTTCCATTACGCCCTTCGTTAGTTAGGATGACAAAAGAACATTTTTTGTGGTTTTTTTGTGTTTTTTATTTTTGCAATGGTATTATTTTTGTATCATTATTGTAAAGTTGGATAGCAATCAGAAGCGTACACCATGATATAACACGATGTGTTTATATACCACAAAGGAAAGGATGATGTCTCAAAATGTAAGGAATTTTTTTCTGCAATAAAACTTTCTCAGGGTACGCCATCTTAAAAATCAAAGGATGGGCTGTATATTAATAAGATCCTTCTTCAAAAGACAATGAGACGTGACCTACCTAGAATGTTGATTGATGTTTCGGGGGAATTTGAGCTATCCATCCTTTTATAAGATTGTCAGTCTGCTGTAACTTTGGGAGAGTCACTCATTCACTGCACACACTATTAACACCTTCTTGTTTGTTTGCGTCATGTGCCTCGCTTTGATTATTAAGACGGTGTACCCTGACAAAGGTCTATGAAAGATGATACAATAACATTTGAATTTTTAAGGATGTGACTTTGCGTTTAATTTTGTGAACGTTTAGCAAATATATATCTTTTAAACGATTAAACCTTTAACCATTTCACAAAGGCTGAGGCCTGCCCATTATGTCTGCAGACCGGCGTGATTGACATGATAAATCAACACTGATTGACAAAATAAATAGCGACAGTCATTGAAAGAGTACAAACTAAACTGCGTGTGCCCCAAATGTAGCTAATCAAACACTGCGGTGCTTTCTTTGACAGTTTTGTCAATTAAATAGGTTTAAAAATATCATTAACTGTTTGTGCTGTGTATGTTTTACTAAAAGAAAGATCGCGTGAACGTATAGGTTCTGTTTTATAATTCGGGTTTCATTTAGATGTTTTGGAAAAGTTATAAATGGAATTAGAATTTTGTTTTTAGTTTAAACGTGTAAACGTCACATCCTTTATGCCACGGGGGGAACCCTCAAATTTTGTATCTTTAAGACGTTGAACTTTTACGTAATGAAATATATTGTTCTTTTTTTCGCAGTCATTATATTACTACAGACAAGTATAACTCCAAGACGATATCAGTGGAGGAGGGAGTCATCACGTGCGTCGAAGGATTCAGGCAACAAGACACTATAAAAGTCCTGTCAGAAGAACTAGGCTATAATAAGGTATGTGTGGGTATTGAGACAGGGTTTGGAATGATGCTTATATTTTCTTAACATGTCCCCATTATTCAGCTGAATGAGCAATCGCTTTGTAGCTGTCACTTAACCCTAACTCCCTAGGCCTTTTTGCTAGGATGTAGCCTCAATCCTGCAAAATCCTCCAATTGGCCTCATGGAAAAATAGCATATAGCCTCAATCCTGCAAATTCCTCCGTTGTTTCTTGAATATGGTCCATGGAGGGGTGACCACTGCCTGAATCCTGCAAAATCCTCCGGCTATGACTGTCAATAGGCTGAGGCAGTGACATCCTGGAGCAGGATGTCAAGTATAATCAAGGACTAAATTTATGCATGGCTGAGCATAAACAACACAAGGTCCGGCCCAAGACCTTGACACAGTGCGTACTCCGAAATCAGCAACGCACTTTGGCCATGTAACCTCAATCCTGCAAATTCCTCCAATTTGCAAAAAGGATTTTTGGAGGAGTCAGGGCGGTTAGGGTTAAAGAGTGCCAAATTCCTCCACTTACTTAGAATGCAACCGTGCTACAAAATAATGACTGTGCTTGTCAATGGTGCGTGGTGGAAAGAGTCTCATGTCTAGATCTGACAGTACTTTTACCGTCTCGCTAGCAAATATGCACAAATGTGACCTGCTTGAAAGCTTGAAGGTCAAACTTTTAAGAATAGAGAAAAGTATCTGGGTTCTGCAGAACAAGAGCTTCCCAATGGTATACAACATTAAGGGGTACTGGGTTCAGTAAGGAAAATAGAGACTGCCAACTTACTAGAAATTGTCAAACTGACTCTCAAGAAAATGACATTCAAAAATCATGCAGTTGTGTTACAGTGAATGAACAATGACAAAATAAAAACTGGATGAAATAGGTTTTGAAGATGTTTGTCAGAGCGGACCAAATTGGAGAAAAGTACAACAGGACTTGCAGATTGAGGTTCACCTGAAAATTAAAAAAAAAAACGGTCACCCCTTCAAATGTTGGTTTAGGCCCACTGTACTGCAAAATGGCAATTTCCAACTTTAAGCACATTTCGTGGTGACAGGTCACAAATGTGTGTTCGCATTATGATTCCTAGCTTTTGAGTAAAACCATATCTATTTCATGACAACCTTGTGGAGACGTATTCATCTATAGAAATTGCCCTGTGGAGACGTATACAATCTTGTGTTCCCTATTATTCACATGTCTCCACAGGGTACCGTGTACCAGATCACTATGATTGCCTAGGTGAAATAATGTCATAAGAATTATCGTGGATGCATGCACTTTCAGAATAGTCCGCTTGTTCACATATTTGTATGGGAAGAGCTCATATTGTTGAGAAATTTGAAAAATGGGGTGCATTTCATGTTATCCATTTATCCCTTAGGGGTTGACTAAAATTCTTCCTTTGTTGTTTTTATTTGTTTTAACAGAACTACAAGCCTTTCAAGATGTTGATTATCGAGAGACCGCTAGAGGGTGCCAAGAAAGTAAGCTTGAAAATAGACGAAACTTTTAAATTGTATCTATTAATGTTACCCTCCACAATTGGCCACAATTTAAAAAAATGTAGATAAGAATCTACTTTCTCCATCTATAGCAAATGAATGGATTTAACAGATTAACTATTACCCTCCACTTTCATTGGGTTTGTTCGAGTAGATGTAGTTCACCCAAATTGACTTGGGTAAAGGCAGATGGGTCAGCCACAACAGCCGGACTAATCGAACGCTCAACCACGGGTCATCATGATCCTCACGTGATGCCCATAGCCACGGTACAAATGTAGTACAAGCTGTCAAAATGCCCATTTTGGACTAGGTTTTATTTTGAGATTTACTGCTTTTCAGTCAAATTGCAAAACTCAAAAATGTTGGGCTGAAATTCGCAATGAATTCAATAAACAATTACCTTTAGACTTCAAATAAGTTAGATTTTTGGGTGCACTTGATCTTTTCCGCTGTCTGGCCGACATATTTGTCAGTTTCTTGGAATGAACAATGCAAGTGTGACTCTGCTCCACGAGCAGGGTCTGTTGGGGCTGACCTGGGTGAGCCCCGAAAATGACATCAGAGCTAATGGAACGGCCACAGGGCCAATCCGGGCGAGCTACTCGAACGTACTCTTTATAAGCCATTGGGCGGTTTGAGAGGATTTTGCATCCCAGCCACATTAATCTTAAGGGGCTGACCCCCTTGACATTTTAAGAAACATATACCACTGGGGCCCTCCCTCAATTGAAGCTTTAAGGGAAAGTTCCTCAACCACTTGACGACAGGATTACTTTTGGCCATTTTTTTTTTTTTTTTTACAAAGACAAACTATTTCGGCCAAGTTTTAAAATCAAGTCAAACACTGCAGTCATTTGTTCAATGTTTGAATGATACCTCTCCCGGTAACTTCATATATTGCAACACTCTGAGGCCCCACCATGGAGTGATATTTGCTGTGACGCCAGGCCGTGTGCTGCGGCCAAGTTCAAGTTCAACACACGGTGTGTACCAACCAGAGGGAACCACTGACATATATAGACCTCCACCACCAAAGACCCAGGCAAAGCTTGACGATTTAACCCGTCACTTGCCCCTGCAAATATACATTGCTAGATCGTGTTTACTGGTCCTCCAGCATTAACTGGTTAAAACAACTTGGGGGTAATCATTAATGGCAGTCATAGTTTGTACATTAAGAATGAGTCCAATTTTCAAGGTGTGATAAAAGGTGATGTCATAATAGTACAGCTGCATATGATTGGCTGATAGCATTGCTGATGTTCTGCTTTTTGATTGGTCATTTTCTCAGGGAAGGCGGGGCTCAGCTGGCTTGTCAGATGAGTTTCTATCACCGCGCACGTCATACGCAGAGTAAGTGAAACCAGAAATTCTTCAGCCGTTACTTCATTAAATCCAAACGAATATGGAATTTCCATGAGACAGAAGGGATTTGCTGTTGTCAAATTTCCTTTGAAATCTGCAACCGATTTAACGAAACAGTGCGTAACCTACGCCCTACTTAGGACTTACGCAACAAATTTGTTGTGCAGCTGTGCAATAAACTAACGATAGATTTCATGGAGCGTAGCTGCACAACTTTTTAAATAATCCAAACATCTTGGATGAGGATAATAGCAGCTACGATGACTGTTTGTGTATAATTTTGTTTGGTCATGAAACAGTCGTTGAATCACCGCCATTTTGAAAATAGTTTTGTCCGACTTTGCTGAAATCATGCTGTAACTCTAAAAAATTCTATCACGATTAATAAAAACGGCAATTCATTTACCGAAAACACAAAGCTTTGAGGGTCTTGTATCAACCTTGTGCAATGACAGGCTCCACGACAATCAGGATTTGCTAAGCTGCAACTTATGCCACCTAAAATGATTGTGCATGTTACGCAATATTTGTTGCGCACAAGTCGTGCACTTACGCACCATGAAACGTTCATGAAATGTGCCATTAGTGAAATGTTGTGCAACTTGAAATGTTGCACAACTTATGCAATAGATTGTGGTGCAAGTGTAGTCATCCATTGCGTACAGTTTTGAGAAATCAGCTGCTGGTCTGTTTTAGACTCTCAACGTCTCATTTGTCTGTGAGTTCTCCTTGTTCTGACAAATACAATATAGTCGACAGGTCTATTTTACAGAGCCCAAGAGTGGCACTACACTACCCCATTGTAAAAATCTTTTCGAGGGAAAAGTGTTGGGAACATAGATTAGTTCTTAATGTTGAAATTCTTCCTTACTGATATTCATAGTCAAATTATTCCAAACAGGAATCAAATATAACTTTTGCTTCTTTCCAAAAGCAATTGCAAATTCCTCAATCTTTTCCATGAGAACCGGGCCCAACTGAAGGCCATTGACATGAAGATCTCCGAGTTCAACCACACCTACATGATCCTGCCTGGCTACCTCATGGATGCGGCACGCAAGCTCAGAGGCATCTGGGAACATTCCAAATTGGTGAGTAGAAGATCGGAATCCATCGGTAAATTCAAGTAACAGCTGGTACAAAAGTGCTGATACAAAAGTGTGACCAAAGGAGCCATAATCCTTTCTACATGGCTAATAAGACATTGCATGTGCACAAAATAATGCAAATGTATGAATTAAAAATAAGGAGGCTGCTGGGAAAAGGGGAAGCAGTCGGGGACAAGAAACTAATTTATTTTTTAACCTGGCCTACGGCCAAAAAAAAATAATAGTTCTGCTTTTGGTTTCCCTACCTACCTTATTTTGACAGCACCTACCCTAATTTTTTTTAAGGAAAAATGAGAAAAAAACACAGAAAACCATCAAATACTACCTTTTACTCTTGGCCACACGCAGAGGCCTCCATCTGATTGTACACACACACAAAATCCCTACCAACCTACCCAATTTCGAATGCCATTTAATCGAAAGCAGAATTATTATGTTTTTTTGGCCTAACCTAGATTAGTCCTGAGTGCTCTGGTCGCCCTTTTTCATGCTTGTGCAGAAATCAAATGAGTTATTTGTTGAAACTGTTTTTGTAATCATTGTCCTTGTTACCAGGCGTTCAGCGAAACCAATAATTACATCAGACTACAGTCAGACGGTCGATTAGAGGAGGCCATCACAATGGCTCTGGAAAGGTAGGTAATGAATGTAAATTACAGCCCAGCAGTGTTGTAGTCGAGACCCTGCAAGACCATCACAAGACCGTCACAAGACCGTCACAAGACCAACACAAGACCAACACAAGACCATCACAAGACCATCACAAGACCATCACATGACCATCACAAGACCATCACAAGACCATCACAAGACCATCACAAGACCTCAAGTCTCAATTCAGGTCACAAGCTATTCAAATGAACTGCAACAAAGGCATTCCTTTGTCATTGTTCGTGCCCTGTTACTTATGGCTGGTCTTGTGTCTGGTCTTGTATCTGGTCTTGTGATGGTCTTCACTACAACACTGCAGCTCAGTACAGGCACAAAACTTAAGTAAGCTTCAAATGTGAAGTTACTTGCTCTAAAAAAAAGAAGTGGCTAGGAGAAGAGCCAGATTAACTTTTGGACAGATCATTCTCACTGTCGTCAGGAGAATGCTGAGACTCTCAAAAAGGGCATCATTAAATAGATTTGACACCCTCCTGTGACATCACCCTATTGTTGTTGTTTTCATAAGATGGAATTTACGTTGGGGTGATTTTTTTTCTCATCATTATTTTGCACGAATGAAACACAGCGCGCCATTCGGCATCTTACCAATTGCGTGCTGTGCACATATATTAACATTCAACCAGCACATTTTCATGCTCAGCTTCATTTTTAGTATACCTTACAGTACAATTTTTCGTGGGTGATAAATGGCCCACGGGCGATTATTATCCTTACCAAATCTTGAAGTTAACACATCTGCTTCTTCTCTAAGTCATGTTGTGGATTACTAAACATCCCACCATTAAACATTGTATTCTCCACACTGCAAATGTCCGGTTGGTCGAATTGAAATAAAACGAGTTGGTGTTGAAATGTTAAAACCTGTGGTTTTTTTTGCACAGCTACATCATGGGCGGAGTACACACCAAAGTCTTCAAGGCCATTTGTCAGCAGATGGCAGACGATGACAAGGCACTGTACGGACGGATTCAGGAACTGCAAGGGGTCAAGGCGGACCAGCTGGGGGTCATGCAGGATTTCTGCTGTCCGCTACCAACAGCTGTAAGTTAATATTCCATTGTATAGACTCAATAACGAACACTAGCTGAAATTGTGTGACCACTCACAATAGCTCCTATGTGGTTTTTGCACAGATTGCTAGAAAGTACTCTTCACTTTAATTTGTACAAAGTAAGCTCAAGCAACTATGGGTTTGCATCGGAACCGGGTACCCGACCGCTGATGTCAGGAACCGATTCCAGATTACAGAATGGGGTACCCGTAACCAACTTTACTAATTACTTATAAACTTCTAAATCAATGTAACAGAAACATTCTGAATGCCATTTGTGGGGCATTTTCAAAATGAAAACCAGGCTACATGGAAAACTAATTCAGATTTCACGTTTATGTGCATTTTGAAAGTTGCAGTTTAAACCCGCAAAGCTATAAAGCCCTTCAGACAACTTCCGAGATTCAAATTTTGGGGTGGAGTTTCTTACACGGGTACCCGGGTACACGTGTTTTACTTCAATAAGGTATCCGGTTCCTGTACTATCCGTTAATGCACACCACTACAAACAACCTGTTGCAATGGCTAGATTTCTCTTACCAGCTTTTGGTAGACGATCCTCTTAACAATTTTGCAGATTTTTGCAGATTTTTTGATTTTTTTTCTCTTCATATTTCCACCCGAGTTGATTATCAGTTTGGCTGGCTTGTGAGCCACAGAGAAGTGTGTAATCTGTACAGCATTTTTTTGTTTTGGTGTAGGTAGTTGAGTTGGCCAGACTCGACGGTATAAACAACCCTCAAGAGAAACTACTTTGTCTGAAATCAACATTGGTAGGTCTTTCATTTTGCTAATTTTTTTTTTTTACTTGTTTGAGCCATCAAATTTAATTTTCCTTGACCTAAACCAAGCTTGATATTTTTGAATTGTATTCTAATTCAAAATTTAATCAATAAATGAAAATTGGTCATTTTCATTAGGGTTTTCCAAAAAGTGATTTATAGCACTTCAATAAAAAAAATTAATGCCATTTTGTGAAATTTCTATTTTTAGGATGGTATCACGGATGAGGTGTCCGCCCATCTCAGGATGAATCTTGCCCCTGGCTGCTCTCCGCCTTGCCTCACATCAGATGAGCTCATACCCTTACAGGTACAGAATTGTCTGGAGTTCATATGCATGACCCCAAACAGACCCCTTTCACAGAGCGCCCTTACTGAGGACAGGTTATGATATTTAAATTCAGTGACAAGGAAATTACTAGGTGTTTTCTCAAGTATGTCATAGTGGGACAAAGCCCATCCTTGTGGTTTTGTGCTTTTAAAAAGCACTGGCAAAAACGTTCTGCTCTAACCCTGTAAGCAAGGTTAGACTAGCCTTGGTCAAGGCGTTCAACGAAAGTGTCCGATGATCAGTGGTCGGCCGCTAGCATAAACAGTAGTATGCACTCACACGTACTATAAAAAGCGCAAACAGCAACCTCACATTAGGCTAGGCTACAGTATGCAAATCAGTTGGTGCTGGTCCAACGCTTTGGAACAACCTTTGCTTATGTTTTCTGTATTTTGCCGCTGGTTCCAGCGACGACCTCGTATGCAAATAAAGATGAGATTACGATTCAGTACTTGGTTGTGGAGGCTCATATTGTACATGGACAGAGCGCAGGACAGTGTGGCTAAATTCTCCAACAAGTTTAAAGTCCGCAAACCAAATATAATTTCATATAAATTCAGCAACAAACTAACAAAAAATGCCATTATAGACCGTTGTACCAAGGCGTTTGTTTAGCACCAACCGATTTTGCATAAATTGTAGTCTACTGATAATTATGGTCTCCATATAAAAAGAGGAGAGCACACTGCATGCACCGCGCGCACCATAAAAATGTTCCGAACATGGGGCAGAACACAAAACAAGTTTGTCAAATTTTCGACTTTTTATGGTTCTTAACCAAAAAGGTATTCATGAATGGGATAACAGTGTGATGGAAAAACTGGTCGCTGATAGCCGTCGGCCAGGCCCCTAACCGGTTTTAAACCACACGTTTGTAACTGCTCCATCGCACTGTTATCCCCTTATTTAAATGTGACCAATAATACAATACCAGCCATTGGTTATCTCTGATTGGCATGGAATCATTTCTGGATAAACAAGACCTTGGAATTATTTCATAGAGTCGAGTTCTGTTGACATGTAAACATCAAATCAAGGTGACCCCAGATCAGGGGTCATGAGCACAATAATGCATAGGCTGATCTCTGTCTCTATCTGAGTGAGATATTGGAGCACAAGTTCAGACTATGTACAAGCATAGAGCAAGGATCCAAGGAGTCAGAACTCTTGGGCGATTTAAATTTTGACCATTAACATACCAATCCCTCGGGAATGTCTAATGGGTGATACTCAGACTAGAACTGAATATGGCCAGGTCCGAAACACTTGGCTCCGGCCAGAAATAACACACGCACCTATGGAAGCCACTGACTAGTGGCTGCAGCCACATCACATAGACTCATGTGGTATCTCCGGGCGTAGCCATGTGATTTGGCCATAGTCTATTTCTTTGTATGACATATTGTAATGGTATGGTACCCTGTCTCACACTGCCAGGTCCTGGTGATAAGCCAAGCCAAGTGTCAGTACCTTGCCAGCAACCTGTACTACATGGAGCACTTCCATTGGGTCAACTCAGACCACAACGATGTCGGGTATGTTATGTTTTAAGATGGAATTTTGCGTCGGGGTGATATAAATCGGTCGAGGGGTAAGACATCTGCACTAGAAAGCAGGAGGTCATAGGTTCGAGTTTCACCCGAGTGATTTTTTCCAACTTTCACTCGGGAGGTAACACACTGAGTATACAGTGTTTAAAACGTCGTTGAAGGGCAAAACCTAATTTGATTTATGTTACGTTTGAAACCAAAGGAGACTTTCAACTTTGACAATTGTGCAGGATTTTCCACAATTACTCCTCTTGAATCTCCCAAAATATATCTACATTGTGGGAACAGTTAAGTTGACGGCAGTGGTATGACAACTCACTGAATTTGGTGACTCATAATTATTGAGTCATTCTGAGGCAGTGACTCGAGTTGAGTCTCATTCGTGCTCAAATAAATGTGTATCACTGAAATTTGGGGCCAGCTTATTGCGTATCGTAATCTTAGAATGGATGAAGTTCCAGCATTTCTTTTTTAATTTCTGGTTACTTCTGGTATGAGGAAGGGGTATGCAGTACGATGTATCCATTGTATTCATAAGAAGGTTTGCATCGCGGTGATGTAAATTCACTATTGGGTTTTGCCCTTCACCAACATATTTTTTTACAAACACTGTATACTCAGTGTTTTCCCAAGTGATTGTGACAAAAAAAATCAATCGGGTGGCACTCGAACCCACGACCTCCTACTTACTAGTGCAGACGTCTATCCATTGTATGTGCCTTGCAAGCACATACCAGCATACCCTACTTGGCTTGTACCTTGTTATAAGGCCTCTCAATTATTTTCCACATTTTTACTCTGATTGATGGCAGATTTCGTGCTTTAAAATTCTTGATTGCACAATATGGGCTGAATTGTAGTTTCAAACTCAAAATCTCAAACATGGCCCAAAGAAAAAAAACCTATAACTTCCTGATTTTTTTGTTAACAATTTTCTAAAAATAATTTGATCCTTACATATTGTTCACGAACATGGTCATACTGTTATAATGACATGTTTCTCCTTTATTTTATTCTGTATAGATACACCCTTGTATCTTTTAAAGCAGCGATGGAGTATATGAAGAACACTGACTTTACTAAAATCATGGGAAGCAAAAAACTTAAAAAGGAGGTAAGTGTCAACTTTCTTAGTCCAAATAGACTATTTTTTGTAAAAAGGAATCCTAATTCTTGCAGCCCCTGTACCTTGAGTAGCCCTATACCTTGAGTGGCTTTTAGACTTGTTCAGGACAAATATGCATTTAAAAAAAATCATGTCAGCAAAGCGTGATGTCATTGTTTCAGGTCTATTGAACCCTGATTAAATAATAAACTGTCGAAATACCCATGTCTAGTCTGTTGAAAAACCACCATTGTCTCACAGATGACAATAGATGAGCTGATGGCAGCCTACAACTCCAACTTTGACCAAGATCCGTGGCTTCCGGAGTCATCGCCCGTGCCTCGCTCCACCATCGGCAACATCACCCGCATGATGGAGAAGACCTCAGTGTCCTCCGATTCCGAGGGTCACAAGACAATATATGCAGGTAAGATCAGAGGTGAAAGGTCAGGGTCACTTAGGGTCAAGGGTCATGGAAACATTGTCCAGTCACGATTGCAATAGGGAAGATTGAGTAATGTTTGATTCTTGGAATTTTGTAGTGGTAGAGGTCACTATAAACAAGATGAATCATATCCGATCTTGGGAGCATTGGTAGCGAACCCAGGAATTTCCGATCATATCTCACGTGTGTGCATGAGCTTGAATACAACGTGCATAAGGTTTACTCAGAAATTGTTAGGTCTGAGACAAGCACAGTCAAGCCAAAGCAGTATTAGGAGGGCAATATTAATGAGATTAATCAAATCCAGTCTTTGGACCCTTACCAATTTTGGACCTGCAAATTTCTGAGCATATCACATGTGCTGTATTCAAGATGCATCCTCATGTGCATGCGTGAGGGGTGCTCCGAATCGCTTGGGTTTGCTGAAAAGATCCCCTGACTAGATTTGATGCATCTTGTTTTGCAGGGATGTAGTCAAGTCCATCACAAGTCCATGCAAGTCCATCACAAGTCCTTGTAGTTCATCCACTGTTACTTGTGACTTGACTTGTCAATGGACTCCTGATCAACATGGGGAGTCAGGTGGGCAGAGCATACTTTCCTCGCCTTCCACCGCTGTGGCCCGGGTTCGATTCCTGCCTGGGCCAATATGTTGATTGGGTTTTCAGTCCCTACCTGATTCCGTTGGTTTTTCCTCTGAATACTCTTCAGGGGATTTCCTCCCACATCTAAAACTGATTTCTTTACATTGCCTTCTCTTTACTGGGCCCCCTGGAAGACGAGTGGATTCCACGTACTGAATGGGCTACCCCAGTTAAAATACAAATTCAATAAAATGTGACTGGACTTGTGATGGACTTGTGATGGACTCGACTCCATCCCCGCTTGTTTGATAGCGCCCTCGACCACTGCGGTGTCTTTACCGCGTTTGTCATGGACTGGCTGCATTAGTGGAACAAAATCCAGTATACCCATCATCATATGCGACAGAGCGGTACCCCCAACCTCCCTGTTCTCTATACACACCCTAGACTATTGTTATCTAACACGTCCCCCCTGAGATATCTCAAAAGAATTCCTGAGATTCTGGTAACACAATGACCAACACAAAAGGGGGGGTTCCCTCTGTCACATATCATGCTCCATAGCCAGTCTTTGACCAAAACCATCGACAAAGCTGAGTTTTCCAAAGCTCTGTAACTCGTTGATACCTGTGAGTGATTGATTCATGTCCCCATTATCCTCAGGCAAACCAGCGATGACCAAGCCAAGGACCAGCTCCAATCCAGTTCCTGATGTGGTGCCACATATTGAGAAGCCTGTATTGGGGTAAGTACCAAATAACTTCCTTGGCCCTTGCAAAAGTCCTTTAGGCCAAAAAAAAAAGTCTCCGGTTTCTGGTATGCGCGCGTGTCGCCGTAGCCATGCGCAAAATGAAAAAGTTCTTTTTTTCAATGAAAGATGATGTCTCAAAACCGCCAAACTCACTGGTTTGACTGGAATCCTGCTGCTGCACAATTTTAACGTGTTTTTAAATGGGGTTATGATCGAGAATAAGCTTTATGTGGCCTCTCTGGACTCCCATATTTGCACTAAGTTTAGTCGGGCACCATTTGCAGTCATCAGCCGACATTTGAAGGAAAAAAGTCAGGTAAAAAAAAAAAAAAAGCCGCGTCGTCGCACCACTTTTTGGACAAGCTCCATACCAGAAACCGGAGACTTATTTTTTTGGCCTTATATTTTTTGGCTTTTTTTCTGCTGCAAATAAATTTGAAGTTGATGTTGGTGACTGAAAACGTGGACAAATATTGAAAGAACAAAGTTTGACTTCTCGGGTTCAATGAAATTTTTGAGGCGTTCTGGCAAATTGAGGCTGAAGTGGGAACTGGCCTTAAGGAGAAAATCGTCCAAAAAAACCGAATGCTTTATTTTTCTTTTCGATTTTTAGATTTATAGATATTTGTAATCTTTGATGTCTACTTCACATATTTTAAAAGAATAGTATAAAAATGGTTGTTTTTAAGGAAAAACAACTGACATCTTTCTATTTCACGACTTCAAAACAATCAACAGTTTAAAGGCCTTTTTCTCAGTATTTTACTTTTTTGATAAATGTTGACGAATGCAACAGTAAATAGCCATAACTTGTTAACAGAATATCCGATTGATGTGCAACAAAAACAACCTCATTTAGGCCTCAAAAAAAAAAGTCTCCGGTTTCTGGTATGGAGCTTGCCCAAAAAGTGGTGCGGCGACGCGGCTTTTTTTTTTTTTTTACCTGATTTTTTTTGCTTCAAATGTCGGCTGATGACTGCAAATGGTGTCCGACTAAACTTAGTGCAAATATATGGGAGTCCAGAGAGGCCACATAAAGCTTATTCTCGACCATAACCCAATCTAAAAACATGTTAAAATTGTGCAGCAGCAGGATTCCAGTCAAACCAGTGAGTTTGGCGGTTTTGGGACATCATCTTTCATTGAAAAAAAAACTTTTTCATTTTGCCGACGCGCATGGCTACGGCGACGCGCGCGCATACCAGAAACCGGAGACTTTTTTTTTTTGGCCTTAGGGACCGTGACCATTCAGCCCTGGTATGGAAAGGGCCCCCTGTACCTCGTCCGGTCCAGAGCCAATCCGGTCTTCAGCCCAATCTCGTCCGGTACATGGTCCTGTCTGACCAGAAGTTTTGAAGTCAGTCAGGCGCATCAATTTATTGCCCTTCAGAGAACCTCCAGAGCAGAACAATAGTAGACTTACCGGATTAAAGATAGAATCCTTCCAAACGCCTTGGTAATTTACGGTCCCATTGTGCGCGAAACCTCATGGCAGGGGTTTTGATCTGTGCTGACAAAAGTGTTCTATTGTTTCGCGCTGAGAGATGAAAACCACAAGCGGGTTTCTTCTGGGATATATTACAGGTGTCAATACTTGCAAACAATAGACCCCAGGATAGAGGAGTTCCTGATTAGCAACCGGACCAGCTCCTGGGCCGGTAGCTGGGACGGTGCAAAATGACTTCTTGGGAGGGGACGAGCTTACCGGGGGGCCCTTTTCATACCGGGGCTGAATGGTCACGGTCCCTTAGACCTCTGCGCAGTTCTGTCTCATTTTGCTGGAACGCCTCACATTTGTGCTCTCCCAAGCCCATAACATACAGAGTTACTTACCTGACGAAATTTTCATGCTTCTCCTGCTGAACAAGTTAAAAAACAAACGCAAGTTGGCAAGACATTTTCAAAATTGTACTCAAGTCATAAGTCAAACTTAGGTCAAGTTACAAGCCAATCACAAGTCAAATCTCAGGTCACAAGTACAGAAAGAAGAAAAGTGTCAAAGCTGTGCTATTGTCGTATTGTATTTAAAGGGAAAATACAACATTTGCAAACATCAAAAAATAAAACTACCAAATCATTTTGAAATACCTTGCTGGACTGTTAGTGAATGACAGTCTAAAGCATCCTATAAAATCATGGCACCTGGTATACTGTCATTTTCAAGAAAAGTGGTATTTTTGTATCAATTTCCAACGCTGATCGGCCGATCAGCGTTGGAAAAAACTGGCTTTTTTCAAATACTGGCCCCAGTTGACCATCGCACTTGTTTGCAATCGATCACACACCTATGAACGGGTACAAACCAGCTAGACTGGTTCCCTGACCTTACAATTCCCCAATATATGTAAACTGCTCTGTTTCTTCTTAAATGGAGTCAGGGAACCAGACTACAGGAAAATGATTGTTTTTCTTGGTTTTTATAGCATTTTCGAACCCAAAACCTCAAAAAAGTCAGTGTAACTATATTTGCTATATATTTCCAACCCCCCAATTCCATCCATTTCTAAAAATTACAGCAAAAGCAAATGATGTATATTCCCTTTAAACAGCTTGTCCTTTGATGTGATCGACATTTTCTTGTGATCGACTTGTGATGATTTGTAATGACTTGATTAAAAATTCCTAGACCATTCGTTATTATTATCATTTATTTATGGTACGTAATGAAACCAAGGATTCCTCAAAAGTGCCCTAGGCACTGTAGCTCACAAGCCTCAATAAACCTGCAGAGAGGAGACAATGAAAAGAAATTACAGTTTAAGAGGTCGGAGGGAAACCCTAGAAGAATATTCTGGGGGAAACCCACGGAATCAAGTAGGGACTTGTAATCCGGTATCTGTTTCTAAAAGACAATACAGGTTAAACTTACACTAATCTGTGATGCAGAGAAATCGTGAAAACATTCTTCAAGATGTTGATTCTCTATTTTCCTTATTTCGTATTCTCTGTTTTCATTTTTGATGCAGGGATTTTCTATCAGCATTACAAAACGATGTCCTGGACTGTACATACGGAAAGCTGGACTGAAAGGACTGGGGGCAAGTCTATCAGTGGTCTCGCGCCTTTGTGAAATAGAGTGGGGGGGGGTTAAAAAATACCGGCAAATACATCTTCTTCTGTGAACAGTGTGTTGTATTCATCATTCAAGTGAGATTTTCATTTTTACTCCAACTCAAAATCGGTAGTGGTTACCTCTTAAACTTGGGTTGTTGATGAGGGTTTGTTTAATCAATATTTTGGTGGAAACTAAAAACTCCTAAAAGGACAAAGCTGAATCAGACACTGTTTGTGTTTTTAATTTTTTGTTTTTGTTTTTTTGTTTTACGAATCTTCCGCAAACACAAATTTCAGAACACCGTGTAGAAGTTTTGTTCAGTCATAATCTGCAGATTTACCCGATTGCGCCAAATACTGATAAATCTTAAATGCGTGCAATAATCATCAAATAGACAGAAATTTCTTTTTGTGTTTTGCAAAATTATGAAATGCAGTAAAAAAAAGAAAGGTGATTTTTGTGTAAAACAAATTTCTTTTTAGAATTCCCCACACACTGATACAGTTGATAGGCATCTGTTAATATATCATGAACAAAATTCTATGCAGCGTAATTTTACAATTTTCCTTGCAGTGTTCCTTTCTCTGTATATACTTGTATATTTTTGGTGTGAAAGGCGATACACAAGTTATTGTACCAGCTGCTTTTGGATATTTCTGTAAAATAAAGATGGACGTTTATTTCAATTCTGGAGTTGTAAGGAAGACAATTTTATGGAAGACAATTTTATGTATAGAAAGTTTCTTTCTATTTAAAAAAAGTGGCCTCTTGTTACATTTTATAGTGTATTTTAAACCCTAACTCCCTATAGGCCTTTTGCTTGGATGCATCCTCAATCGTTCGAAATCCTGCAACTGCCTCCATGTAAAAATTGCATACAGCATCAATCCTCCAAAATCCTCCGTTATTTCTTGAAATTGTTCCTTGGAGGGGTGACCACTACATTCAATCTTACAAAATCCTTCAACAATCACTGTTAATATGTCGAGGCAGTGCTGATGATATCCAGAAGCAGTGGGGATGATTTCAAGTATTATTTCGGCCTAAATTTATGCAAACTTAAACAACATAATATTCAGCCTAGACCTTGACGCAATGCATCCTGCAAAATCAACTGACACTTTTTTGCCATTAAGCCTCAATCCTTCAAAATCCTCCACCTGTGCGAAGAGGATTTTGGAGGATTTGGGAAGGTTAGGTTAATTAATGCATCAAGTTTTCTTGTATCCTACTAAAGTACAGCAGACCCTCGTTAGTACAAACTCTGTTAATACAAAATTCTGGTTATAACAAACATAAAGCCTTGGCTCCGACTGTGCATTTATGTGCACAATGAATGGGACTGATGTTCCTCTTAATACAAAATTCTGATACAACAAACAATTTGGCAAGGTCCGAACGAGTTTGTTATAACGAGACTCGACTGTATATGAGTTTCAAGGTTTCAACGACCAAACTAACTTATCCCTTCATTTTTTTCTTTTATTTCAATAAAAGAAATTAACATTTATGAATTAATTCACATTTTGTTTAAATTCAACTTTGTCCATTAGTGGGAAGCCTTTATTTCAAAGTACCGGCTGTAGACAAATTCTAATTTAAAAACGGTTTTCATATAAAGAAAAATATTATAAACATGATGCAACATCAACTCTTTTTCCCCTGAATTCCATACACTTAGTATATAGAACCAAGTCGTAAAGTCTTTATTTATTGTATTTATCAGCTTTTCAAGAAAACCTGGTGAATTTTTTTTTTTTTTTTAAATGATTAATAAGGAACGTTTGATTAAAGAACGTAATTTCTTACATACGCTAACACTGAAATTTGTTATTTATTATTTATTATTTAAAAACAAAAAAAACCTAGTGTAAAATAAATTTGACTGGATGACTAATTTAAGATGAGGAATATGCCTGTATTTTGTTCATGTTTGTTAAAATAGGCTGAAATCTTATAACCAATCTTATAAAAAATAATGCAGAACAGTAACCTTGAGTGGCCAGATAATTCTTATGTTTGCTTATGTGGGACATGACCCCAAGGTCACACAATCTCTGCACATCTTGGAAGGCATCTTTTGTTATTTTAAATCAGTAACAATGAATGCGCAAAAGGTTTACTCTAGCGTATCCCAGCAAAACAAAGGTACTGCCCTCTAAGATGGCTGCTACGCATAAGGTCTATACGAGTCTCGCAGACATTATGGACAAATCTGGGCACGCATTCACTTCTATCACGATGGCCCCCTTCAATGGCGAAAGCATTGTGCTAGCCATTGTTCAGATAATCATCAGGGCCAGTTCCTGTGTACAGCAGTGTGTGCAATGGTTTCTCCTTTGATGGAGCCCTGTACAGTGATCACGGGCCCGGATTCATCTATAAGGGCTTACACATTTTGCAGTCAGCTCCAGAAGTCACTTGTCAGTTCATACATGTAAAGTTACAAATATGAGTGGCTCAGAGTGGAATGGGAGGCATATTATCGCAAGGTAAAATCTGGACTTTTTTATTTCACGAGGCGAAGCCAAATGAAATCGAAAAGTCCAGATTTTACCGAGCGATAATATTCCTCCCATTTCACAATTTAAAGCCACTCAATATTTGTTCTATGTACCTGACTAGATCCTTGTCATTAGATTTACAGTTAAAACGAATGTCCATTTCAATACAAAATTGGTGAGAAATGTATTTTTCTCTTCCAAACCACCCCTTCACGAAATGTTTGAACGCAACTCTGTAGCTGCTGGCTCTTGGGAACAATACGCACAACGCTTAACGCGCACATCAGCATGCATTTGCACACAAATACCGCGCCATGGAACAAGGATGATCCAAACTGTTGAACAGTAAATCCCATTCACATTGGGCAAATGGGACTTTTTGAGCCCCGGCGTGAATGGGAGCAATAATACTGACAAGGATCTGTATGTCAGTTATGTACTACCTAGGATCCACACTGTTCCCTACTTTAGTTCCTTGACAACTCCCATAAGGTTTGTACACAAAAACAAACAAGGATTCGGGATAAGGTCCTTGGAGTTATACCGAAGTGTGCCGCGTATTCTGTTTCACGCGCGTAGCTTATGTGTGTAAAGACTTCAGCACGCGAACTAGCACATGAACCAGAACAAAGACAGCCGACATCAGACTTAGGTACCCTATTGTTATCCCAGGTAACCCTTTGTACCAAGTCCTCAAGCGTGAAGGATAACCTGTACAAAATGTCTTGATGAATATAATCTTCGCCACAGCATTATGGTTGATATGTAGAGCCAGGAACACAACACACTGCCTTCAAATGGGGGAATATTTTATTGCATAAAAGCACAGCACTGTCATAACAGGAAAGCAAAAACCACCAAAACATTTTTCCAGATGATCAAACGAATCTAAAGCTCATGTAACTAGCCACATTTATTACAATGTGCAGCTATTTGTTAATTCAAAGCCAGTATTATTTCTAGTAAACACGATTCTTGCTTGGTTTCTACTTGGCTTTACTTCTGTGCATTTTTCATTCCGGGCTTGATCAAACATTGAAGGCTATTTTCCTTTAACAGAATCGTAACTCACAATTCAATCATCCTCAATGGTAATGTGAGCCTTGGAGTTCCCCTTGCCTGCCTTCCTGGCCAAGTACCGATCTCTGGCAGTCATAACACTCTCACCGACATTCCTCTTAGCAAACTTACTCCCCACAACCTCAGTCTCTTCCTTATCATCCAGTGACTTTTTTTCCACTGGTTTATCGTCCGTTTTCCGTGCCTTATTCTCCGACCCACTGTCATCTGAATTCCGCACATCCTGTTTCTCCGACTTCCGTGAAGCGGAGTGTCTTTCCTCGCTACTCTGATGCTTCATGTCACCGTTGTCTTCATCTCTTGGCCTGCGACTTTTCTCTCCATCTCGCCCTTCGTCATGATGTCTGTGTCTGTCTGAATGGCTATCTCTGTGGCGGTGTCTGTCACTATCACTGCGTTTGTCACTAGCTTTGTCGCTATGCCTATCACTGTCCTTGCTGCTACTCTTATGATGGTGCTTGTCACCGCTTCGGTGACGTTCTTCGCTGTGCCTTTCTGATCTTTCTTTACTCTCACGGTGTCTATCTCTCCCTTCGTCCTCATCATTATCATCATCAGAATGAGTCTGGTGCCTTGGCTTGTCAGTGTCCCTGCAATAAAAAGGTAAACGTCATGGAAGTTAAGTACCGTATCTCAGAATAAACTGTAGTGAAATTATTCCCTGTAAGGGGCTAGACGTAACCAGTGATGGCTGGGGTAAGAGTTTACTTTTCCAAAGGCCCCGAGTATATCGCACAGCATTAATTCTTGGCTAAAGAGGTTATAAAACTGAGGAGTTAGTACCCAGAAGCATATGCAAGGTATGGGCTCTGTGCGCGAACGAAAGAGGGCGCCCTTTTAGCAACGACGTCCCATGGGTGGGGCATTTAGCTGGTTGACGGGCACCGTTCCTTGTGTGTGACGCACGTACACCAGGGGATTTGTACTATGTACACGCAGTGGTACATGTACATGGTACGGCCGCGCGTCGCGGCAAAATTGCAGTCAGGCAAGATGGCGTCGTTCGGTCACCCCCAACTGCGGTTTCTTTGCCGGTGAGGGGGTACTTGTGAACGGAGCGGATACTAAGTTGGTAGCAATTTTCTGATGTAACACTCTGAACAGTTTTCTGATGCAACACTGTGAACCAAAATGGAATAGCATGGTACGACGTTCCTCAAAACTCACCTTTTTTCAGTTTTGATCTCGGTTTTATCCTTGGGCTTGCTGGCATTCTCTGATTTAGTTTGTTCCGTCTCCTCGCCAGTCGTCTGAGCCAAGATGTGTCGGTAGAAACCACTCATGTCTTTCTGCTTGGTCACATCATTGGCAGCTGGGGATGAATGAACAAAGGTTGGCATTGGACTGTTATGTGCAGTAGTTGGAGTGTACAAGCATTACAATCACTGTGTGGACTTCCGAACAAAAGAGGTCCACATAAACCTGGTAGCAGCACTTGTGTGGACTTGCCCACGTCCACACAGTGTATGCCCCTCTCTGGAAAGCAGGTTTAGAGGCAATTTGGGGTTAGGTTGGCAAAATGAAGAGAAACAAATTATAGAAACAAATGGAATCATAGAAACAAATTTGGGTTGAAAGAGTTTTCACAATGGGAGTAAAATGATTTTTTTTCACAGGTTTTTCTTAACGGAATGTCCATGTAGGCAAATCTATCACAAGTCAAATCACAAGTTATTCACAAGAAAAAGTCGATATAACAAACTAGCCACAGGTTACAACAAGGGAAGAAGATGAACAGTGAAAAATGCATTTGTCCCATTTGAATATTTTATCACTTAACTGGAGAGTAAAAGAGTTGTGCTCGACTTGTGAGGACTTGACTATTTTTCTGACCATTTACAGTACTCAAAAGCAGAAGGCTTTGAGAACTCCCTTTGTAAACCCCCAAAATCTCATCCAATAATTATGCTGAGCTTGACACATGAATCCGAGAACTCTGTTGCTCCGTACAATACAACATCCTGGAACTGCTAAGCAGAATATTGTGCTCAACAAAAAAAAGAAACTGCTTGAAAGTAGTCAAAGGCATTGAACATAAATGCATTGCATTTTGGTTGAGACCTATTTTTCGGTATAGCAAAATTTTGTGCCTGGCAAATTTGTGTGCTTTGCAGGTCCATGAGAATTGATCCTTTACCCTTGGAAGGTGGGGAGTGTGGCCTAGTGGTTAGGGTTCATGACTCGTGATCAGACAGTCAGGGGTGCAAATCCAGCTTCTGGCCATATGTTGTGTCCTTGGGCAAGCCACTTCACCCCCACTTGCCTCTCTCCACCCAGGAGTGTAAATGGGTACCGGCATTAGCTGGGGCGTAACATGCGATGGACTAGCATCCCGTCCAGGGGGAATAGAAATATTCTGTGTCATTTCATGCTACTGAAACCGGAGATAAACGCCAGCCTGATGGGCCACATTGGCTCGTGACAGACTTCACTTACTTACTTACTACCCTTCAGCAATTAGTTCAATTAAATGGTTAGAGAGTTTTGACATCAATCCCAAAAAAGAAAACCCTCTCAAAAACTATTGCAATGCGCCGTGAAAATGGGTATATAATCTGCAGTATGCATAATAATGGTCAGTTTTGAAAAGCGCCCCCATTGGAATCCTGGTGGATTGTTGTCACAACATTTTTTGTTCAGCAATTAGTTCAATTAATGGTTAGAGAGTTCTGAGATCAATCCCATAAAAGAAAACCCTCTCAAAAACTATTACAATGCGCCGTGAAAATGGGTATATAATTTGCAGTATGCATAATAACGGTCAGTTTTGCAGAGCGCCCCCATTTACCCTCCCCCCCCCCACCCTTTTTTTGATTTTACGGAGGCCGAGTTTCCAGATGTGCGGTTGCCCAAAGCTGGATATGCTACTGCTACTCTTGGAAGAGGCAGATGAGAACAAGCAAAAAATAAAAATAAATAAAAAACACTCAAATATACAAAACAAATTAAATGCACCACTCCCCAAAAAAAACAGAACACAGAAAAAAAGAAGAAGAAAAAACATAAAGCACGCTCTAGTGATACCTTCCATCTCAGCTTCCCGTCGTTCTCTCTCCTCCTCCTCAGCAAGCTCCTGCATCTTCTTCTTGTAAGCCGACGTGACGAAGGCCTCCTTGTCGGCAAACTCCAAGCCCTCTGCCTCCCTCTCATGCTGTACCTTCCGCTCCTGTCGCCGCTCGTGCTCCCGCTTCCTCTGGGCGGCGGCCTTGAGGAGGTTATCCATGTACTTCGGCTGTTTGGGGACAAATCAACGTTTTTGACAAAATATGGGTTGATGATGAATCGATCAATGAAGCCTTGGCCAGTGATGTTTTGGTCAAGTCCCAGTCGAAATTCCATGCACTAGCGTAAATACTTGCGTCGGCCTGCACATCTGAACACACACCCAAACGTGTGTTCATCACAGTCGATCGTGGACGTCCTATTGTCCCTCTTTTGTTTGTACTTTTTAGGAAGACTCCCATAGGTTTTGTACACGACCCCAATCGTGAACGTATGCTGGGAATCGTGGACGATATTGTTCTCTTTTGTTCTCTGGTATTTTTTGTCCACGGTTTGAAAAGATGAACACGTACAGATCGACATAGGGGCGGCCAAATGGATTTGTCTATTCATTGGTTTAGACAGTAAAAAGGCATGACAGTTCTAGATAAACTTTTTTTCAGGGGGGGGAAAATTGTTTTTGGAAGTAAACACTCATAGTCATTTCTTTTGAAAATAAGGCATTTGGAAAAATTGATAAAGTAGCAAGAAACTCTTTGAAAAGCTAATATTAACACAAAATAATAAATGACTTTTGTGGCTCAAGTTCTTAAACATCTCACGGGGGTAGCGGACACACAGATAGGGTCATAAACACTAAAATGACTGAATGTTGTGCAAATATTACAATCATGCATCCACCATGGTATGTATTTTACTGCCGCACAAGTCGAGTTGTTTTAATATTTAGTGCAACAAGATAAAGAGACAATCTGACAGTAAAAAAAACCGACAACGAACTTACAATGGCTAAAGAATGCAGACATTTTTTTAATGATCAAAGTTCAGCTCCTTAATACATTTACATTCAAGATTTTTACAGAACTTTCACTGTTGCAACAAAAAACAAAAATGTTGTGCTGAAATCGGCTCAATAGGCTAAACAGACTGATAAATAAAAAAATACTTGGAGTCCAATGCTTATAAAAGGCTTCTACATGTATATGAGAATTCTATCTCCTTGACACAACACCCTTTACAGTTGGTGCACTGAGTCCGTCAACATGCATTATGTAATATCCACGTGTGATGTGGTACGTCAAAATCAAGCACTTTTGGTCAAGAAGTCACTTTTGAGTTATAGCAATATAAGTAAAATATAGACGTTGTTATTTCAAACGCCACTTTGTTTTTTGAAATTGGATATCCCAAAGCAAAGTTATTAAAGTTTGAATTTGGATTGTCTAAAATGCCACGTTAATTTTGCGTCATTTCAAAACGAAATTTAAACAAAATGTCATTTTGTGAAATTACACGCGTCTCTAAAAGTGTTTTGAAAGTACTTTGTCAATGAAATTTCAGTTTGAAACTTTTACAGAACGTTTTAAACATAAGTGGCGACACAAAGTTAAAAAAAAAATCACCCCAATGTCATTTGCAGCTGTTTGTCCATTCGTACCTCTACCCAATTCTGCCTGGTTTTGACATACCACGTCACATTTGTCATTCTTAAAGACTAAACAAGCCAATATGCTTCTGGTTTGGTTCAGGTGTCAAAGGTCAAGACTCAAAAGGCCAAGTCTCGAAGGTTCTGTTCAACTCAAGGAAATACAACATTAGGCAGGGTACTGCTGTGCCTATCACCAACACCATCCTCATCATCATCATCATCATAGTCATCTTCTAAATCCTCTTCATCGCTTAATAAATTCTCCTCGGCCTCTTGGTCTGGTTCTTCCCCGATGTTGTACACCGTGAAGAAACCACGCCTGAGCAGCTGGAGCTCTCGTCCGATACCGGAGAGCACGCTAAGAAGCTGCTCCTCAAACTTAGAGGTTTTGTCCTGGCAGGAGCACGTTCTCTTTCGACTCGAGCAAGTGGGGTTGTCTGTGTCATCTTCCTGTCGCTTCCGTTTTCTCCCTGACGTGAACCTGGGGATAGTTCTTGGTCTGCCCCGCTTCCTCACCAACCCTGGGTACATGGACGGACGAACTGACTGTGGGAACTTCCTCTTTTTTCTTGTCGCCTTGAAGGGATTGGTGTCAATGTCTGCCATGGTTGATGAGGTGGCCGGATGCGAAACACTACTTTTGGAAACGGCACGGGCATTTTGTGGCGTTGGATGCTCCCCAAGGAAGTCTTCTGTGTGAAATCGGACTGGATAAGGTGCATCGGCGTTGGAGCCGGATGGTGTCTCTTCCAAAGGTGGATGCAGAGAAAACCCAGCGTCATCTGTAACCATCTCAAGTTGAATGTCCGATTTGCTGTCCTCCGTATAAGGTATGGCGGCAACATCGGTGGCACCTTGAGGGGACTGGGCAGGCCTGTTCCTCTTCTCCTTGAGCATGCCGTACATCCGGGCAAACTCCTGGAAGAGACAGAAGAGTTTCTGGGAGCCTCTCAACCGGGCCGGCGCGGGGAAACCCTGGGCATCACTCTCCTCCATCTGCCACACCATGTCCCGGTACTCCCTTCCCAAATTCTTCATGAGGTTCTCCACTTTCATGCCCGATTGCCCGAGCATCTCGCCCATTTCGGCGTAGAAGGTGCCCACCCTCGAGCTGGATTTGGCCTTGACGTACTTGTCGTGGGAGATCAGCAGGATCTTCAGGAGGATTTCGATTTTGTCGAGCTTCCAGGAGGCCCTGTTTGTTCCCGTTGGTAACTTGTCCTAGGAGAGCAACCACAAGATATGAAATCAAAATGTCTGAATCCTCCTGGGTTTTTCACAGTTTCTTTAAACTAGCTCCTCAGTGCTTTGTCTGGCACTTCTCTTCTGATGTGGCATTCTGGTTTGAGTAGATCCTCCTATACATCCGGAAATGTTCGCACACTGCTCTACAAGAGTGCATGCGGGCCTAATAGTCTATACCAATCGGGCAAAAGTTGAAGAATTTGTTGAACTGTACTGTCAGGGGGAGTGTGTACAGAAAGAAGAAGATAAGCCTCATACTGGAATGTATATCTTATTTTTGGTTTCACGCTGAGATCTTGAACAAGGATGTCTACGGATCATGCTGGTGACAGCTGGATACTGTGGACAGGCATTCATTCTACATGGATGTCTCCACTTTACAACACATTGAATTTCAAGAGAGGCACTGACATCTTAGTTTCTTATCAGTCACATATGATGCATTTGACTGTTTTCTGCACTTTACAAGCTTTGCAAGATGAAATAAAATCACGACTGTAGCTGCAAAACCTTGCTACAAGCATATCAAGTAAATTGCTGTCACACTGTGATAGGGACACCGTTTGACGGACTTGGTGTTAACCTTCAAGGCAGAAATCAAGCACTACAGAAATAACAGCCGCAGGGCTCTACCTCAATCCTTAAAAAAATTGCCCAAAACCCTGTTTTATAGGATATGGAAAGAGTTAGTGTAAAGAGAAATGGGCACTCCGTTCCTGTGAACACAGGTTCATCCCCTTTTTAGTGAAACAGGCTTTCTCTAATGGACAGAGTGGTAATGACTTGAGTCAATGACTCGATTTTGGCGACTCGACTTGAGTCCCAATGGGTAACTGACTTGACTCGTTTGTTGCAATTTGGTTTCAACATTGTCAGCGTATAAATTATTCCAGACCCGAAGCCTACGTTAACTACATAGATCTTTCGTAGATCTTTCGTAGATCCTTTCGTAGATCCTTCTTTCTTCAGTAATTTATTACAAGGTGTTCAAATATCAGTGACTCGAATTGACTCGAGCATAAACTTGACCCAACTCGACCATACACTGTGACTCGAGTCCAGTCGACTTTTTTGAACTAATGACTCGAGTCACTTCCTTAAAATGACTCGACTCGGCTCGAGTCACAAAATTCAGTGATTGTTACAACTCTGCTAAATGGATGGGGACGAGAGAAAAGAAAATGGTTAAAAGTCAGCGTTGTTATCGAGGTACTTGTGATGCGTCGCAAGCACATCCCAAACCCAGTCACAAGTAAATCACAAGCCAAATCACAAGTCCAGTCACAAGTAACAGGGGGATGGACAGTAACAAAGGAATGCCTTTGTCTCAGTTCGTTTGGATAGCTTGCGACTTGGCTTAGGACTGGACGACTTGCGATGACTTGCGATGATATGTGATCTATCACAAATAACACAACGAATACACAGACAAAGTCTGTGAGACTTGCAAAGCTTTTTTAGTCACAAACCTTGGAGTCCTTGGTTGCTTTCATGGCCCTGGCCTTCTCTTGTTTCTTCTGCTCCATAGAGTCATAGATACTGTCATACTCATAGACCGTTGGGTCCTCTTCTAAAGCCCGCTGGATCTCAAGTTGTGTCTATGTAAAGAGTTTTGTTTTTAAATAAGTATAGTATTACTTTTCTGGAAAAATACTAATTAATTTTTCGCTGTAGAATAATGTCAATTTAGTGACAAAGGAGTAGTTTCATAGATGAACCAGGATCTTCTGAGCAGACTCATGTTGTCTTAGGCACCATGAACATTCAAACGTCTCAAGGAGGAAAGCAAAGTACTCTATTTCGTCTGAAGTAGGGTCAGGGAACCAGGCTAGAACAGCACTTTGTCTCTGTTGTTTTTTGTGCATTTATGAACACAACACTTTAAACAGGTCAGTGTAACAATATCTGCTATAAAATACTAACTCCAAATCCAACCATTTCTGAAAATTACAGCAAAAGCAAATGTTGTACATTACCTTCAATGTTAGCAAGTTTGGAAACATTTTTCAAATTAATGACTGAAACACAGCCAAAAGCAGGAAACAGGAGTTGCCTCTTTTGAGCACCCTTATTTTATTGGGGCCAATGTTGGGCAACGAGTTTTATTTGTTGATTGATGTAAAAGTATTTTTTACAATGAAACAAAACTACATGGGCAAAGCTGACCTGTTTTTTGACTTTCTGCTTCTGTGCTTCATACTGCAGTGACTGATTGACGGCCGAGTGTGCTGATTCCTGCAAATAATTAAAAACAATTATTCCGAATCTCACATTGGACATTTTTTAAAAAGTGCTGAATCCTGCGTGAACACATTAACTTTAACCTCCCAGGCCTTTTTGCTAGGATGCATCCTCAAGCCTTCAAAATCCTCCAACTGCCTTCATGTAAACATTTGGATAAAGCCTCAATCCTCAAAAATCCTCCGTTATTTCTTGAATCAGTATACTCCCCAGGGAGCTGAGATGGTATTTGGAATGTTTCATTGGCCTAATGAGCAGGGTAAAATTGATGTAGCACCTTGAGTATTACTATAAATACTGGTGGATGCATGCGCTTTTTAAATACACATTATTGTTTTTATTATTACAGATTCCTTATGACAAAATTTAGGGATATAAATTGAAAAAAGACATGTAACATACAGGTATCTACGTTGAACTAAGACCAAATAAAAAAAAAACATGTTTAGCATCCCTGCCCGCTTCCTCTTTGGAGGCCGCTTCCTTTGTTTCTTTTTTTTTAAATTGAAAAAAAAAGGAAAAAAATGATAAATTAAACAGTGACATCATTTTGCATCTTCGTCTGTTGCATCTAGCCCATATAAAGCTGGTATGTCATTTCCCGAGTCCAAGTGGCGGCCATTTAAAAAAAAAGCTGGCGGCAATCTTGAAAAAAAAAACCGGCCGGTTGTTTTCGAGAATGGGTCAGGCGGCCATTTTGGAAGAAAAAAAAAAAAAAAAGGGGGCCTCCGACCTCCTTCCTTTTTTTTCAAAAAGGCAAGACGCTAAACATGTTTTTTTTATTATTTGGCCTAACCCTGAAATGTGAAATGTTGTGCATCCTCCAAGTTTTTGAAATTTTTTTTGAGGCTAGAAAATTTGGTGAGCCGACGGTGGGCCAATATCACTTTGAATGCCATAGCATATGGTTTAATTCCATCTAATAAGCACTTTCACAGCAATATGCATCATCTTGTTCACGGGGCAAAAAGAACACGCATTGCTGAGCACGCACGTCAATCTGAAACTTTTGCGCTTCAAAGTCATCATGCGTTCATTCCAATAACATTACGTACTCGCGTCTAGCAACGCATGTCCTTTTTTCCCCTGTGCACAAGATGGCACATATTACCGTGAAAGTGATCATTGAGGCAATTACTAGACGCAATTATGTACTCAATGTGTTACAGACCTTCACAGCCAATCTCCACCCCCCCCCCTTCCTCGGAAAAAGTTCCGGCTTTTAGAAACTTTCAGAAACATGTAGCCTTGCTGTTTCCTTATTCTTAAAGGTATAGTCCATCATTTGTAATTTGTGCATGTTGTTCGTTTGAAGCAACAATAGTGCCCAAATTCTAAAGAAGGGTGCTGAACAGCTAACCTGATGAAGTTTCAGCTCAGCTTCAGCTGTATATTTCGAGAAAAACAACATTCTAGGATCTCGATTTCAAATCAAAAGATGCTGAATCATGTTTTGAATTGGGCCTGAATTCAGCGCCCGAGACACGTTCTCACTGAGCCGATTGCAGCTACGCGATGTCGCGCACTGATCCGACGAATTATAGCAACCGTGCGCGCGTGTGCATTGTGCCAACGCTTGCGCGCACTTCGCCTATTGAAAAAAAAACAGAAATTTCCAACGGTGCTTCTTAAGACGCACCGCTGGAAAGGCCTTCTTTCGTTGATTTCTTCAAAATGACAGTTTGCCAGAAAGAAGAATTTCACAGGGAGTTTAGTCCCCTTCTTTACACCAAGTATGTTTTTCAACAATAAATACGGCATTTATTTTTTGGATAGTTGCAAATGATGGACTCTGGCTTTAAGAAATTTCAAATGGATTTGTCAGTTTGTGTTTGTACCAGCACCGGTGTTGCTATAAAAACAGGGAATCAGGATCTTAAGATTCTGAGAGGGGCAGAATCTTCCATACATGTACCTCTTCATCACTAGAGTCTCCGAAGGCAGCAAGTTTAGGCAGGAGGACTGGTGTCTTCTTGGACTGATGGGTGATCAAACCGTACCTGGATTACCCAAATATCAGGGAACACAATGATGAGACAATGTTGTATATAAAAAAATACATGTAGATTCGCAACATGTTTTGCAATACCATAATGATAGCAGATGAAAATCGCGTTATTGCTGCCGTAACGATAGCCACTACGTATTTTTTTTTTATAGTATAATGTCCAGATGTCCAAAGATGTACGTGTACGACATGAGTGACACTCGAATGCCATCATATCACCTGATCACCGCCATGCACCAGTCTGCCAGTGCATCTATGAAGATACTATGGGATTGTGCAAAATTAAAATAACGCATCCAAAAACCCATACATTTCGGAATTGAGAAACACTTTTTGATTTCGGAAAAAATTCCACACTGGGCCACCACTTTACCTGCCTGGCTACACACATAGTCCAAAGATTGATTATTGCAACAGCAATCGTGCACGGCCTAGCGGTTAAGAGTCTCGTGTATACTATCAAGCAAGAATCTCGATCATTTGTCGATGAAGTAAGTCAGACTGATCAATAAATAGGAATAAAAGAAGGGAGAGGGTGAGAGTAGAGGAGGGAAAGTGGAGGGAATAACCATAAAGGATGCAACTTTTGGCGCTTGAAAATTAATTGAAAAAAGTGGTGGCCCAGTACCGAAATTTTTCCTTAATTTCAAATCAATTTTATATTATTAATGAAATTGATATTTCAAAAAATTGTAAGTTTGTTTTAAAAAATATAGACTAACTCTCTTTGAGTCTCATTGAGCTTTAATGTACGGAAGCTTGAATTGCCTTCCGCGATACCGCGTTACCGCGATAATTTATCGCAGAAATCCGGAATTCAAAGATAAATCCTTCCGCGATACCGCGTTACTGTGATAATTTATCACAGAAATCCAGAAATCAAAGATACCTATTCCGCGATACCGCGATACCGCGATACCGCGTTACTGCGATAATTTATCACAGAAATCCGGAATTCAAAGATAATTCCTTCCACGATACCGCGTTACTGTGATAATTTATCACAGAAATCCAGAAATCAGAGATACCTATTCCGCGATACCGCGATACCGCGATACCGCGTTACTGCGATAATTTATCACAGAAATCCGGAATTCAAAGATAATTCCTTCCACGATACCGCGTTACTGTGATAATTTATCACAGAAATCCAGAAATCAGAGATACCTTTTCCGCGATACCGCGTTACTGTGATAATTTATCACAGAAATCCAGAAATCAGAGATACCTTTTCCGCGATACCGCGTTACTGTGATAATTTATCACGTGACACTGCGCACTCATCGATTGTAGAGAGGAGAGATATATGAATTGAAAGCTTCCGTATACGTGATAAATTATCGCAGTAACGCGGTATCGCGGAAGGAATTATCTTTGAATTCCGGATTTCTGTGATAAATTATCGCAGTAACGCGGTATCAAGGAATATGTATCTCTGATTTTCGGATTTCTGTGATAAATTATCACAGTAACGCGGTATCGCGGAAGGAATTATCTTTGAATTCCGGATTTCTGTGATAAATTATCTTTGAATTCCTGATTTCTGCGATAAATTATCACGGTAACGCGGTATCGCGGAAGGATTTATCTTTGAAATCCGGATTTCTGCGATAAATTATCGCGGTAACGCGGTATCGCGGAAGGCAATTCAAGCTTCCGTATTAATGTGTAGGGAAACAAAACAAAAATATAATAACTAGCAGGGCTTACAATTTATAGAGACTTATTTACAAAAATGATAATAAATAGGCCCATACCCCAGTAAAAATTAAATATGATTCTAAATCACTTAATGACTTAATAAGTGGAAGCTTGAAAGTGCGCCCTCTTCTGATTCAACTGCGTGTTCATTTCCTCCATGTTTCAACGCACCACTAAACCGTACGGTGGTGGCCTACGGTGGTCGAGTGAGGATTTTTTTCTGTCCGAAATACACCTCTTCCGATCAATCCTTCTCCCAAAATTTCGCATGTATGAATAAAGGATATCGGAGAAACCAAATTTTATCAAACGGGGGGTCGTTTTAAATGGACAAATCGTAATAAACAGGACGTCAATTTACTCACTTCTTTCCACTGCTGGACGCCATGTTGTAGTCTGGTACTGGGCAGTACCACGTTGATTTTGTAAGGAAGACGTGTAGGTGCCTGTAGGTGCAGTGCAGAGACTGAAATCCATTAGTTTGAAAAATGCATTTTGATTACCCATTCTAAATGAAATTGTTCATAGTTTCATATTTCTCATAACCTATCAGCGCAGTCATATTTTTTTCTTCAAATGAGTGCTATCTTTCGGATATTCTGAGATTAATTTCTGAACAATATAAAGTCCCACAGGCATGACAGGGCCACAGTTATTTCAAATTCAACCATGGAAAAATTTCAACCCAGTGTGGTGTCCTTTTTTGTCTCTGCAGGTCGACACCACTTTGTCTTGCATCCAACATTTTCATGCCCAATGGAGGTAGGCCCAAGGAACATGAATCAGTGTCCCCGGAGACTGCTCCTCCTGCTTGTAATAACTTTGATCAATGGATGCTGCGGCCATCAGGGTCCCAGTGATGTCATCAAGAATCAAAAATTAGGTACAAAATAAAAAGTATGAGGGCAACATTTCCAACAGACATAAAAACAGTTGTGGATGGTTTCCGTTTGGAATGAAGAAATATGATTTTCTCTCCTGTTCTTTGAAATATGGACAACTATTTCTGAAAAAAAGAATGGGAAAAGCTAGGAGAATGGAGGTTGCCACAAATAAAAGACTTTGCATACCAAAGCATTTTTGTTTGAAGTTGATCTAGTGTTTGAAACAAACAAATACTTTTTTTTGATTGCGTTCATGGTAGGGACTCCTACAGGAACCACATTCTTAAATTTATAAATTGTTTTTAACAAAATGATGCATACATGTATTTCTATACCCCCCTCTCCTCCCGATCCCCCCCAATAACAAAAGTGCCACCAATACATGTACTATTTCCTTGTGAAATGATGTTTTGCATTTCAAGTTATTTTGTTCTTCCTATTTGTCCACAGGTCTGAGTGTTGGGGTGCTGTCAGGCCTCCTTGTTTTCCTGATTGGACTCGCAATATTTGTCTACTGGCCGACGAGGGCAACAACCTCCCGCCATGCACCTGTAATCCAACATCAGATTTCCTTGGCAAGCACGATGGACTAAAAATAAAATGTGGTGACGCATATAGGAGAAGGAATGGCTAGAAGAGATCCATTCCTGCAGAGTTTGCTGTCACCGGCTGGTTATACTTTAATACAGTCGAATCTCGTTAGTACAAACTCTTTTAATACAAAATTCTGGTTATAACAAACATAAGCCTTAGTCCCGACTGCGCATTTATGTGCACAATGAATGGGACTGATGTCCCTCTTAATACAAAATTCTGATATAACACACAATTTGGCTAGGTCCGAACGACTTTGTATTCACTAGACTCGACTGTAATTTAATATGACGACGTGAACAATTGGGGTAGATTTTGACTGGATTGATTGATAAGAATCATCTTTATTTAAAAAATAAAAATTATCAGATTTTCAACAGAGTGGATGGTGCATAAATTATGACTGCTTTTATAGAAACCGGAGACTCACTGCCAGTCTGAGATATTGATTGGACTGATTGAAATGATTTGACCTGATCATGATGGTGGGCCTCCATGAGCTGCTTTAGAGAATTATGGAATTGCTGTAGTGCTGCTGTGGCAGTGGGGTTTGGTTGGTAATAAAATCCCTGGTGTATTTGTTTCCAATTTGGCCGCCACCAAAAAATAGTAGGACAATATTGGAGTTTGCCTCTTTTTGACGTCAAATTTAAAGGGAATATACAACATTTGCAAACATTGAAAAATAAAACTACCAAGTTTTTACGAAATACCTTACTATGTTGGTAAATGACAGTCTCAAGCATCTTGTAAAATTATGGCACCTGGTGTGAAGTCATTTTCAAGAAAATGGTAATTTTGTATACATTTCCAACGGTGGTCGGCCGACCAGCGTTGGAAAAACCTAACTATTTTTCAACTACTGCTCCAAATTTACCATTTGTTTAGTCCAAATTGTGTTTGCTATTGGTCACATGTTCATGAACGGGTGCAGGCCAGCTAGACTGGTTCCCTTGCCTTACAATTTCCCATCATCTATAAATTGATCCATTTTATCTTTTGTGGAGTCAGGGAACCAGACTACTTGAACATTTTAGTTTTTCTTGGTTTTTCCAACCTTTTCGAACACAAAACTTCAAAAATGTCAGTGTAACAATATATTTGATCTATTATACTAACCCCTCAATTAGTTCATTTCTGAAAATTACAGCAAAAGCCAATGATGTACATTCCCTTTAAGATATAATGAAGGAAGCTTTACAAAATTACTTTAATTTACAAACATGACCATAGGCCCCAAACAAATAGTTCTGCTTCCGATAGGGCATGTGGAAATAGGGTAGGCAAGTTGGCATTTTTTTTTGGGGGGGGGGCATTTTTGTTTGTGTCGATCATTTAAAACGTCATGGGTAAAAGGTAGTAATTTATGGTTTGGGTTTTTGTTCTCATTTTTCCCAAAAACAAATTAGGGTAGGGGCTGTCAAAAATGTAGGGTAGGGTAAACCGGAAGCAGAACTATTTTTTTTTTACCTAATAGTAATGGGCCTAGGCCTAGTATGTTTCTTGTTTGTGAAAATATTGAAGATGTATTTTATAAACAAATGTACCAAGTGAATTGTAAGTTTAGTTTTTGATATAAATCGTATCATTAATTTTAATGTGTGTGAATTTGAAATGAACTCAGTTTAATCTCAGCCAAAACTAGCCTAAATATATGCATATTGTGATTAAATACTGTGAATTTTTATTCCTTTCATGATGTTAATGAAGTATCCTTGATGCCTTTTCGATCTGCGGCATTTTTTGAGTTCAGTTTATTGGGACTTTACAAGTTACCTTGTTATGGGTACCTTGTACATAAATTAACAGTAGCGAAAAAGAGGAAACAAAGAAAAAGAAAGACTTGGGACCTAAAATTTTGCTTGTTATAAGCAGGATGTTGACGGTGCTCTTCTTATCAGGGTTCGACTGTATTTAGGTGGACCTAGGCTATACAGTAATGTCAGTATGCCTACAAATAAAGCTTATCCATTAACAGGCATGCAACTGGGAAGTCACAAAAACAGAGGAAATTCAAATTTTTCAAAGACTTTGTACAGTGTTTTTCTATTTTCAATGGCACACTTGGGAAGTACAAAAAGAGGAAATCAGCCGATCCGAGGAAAAGTTGTATGCCTGCATTAACTAGGCCTATGGCTTGGATTCTGATTAACAAGGTGACCAGCACAGCAGATGAAAATTGCAAGATGAAACATGCAGATGTTATACAAATTTCCTTATTATGGCAAAAATGCATTATTTTTTGACAATTATCATGATTACAGTCGAGTCTCGTTATAACAAACTCGTTCGGACCTAGTCCTAGCCAAATTGTTTGTTATATCACTATTACGAGGAACATCAGTCCAATTCATTGTACACATAGGCCCCAAGCCTAAATGCACAGTAGGGACCAAGGCTTTATGTTCGTTATAACCAGAATTTTGTATAGGCCTAGGGCCTAACAGAGTTTGTACTAACGAGTCGACTGTATAATGTTCACGTAGGCCAACATTATGATGTAGGCCTAGGCCTAATCCCATTTTTTTTTTTAAATTTTGATACAGACTACGTGCATTAAACTACCAGAACGTGTAGGCCTAGTCCTACATTTTTTTATGGTAGGCCTGCGTGAACATGCGTCAAAAGGTCAATGAAGCTTGTTCAAATGTTCACATCCAAAAGCATGACATATGTAAAATGCTATGCCTAGGGCCTTTTTTTTTATTTGAAATAACTTAGTAAGGTCCCAATTTTTATTTAAAATTAAACGACAGACATGATTCTAATCTCTTTTTTGAATTTGTGGTGGCTCTGAAAAGAGCCGGTTGTTTTTGGTTGGGTGTGCTGGCTTAACCGCCGAATCCGTACAGGGTACGGCCCTGGCGTTTCAGAGCGTAGACGACATCCATGGCGGTGACGGTCTTTCTCTTGGCGTGCTCGCAGTAGGTAACGGCATCACGGATGACGTTCTCGAGGAAAACCTTGAGGACACCACGGGTCTCCTCGTAGATCAGACCAGAGATACGCTTGACACCACCTCGGCGGGCCAGACGGCGGATAGCGGGCTTGGTGATACCCTGGATGTTGTCACGCAAGACCTTGCGATGACGCTTGGCGCCTCCCTTTCCCAGTCCCTTGCCTCCTTTTCCACGTCCAGACATGATGATAGCTCAGTAATTCGGTTTTGAAATCGAATGATGACAATAAATTGAGGGCACAGCTTTTACATACACTCACTGCGGACGTCGTACAAACTATTCTTATTGTGCGCCCAAAGACATGCGCAAAACGAGCGAGTCTTTATTTTCTATTGGCTGATATTTTGATGAATATTCAACACCAAATCCAGACGATCCGATATTTTCACAAACGGTACATAATTTCTCTCAAACATGTCAAATTATCGTATTACTTACGGCCTTATATCCAAAAATATATATTTTACTTACACGTACATGAAGTTTCAGTCTTACGATATGATTAATTTTTACATTTGTTCGAATATAGCGACTTTATAACGTTAAAATGGAATCGACATAAGTGAACTTATTCGTGATTTCAGATTACAGTGAAGCAACAGCTGGTCGCTGATTGGATAATAGCTGATGAATAGGCGTCGACATGCTCAAGTTGGATGCAAGCAGTTTTACTTGCAGTTGTACGTTATTTTCTCAAGATTCTGTGCATAAATACAACAAATAACTTCATATAATCAAAATAAATAATAAACTATAACTAATTATATTAAAATTTAATGATTTACTATCAAATTTGTTCGAAACATTGCATTTTTTTCGTAGCATAATTCCGCTATGCAGGATCCTGTGCAGCATCTTGCGTTATGGCGGTAACAATCCGAGGCGTTCATTGGCTATCGAAAAGATAATGCATAAACATTAGCCATTCTGTTCTCGCTTTCGACCAATATTATCGGGAAACAAATGAAAGATTACTTAATACCTAAATGCAAAAGTCATTATTTTTTCGGTAAAATATAACAAACACAAAATTTATATTAGAAATGCACCAATTTAAAGCCCTTTTTACTTGGTTTTGGAGAAATAAAATCCACTTTTTCGTATTCAATTCCATGTGAAACTCCCAAACGCAGGATCCCGTGTGTTTTTTTCTCTGACCAATGAATGGTCTCCCTTATATTAACCAATCACACGTCGCGTTAGTTCCCCTCCGAACCAATGAGTTATCGCGATCTAGGCGACCAATCATTTTCGCCCCACGATATCCTATAAATTCTGCCGCGAAGTTTGGAAAATTATCAGACGAATTTTGTCAAACAAGCAAAAAGATGGCTCGTACTAAGCAGACCGCACGCAAATCTACAGGAGGAAAGGCTCCTCGCAAGCAGTTGGCCACCAAGGCTGCCCGCAAGAGCGCACCAGCCACCGGCGGAGTCAAGAAGCCCCATCGTTACAGGCCCGGTACCGTAGCTCTCCGTGAGATCCGTCGTTACCAGAAGAGCACCGAGCTGCTGATCCGCAAGCTGCCCTTCCAACGTCTGGTCCGTGAGATCGCTCAGGACTTCAAGACCGAGCTGCGTTTCCAGAGCTCTGCCGTCATGGCCCTTCAAGAAGCCAGCGAAGCCTACCTGGTCGGCCTCTTCGAGGACACCAACCTGTGCGCCATCCACGCCAAGCGTGTGACCATCATGCCCAAAGACATCCAGCTGGCCCGTCGCATCCGTGGCGAGCGTGCTTAAGCAGAAGGCTTCCAGAAAACAAAACCAACCGGCTCTTTTCAGAGCCACACTACTTCAAAAAAGAGATTTGAATGAATGTCTGTAAAGTGTAATTTGTGTAAATTTGTTTTCTTACTCTTCTTAGCATGTTTGAGGTACAAGCATGACTAGTGGGCACATCAATTATCATTCACAATAAACTTGGGCTTGGGATTGTTAGGGGCATTGTGTTTTCTTGAGTCAAGAGTGTTTTACTTTCAAAAAATTTAGGTGGCCTAGTATAAAAGTAATTAGGCCGAGTAACTCCAGCAGACCTGCTCAATACTACTATACTATCATACTCATTCACGTGAATGAATATGAGCATGTCAGCCGGAGTTACTCGAGCTAGGTCGGACAGGTGGGCATATTGAATTCACAATAGGCCTAGGCTTAAACGCTGGCTGGCATGGCTGGGGATTGTTGAGGGCATTTTTAGATATTCTGACTGGGCTTCTCATGCAACATTGGCTAGCGACCCGTGTAGGCCTACTAGTACTAGCCTAATTTCCAACTTCAGCTCACACAGGTCATTGGGAGATCCCCCCCATCCATTTTGAAGGACCCCTCCATGAAACAGCTGTCTAGTAGGCCTAAGGGATATTCTTTCCTATTCATCAATCATCATGTCCCCCCCCCCCCCCCTGCGTGGGTCCATGTCCATATAGGCCTATGTCATGGTCATATGCCAGTCATGAGCCAAGAATTTAGAAAGCTGGAAATTCAAGTCTAGGTCTTACTCGGTCCAAAATGTAAATTGTAAACCAACTCGGTCATTCCTCAGGACCAAACCAGGTCAACTCGGTCCCTCATCAACTACGTCCCAAGTCAACTCTGAAATTAAAGAGAAAAAAAATGCTCTAGCAAAGGCCAAAAAAAAAAAGTCTCGGGTTTCCGGTATGGAGCTTGCCCCAAAAGTGGTGCGGCGACGCGGCTTTTTTTTTTTTTTTAACCTGTTTTTTTTTTTTTTTTTTGGCTTCAAATGTCGGCTGATGACTGCAAATGGTGCCCGACTAAACTAAGTGCAAATATATGGGAGTCCAGAGAGGCCACATAAAGCTTATTCTCGATCATAACCCTATCTAAAAACACGTTAAAATTGTGCAGCAGCAGGATTCCAGTCAAACCAGTGAGTTTGGCGGTTTTGTATGAAGCCCGGGAAGGGACAGGGTGGAATTTTTTTTTGGAATTTCCTAATTCGTTCGCACGAATTACTAATTCTTTTGCACGAATTACTAATTCGTTCGCACGAATTACTAATTCGTGGGAACGAATTACTAATTCGTTGGAACGAATTAGTAATTCGTTCGCAAACTCCAGTAATTCGTTCGCACGAATTACTAATTCGTTCGCACGAATTACTAATTCGTTCGAACGAATTAGTTATTCGATGGAACGAATTAGTAATTCGTGCGAACGAATTAGGAAATTCCAAAAAAAAATTCCACCCTGTCCCTTCCCGGGCTTCATAGTTTTGAGACATCATCTTGTATGGAAAAAAAAACTTTTTCATTTTGCCGACGCGCATGGCTACGGCGGCGCGCGCGCATACCAGAAACCGGAGACTTTTGTTTTTTGGCCAAAGTGGGCTGAATCAAATCGGACCACGTTAGGGGTCGCGCCACCTTTGGGTAAGCCTAGGCCTACATCAACAAGAGACCTTAAAATTATCTGACCTTTGTGTGCGTACATTTTGATTCACTTTTTTCTGTTGGACTGGGTTGACTTGGACCGAGGCCCTATGCCTATTTCTTTATCAGATAAGAATAATGTTAGGCATAATGTTGTTAGGCACTTAGCCTACGTGTATTTGTAATTTGAAATGTTGACCCATTGGGGAGCCTTGTTCTCTACTCGGAAACTGTTCCACAATTCGATATGGTAGTTGTTGCTGAATTTTCAGCCCAATGGAATTTCTCGAACCGGTTTTCGTAAAATCATAATACATGTACCGGTATGTAAAAGGGTGCCCCCTGCCAACTCCAAACAGGTGGGCCTTAGGCTGTTCATGTTTAATATTTTGGATGTAGCTGTACCTATTGGAAAAGGCCCAAGACCTAACTTTGTTTTGACAAATTATGCATGGGAGCATGGTATTGGTAGGGACTACAGCCACAACCTCCCATATACGACTATAGAATAGAGTGCACGCTAACGAAGACATAATAATAATGATTATACCAAAGTCGTTTTCCTTGCTCCATGGTCTCATATAGCGTACGTATCTACCAACAATAAGGTACATGTACTCAAGGCGCTGGAAACTATGTCTATTATTAGAGACAGGTAAATGAAGTATATGTACATGAGAAATATGAGAACCATTATGTAGCACCTGTATAATGGTTTACAAGATGCTGCGGCACATTAAACAACCAGTGCCAGAAACACCGGGGCAAACCCCTTCTCTTAGCGATAAGTGTTACTGGGTTCTTTAACGGGACCTACGGCTTAACGTCCCATCCGAAGGACGAGACATGGAAGCTAGTGAAACCTCAATCAGTCTTTGGTTCTAGCTACGTGTACAACTACAAGTACATGTGATCAGATTTGTCACACATCAGAAACGACTCCAACATTCTGGGTTGAGTATTTTAATTGTGAATTCTTGGCAGATTAAACATGTGTAAAATAGGGACAATAAGGCCTAGGCCAACTCATTTTTTTACATCGCCAAATACAATGACAGCCAATTATTTCTTGTCGAACTCGAATAAACGCTAAAAAAACCCATGGCAACAATTACATTAACCACTCAAATGTTCTCAAAATAAAATGTTCTCAACATAGTTTCCAAATGATCACAAATACAAAGAATTTTTAAGTCAACAGTGCACAATAAAAATGAAACGCAGATGTGTTTTACACAAGTTAACCAGGAAGAAACGTATGGAAATGAAGCCATGAACAGCAAATACACACTGTAATTCAAATTCCTAATTTTAAAAGTGCATCAAAATGTTGTACACTATGTTCATTGCATCACACAACCTACAATTACCAATTTTGCCACTTCGAAGGATAGGGGAGAAAAACAGATTTTCGAATAAATGTAGCAATCTTTAATTTTCATAATACACATAGTAATTCCTAGCCCAGGTTGGACAACAGACTGCATTGTACACACAACGGACCGCAGAGGAGTCCAACTTGGGCTATATACAAAATGTAGTTCCTATCTCTCCTTTGTCCATGTAGCAAAGACTGGAAAAGCAAATGACAAATTGAAAGACATGAAAATGAGCGCACAGACATTTTAATAGTGAATTTAATGGCTAAAAAAGCCTGCACCCCACCATTTACATCGTACTCTAAGATGAGATGTCCAAATGTGTGCAAAAGTGAGTGAACAAAGTTAAAATTGTGCAACACATTTTCTTTTCAATTAAAAAGACATCCTGTATAAAACTCCTTAGCTTTTAATACAATTCCAGCAAGTTTAATGCAATGCAAGCTGCTTCTTGTTTATAAATGCTTTAACTTTGCTTGTTATTAAAACTCTTCTCATGTACATGTATTCAGTGTACATGTACACAGCAAGGGCTGAAATAACGGGAGACTTTGGAGACGTTTGGTGGCAGCAAACACATTGGTCCTTTTCTATTGTTCACATCATTTTGAAACATTAGCTTAACCGGAACTCCCTGTACTAGGCATTTTTACTAGGAGGTAATCTCAATCCTGCAACATCCTCCAACTGGCTCCGTGTAATACAGCCTCAATCCTCCAAAATCCTCCGTTATTTCTTGAATGTGGTCCTTGGAGGGGTGACCACTGCCTCAATCCTGCAAAATCCTCTAGCAATCACTGTCAATACACTGCATATTGAGGCAGAGCCAGTAACATCCTGGAGCAGTACGGAGGATTTCAAGTACAATTTAGGCCTACATTTTATGCATGGCTGAGCATAAACAACATAAGGTCCGGCCCAAGACCTTGACACAGTGCATTCTTCTAAATCAGCAACACACTTTGCCATGTAGCCTCAATCCTGCAAAATCCCGGGCTCCATTTTGCAAAGAGGATTTTGGAGGATTTGGGAAGGTTAGGGTTAAACATGATGAAAACAATTGAAAAGGACCGGTGAGTTTGCTGCTACCAAGCGTCTCAAAAGTCTCCCATTGATTCAACTGCATTGCTACGGACTCTGTTCATGAACAGCAGATAGCGTTTTTTGGTCTGCTTAGTGAAGCTACAATGTACTTGGGAGGGTCACACTCAGTACGCGTGCACACAAAATCATTGTTTCACGTGCATATGGCATGAAGTACACATGAAATTACTTTCTTAATTCCATATTCACAAACCTGCAGCGTCTGTGTGCGAGTTTTAGGCAAACTCTGGCAATTGTAGTGCATTTGCGGGTAGTACGGCAACCGGGTATCCTATTGAAGTAATTAAACACAGTTACCCGGGTACCCGTAAAAGAAACCAAACTCCAAAAATTCAAGTCCTGTAAATTGCCTTTACGGTGCAAGCTGCAATTTTTCACGTGCATCATCTGTCATACGTTAAATGCACACAAACGTGAAATCTGTTTTGGTTTTCCATGTATCCTGGTTATCATTTTGAAAATCTCCCCAAAAATGGCATTCAGAATTTTTCTTTTTCATTGTCTGAGAAGTTAATAAATAATTGGTAAAGTTGGTTACCAGTGGTTACGGGTACCGATTCCATAATCTGGAACCAGTTCCTGACATCAGCGGTCTGGTACCCTGTTCCGTTGCACACCCCTAGAGCCAATGCGCAAGTGTCTCTCTCAATGTGATGTCAGTGGTCCCTCCTGACTCTCTCTCTGTAACCCTTGAGGGAGTACCTGTGCACGGAGTCTATATAAATGCATCCTTTCCTAATAGTGTACATTGCTGCATTTCTATAGCACTTCTTAACAAGGCAATTTTTCCATAATAAATTATGGTTTGTTGTTTCATACATATAGATGTAAGACATTTCCAACCTCCAACTTTTCAACAACAACAAAGAAAAAATCGCTAGCTTCAAGTGTTTTATTTGCATTACGTGTTTTCTTCCTTCACACTGCCAAGTGAGAGCATGTTGTTGGAGGTAGGGTACAAGACCAACCTTTCCCAGGGCCCAATTTCATGGCACTACTTTACAGTTAGCAGAAAAGTTGTGATTACTATAGCAAACACTTATGCTAACCTTACGCACTATTTCATGGCGTGGATGTGATAACGGTTGAGCGTGCATGGAGATTTCTATGGTAACGTCACAGATTTAAGCAACGTTTTTCCTCTGAGGTAAGCGTGCCTTTTGTGTGCTTACTGCTTACGGCCTCCGTGAAATAGATGGGGGCTCTGTTAGCACAAAATCATGTGCTTAGCAGCGGCACGAAATTGGGCTTAGTTCATGTCGTGGAAGAGTGACGAAATTATTTTTTTACAACAGTGTCTAATAATTAAAAATGTCATCTGATGACAAATTTAGAAAAACCAGTAATCTACGCCATTACGAAAATACAACACACAAAATCCCAAAAATAATTAAGCACGTAGATGTGTCGCAACAGCATTCACAAACAAATCTGATCAGAAATCAATTGTAAAATAAAATATGATTGAAAACAAAATCATTAAGAAAGCACGTTGATCAATTGACTTTCTTTCTACAGCACATGTTCAGATTCAGATCATTAGAAGACCACACGCAATTGAATTAAAAGCCATTCAGAATTTCTAACGACACAAGTCGACCTATACAATCTTTTTATGCGCTCCTAATAATTCTGTACATGCTTTGACTAACGGCAACCGATTATCCAAATTCTATTCTCAAATCAACTTATCCCTGCATCAACCGTGTAAAGATGCTCACAAAGCCTCTGGATTCTCAAAATAATTACAGGAGTAACTCAATGGTGTACTGTCTATACCATCATCAGCAAAACTGTTCCAGTTTTATCAGTTTTCTTGAACTATCGTATGTGCCAAACCAATGCGCACTTCAGTTCTTCTACAAATTTGTGTGACCAAACCCTTTAAGCGATGCTTTCTGCCCTGATTGTCATGTGGACATGTTGGGAAAAATGCATTTCCGACTCCCCACAATAACATGGTGCCTCAAACATAGTCGGGCAAAAGACAACTTGACGATCAGACCCTTTCACCAGTTTGAACAGCACCCTTATACCCTTTTGACTTGAGCATTCATGAATATGTATGAGCTTTGAGGTGGTAACCATGTCAAAGGTCAAAGGTTATCAATCTAAACATGGGGGGCCCACGATAGACCAGACTAGATTTTCCTCACATGGACCCTGAACCCTTTTCTACATCGCGCCGTTTGTTGCATCCCTGTGCAGCGGTGATCCTCGTTTCAAGCGTTGCGGACAGGTTCGGGTGTTTCTTCAAACCTTGGCCCACTTTGCGAAGGCAGTGATGTCTTTGACTGGGACGTTCTGCTGGAGCGCTTTGACTCGTAGGTTGCGGTCATTTGTCAGAAGAACGACGTCGCGGTATAGGCGAATTGGAGCATCTGTTTGGAGGGGGAAAAAAAAGAAAACTGTATAAAGTCCATGATCAGAGTTATAATCAAGGCAAATCAGGCTGTAATCAAGTCAATCAACTTGGAATCAGGTCAGTCGCATTCACTCAATCGCAAGTCAGGCCATATGTCAGATCACAAGTTGCAGAATAAAACAAAGGACAAAGGAATGCCTTTGTCACCGTTCATCTGCTTAATCTGTTCCTGACATGAGTCTAGATGACTTGTGATTGACATATGTGATACTCTGCTGCAGATGAGGTGTGAATGTTGTTTTTCTCGTTATGGGGGGGGGGGGGGAATTACTACAGAGTGAATTACAAGTACAGATAAACATGTTCACAGTTACTGACACCATGTTGCACAAGGGGCAGAGTAACGCGTCGCTGTGTGTGCACAGTCCAAGGAATATTATAACACTTCCAAGTCATCCGTTTATCCAATCATAAAACAGCAACGTGTACTTTTGTGTTAACAACTATGAACATGTGTTGTACCCAAACTTCCTGGACTTTTTCAATCTGAGCTTTTCTGTAATAATCCTCCACAGTTCTTCTTTGAGTCGGAACCAATGGGATGTCCCTCTTTACTAAAATACTCAAGGGGCATCAAGCACTATGGGCTGAATGCACAAATATCCCCTCAACGGTAAGAAAATAGAAAGTTGGGGAGACCACTGAGAAAAGCATTTGTAGCAGTGCCGACTGTGATATTTCAAGTGTATAACTCGGAGGTTTTGTTGGACTGATCGAGATAGACAACTGTACTATTGTTGGTGCAATGCAAGCATGCTTTATTTGACCTTTTCAGTGACCTTATCTATGGAGCGCCTAGTAGCACAGAATAACACAAGTGATCTTGCATGTAATGGAATGCCTAGGATACAAAATGAATGGCTATGAATACTACACCGACGACGCCTGATGTTCATGCGAAGACGCTATGGCTTTGTGCACATTCAAAATAAAATCAGCTGTGCGTACTTCGCGCTTTGTGCGCACGAACCAGTATGCGCACGCGGTGTCTCCCATCCGCAGGGCTCTCTCGGAAGTGGCAAGAAAGAGCCCATTCCTGTTGCTGCATGGAGCCCATGTGAATCCTATGGAATCCTGCAAAAACTCTTAGTAGATTTTTAGGAATCTGCTGGGGAGTTAGGGTTAGAGTTCAGAGAGGGAAACATCACTATTTAGAAATTTTTCAATTTTTTTTCTTGGCCATTTTCAAGCTTAAAAACCAAAGATGTTGCAAGAGATACGCACCTTTAGTGGTTGGCATGAAGTCCTTGGCCCGATCGTCAACATAATGTAGACAACACTTCAAGATGAGATCATCATTGCATCCCTTAAAAACAAAAACAAACAAAAGAATTATTACATTGAATGATATATTCTTAGTAATTTGTTTGAATTTTGTTGCTCAATTCAAGCTTGAATTGTTTTAAACGTGCTGGTGGGTTCAAACTTAATACCCAACTACGTACACCATGATAAATGGTATAAATGACCAGAACACTGAAGCACACTTGAGCACCATTCTGCCATGCTTCAATGCACTTGTGTTTTACCAAACTTATCCTCACTTTATCAATTCATTGGTGGACTTAAATGCATTTAAGGGCTATGATCAATCGTACCTTTGATGATTCTTCAAAAACTCAGCATACTCATCGTATGTGCAGCACATTGAAAATGCATTTTGAAAACATTACAGAAGCTATGTACTCAGTGAACAGTAAACAGTCTTTGAATATTCAGACGGTAAAAGCATTGTCAAATTTTTGGTTGTAACTTTCATTTCAAAATCAACTGGCAAACGATATCCTCGATTAAACTTGAAAATGAGCTCGTATCGGAACAGTTGCAAATACAACTTTTGTTTTCAAGGCAAATTACTTTTCCCTTTGTGCACACTGTATAGTGTTAAAGCCTGAATCTTTTCATCCACTTCTCATATAACGTTTAAGACATACCTTAAAATCCACCTCCTCGCTGCGATAGGCTATCGTGTCCATGACAGATCCTTTGCTGGTCAGGGCTCGGAGATACTTGTTCCTCTGCTCAAATTTCTCCTCCAGACATCGGATGGCTGACCCAGCCCCCTGCTGGACTCGGTACGCTTGGTTTGGGTCATCGTGTAAATCGTCCCGGCTGCCCTTGCCGAGACCGTCCAGCTCATTGATAACTTGGGTGACAAAACGAACGAGTGAACTTTTTATTCAGTGACAATGCAATGAAGTTTTAAACAATTAATGTAATTGTTGTCATAAGTGACGAAAGGAAAGACTGCTTTTAATATGGTAATAAATATGTGCTTGGCCGAATTTAAAAAAGTACTTTTAAAATTTAAAACTGGCTAGGGGCTTGCATGCGGAAAATAAGCACGTAAAAAAATGTGTGCTCACGAGCATCCTCATTCCCACCGCGGAGTGAAACACGCCGTGGGCTTGAGCTGCTTACGTTGGTTGATTGGCATTTGGTGGGTGGGTGGGTTGCTTGGTTGGTGGAAACTTTACTCGGCCATATATTGTATTCATACAACTCAAGTATTACAGCCTTGCATTGGAAAACACTGTTGCGCATGCGTCTAATCTGCATCTTTTGCATATTAGATCACGCCCTATTTTTTTCATTTTCTGTACTCTTTGAGTTAACGGTATGGCCTGGGCACAAGGACGGTGCTTGGTACTTGTTAAACTACCTTCAATGCTTTATTACCTCTGAATGTTACCATTTCAGGCACAATAATTTCACAGGGTACTTGATATCAGTCCTATCTTCACTTTGAGTAAGTTTTCTGTCATTAAAATTGGGTGGCTACGTTTCCGAGTAATTGCAAATGATCCTACATGGCGTTCATTTTAAGTGGGCAAGTACAACAAGCATCAAGAATAATTGACTGAATCCCTTCCCTTTATTCAAGAAATTTAAAAGAATTGTCAATTATAAACTATTACCAAATGAGAACAGAATTACATCTAACAGCTACTCCAGTAGTAGAATTAGAAACATTTAGCCGTTAATTTCGTTGTGAGTGCGGACAAAATGTGAGGAATGGAACTACATTTGTAAGTGTACATGTAGTTTAATTATCCCCTAAAAACACTGAGATTATATGGACCTTATCTTTGGAATAGTATTTGATGGCAACATTTAAGAACTTCTACAATAAACACCTTGTCATCAATTATCTAAGATAGCTCCCTCTCTTTTATCATTCCATTTCTTTAATTCCTCTTTCTCTTCTGAGAGTTTCAACTATTTCAACTTTTAATTTTCAATACATCCCAGTCTGTTGGTTTGTTTTTGTTTTGCTCGTTTTGTCTGTCCTGTTCGGTTCTCTGTCTTTTCTGTACGATCTGCTGTAAAAGTTCTGTTTGTCAAATATTTGTCTTAAAGAAGCATTTTTATATAAGATGTGGTCTTATAATTGCCCCTTTTTTCATTTGCGTCTGACATAATTGTTATTCTTGTATTGTATCAAACATCTTTTTTATATTGACCATCTGTATCACAATTACCTGAATGTACTTTGCAATAGGGATATAAATATTGAGATGAATTGAATTGCATTGAATCACTGATCCTCTACACAAGGATAAAGGACGTCCCCAAATTTCTAGTTAGAGGCGTGATATGGCACTTGCACACTGTGCGTGCACACGTGAGTTTCGGCACGCGACTGCAGTCAAATTTCTGTCAGGACGCCAGCTGTCGGCGATCATGGCGCGCACGCATTGTTCTACATGTTCTATACGTGGACGCGGTATATCGCGCCCCTAGAAAAACTGTTCCGTACATTTTGTACACAAGCTCAGATGAGTTGTTATCCTTGTATAGAGGATCCGTACGATTAACCTATCGCAGTAGAATCGCGTCAACGCAGCTTGTGAAACATTGTCCAATTACATGATATACAAATGGACGTGGAACGCGTAAAATCTGAGATTAATTAACCCTAACTCCCTAGGCCTTTTTGCTAGGATGTAGCCTCAATCCTGCAAAATCCTCCAATTGGCCTCATGGAAAAATAGCATATAGCCTCAATCCTAATTCCTCCGTTATTTCTTGAAAATGGTCGATGGAGGGGTGACTACTGCCTGAATCCTGCAAAATCCTCCGGCTATGACTGTCAATAGGTTGAGGCAGAGGCAGTGACATCCTGGAGCAGTGCGGAGGATTTCAAGTATAATCAAGGACTAAATTTATGCACGGCTGAGCATAAACAACACAAGGTCCGGCCCAAGACCTTGACACAGTGCATACTCCGAAATTAGCAATGCACTTTTGCCATGTAACCTCAATCCTGCAAATTCCTCCAATTTGCAAAAAGGATTTTGGAGGATTCAGGGCGGTTAGGGTTAACAAAACTTAACGTACAAAATTCCCCATAGGTTGTCTAAGGGGCGTGGCTAACTCGCAAACGGCGATAGGTCATTTACCTGCATGTACTTTGCAATATGGAATTAAACGTTGAGATGAAATGAATTGTATTGAAGTGTTCTTTGACTCACCCACGAGTGGTACGACCAGTTTGTACTTCCTACACGCCAGCAGGGCCTGTATCTTGGTCAGGTGATCAATGAAGCAGTTGGTATCCGGCACCAGGTACACCGGTCGAATCTCCAACTCTAGGCCTCGCTGTTGACGATGGCTCTCCATGGTTGCCTGGCGACAAAGAAAAAAAAACACAATCAAATGTGAATGGTGTGTTCAGAATCGTTCAGGAATTTGGTGCACGTGATTGTAATTTTTTTGTTGGGAAAGTTTTGATATCGAACACTTGGCAACAGATGGACCTTAAGTCTTAGAACAATTTCAAATGATTGGATGTATAATGAGTGTGATGAGGAAATGTATATTTTGCACTGGGGATTGAGATCAATTTGACTGGTTCAATATGCAAATATTCAAATTTTTGTTCAATGGGAAATAAAATGTAAGATTGAGGATTTTAGGCTTACAAGGTGATAATATCTGCAGTTCTATTGAGCAAATTGCACACCATCATAATTAGAGTATAAAGAATGATAGCAACCTTCTGACTAAAAATGCTACATTCAATAAATACAGTGTAACTTTAATGTGTTTAAAGGAGTATTTGACAGCAGTTCTTGCACAAAGTAACCGCTCAAGTAAATTGACTGCTATAAACAGTGGTTTTTGTTTATTTTACCTTGATCTGAGCTTGCTTCTGTTGCTGTTGTTGCAAGCGTCTTTCCAGATCTTCCTTCTTCTGTCTCAACCCGCTAATGCTCCCAGAATCCTCTGCTTCCTTCCCAGAATCCCCCTCTTCCTCTTCATAATACTCCTCTTCAACGATGACATCATCTTCCTCCTTAAGGCAGCAGCAAAATCAACATGTGAAAACAACAAAAAACATCTTCAATGTTTTAGATTCTGCATTTTGATTTGTCAGAGACGGGGACCAATTACATCCTTCAATGCAGATTCTGTGTTTTGATTGGTCAAGGATAGGGACCAATTACATCCTTCAATATAGATTCTGTATTTTGATTGGTCAAGGATAGGAACCAATTACATCCTTCAATGTAGATTCTGTGTTTTGATTGGTCAAGGACGGGGACCAATTACATCCTTCAATGTAGATTCTGTGTTTTGATTGGTCAAGGACAGGGACCAATTACATCCTTCAATGTAGATTCTGTATTTTGATTGGTCAAGGACAGGGACTAAAATTGTCCACGTGTGTCTTGCAGTCTATATGTTACATATTTGATTTTTTTCTGTCAGTAGAATATTCATTTCTGTATTTTTATTAAAGTGCACAACAAAGTTAAAGTTGAAGTTATGGATAAGGTCTCATGTCATTTCCAAAGGGCAAATCAAAATGCTTAGAAATGAAATGGTTAAAAGTATTTTTGAATTTGTTTTTGTACCTGATTGGGCATATTTCCGTCATCTTCCTTGGCCATGGGCTCAGGAGCGTCCGACACGTAGCAATTCTTGGCCACGTCGTAGGCCAGTAGGGGGGTCTCTTGTCCGTAGGCGTACTCGCCAAAGAGAAGAAGGGAGTTGATGCGAACACAGTCCATGGCTTCCATCTGAATACAATTGTTCAAGAATATCAAACATCAGCAAAGTCCTAGCAGAGAATATACATTTGCAAACACCCCCCCCCCCCAAAAAAACCCCAAATTATTATGAAATACCTTACTTGACTGTAAGTGAATAATAGTTTCAAGCATCCTGTGAAATCATGGCACCTGGTGTACTATCATTTTCAATTAAAGTGGAATTTTTGTATCAATTTTACAGGATTGTAATATTGATATTGATATATAGTTATCTTGTTCTGACCTTGTTTGTATCTTTGGGAACGTACACGGGTTGTAAGGGTAGAGCAATGAGTGGCACAAACCCAGACAGCTGTACATCCTCTGAAAGCAATATCTCCTGGCACTCTGAAACACAATGATCACATGAAAGTCTTATTAATCCTCCTATGCAAACATGCCTTCTGATCCATGCTGTTACATGGGTCAAAATTGGTCAAGTGACCCATTGGTGTGTTAAAAGTATACCAGGGGAAGTGGAAGGAAACGTTGACTGTTGGTGACCTTTTAAACAGCAGAGGGGGGAGGGTAGGTAATCATCTGATTTTGTAGAATTCTCCGCCTTTCTTTCAAATTTATTGATAAGCGTTGACAAAAATTCTCCTGCTGAGACCGACTCCTCTGTATATAAAAAGCTGGCATTTTTAATCTTCTGTGCATGAGGACACGGGACAAATCTCGGACACGTCCAATCTCGAATCCGATTTTGGTGGACTTCGACTCACGGTTGGACTCCGACTCAGAAGACAATTTGTACGCCAGAACTCAAACGGACTCAAATCGTTACAGACTCAGACGCCAGAAACTTGGACTCAGACATGGACTCAAATATTGTGCAGCTCGACCACTACACTGCAATCTGTCAATTGGAATGCCAGTTAGGGCGGATGTAAACAAAAGTAGCAAAGAAGTTCATGAAGGAATTCTGGCAAAATCAGACAAAACTGGGCACAGACCATAGTAGACATAAATGCAAACTACAGAATGGGGATACATTTTTTTTTTTGATTTAAAAATTTAGTGATATCTTGGATATGTCTACTTCACATATTTTAAAGAAAAAGAGTAAAAATTGTGGAATGTTTTAAAGAAAAAGTATAAAAATCGTGGAATAAAAGTGTCTTTTAAGGAAAAACAATTGACATCTTTCATTTTCACGACTACAAAACTTGAAACTTTAAAGGCCTTTTTCTCAGTATTGTACTTTTTTGACATGTTGATAAATGCGAACTTTAATCAGCCATATGTCCAATTGAAGGGCAACAAACAGTGCTGTAGGGAGAATCTTATTCTCTTTCCTAATACCCACAATCTCTCATTCTGACCTATGCCCAGTTTCGTCTCATTTTGTCAGAACGCCTCACAAATATGCAACTCTTGCGTAAGGCCAAAAAAAACAAAGTCTCCGGTTTCTGGTATGCGCGCGCGTCGCCGTAGCCATGCGCGTCGGCAAAGTGAAAAAGGTTTTTTTTCAATGAAAGATGATGTCTCAAAACTGCCAAACTCACTGGTTTGACTGGAATCCTGCTGCTGCACAATTTTAACGTGTTTTTAGATTGGGTTATGGTCGAGAATAAGCTTTATGTGGCCTCTCTGGACTCCCATATATTTGCACTAAGTTTAGTCGGGCACCATTTGCAGTCATCAGCCGACATTTGAAGCAAAAAAATCAGGTAAAAATAAAAAAAGGCGCGTCGCCGCACCACTTTTGGGGCAAGCTCCATACCAGAAACCGGATACTTTTTTTTTTTGGCCTAAGGAACAACAGTCTAAAAAACTTATAACTTTGTGCACAGCATGCAATGGAGTTCACACAACCAGAAAACAACACTTGAAAACACGAAGTGCCAACATCCTTTCAATACAATTTGGAATTGAGACACATTCACTCACCAGATTCGTCAGTTTTCTTGACAAATTTCGCAACACTGGTATCAATCCTCTTCAGCGTGTTCAGGAGGTCGGCCAGAGAAGACCAGACGTCAACAGAGGCACTTCAAATTAAAACAAGAAGGTTGAAAAGAAATGTTTTTAAATGGCGTAGCATAGTATTGGATCGCTTTGAGGGGGATACTATACAATTAACGAGGGGAAGCAGAGTGGAACATTCCATCTATGTCACCTCATGAAATTATTCTTACTATTGCACGAATGTGAAATGTTCATTTGTTTGTTTGATACAACACCTGAATAAATCCTCGTCATGCGATTAGTCAGGGTCACCAATAGAGAACGAGCAACTTCTTTTTTGTTGGGAGGGATATCATATCGTTTATTGTGTCCCCCCCCCCCCACCTTTTTCCGTCCCACAATAAATAAATATTGTAGGCCTATATTTGATTCTAGCTGATTCATTGACCATGAAGACAACAATGCAAGTGTTCTGTTTTACTTTGATTAAATTAAACCGATATCCAATTTGAATTTTCAATACATAATTAAATACGTATGCAATAATTTCCTTCGTGGTTGTGCTTAAAACTGATAAAAACTTTTTGACAAAACTGGGAAGGCATATAGTAGACATCAAACAGTATCCTCCTTTGAACAGTATTGAAACTACCCCATACATGCCTACACTCTTCTCTCCCAAAGAAGGGAGAAAAAAGGAAATGAAAATACATCGTTCTCATCTTTATATAACAAACTTGGAAAGAGCATGACCATTTAAAAATGATCTAAATTTTCAAAAACCTGTAGCTCAAAAAAAAAATAGCTGAGGTGGCCTCAGATTGCACTACAGAGCGTCTAGAAACCAACTTTTCCTGGGCCATTATGTGGGCCCTGGACCCCACACCATTAGGCTTCGCACTCTGTACTCGTATTAGTCCTAATCAAGGTATGCCCCCCCCCCCCCCCCCACTTTTGAGAAGCAATTGACGCCCTTGAGCAACCCGACACCCAATTTTCTCAGATAAGAAAATCCATAAAAAAAAAAATGTCACGGTTAAAATGGGTTCCTTTACCTGTAAGGTTCATGCGTGCAGCTGGGCGGGGGATTCCACAGCTGCGGGTGGCACATCAGCCAATCCACATACACCTTAACACCTGGTAGGAGCTGCAACAGATCCTCGCTCAACAAGACACGACCCTGGGTGTCCGACTTCAAATGCTCTGGAAGGTAACAATCGAATGCAGAGGGTCAAAAAAATAGACACAAAAATTGCTCGGACAAAATAAACTACAGTAAACTCCGGCTAAACCAATATCGTACAACTCGTCCATCTGACTAAAGTCCCGATTGTCCGTAATGCATTTCCATTGAATTTTTTATTTCGAAGTCGGCTTTTATAAGTCGCCATTTCGCTCAAGTCGTCGTGTTACTCTCGGTCCCCTTTCCATAAAAAGCATTACAAAATCCTTTGTGTAAGTCGGCATTCGAAAAATCTCGCATTGGTATCGACTTGTACTGCGGTTGGCAAGAAGTGTCGAGTGAAAAGTGTTTTGGCACGGCCTGTGATCACTGCATGCATCGGTGTCGCAAAAGGGTGTCCTACTGCATACATCTCATGAGCATATCAATACCAGTACCCCCTCTCGTCTGTACGCATGCGCTCTGTCCATTTTGGGGGTCGCCTTTAATATTGAATGACTAGTGCTGCAGTCAGTGCGTGCGTGGTGTACCGGACCGACCAAGCACGCAATTAATTCGTTACTGTGCACGTACATATATATTACTATTTTGTACACGTGGTCTCCACTATCAATACCCCAAACGTGATGATAAAATTCAAGGATTAATTTGCTGGATTCAACTCAAGCATTAAGAAGATAAACAGGGTAAATCAAAGCCAATTAGTGCAATGAATCGTGTGCAAAAGGCCATTCATGTAAGTTGGCAAAATGACGACTTACAGCATATGTCGGCATTCGCGGAAGTCGTCAACAATTTTCGGGTCCCCACTAAGAGTGCCGACTTAGCCGGAGTTTACTGTAGCAAAATCAGTTTTGAGCTAAGAGTGTAAAATGTCTTCACTTACTTGGAATGCACTTATAGTGTAATCCGGCAAACAACAGTAGATGCCATATTTGAGGTGGTGCCACGCTTGCGCGCACGCGTTCTTAAAGACAGGGCGAGTGCGCATTTTGGTAACCCTATTGGTTGAAGGACCCCGGAGTGCGTGCGTATTACCTGAGTGCGACTCGTGCAAACCTGGTGCCACCGCAGTACCACCTCAGAAAATGGCTGTCGCCGAATTAGTCAATAACACCAAAATTTATTGAGCATTTTTTTTTCTTGGACATGTAGGGTTTCTGGTTGGAAAATGTAAATTCACCCTGTGCGAATACCGTCAGCTTGACAATGAATTTTGCTGAAAAATTGGGAAATGTGAAGTGGCTGATAATTGAAATTTCCAACAGCCAGCTTTCAATCTCCCAAAACAAATGAAACCAATTTTCATTAAGACAATGAAAAGAATTATTGGGTTCAAATTAGAATACTTTACAAGAAGGTTTTCAATATTTTTTTTGAGAAATTGAAGGCTGCGTATGGATATTGACTGTGGAATGAGACTAAGACATTGGTCTGCAGTAATTTTAGCTGGATAATATTAAAATATAACATGGTTTGAGGGTAGACAGTTGACATTCGAAGTCCAAAGTACAAAGCTGACAAATTTGACAACTATCGCAACTACAGTTACATCATTGGTGGGCATGCTAGTACATACCCACATCACTTGCTGGCACTTGATGATTAATTCACCAATTAGCAATCGCCTCGTGCTCATGAATATGTATGAGGTAATCATGTAGTTAATTATACCGCAACCTTATTGGTCAATTGTTTTGAGACGCACCTGTAAGTAGCTGGTTACACCTGCTGACTAGGAGACCAAACATGTCCAGTCCCAGCTGGATGGCTTGCTCCTGAAGCAAGGAACGCATGTCCTCTCGTGGTGACTGGTCTACAAGGATGGGATAAAATCAGAGAACGGCAAAACAGCATAAAATTTGCAATGGCCCAACTTACAAATTAAAACCCTCCTTTTGTTTGATCAATCACAGACCGTCAAAATATCAATCCTGTTCCCCTGCCATGCCTTTTACACAGGCTAGTCACCAACAGTCAGATCATATTTCATGTAGGCACTGTGACAGTTAAATTCCATCAACAGACAAAAGCAGGTGACTGGTAGGCACAGCTGGCTTATCAATCTCCTACAGTCAAAGCATATCAGGTTTCAAACAATCACAGCCAGTCAATCCTGCTTTATGAAGGCAGGGAGCACTTAACTGTTACAAACAGTCACCTTTTTTTATTTTGACTGCCGGACTGGCCTTGTTGAAATTGCCAGCCAGAGAGGGAGGGTTAGAGCTTCGTTACTTCTCAACAATTCTTGTTCTGGAACAACTGGAACAAATTCATTTTTCTATTTCCTAATAGATTTTTAATTATTTTTAGGCTTTTATTTTAGGTTGATTTTGTGCAACAGATCTGTCCTGCGAGAGAAGCAGTTCAAATTCCAGGTTCCTACATTATCAATTCTGATAGCTTCACAGGAACCAGGTAGACAGGAGACAGAGTTGCAAATAATATGAATTAATTCATAACTGAAGGTAGAATGATTTTCAATCAAAAGGTTCATTCAAAAGTGAGGAACTTGTAAAGGTAGAGTGGACCATTTGCAGCTATTCAAAAAGTAACCGACCAAACTATTTTGAAAAGCTTACTTGGTTTAAGGATAGTAATGACACTTAACTCCTTGTGAAATTATTCCTTCTGGCATGCTGTCATTTTGAAGAAAACAATAAAAGAAGGTGATTTCTAAAGATGTGTCAGTGACACATTTTTGGAAATGTCCATTGTTGTTGGTTTGTAATTGGGTAAATCCATAAATGGGTGCAATGACGACATGACGCACGTGCGTGAAACAGCTGTTATTATCCCGTGTGTGACATCACATAGCTACAATTGGCTCAATGAGCATCATGTCCCGAATGCTGATTTTGGGATTGTGTCATTAGAGGGCGCAATTCAAAGTATGACATGGCAACTTTCTGAACTGAAATCAAGATCCAGAATGTTGTGTTTTCTCAAAATATATGACTTTTGTGCCTTCAAATGAAAAAATGCACAAATGGTCCAATTCTACCTTAAAAGCAAAAGCCATCCATAAAATGCAGCTTCATTTACCTTTGGTTTCTGTGTTGTGTGCAGCAAACATGTTGATGGCCATAGCCTGTATGAGCCTGGTACTGGTCAGGGGGGTTGGGGTGTGGGTCAGTAAGATGCGGAATTCCTTCAGGAGTCTGTCCGTGATGAAACCAAAGTGCTCCATGCTGCAGAAACCATCAAAATATAAAAAATCAGAAATGTTAATTTACTAGAGCACTGAGGTGTTGGTCTCAGTGACACTGGGGAGCTGAGGACCCTAATGTTGGACAGGGAAGAGTGGAGGGCGGCGATCAAGTCCCGAGATGGTGTAGCATAGGCTGCGCCCTCGCATTGTATCGCAAGTATCTGCACCATGCACAAACAAGAGAGGGCATTTATTGACCACGTTTGAAAGCCCTTTGGATGAGACACAACGCATGTGCGTACTGGTTCGCGTGTGTGTAGCATGAAATACGCACAACTAATTTCATTCTGAATGTGCGCAAAGCAACAGTGTCTGTGCGTGAGCGTCAGGCGTCATCAGCAGTGCGTTCGAATGTCTCTCCCAGTGGTCTCCCCCAACTCTCCCTTCCTTACCGTTGAGGGGGTACTTGTGCACGGAGCCCATATCCCAGTTATGCACAAATTTAAAAAGGCTACTATTTAGGATTCTTTTGCACCTCCAACAGACAAAAAGATACGTCTGAATTAGGGTCAGACCTCCAATATTTCAAAATCTGTAAAGTAATTATTCCATAAGTAAATGCGGGCCGATGTTTTTATAGCAGTTCGAAAAAAGAAAAGTGGAACTTGAAAATAGCATGCAGAGAGCAAATTTAACCCTAACCGCCCTGAATCCTCCAAAATCCTTTTTGCAAATTGGAGGAATTTGCAGGATTGAGGTTACATGGCAAAAGTGGGTTGCTGATTTCGGAGTACGCACTGTGTCAAGGTCTTGGGCCGGACCTTGTGTTGTTTATGCTCGGTCGGGCATAAATTTAGCCCTTGATTATACTTGACATCATCCGCACTGCTCCAGGATGTCACTGCCTCTGCCTCAGCCTATTGACAGTCATAGCCGGAGGATTTTGCAGGATTCAGGCAGTGAGCACCCCTCCATGGACCATATTCAAGAAATAACGGAGGAATTAGGATTGAGGCTATATGCTATTTTTCCATGAGGCCAATTGGAGGATTTTGCAGGATTGAGGCTACATCCTAGCAAAAAGGCCTAGGGAGTTTGGGTTAATGAATCTTTGAGAAAATGATCCTTCTGAAATAACTGGTGATGTGAGGGTGTTTGAATGAGGTTTGAATGACACTGGAAGACTGCATTGGCATGCTTACCTGGACAACCAAATTATATCACATCTTCCAAAAAAATCAGGAATTTAAGTATTTATTGACATTGCCAGAGACTTACCCTATCTTGGTGAACAGCTTTCCGTGGACATTGAGGAGGCTGAGCACAAACTTCTTGTTGATCTGAATGTGGAGAAACAAAGGCCAGAAACTAGAAAATAATCATTTGGTTTGAGCATTAAACAGGCATGCAACTGGTAATTTCGAAAATATGAGGAAATTCCTAACCACACAAGCCTTTGTACAGGGTTTTTCAATGTTTCAGTGTTTTGTAATGGTATTCATGAGAAGTAAAAAACAAGGAAATCAGCGGATCTGAGGAAAAAATGCATGCCTGATTAAAGGCTCTATAAATATTCCAGAATTAAGCCCAAGATGATGGTTGGGAAATCCCCAAATGCTCATAAACAAAACTTTAGACTACAGACCTTGTCCTGTCAAGACACGTGGCAACAAAGCGTTTACAATTACATCATTTGCAATGGGCTGTGATGGCCTAGTTTTCAAATACCTCCATCTGTGGAATTGATTGCCAAAAAAGTCGACCCCCTGTCAGAGGTCATCAAGGGCAGTGGCCACTCCTCGGAATTTTCCCCAAGATCTTGGGAATTTAGGCAAAGTCTCGGGAACATTTCGCCGATTCTTGGGATTTTTGGGCACATTGAGTACACACAAAAGTATAAATTGCGATCCCCACACATGTTAAAATAGGGTCTGTGCTGCTATTTTGACATATAATCCTGAGATCTTGGGAAATCTTGGGAATTTTTCTGCATTCTTGGGAATTTTTCTGCAGTCTTCTTGGCATTTTGGGGGAGTGTGTGGCCTAGTGGTTAGGATTCGTGACTCATGATCAGAGGGTCCGGGGCTCGAATCCAGCCGTTGGCCATATGAATTGTGTCCTTGGGCAAGGCACTTCACCCCACTTGCCCCTCTCCACCCAGGAGTATAAATGGGTACCGGCATTAGCTGGGGAGTAATCCTGCGATGGACTGGCATCCCATTCAGGGGGAGTAGAAATATTCTCAGTCGTTTCATGCCAAGGAAACCGGAGATAAACGCCGGCCTGATGAGCCACATTGGCTCGGGACAGACTTTACTTTTTTTTTTACTTCTTGGCATTTTCACATTTGATGAGTGGCAACACTTTCCCTGCCTACCTCAACAGGTGATATCCTCTTCAAAGCAGCCTCCTCCTCATCCCCATCCTCCTCCTCCGCGTCAACCAGCTCCGATCCATCATGGCTGCTTCCGTCGCTAGCGATCCATATCTCCCTCCTAGTCGCCTGGCTGTCATCGTCACCCTTTCCCCCAGGCCGGCCCCGTCTGCCCCCTCGCTCCTTGCCCTGCCGTCGTCTCTCTTCCTCCCTGGCTCTATCCTTCTCCTGCTTGGCCTGGATCTGGGCCTTCTCTTTGTGCTCCACCTTTGATTTGATTTTTTTAAAGCCAAATAGTGAGCAGTAAGAAGGAAAGGGAATTCAATAAGCACAATTCTTTTTACATTCTCATTTTGGTTTAAACCCTTACAATCCAAGACCAGTCAAAATTTACGGGGACTTTTGAAGATTTGGATTGAGAGAGGTATACCCCAGCCTCTATCTGCCCCAATAATGCCTAGGGAGCTAGGATAAATACATCGAAAGAAAGGAAAAATCATTAGAAACTCACTCCTTCAAGTCTCACAACTTCTTCCAATCACACAACGTTCTCACTTCTTCCAATCATTATCAGCGAAAGCAGATTTTGGCAAGGTTTTGTTATCAAGCTTATTTTTTTTTTTAAATACAATGACTTGATACTTGAAATCACAGAGTCAAATGTCCATGTTGAATATAAAAAAAATGTTCTACATAAACAAAAAGTATTAGATACCATAATCTTGACATTGAAAGTCAGTCATTTTTTTCCTCACATGACCTCAGACTGTACAAATACAGTGCCTCTAAAGTTACACCGGTGAAGAGAAAATGCGAGTGTTACAAATATATATCTCCCTGACACAAAGTCCATCAAAAACTTGAGATAGCACAAATCCATACCTTTCTCCTGACTTCCTCAAAGAGTGACATAAGACTCTCCCTAGCTGTCAGGAATGGGTTACTGGCTGCCAGGCTACGCATGTAGTAGTACACTGCATCCAACTTCCTCCTCTGAATGAGAGGCAAGAAAATAAGAGAATTAGAAATGCGCCATCACGTGGCCACTATGGAGATGGGAAAAAAGTCGACATCCATTTGTAGACATTACCAAACAGTATTCATTTCACATTATACAACGCCTGAATAAATCCCCGTCATCTGATTGGGTGGGTCGTTGATCACATGTCATTGCATTATTTATCTTAACCCACGGCCCGGCTGCGGCACTGCAGAAATAGAAGTTCTATTCCACGGTGAAAAGAAATTCCATTGCACTGTCACACTGTTGCTGGCTCTGACCAATCTGCATGATCTGAAGACGAGGATTTATTCTAGATTCATAAATACCTAAGACAGTTTACGCATTCTTATTGGTCGAGAGCCCGTCACGTGGCCGGTCTTAAACGGATGATAAAGACATGGCTAGCTGGTCTTAAACACTTTTCCAGTGTCACAATAAAAAGTGGACTCCTAAAAATCCAGTGCCTCTTACCGTTTCATTGGTTGAACGTTCACAATCCTCACGTAGGCATGCGCAACACTGCATGCGAGTCAGAATTTTATAGTTCTAAATTCAAAACGCAACGCCCCAGGTGCGTTCTGCGTGACATCGCGCAGAACATGTTACGCGCGCGTCAATCTCCATAAAAGGGTTGTTTACATCTTACTCGCCAGCTGAACACTCCATTATTTTGCTAGAGGGATGTTTCAAAAAGCATGAAGTGAACTTGTTGAACAAAATCGGGATGTTTTGAACGAATTATTTGATATTTTTTTACGGATAAGGTATTTATGAATGGGAATAAATATGTGCTCGGTCGGTATTTATCACTCTGTTTAATACCGCTTAGAGTCTGGGTGCTGATAATTACCCTCGCCTCCGGCTCGGGTAATTATCAGCACCCAGACTCTAAGTGATCTTAAACAGAGTGATAAATACCTCCAGAGCACACATTTATTCCCTTAATAAATGGAATGTTCCATTCCACAAGGCGAATACATTCATCTGTAACCTCAGTAGCTTAACCCCATGCGTACGGGAAGCGGTCATGGCCGCGGCCGCTAATCCTCATTGGAATGCAGTCGCCAGCTGTGGTATGCCGTGGCACACGGCTAGTGGGTAGTTCCACAGCTGCTGCTTTTGTGCAGTCCTGCTACCACACAAAGGCTGTGCAGTCATGCGGGCCGCTTGCTCTATGTGTGGAGGAATGTCCCCATTTCACCCCGTCCTTAAGGGGTTAATAAAGTGTCCGACATGTACGTCAGAATTGACATAATTGCCCGGAAGGGATGTTTTACAGAGAGGAAACAGGTTAACGACAAAATTGGACTCATGCAAGAACAGCAGATAAGCGCTCCTTCGTCACTTGCAAGAGCTGTAAGTGAGAGAGATGGGGCGAACACCCGCACTGGTTTGTGCGCGTTTGGTGTGAAAAAGGCAAAATTAATTTCATTCTGAATGTGTACAGACGTGTAGCATATATGAGTTTACCATAGTGCTGATGACTAGCTTCTTTCCCTTTCTTTTTTTGAAACCAGAACCATATAAAGCATATAACTTTCATATTGAACTCAGGATATGTGAAGGTTCACCCTAACCCCTAGGGCCTTTTTGCTAAGAACCATAAAAAATCCTCCAAAATTTTGCACTTATGTTCAATTGAAGGATACCCAGCGACTCAATCCTTCAAAATCGGCAGACAGTCCTGCCTCTCAAAAATGCATTCACCCTCAATCCCCCAAAATCCTCCTCTTCTTCAAACAGTATTCATCCTCAATCCTCCAAAATCCTCATGTTTTTCAAACACGATTCATCCTCAATCCTCCAAAATCCTCAAGTTTTTCAAACACCATTTACCCTCAATCCTCCAAAATTCTCCCAAACCGCAATGAGGATTTTGGAGGATTGAGGGTTAGTCCACGATTGACTTACAGTATACAGTGCTAGGATGGCAAGCTGGTTGTAAGGTCTGCCGTTTCTTGGAGCAAGGCGCTGTGCTTTCAAGTACCAACTAAAGAAAAAGATGTAAAAACAAGAAGTTTTTATAATGATGTGCATGCTACAAAACCTATTAATGTTATTGTAAATGTTACCTTGAAAAGAACACATGTTCTTGGCTACGTACTTTCTTGCTTTCCCAAAGTTGTTGGTGTCGTTGGTCAGCTCTTTATACCTCGCAATATCACCCAATGATATCATGCATCGCTGAGCACTCAGCAAAGCCAACTTGATCTGTAAATAAAAGCAAAAAATATAAATTTATCATTATTATACTATATAATGTCACGATAATTAAAACAGAGTGGGGTCTACTTAAGACTTGCAAGATATAGTGGTTGTTTGTTAAACCCGGTTCATACTCGGCGCAAAAGCGAATGCGAATTTGTGACGTAATAAGGAGTACTCGCGCTGCAAATTCGTAAAAGTTGAACATATTTCAACTCGGGCGAATTTCGTAGCGAATGTTTCATGACGTCAAATTCACTTTGCATTCGCATACTGTATGAACCAGCCATTAATGCTCAATAAAATTATACATACAATTTGGGAGCCAAAGGAGCATTCTACTAACTCAATTTCCGGTTTAAAACAACAGAATCAGCAAAAACAACTGTGGCACTGCAGCTTCCTGGCTTGAAGAAGCAATTTGCGAGGTGAAAAGCAATATTCAGTTTCAAAGGTCTGTGATGTTAAGTCAGATTAGCAATCCACTGAGAAATATAACGTATTCCAATGTGCCTGAGGAAAGTACAGTTTGTTTGAGCTTCTCCTTCAATCTCAGTGCCAATAATATACAAATATTGACTGCTTCGAGTGGTGTAGTGAAACTAGCCTCCCAAGGTGATCAATGGATTGCTCTGTTTTCGCGAGGCGTAGCCGAGGGAAATGGAATGCTCCATGGCTCACAAAGGGAGGCTAGTTTTAAATCACCACGAGTTAAAGCAGTCAATATTTGTTTTATAACGCCTCAACCACATATTCTGCTTAATTTTAAGAAATAACTGATTAATTTAATTTTAAGAAATAACTGATTAATTTAACCAAAATCCATTTAAAATGTACCTCTACTTCAATATTAAATTAATTGAAAAGTTACTTGTACTTTTCCAAACCACCCCTTCAGGAAATGTTTGAACCCGCTCCGTAACACAAACGCGTGGGAACAATACGCGCAATGCGCACACCTGTATGTGTTCAAAAGCATACATGCGTTTGCACACATACATACCCGTTGCTACGTTGATTATGCGTACAATACTTTTTCAGCCGTTGCAGTCTCTTCGGCTGTGCACAGCAAGACAGTAAAAAAAGCCAATACCATGTGACTTGCTCTCGGCCAGTCAACATACAGAATACGTGAATAAGGTGTAAAAAAAATCCCCCCCAAAAAAACCTTTATGAATTTTTCGTTACAGTACATTTTCAAGTCACTGTTTTGAGAGTGTGTTAAATGATGACAATATGGAACGAGGTCTAAATTTTGAAGTCCAATACAGGGCGAGTAAAAAAAAATAGAAAAAAATGTTGGGACCATTGTTTTAGTGAAGTTCTTCATGTAGCACTTTCAAAATCTAGAATATGAAAGCCCAATTCATTAGCTTTCTTTTAGTTCAAGAATCATTCAAATCAGTCACGTACTTTTCAAACCACCGTTTTAAAGTTCTGTCCACTGATCACAAACAAGGCGTGGGTTCTTTCATCAAAACGAAAACAATTCACACACATCCCTATGTGATTGGTTTCCTTTCTGCTGAAAGAACACTGAACTTTTTGTGATCCGTGGACAGAACCTTAAAAAACGGTGGTTGCGTTTAAAATTCCGTAACTTGAAAAGTACATGAGTGATTTGAATGATTCTTGTACTAAAAGAAAGCTTATGATTTGGGCTTTCATATCCTAGATTTTGAAAGTGCTACATGCAGAACTTCACTAAAAAATGGTCCCGACATTTGGGTTTCGTTTGTTATAATCACCCTGTAGTTTGTAACCTACCGTTCTCCTGGGCTCTTCATGCAGAGGATCCAACCCGGTGTGCGCATCTAACCTGAAGTTGTAAGCAGACTGTAGCTTGTCCAAGAGTGACACATAGAAATCACTTCCCTGAGGTGACGTTAGAAATAAAACAAACGTAAAATGAACAAATTTAGGAGAAAAACAAAATTGACATGACTAGGGCCTAAATTTGCCAGGGGGAACTTGGGGTCCTTATTTTTTGGAGAGGAAAAATACTAATTTCAAACAATAATAGCTCTACTCTTTATTTAAACATTCAGAGGGGAAAGGGGGTTGCAGAGGGCAGCATGTATACATGTACATTGTACAGGATATCGCATTTCGCAACAAGTACGCCAACTTCGAGATGAGCTAGAAAGCAAACATAAGATACAATCCCCCTAAGTTTTGGATATTTTGTAGAAAACATGTTAAAGTGTAATTTTAATCCGAGTTCGTCTCAAGGTAAGATGATCCACAAGGTTATTACTCAAGGTCAAAGTAAAGGCCAAAAGGTCATCATACTTCAAATTACTCCCGACATGAAAACAAATGCTAAATTTGGATTGCTTATGATGTTACCTTTCCAAAGAAACCACGATCAACAAATTTGGCCCACAGGTTATGGAGATATGGTCATTTGAAAATTGGCGGCAACACCCATTTTGGCCAAAATCGCAAACAAATGACTGGCAGTATTAAACAAGAAAACCTTTGGCCTGATGGAGCTAAAACTGGAGATTTCAGCTTTTTTTCCGCCTAAATTAACCCATACAATAAACAGACCCTGCGCCTTATTAAACAAAACTTTGCGATTGAATTTCTGAGATTAGAAGAGGGAGGAAGGAATCCATTCCTTCCCACTCCAAAGATGTCCAAGAAACTCACATGATTAAGAAGCTGTTCTAGTTGTGTCTTGTACGCTCCCGGTTCCTCCACGTCCTGCCTCCGTAGTGCCTCTATCAGCTGGTAGTAGGCTGTCTTCCATAGCAGCTGCTCAACGTTGTGCTTGTTGCATGTTTCGAGGTCTGTCAGGATCACCTGCTCGTACATATGCTCCAGCTCCTGGCTGAAGTTGACAAAAAAACAGGACAATGTTGGTTAGAAATGACAATGGATTTTGTGATATCTTGGTTCTTGGTTGAGTCTTGGTTGGTTCTTCTCCTAAATACTCCACGTGGGAGTTTATACAGGAGGCCAGAAACACCGGGGCAAACCCCTTCTCTTTAGCGATAAGTGTTTACTGGGTTCTTTTACGTGCATTTATACAACACACGGGACCTACGGCTTAACGTCCCATCCGAAGGACGAAGCAATAATGGTTAAGTGCCTTGCTTAAGAGCACAAGTGTCCGCCGGCGGGCTCGAACCCACGTCACTGTTGCCTCTGAAACACCAGAACGTGAGTCCGGTGTTCTTAACCGCTAGGCCATCACACTCCATGTATGGAGAGCTAGTTAGTCAGTTGGTGATATGATTATATCATTGATGATTATTATCTCCACTTACTTATCCAAGTACAAGTTTGCGGGGGCCATGTTAAAAGGCTTCACTGCACACACTTCACACAAATTTTGTTTTTGAAATCATATCACAATAACCTTTTTCAAACTACATTTACTTAATGCAAGGTCTGTAAACTCAAGAATTGTGAACAAGGATATACATGTACATGTATGTAGAATTTAGCAAGAATTTCACATCTGTAAAAGTTGGTGTAAAACCTTTGTTCTGACACGGTGCTAGATGAGGAAAATCAAAGGGCACCATGTCACGGGCTACGTCACGTTAGGGGACATCAACGTAGCAATGTGTCAGTGCCAGTACTTCAATGTTATAGAATTACAGATTGATCGAGTTTTGAAAAATTAAAGAAAAAAAATTAAGTTAAGACCTACCCGAGTTTCATGATTTTCTGCACACTCTCATCACCATGGAAGCGGCGTGACACTGCATTGTTGATGCTGTGCTCATACCTCACTGTGTCCTGGAGGATCCTAAACGCTACTGACTGGGAGTGGGATTGAGGAGGGGCTGTAACACCAGACGGCGTTTCCATCATCGGGGGAACATCCGGGGATGATCCCAGAGGCGGGAAGTTGCCCTGGTAGTTGGTGATCTGAGTTGGAGGACTTGGATCTGGGACGCGAGAGTCTGGGCTGTGAGCCTCTACTTGCTCAGCCCAAGACATCGCAGGGTAGAACCCTTGGGGAGGGTACATGGCAGGCTGCATCTGCATCGGAGGATAAGCAGAAGGATGATAGGCTCCGTAACCGGGAGGTTGGAAATGACCCCTCGGGTCAGATCCGTGCTCCTGTGGACTACCACTGCTGTAGTCGGGATCGTAGAAATGCAGGTCTGATGATGCGGACTCGGGCTTCTTGGACGATACTAGAGCGGGCTTCTCCTGTGGCTTGTTGGGATCCCAGAGGAGGCTGCGGTTGCCATGACGACCTCTAGGGTCCTTGGGGCGGGGCTCTTCCTTGGTCTGTTTCTGTTGAGGGGTGTAGTACCGGTCAGCGATGGGCCGATAGCCCTGTTCGGACTGCTGATTGGTTGGCTGCGAGTGGATGGCGATGGGATCGCTGCGTTTGGGAGGGAGCCGGATCAGCCCGCCACCCTTGGATGCCGATTCCGGTTGGGGCTGCTCTGATTCACTTGATGTTCTTTGTGATTCCCTGTCTCTGTGACGGTTGTGACCACCTTGCCTTCTTTCTCCAAACCTCAACTCCTGTGATTCCTCTGCCAGCCTATCATCTCTTTCTTCCTCTGGTGACAGCTTAACTTCTCTGACCTGACTATTAAAGGTGACTGTGAGCTTTCCCCTCTCCCCACCTTGTTTTCCGGGCTCTCTTTTCTCTCGTCCCCTTCTGCAAAATTCTGTCTCAGCTCTGGAATCCAGCTGCTCTTTCTGATTTTGTTTCTGCGACGTTTTATTTTGTGACGCCACTGTCCCAGGATGTTTGCCCGAGTCTGTGCTGGAGACCGACTCATAAGACCCGGTGAATTCATCTTGGAGACTAAGACTCTGCAGCTTAGATTCAGTGTGAGCCAGTTCTCTGTCCTCAGAGTTTTCAGACTTTGGGTAGGCCGCATCAACGAACTGACTGTTATCACTACCAGTGGAGCTTTCACTATTGTAGCGCTGTCTTGATCGTTTTGCTGAGTATCTTTTTGATGACGGAGCTTTGAATCTCGTCTCAGCCGTGTGTGACCTCCCTTCATTTTCTGACTTCTTTTCAGTTGCAGGAGGTTTTGAGGTTACTCCTTTATCAGGAGGAGACACTTGAAGGTCTAGTAACGACTTCAGTGGTACTTTCCTGTTATTCTCAAGGGTGAACTTTTCTTGGTGAGAATCCAGGAGCTTTGCGTCCTTGGAACCACTATCGTTTGTCCTCTGCTGCCAGTTTTGGTTTGGCACTTTCCGGGATGTAAAGACCATCGTCTGAATTGTATCTTCGGCTGGTACTGGGTTTGCGAGTTTCCCAGAGTTCTGGGAATCTGATGGTCCTGGTTCTTCTTCGGTGACCTGTGTCTCATCCTGACCTTGGCTACCAGCCAACTTTGGACTCACGTAGAAGGAGCGCTCAGGTTTCTTCTGCCTTGCTGATTTATTTGAACTTTTTTCACTGGATTTGCTGCTGGATCTCATTGCCTCACCTTCACGGTGTGAATGTTGTGTGCTGCCATGTAACCCTTTTCGTGAACCTTGATTAGGTTGTTTTTCACGATGATTGTCTGAGGGAGGTTTATCATTGTTTTGTGACCTCTTTACTGCTTGGCCGTTCCGATGTTCTTGTTTCCCCAACCAGTTGTGACTTTGTTTGACGGCTTCACTTTGGTCATCTGTTTGCTTGACATGAGAGGATTCAGAAACTGTGTTTCTAGCAGTACCCCGTTCAGAATTTTGGTTCGATTCAGCGTTCTTTCGTTTGCCCTGTGGACCTTGCCATCTTTTCTGTTCACCAACGACTGATTTGGTCTCTGGTATCATATCTGGTTTAGTGTTTCCAGTGGCCTCATGTCCCACACTGACTCCAGCATTTCTCTCCTGTGGTGGTTTGGCCGCTGCTTTTGCTCCACTGCCCTTCTCCCCTTTCACCTCCTCACACCCCAAATGACTGTCCTGCTCCGGTCTGGGTTTTGAATGCTGGCTGCCTCTGTTGCCTCTGAATCCCCTCTCAGCATGATTATCTGAATATTTTCTATCATCTCTATTTGATCTCTGCTCTCGGTACGTATTCTTCCTGTCATCGCGGTGCGCTGTTGAATGACCCTCATGCTTTTCCCTCCCACGCTGATGTTGGGCTGACTGTTTTCTTCCCTCTCCTTTATCGCCATGCCGTGTTGGCTTTGGGTTCTGACTCTGAACTTGAGCAGTGTCCTGCGACTGTTTATCGCCGCTGGTGTTTTTAACGGAACTGGCATGACTAGTGTCTTCGGATCTCTTTGCAAGACGTGATTGTCCAGGTTTGTAGATGGCGATGTCGGGGCGGCGAGTGTCTTTACGCTGCTGTGTTGACTTGGTGCTAGTATCAGCGGGCGCGTCTCTGTTTGGAACACTTTCCATGGCTTCGTCTGCAAAGAAAGAATCGGAAAGAATGTTGCACCCTGACGCTACTTTTTCATCACATATTATCTCAATGGTCAGTCATGTGTCGCGCACGTCGTCCAAGCCGTCGACATCGATGCCCGCGCAGCGCATGCGCAGGGTATTATTTTCATTTTTAATTGGAACAGGAAACAGCCGTCGCATTTGCAACTCGCGCCCTCGCTCGACAAGCAATTTGCATAAACGCGACGTCACAGCTTGAGGTCATCTCTTGTCACATTCAAAATGGCTGCCATCACCAGACATTTCACGAGTGCATATGGGCTCCAGAAAGATTCAAGAATATCTCGGAAAATTGAACATCATTACACCTAAGCATCCCAGAAGTGATAGATGGGACATCATAGAATACAACCATATGTAAGAAACTGCCTGTAAATTTTATGAAAACGCCCTCAGTAGTGCGCGGTACCACGGCGTGTGGCCAGAGGTTCAGCGCAGCATACCGCGGCCACACAAGTGGGGCTAAGCCCTAGCCTACTTGAACTTCTGAACGTCCTTCATCTTTGACAGAGACCCGACAAGTGTAAACCTTTCAGATAAAACTGACCCAACTGGGCACGATTGCAGAATACCCCGCCACTCAATCTATCCACCTCGTAGCCGGCTACGAGGTCACGGTTGATTGACCTCAATAAAACTTCTCAGTGCTACTTGTATGTACTATGCGTCATGCCCCACTGCACTCTCACTCCGTATCCGCGTAGCCACCAACAGGGTGGTTGGTTTAGACTTGGAATTTTTTCAGCAACTCCCATTCATTTTGTGTTGCTTTGTTCTCAAATAATCATCACTCAGTATCCGCGTAGCCTAGCTGGCAATAGCCCCATAAATGTGGCCTATTTACTGGACTGCCTATGTAAACATAGGCCACACATCCACATGTACAAAAACGTGTCGCACTTTGCCAAATTTTGATTTTCACAATTAGGCTTACTTTGTAGGTTCTTTTTGCTTTAGAAGCATTCTCACCCTCTTTATAGGCTAATCAGAAAGTGCTGCCTTTTTCAGATGTCTAATTTTTGTGAAATTTCATGTTGAAATTTTGATACGCAAACGTGTGCAAATGTATCTGGAAATTTCATGAAAAATGGACATCTGAAAAAGGCAGCACTTTCTGATTAGCCTATAATTTATAAAGAGGGTGAGTATGCTTCTAAATCTAAAGCAAAAAAGACCTACAAACTAAGCCTTAATGTGAAAATCAAAATTTGGCAAAGTGCGACACGTTTTTGTACATGTGGATGTGTGGCCTATGTTTACGGAGGCAGTCCAGTAAATAGGCCACATTTTTTTTATGGGGCTAAGCTGGCAATGGAAGTTGAATTGTTTCTTTTCCAATTCCAGTGATTCCAACCGCGTAGCCAGAGATTTTAGGGGTGTATTTCCGAGTGGCGGGGTATTCTGCAATGACTCCCAAAATGGCAAAATTGTGGCTTAAACATTACCTTTCCTTCTTCCAGCACAATCGTTGAGAACGAATGTTTTAGGCGTTGTTTTTGTAGTCCTGCGTTCATAACGCGAAGAAGGTCAATCAAACGCTTCTTATCGCCATTGCATTTTCAGATATTTCTCATAGGATGTTCTATTTTGCAAAAGGGGGTTTTCTATTCAGACTTGGTACATTTCTTCAAAAATTAAGTTTATTTATATAAGAAAAAGAAATTAACACCTGCTTAACAATATCACTACTTTTGCTTGCGCTTTTACATTAACAATAATTTCAAGATGAGAGACATATTTGCGTGCATAAGGTTTATTTCGTTTGTAAGCTAAATGTGTTGCCCCTCAATTTCAATCGTTGGATCAAAGTTTTCCAAAAATAACATCGTCTCTGGAGGGCGCTAGGTACCTTTGGCGTTCGCGCGTACCACGTACGCCAATTTTTTTTTTCCGTACCACATACTCGCTATGGGCACATAGCATAGGATAATCCATTGGCTAGAATAAGACCTAAAGACGTCACGCTTTGTTTACATGTTCCTATGAGAGCGCGTCCCACCTGGCTCGATAGGAAAGCGCACATGTAAACAAAGCGTGACGTGACGTTATTAGCCCTTCCCATACATCCATACGCCCTTTCTTAGGGCGAATCCTAGGCGTGGCACACAAGTTTTTCCGGTAGCAATCTTATTGTTGAGACTGTCCCAACTAATTAAAGTGGACTGGCTTAATTAGGGCGATTGTATAGCTGGGTAAATAGGTATAGAGACCCATTTATAGTTTTGATCAAATTAGAGTCAAGGGTGTTTTTTATATCATTCCACAATGACGTTTTCAACCTATACATTCTAAGGACATAATTTTTTTTGGTAAATTTGAACGTTTAAGTTGTGGCGCTAGCGGAATTAATTGCCATTATACGCGTTTTACGGTTGGTGACGTGCGAATCAACACTTTTGCGTGTTCACTGTGCGTCGCGCATCTTCATCAAGTTTGTGTTGCGTACATTTTGTGTCGATGCCGACTTCATCTAATTAGCTTTACCCGCCAATAATTCCCTCACCATACCCATTATCTAAGACACTTATTGTTGGTTTTAAATATTGTATAATGGAGCTACATGTACTTAGTTTGGCAAGTCAAATAACCTAAAAGTGGATCATGTTCCCGGAACAGGGCCTTACACTACGTAGCCCTAACAGTACTTGGGGCGTAATTATCTCGTCCCCCCTTCCTAACTTTTAGGATTTTCTAGGAAGATGCTGTAGCCTAGGAATATCTTGTCTCCCAAATTCCAAGAAATCTGCGTCTGAAAAAATGTAAACTTTTTTGGACCACACTGTAGTTCAACTTCAACTGCAAACATGGCACAGTCAAGTAAGTAAACTAAACATTCCTGCTGATCAGTGATTTATTTCTAGTGCCCGAGATTGTCACAGTAAACTGGGAGAGCACACAAAACAACAAAAGAAAATAAAGAAAATCGGACACAACTCTTATTTTTTTACATTTATTTATTTAGTCAGACCCATTTTTTTTTTTTTAATATATACAAAAGTTTTGTGTATCAGGATTACATTGGCCATCCTAAGTCCTACCAAAAGCTGCAAAAGTTGTATGTGTTTTTAAAAATCCGATAATTTCAAATTTTATAGGTGTCCCTAATGGAAAACTCCTAGTGGAGAAACAGTGAGTTTTTTTTCTTCAAATATGATGTCCGGTTTATCATAGAAGTTGTCCTAAGACAACATTATGTATTTTTGAATAGGATTCCTAGGACAACTTTTATGAAATGGCCAACCTGAAATATTGCCTCTCATCAGGCTCAGTATAAAAAAGTTTGTATAAAAAACACCTTTGCCACATAAGGTGTATTGCTTGCCACATTCATAATTATATATATTGATTTTATATTGATTTTTTTTATAAATAACATGATTTTTTTCCCAATTTTGTGGATAAACGAATTTTGGTTTTAAAATTTGATTGATCCTAAAGAAAACACAGTCTTAAATAGCTGATATATAATTCATTGTACCCAGCTTAAGTTTCAGAACAGTTCTGAGTTTGCTCGGATCAGATATAGATCAAGCCCATGATATTGAGAGTAAAAAAGTCAGTAACTGTGCATTAGCCATGATCATCATCTTCGATTTCAGTCATTTCGCATTTTGTACTTTCATTTTGCATAAGAACCACAGAGATTTTTGTTGCCCTTACAATATATATAAATATAATGAAAGCATGATATGAATATGAAACATGATTTTGTTTTTTAAATACCCTGTGCAACCCATCTAAATACATTTATAAATACAAAAAAATTACCCGGCCTTACACTGAATGTAACTTGAAAATAGTCTTGTTAAATACGAAATCTCTGTTTTTGAAAGTACAATTTTGAAAGACGAAATCAGTGTGACTGACGCATGATAGTGATGTTACAAAACATGGCAACGATCTCATGTACACAATTATCTGATCAAATCATTTGCTTCTTTTTTCTTTAAATGTTACACCCGAAATATGCGACATGAATCCTAAAAACAAAATGTGGCAAGCATTGCAAACAACAACAGATGTCAAGATGGCTTAACATCATGTGTACATGTGTCCAATTGTGGCTTATATACTAATTTTGCTGTAAACTTGTCCGAACGCAGAGATATCCCTGACTTTGGAATAGCTGAAATAATGTTAATGATGATTATATGTCCAGAACTTCATTGAAGTTTGATACCCCAGCTCATGGGTTGTGTAACGATGAGTAGATATGTACATAAAATATAAAAATGTACATCTAGGTATGATGTCTCCCGACTATACTTTGGAGTCAGGCAGACAGGAGAAATAGTACACATTGTATTGTACTATTTCAGCAGCGTATCGCTAACCAGTGGGTCTGACGAAGGTGAAATGTGCAATCTGCACTCAATAACTTCTACAAGCAGGCGGCAATAAAAACATGATTTGAGCTGTAGCTGTATGATAAGTTGATTTTTAAAAATATTTCATAACATTTTTTTTAAATTTTTGTTTTGGTAATTCATCCTCAAAGGCATGATGTTTCTGAACCTGAGGGAATTGTACTTGTACCATTACCAGAGTACAAGCACAGTGATCCAGCTAGGAATAGGTCACATCAATTTAGTATTGATGTGATGAAGTAAATCACCAATTTTTTTGAAGTAATGGAACACAACAATGATAACCGGGTTGTTTTCATTTGGGATTTACTTCTTTTATGAACCTTTAAAATGACTGATTTTTCTGACCCACACGGAATTGGATATGATGTTAGAAGCACCAAAACTCCATGAGCTAAATTCTTTGCTGATTTTTTAGTCTGACGATGGCTTGCAGCACAAGAGCTTTTTGTGTTAGCTCATTGGAAACACGTAAGGGTCGAAATGGATCAATACATTTGTGTACAAATCGCCGTTATGATGTTAACAAGAACAAGAGTTGTTCATTGTGATTTGTATAGGTAGTCCCAGACTTATGGATGCATATGCAGCAGCGAAGTATTATTCAAATACCTGGCTCTGGACAGACTATTGAAGCATTGTCAATAGTATTGTGTATCCAGTCGCACCATCTGCCAACCAATCACACGTGAGATGTTACAGTGGAGGGCATGCGATTGGCCAGTCAGAGCAGTGGACTGATACACTGTGATCCAATCACAGGCCAGTGGTGTCGCAGCACGCACTGGGATTGGACAGTGGTCCCATGGCGTCATCACTCAAAGGGCCAGATGTTAGTGGAGGGGGCCTTTTGAGGTGACTTTGGGGGACATGTTGGGGGCCGAGGTTGGCAGTGTGGGCAAATTTGAGCAAACGGGTTGAGCAGACCCTAAATCCCTAAACAAAAATATTAATGAGCATTTGAAAGTGAACGTCAATCAACTGCTGATGGTGCTGCAGTGATAACAAACTGCAGATGGAATTTGCAGTATTGTTAATTATGATGGCTGTTCACTGTAACTGTTGGTGTTACTACAGTTGTAAGATTGGAGGAAATCAATCAAAGCCTAAACAGCACAATAACTATTGATGGTATGCAGTTATTGTTTAGCTGCTGATGGAATTGCAGCTTTTGTCACTGAAGATGGAATTTCAGTTGCTGTTTGGGAGAAAACTGTTGGTGTTGTTACAGTTTTGAGACTGAAGGAAATTAGAATTAACAGCACATTAACTGCTGTTGGTGCTGCAGTTAATAACTGCTGATGGAATTTGCAGTTCTGAAGTTGGAAATTCATCAGTTGCTGTTAATGTGAGAAACTGTTGGTGTTATCACAGTTGGAAGGAGGTTGGAAGTCAGGAGTGGACACAAGGTAAACAGCACTACACAAACCTCTGGTGGTGTTGAGGTTAAGTGCAAAACTGCTGCTGGAACTGCAGTGAGGATGGAATTTCAGGTACTGTTTACAGTGAACTGTTGGATGGAAAAACAGCTGAGTCCGTAAGATGGAATGATGGCACTAATTACCACTAGAACATCCGTTGGAAAATGTTAGAAGAAATCTTGGAAAGATCTCTAGAATCCTACAAATGTCGGCTGGTTTTTCTGTTGCAGGACTGATGTCAGTTTGCAAAAACGATCAGAATGTGCTAGACTGGTAGTTTAGAAGCCTGATGGAAGACCAGAAATCCAACTTGTTGGTGGTGTGTTCATAAAAACCAATACATGTCTGCCTTCCAGGTTAGAAGATGGTACACCAACCTGGAAGACTGATGCTGTTATTTACGCGTTTGGTTATCATGAACATTACAAGTTGATATAGATGTTAGACTAGTTTGCATCAGTGTATCAAGGACAAGCGTTAGATCTTCGATGCTTGGTGCTCCATTAAAGTAAGCACAGAGTATCACCTAGGTGACAATGGTTGTACATTTCAGGAGTTATTGTAGAGATGTTACTGAACTACATGAATGAACCCTTAGAAACACTTTCTCCCAAAACAGATCTTACGCAGGTTTGGGAAAACAGAGTTTCTTTAAGGGCAGTTGAGATGGAATGAAGTGCATGTAGCCCTACAATAAGTTCCAACAAGAAATATACAACAGGCAACACTTCTGAGATACTTTAAAGATGGAACCAATTAAGGAGCAGGTCACTAAGTACATGCAAAGTTGGCATTGTGCTCTTAGTGATTTGTTTCGCCCTATCCACACACATACAAACTCTCATGCTGGTCTAGGCTTCTAAATCGGTGGATAAACTTGCCACTCAACAGAATGAGTTGGAAGCAAATCAAAAAGTAAACATCACAATAACTGCTGATCGTACTGCAAGTTATTCATAAACTGCTGATGGAATCGTAGCTTATTTGGTCACTGGAGATGGTATCTCAGTTGCTGATTTTTGTGTGTGTGAGAGAGAATACTGCCGATGACACTGCAGCGTTTTCAATGACATTAAGTGTGGATTGTGTTGCAGTTGATATATTGCTGATTGCGTTACATTTCTGAAGACAGAAATTCTCATGAACACTACAAACTGTGTTACTCAAGTTTTCATCATGGAATCAATGATGAAAGGTATTAAATCATTGATGCTTGATGCTTCAAAGAGTATCATCCTGGTTGTACATTACGCACTGATGATTTTGTAAATTACAGGTGGTTGTTATTGTGAAGAATAAATAAGCTGCATATGCAAATCCCATGAAGATACTGTCCAACAACTGTCAGATGATTTGCAAGTATCTTCTAAGCCCCATAGAAAGAAGAGGTTGCTTGGAAGGGTATACATGTAAAAAACAAAGTTCCTTCTGGTAGGAAAGTGACTTGTCAGTATAAAGATTAAAATAGAGGGTTCTTTAAAGGGTAAAGGTGGAAAAATCCACAGAGGAAAGAAACGTAAGCGTTTCTTCTAAGGGTAGAGAAAGAAATATAGGAAACAGATGAAAAAGTTCCAGAAAGGGTACAGATGGAAAAATCTTCCTTCCGAGGGTAGATGGAAGGGTAAAGATGGAGCAAAAACACTTAGGGAAGAGATAGAAAAGGTTTAAGATTAGAGATGAAAAAAAAGGTTATAAAAAGCTAGAGATGAAAAAAGTTATAAAAGGCTAGCAATAGAAAAGGTTATAAAAGGCTAGAGATAAAAAAAATTATAAAAGGCTAGAGATAAAAATATGTTATTAAAGGCTGGAGATTAAAAAAGGCTATAAAAGGCTCAGGATAAAAAAGGTTATAAAAGGCTACAGATAAAAAAGGTTATAAAAGGTTAAAGATGAAAAAGGTTATAAAAGGTTAGAGATAAAAAAGGTTACAAAAGGCTAGCGATAAAAAAAGGTTATGTAAATGGCTAGCGATAAAAAGGTTATAAAAGGCTAGAGATAAAAAAGGTTATAAAAGGCTAGAGATAAAAAAAGGTTATAAAAGGTTAGAGATACAAAAGGTTATAAAAGGTTAGAGATAAAAAAGGTAATAAAAGGTTAGAGATAAAAAAAGGTTATAAAAGGCTAGCGATAAAAAAGGTTATAAAAGGCTAGAGATATAAAAGGTTATAAAAGGCTAGAGATAAAAAAGGTTATAAAAGGCTAGAGATAAAAAAGGTTATAAAAGGCTAGAAATAAAAAAAGTTATAAAAGGCTAGAGATAAAAAAGTTATAAAAAGCTAGAGATAAAAAAGGTTAGAAAAGGCTAGAGATAAAAGGTTATAAAAGGCTAGAGATAAAAAAAGTTATAAAAGGCTACAGATAAAAAAGGTTTAAGACTATAAAAAGAGAAAGGGCTAGAGAAAGGGAAACAGTTTTGTTCTAAAAGTCAAGATGGAAAACAAAGTTTCTCCAATGGTAGAGAAGAAAAATAGTCTTTTAAGAAAAAAGATGAAAAAAACGTTGCCAATAAGGTCAAGATGGGTAAAGAAAGTTATAAAAGGCTAGAGATGAAAAAGGTTATAAAAGGCTAGAGATGAAAAAGGTAATGGAAGGCTAGAGATGAAAAAGGTTATAAAAGGCTAGAGGTATAAAGGTCATAAAAGGCTAGAGATAGAAAAGGATATAAAAGGCTGGAATAAAATGAAGGTTATAAAAGGTTAGAGATAAAAAAGGTTATAAAAGGCTAGAGATAAAAAGGTTATAAAAGGCTAGAGATAAAAAAAAAGGTTATAAAAGGCTGGAGATAAAACAGGTTATAAAAAGGCTAGAGATAAAAAAGGTTATAAAAAGGTTAGAGATAAAAAAGGTTACAAAAGGTTAGAGATAAAAGGTTATAAAAGGCTAGAGATTAAAAAAGTTATAAAAGGTTAGAGATAAAAGGTTATAAAAGGCTAGAGATTAAAAAAGTTATAAAGGTTAGAGATAAAAAAGGTTATAAAAGGCTAGAGATAAAAAAGGTTAGAAAAGACGAGAGATAAAAAAGGTTATAAAAGGCTAGAGATAAAAAAGGTTATAAAAGACTAGAGATAAAAAAGGTTATAAAAAGCTAGAGATAAAAAAGGTTAGAAAAGGCTAGAGATAAAAGGTTATAAAAGGCTAGAGATAAAAGAGTTATAAAAGGCTAGAGATAAAAAAGATTTAAGACTATAAAAAGAGAAAGGGCTAGAGAAAGGGAAACAGTTTTGTTCTAAAAGTCAAGATGGAAAACAAAGTTTCTCCAATGGTAGAGAAGAGAAATAGTCTTTTAAGAATAGAGATAAAAAAAAACGTTGCCAATAAGGTCAAGATGGGTAAAGAAAGTTATAAAAGGCTAGAGATGAAAAAGGTTATAAAAGGCTAGAGATAAAAAAGGTTATAAAAGGCTAGAGATGAAAAAGGTTATAAAAGGCTAGAGATAAAAAAGGTTATAAAAGGCTAGAGATAGAAAAGGATATAAAAGGCTGGAATAAAATGAAGGTTATAAAAGGTTAGAGATAAAAAAGGTTATAAAAGGCTAGAGATAAAAAAGGTTATAAAAGGCTAGAGATAAAAAAGGTTATAAAAGGCTAGAGATAAAAAAGGTTATAAAAGGCTAGAGATAAAAAAGGTTATAAAGGCTAGAGATAAAAAAGGTTATAAAAGGCTAGAGATAAAAAAGGTTATAAAAGGCTAGAGATAAAAAAAGGTTATAAAAGGCTAGAGATAAAAAAGGTTATAAAAGGCTAGAGATAAAACAGATTATAAAAAGGCTAGAGATAAAAAAGGGTATAAAAAGGTTAGAGATAAAAAAGTTTACAAAAGGTTAGAGATAAAAGGTTATAAAAGGCTAGAGATTAAAAAAGTTATAAAGGTTAGAGATAAAAAAGGTTATAAAAGGCTAGAGATAAAAAAAAAGGTTATAAAAGGCTAGAGATAAAAAAGGTTATAAAAGGCTAGAGATAAAAAAGGTTATAAAAGGCTAGAGATGAAAAAGGTTAGAAAAGGCTAGAGATAAAAAAGGTTATAAAAGGCTAGAGATAAAAAAGGTTATAAAAAGCTAGAGATAAAAAAGGTTAGAAAAGGCTAGAGATAAAAAAGTTATAAAAGGCTAGAGATAAAAAAGGTTTAAGACTATAAAAAGAGAAAGGGCTAGAGAAAGGGAAACAGTTTTGTTCTAAGAGTCAAGATGGAAAACAAAGTTTCTCTAATGGTAGAGAAGAAAAATATTCTTTTAAGAATAGAGATGAAAGAAAGTTGCCAATAAGGTCAAGATGGGAAAAGAAAGTTTCTTCCGAGGGTAGAAATGAAAAAAGTTCTATAGAGAGAAATAGTTCGGGAGAAAAAGTTGTAAGGATAGAGTTGGCAAAAAAAAGGCTTTCTTTCAGGGTACACATGTCAAACCGTACAAGCTTTCTTGAGTCGTAGTCGCCTTTGTGGTAATGTACAACAGATGATACTCCTTTGAAACATTAAAGGGTTCACATTGTGTTCCTTGTGAACTTGTAGGCCCTACACTTGTTCTTAAATGTAGGCTGCAATATGGATAACAGTTTTTGCACAATATTATTATTGCATTGTGAATGTTAATGCTAGTATGGGTGTGGATTTGTATCAGTTGACTAAACAGAAACCCGGAGGTGTTATGTTATGTCAGCCACATTTTTTAGATCAGTTTGGGAAAAAAATGTGACTGAAGAAGCCTGTTATTCGCATCGAATAACACAATCTGCTTCATTAATTACAACTTGTGTGTGCATGTTTGGTTATACACTGTTCCAGTTGGATGTCACGGTAATGTGCAGGACGTTTTCTTGATAAATCCTGGCAAGGTGGCGCACATCAGAATTTGACAAAGAACATTTCAGAAGTCCTACACTAAACTTATAACCAAACATGCACACACATAATCACTATGGGCAGTTCCTCTCTATATAATGTTTAGGGCGGATCCAGTATTTGTTCACATAGGCTGGGCAGAAGGCACGTTTAACTTTGGATGGAAGAATATAAATATGCAATAAGAAGGTTCATCATTGTGCTTAGTTAAATTGTTTTTCTTATTGTAATATTGGGTACCTATTAGCCCATCTCAGGATCCAGATACTTATGTCACATCCGTAATTAAGTTAAATTGTTTCGTTGTCCTAAGTCAGAAATATTGAAGGAAATTGAGTCAATGGAATTATTTCACTGAAGTGAACTTAATCTGACTAAAAATATTGGCAATGGTGGTATGGCAATTTTATGCGAGTCTCTTATAATTTGCTTAGACTTGTAATCAATTATTTTTTACAGTAATGTCCATAAAAATTATCCAGGTTGATAGATGAGTAAAAGTTGACCATAAACTGTTCGTCAAATTAGCTGCAAGTGGTGCTATCAGTCTTTACGGTAGAGATGAAGAAAGGTTTAAAGGCTAGATATGACAAAAGGTTTTAAGGCTAGAGATGCAATAAGTGTTAAGGCTAGAAAGAAAAAAATTATGGCTAGAGATTACCACAGTTTTAAGGCTAGTATCAAAAAGTTGTAAGGCTATAGTTGAAAGAGGCTTAAAAACTAGAGATGAAAAAAAGTGAAAGGCTAGAAATGAGAAACAATTGTCAGGCTAGAGATTACAATCGTTAAGGCTAGCATCGAAAAGTTTTAAGGCTAGACTTATCAAAAAGTTTTAAGGCTTGACGTATCAAAAAGTTTTAAGGCTAGTATTAAAAATTTTAAGGCTAGTATCAAAAAGTTTTAAGGCTAGTATCAAAAGTTGTAAGGCTAGTAGCAAAAACTTTTCAGGCAAGTATCAAAAGAGTTTTAAGGCTAGTATCAAAAGGTTTTAAGGCTAGTATCAAAAACTTTTCAGCCAAGTATAAAAAGGTTTTCAGGCTTGTATAAAAAAGTTTTAAGGCTGGTATCAAATAGTTTAAGGCTAGTATCAAAAAGTTTTAAGGCTAGTATCAACAAGTTTTAAGTATCAAAAGGTTTTAAGGCAAGTATCAAAAAGTTTTAAGGCTTAAAAGTTTTAAGGCTAGTATCAAAAAGTTTTTAGGCTAGTATCAAAAAGTTTTTAGGCTAGTATCGAAAAGTGTTAAGGCTAGTATCAAAAAGGCTCAAGGCTAGTATCAAAAGGTTATAAGGCAAGTATCAAAAAGTTTTCAGGCCAGTATAAAAAGTGTTAAGGCTAGTATCAAAAAGTTTTCAGGCTTGTATTTAAAAGTTTTAAGGCTAGTATCAAAAAGTTGTAATGCTAGTATCGAAAAGTGTTAAGGCTAGTATCGAAAAGTGTTAAGGCTAGTATCAAAAAGGCTCAAGGCTAGTATCAAAAGGTTATAAGGCAAGTATCAAAAAGTTTTCAGGCCAGTATAAAAAAGTTTTAAGGCTAGTATCAAAAAGTTTTCAGGCTTGTTTTTAAAAGTTTTAAGGCTAGTATCAAAAAGTTTTAAGGCTAGTATCAATAGGTTTTAAGGCAAGTATCAAAAAGTTTTAAGGGTAGTATCAAAAAGTTTTAAGGCTAGTATCAAAAAGTTTAAAGGCAAGTGTCAAAAAGTTTTAAGGCTAGTATCAAAAAGTTTAAAGGCTAGTATCAAAAAGTTTTAAGGCCAGTATCGAAAAGTGTTAAGGCTAGTATCAAAAAGTTTTAAGGCTAGTATCAAAAAGTGTTCAGGCTAGTATCAAAAAGGCTCAAGGCTACTATCAAAAGGTTTTAAGGCTGGTATCAAAACGTTTTAAGGCTAGTATCAAAAAGTTTAAAGGCTAGTATCAAAAAGGCTCAAGGCTAGTATCAAAAAATTTAAAGCAAGCATCAAAAATTTTTAAGGCAAGTATCAAAAAGTCTTGTCTAGTATCAAAAAGTTTAAAGGTTAGTATTAACAGGTTTTAAGGCTAGTATCAAAACGTTTTCAGGACAGTATCAAAAAGTTTCAAGGCTAGTATCAAAAAGTTTCAAGGCTAGTATCAAAAAGTTTTAAGGCTAGTGTCGAAACGTTTTAAGGCAGTATAAAAACAGTTAAAAAGTTTCAAGGCTAGTATCAAAAGGTTTTAAGGCTAGTATCAAAAAGTTTAAAGGCTAGTATCAAAATTTTTAAAGCAAGCATCAAAAATTTTAAGGCAAGTATCAAAAAGTCTTGTCTAGTATCAAAAAGTTTAAAGGTTAGTATTAACAAGTTTTAAGGCTAGTATCAAAACGTTTTCAGGACAGTATCAAAAAGTTTCAAGGCTAGTATCAAAAAGTTTCAAGGCTAGTATCAAAAAGTTTAAAGGCTAGTATCAAAAAGTTTTCAGGCTAGTGTCGAAACGTTTTAAGGCAGTATAAAAACAGTTAAAAAGTTTCAAGGCTAGTATCAAAAAGTTTAAAGGCTAGTATCAAAAAGTTTTAAGGCTAGTATCAAAAAGTTTTAAGGCTAGTATCAAAAAGTTTTAAGACTAGTATCGAAAAGTGTTAAGGCTAGTATCAAAAAGGCTCAAGGCTAATATCAAAAGGTTTTAAGGCAAGTATCAAAAAGTGCTAAGGCTAGTATCAAAAAGGCTCAAGGCTAGTATCAAAAGGTTTTAAGGGTAGTATCAAACGTTTTAAGGCTAGTATCAAATTGTTTTAAGGGTAGTATCAAAAGGTTTTAAGGCTATAGGTGGCAAAAGGCTTAAGACTAGAGATGAAAAAAGTGAAAGGCTAGTTATGAGAAACAGTTGTAAAGCTAGTTTCAAAAATATTTCAAGCTAGAGGTAAAAACTGTTTTAAGACCAGAGAATGATGAAAAACGTTTTATGACTAGAAAAAAAAAAAAAGTTTTAAGGCTAGAGATGAAAAAAGTGTTAAGGCTGCAGATGAAAATAAAGTTCATTGCTAGATTCGAAAAAAAAAATTAGGGTATTGAGATGAAAAGCGTTTTAAGGCTAAAGATATGACAAAAGTTGTAAGACTTTTTTTTTTTTGAGATTACAAAAGAAGAGAACACCACTTCCACATTTACCAGCTTCAAGAGCGAACACCCTTTTTTGACTTAGCATAAAATTGCCATTTCTAATTACGGATGTGACATAAAGTAAACATTATATAGAGAGGAACTGCCCACATTTTTTTTATTAGGTTTTCTAATGGCTGCGCTGGGTGCAGCCAAGCTGCACCTCAGCGGTCTCCTGACGAGGAGACTCTCCACCACCGCCAACAGGTGTCAGATGACCGGGTGTGGCGGAGGGGGTGGTGGATCTACTCTTCATCCGTCGCTGCTTCTCTACAGCGCTTGCAGCATCTCTGATAAGGTGACCGGGGCTGCACAGGATATCACTTGATGGCTTCTTGGAAGGCATCTTTGTCGGAGTTGGAGTCTTTGAGGCTCTTCTGAGAGGACTCCTCCCACGGGGACTTCCAGAATCCAGGATGTCATTCTTGTTTGGGATCTCTGGAGTGTCCCGAACGCGGGACTCACTGGAATGTGGTCTCCTGCTCTGGATGCGGGAGCAATCCAGGATGCTGCTTGATGGTTTCTTTGCTGCAAGGAGGTGTGCACTTGAGACAGGAGTTATCTTGCCAGTGGATGGCCTGCTTCTTGGCTGCGTGATGGAATGGGCACAACCATCCCCTTCAACAGCTACTGGCGATACTGTAGATGACTGTACTGTTGAATAGCCAACAGCATTGGTATCATTGCCATGCGTCAGCTGAATCTGCACTTGATCCTGTTGCTGATGTTCTTGATTGTTGAAATTCACTGCAGCGACGGCATCCTGCTGGAGTTGGTCCAAAGGTTGGTCTTCTAAGGACAGTTGATGTGTGACACTGTTTTCCCTGATCACCTCGATGTTGTCACCCATGGCACTTCCGTCAGATCCTTGAAAACGTAGCTGTTCGGCGATGGTGGCAGATTCCATCTGAGTGGCCAACACTGTACTGGGCCTGGCATCAGCAAGCATGGCCAAAGATGTCTTTGGTCCATGGGCTCGTTGGGCAGAGTTGGCTCTGCGGGGAGGACCCTCACTCGAGATGGACTTTACACCTTTTCTGAGATGTTTCTGGTGCTTGGTACTCATCTTGGAAGAGCGGGGACAGTCAGTGGATGTGAGAGCAATGTAACCATCCTTGCTTTCCACAGTGGAGGCCTGCATTACTTTGCGATGGGCAGTTGGGGAAGAGGCAACATCCTGTGGTGCTTGGAAGCTCACTCGACCTGGCTTCAGGTTGCGGGACGACTTGGATTTCATGGTCGAGTTGTCACGTGCTTTCGTTGCCTTATTGGTCACACTTGCTGTTTTGGGTTGTTGTTTTTCATCTGGCAAATTGTTGGCAGATAGACTGCTCTCTTTATTTTTTGCCGTGTTGGCACTCACAGAGTTGTTTGGTGACTTATGTTTGCCACCTTTGCGAGGACTGGAAGAGCTCTTGGAAGCCTTCAACTTCTCAGCAGGTTTTGCTTTACCCTTGGTAGTACTTCCTGCAGCAGTGGTAGACTTCTTGACATTTTTTGAAGCCTCTGACTTCTTAGTGGCGATCTGTTTGCCCTTTGAGCTGGTGGCTGTGGAACTTGAAGAGGTGCCATTTGCAGCCTCTTTGAGCTTTAGCATCCTGCTTGATGCGTTGCGGGCTTTCAGCTCATCAGTTGTTGACTTCTTACGATCGACAGTGGGAGACTTCTTGCGACGGCTCGTGGACTTCTTCACATCGCGGGCGGGCTTCTTACTATCGGCCAACTTGGTCTTGCCTTTGCCGGAAGCCTTGTCACATTTGATGTTCTTGCCAATCCCACTGGATTTCTTGTCCTCATTCTGTTTATCCTTTTTGCCCAGAAGGGCTGTTCGGCTCTTCTTGGATGCCGACTTGATGGCCGATTTGATCTTAGATACAGCTGAAGGCTTCTTTGATGGACTCGCCTCCTCACTCATGATCTGAAAAAGAAAAGAGTAAATTTTATCCCAAAGGTCATTTAAATATAAGAAGTAGGACATCTGCAAGTGCATTTGATGTAAATGTGGTTTTCATTTAATGGTTCGCTTTAAAAAAAAGGAAATCTCATACAAGTTTGACCAGTTCTATGTACTTGCAAAGGAAGGAGTTCAACCAAAAAGTCATATGATCAGAGTTATGTTATGTTGGTTTGACTTACGTCATCAGTCTGAATGGACATCTCACAAGTCTGAGTTGACATCTCAGAGGTCGGGCGAGGAAGGTTGATGCTTGATTTCTTCAACCCGCTCAAGATGATACGTGTCAACTCGGCTGCGTCAACTGATGCAGTGCTGGAAGTCTGTTGATATAAAATAAGATACAATTTGAGGGTTGAATCGAACTTTCAAGTTTGATCAAATTCGAAAAGTACAACTAGTAATGAATCTTGTTGTTTATACTTACCACATCAGTGGCTGTGGACGTGACCTTAGACAGGGTTGTGATCTTGTCCTCTGTGGCAATGCTGGCAAGCACGGCACCAACCATTTCTGCAGCCTGTTGGTCCAGGTTGCACTGCTTGGATTCCTCCTTGAGATCATCACGAGGCTGCTGAAAATGTAACAATGAGGAATGGTAGTTTATAAAAGAGGAGGTCATCAAAGGTCGGAAAATGAAGGCAGATGCTTGTTGCCAGAATTAATATCTTTTAGACTCAATTTTCACTAATTATTTCAGCTTACACTTCACTTTGTTTCAAATTATAAGAAAACAATGTACCTGATATAACCAATTTATGTACACAACTTGTTGGTGATTGTAAAATGCAGTTATCTCTCTCTGCCTGTCATGTCTTATAAAGTTTATTCATCATTAGACATTTTAAAACAAATTATTCAAGAAATTCAAACTGTTACTTCTAATGGGCTTACCACCTCAACTGCTGTGGTAGTAGAAGCAGTTTGCATTTCCATTTCCTCCTCTGTGATACTAGTGAGGCAGGCATCCACAAGCTTGGCAGCCTCTAGGTCCAGGCTGCGTGGTGTCTGCTGCACTGTGTCAGTGGCCTGATGAAGACGATCATGTAACAAGCATTATACTATAATTTTCCTTTCAGTCTTCTTGCTGAAATTCAAATGTTGCTGAACATATCCTGACAAAAGCACATTTCCTTGCAAGTATTTTTCCATGTTGGGGTAGAGTCACTCAGGATTTGTTTTTTTGGTTTTGAAGAAACTCATACACACAAACCCTGTTTTTGAAAAACTCTTGCAGTATCGATGACTCCTCTTTTGCGATTGCCAAGAATTTGTTGTTCTGAAAAATATAAATCTTATATGCACTTAGGTTCTAAACTTTTGGAAAGTTTGTAAAAGTTGTTGAAATAGTGTATTTGCTCTATCTTACCATGTCAACTGTCTGGATGTCAGTACCAGCGGTCTGCCCTTCATACTGCAAGTCTGCAGTCACACGGGCCAGGACAGCATTCACAATTTCGGCTGCGTCGTCAGCCAGATTGAAAGATGCTTCTACATCCATGGGCTGTGAAGTATTGTCATCAAATATTGAAAGTATAGTTAATGTGTATTATGGTGTAGATCATGTTGGACAATTGCCTTATGTTTGTGGGGACGTCAGATATTTTTACAATTTTCTTAAGGCAGTATCTCAAAAAAGATTCTGAAATCAAGTTAATTCAATCTACAAGTCAATCACAAATCAATCCAATGCAAGGTCACAATTTACAAATTCATTTAGGAGTCTCTTTGTCACAGTTTATCGAGCAGCTTGCCACTTGAGTTCAGGCTCGGCCTGGGAGTAAAATGTAATACACCGAACCATGAACTCTTCCCTTCCCCCATATATCCGCCCTTTTATTCGTACACTACATGTTCAAATTGTGCATGTCAAATACAAACTTGTGTACTTATGTGGGGCATTGGTTGGAAAATCACAGCTGTGATAGTTCAAAACATTCTACTGGGAGGCGGGGCTTACTGGATCAGGCTGTTGCCTCATGATTGACTCGTAATGACTCGTGATCATTTGATTTTACAACTCCACTGGGTATAATGGTTATTTAATTTTTTTAAAATTTAACTTTGAAGTTCATTGCAACTGTGTTACATGGCTATATTTTTTAGATTTGTTCCCATTCAAATCAAACTGCATAAAATATTTCCAAATCTGATGGACATATCCAAATTGCTTCAAAATAGAACCCACCACATCAGTGGCCAGTGTTGATGTCCCGTCGTCGTCCTCATCCTCTCTATCCAAGCTGTCAAAGACAGCATCCACAAGATAAGCAGCCTCCTGCTCCAGGATGGCTGCCTGCTCTGCTGCAGCAATCTATGACCATCGAAAACAAAAAGTCATGTTTAATGCTATGGACTCACATTGCACAATATCCCGCTCATAATTTTTTTTTTTATAAAAGTGAAAAGAGGGAGTTTGGCATGTACACAAAACATATTGCAACTGTACACCTGACGCTCTTATTAGGCAAAATCAGTACAGGCTTGGGCATTATAGCTATATGTACTGGGTGAACCAACTTGCTTTTGTATCATGTGTCGGTTCAAAGAGTTTTCATGATCAGATCCTATAGCCAGAGGTGTCGGTTTTTAATGAAGGAGATTTATCATAAGTGTATACTTCAACATCTGATTTTCAGGCACATATAGAACTATTTTGGATATCTCCTGCTTAATGTGAACATGTCTCTTGTTTTCTGTTAAACAGGTCCACAATAGTCCTACATGTGTCCAGAGCTTGTTTGTCTACGTAATTGTCAGCATATGCCAGCATAGCTGTAATCAAAGAGGACCTAGACAACTCTTGATAAGCAATTTAGAGGCAGCCGTAACATTTCCAAGTAAATTTGGCCTGACTACGGTCACCTTGATGTTGACTTGCAGTTATATTGACTTACCTCATCAGCTGCAGAGTCTAGCACCTCTGGCTGAGGCGCATTCAGCTCATCTTTGTCCAGATTGGCAAAGACGGCCTCCACAAGGTTAGCAGCCTCCAGTGTCAGGTTGCTGGAAGAGTCATCGATCTGAAGACAGAAGAATACTCACATTAAAAAGTCTTGAAAAGTAAAAGCAAATGTGGGCACGCAATACAGACACAGCTTTGATCAAGTAACAATTTTTGAATTAAAACAGGTTCATTTGGTGTTAAAACGTTTTAATTTTGTGTGTGTTTTACTCCATTTTCAAAGTGTAGATCAGCCGTGTACACATGACAGAAACTTATAATTATATTGTTTGGCGTGAGTGTACTGCTTTCAAAATTTAGTTGAATGGACCAACCTTCCTTTGAATTTTCATAACACCTCATTTTTGTTTGTTGTTTTGATATTTATGACAATATTTCTTAATGCTACCATTTCAAGACACATCTTTAGTCTTGTTGCATGTAATGGATCACAAGTCATCACAAGTCCATCCAGCGAGGGGGGGGGGGTGATGCAACCCTCCCCCATAAAAAAATTATCATCTTAAAAACAAAAAATATTTCTTTATTGGTAATAACGACTCTTACCTGATCATTAGCCTTGTCATCCTCTCCCTTGATCTTGATATCTCCTTTCACACTCACCGGGGCAACAAAAGCTGCATGTTCGTTGTCGGCGATAGTTGGCTCCTTGATCAGTGCCTACACATTGTATATAAGTTTCAATTAGTCATGGGCATTGTAATTGAGAGTTTAACCACATGCCATGGTCAACTAGTGTTTAGCTTAATTCACTCAAATAGAGAACCGAAGTGTGATGTCAGCTGTCTTAATTTGCTCTGGTTTGTGTGCTGATGTCTTCATATACGAAAAGCTATGGTTCTGAACATACGCAGTACACTTCGCTACTCTATCAGAACAGTTGACTATCATTTGGCTAGTCACTTTGGCTATTCAGGAACAGCCTACAGGTCAGTTGCATCAAATATTCGACAACATGACAATTGTTTCATGTCTTATCATGTATAGCAGGTTGCCTGGACCAAGAAATTTGACTGGAGATGTTCTCACTTTAATATAAAAACTTTGGCTCAAAGTCGATAAATAATCACTCATTAGTTAACCTGTCCTTGATTGCATTGCCCTTCATTGTCAGTGTCTTCACTTCATATTATTCATCAGCTCCTCCATTTGTCCCACCATTAGCATAATCACCATCATCACCACCGTTGCTATAATTCTTATCGCCACTTCCGTTCTCAAAGTTTTTGAGACAAATATTAAAATTAACGACAAAGCAACCCACCTCGGGTTTTGGAGTAGCATTGGATGGTTTCTCCGCGGTGTTGTCAATGCAGATGTCGGCCTCATTGACAACGATCAGTCTAGGCCCAATGGATGCGGAGCTGGTAGGACGCTCAGTGGCCAGGGTAGCCTGTCATGAGAGGGAACCATTAGAATTAAGGCTCATTAAAGAAATTGGCAATAAAGAGAAACCCAGACAAGGCACAATAAATACCAAAAGGGTTAAAGCAGTGTAGTTTAGTCAATCAGAAGTCATTTCACAAATAATAGTGGATGAACAAAAACAAAGGAATTCAGCTGTCTAGTTCAGTTTGAATAATTTGTGAGTTGAGCTGGGACTGGATGACTTCTGATTGACTTAGATGGACTTGGCAGGACTTGTGAGGACTTGAAATGGACATGACCACAAAATACGTTGTTACAAAGTACCAGGATTTGAACAAATTATCTCTTGTTTCTATAAATACCGGTCACATCTATTTGGCTACGATAATGAAAGTTTATGAAGCACCAGATTGAAGCAGTGGTTTCTGTCCAAATTTACCTCTCAAAAAATGTAATCTTTTTGCAACAAGTTTTAATATTGGGGTTTGCCCTTCACCAATGTATTTTTTACAAGTACGGTACTCTCTGAGAGCTTGTGAGAAGCTGGCTCGAGTAGGTGAAGTCACAGCCTCCTATTGACTGGTGCACAAGTCTAAACCTTGCAACCACTGAGCTTGTCACTGCGGGGTTACAGGTTCAAATCTGAAACAGCAGAGTGACTTGTTTTTCTTCTAAAAATGCGTACCTGGGTCAGTCCCAGGATGGCCTTCAGGTCCTCGCTCTTGCTCACGGCATCGTCGCTGATCACCTTGGCAACTGCATCAGTGATGGCAGCTGCGACAGAAGAATCAGTAGTCATCATTCCTTTGGGCGACTTTATCTCCTTCTTTGTCTCTTCCTTCATTTCCTGTAAAAGAGAAGGGAATATGATCTCAATATCTGTGATCTTAATAACCTGAAGTTGAAACTTTGAATGCTCATTTTGTTTCATATACTTCTTAAGGAAGGCCTCGGGCAAAAAGTTCTGCTTGTCCTTGGATGTAGTAAATTTGGTTGATAAAATTTTACTTTTTTTTACATACTTATTAATGCTTAATTTGTCAAACACCCATGCTACGCTTGTTCTATTGTTCTATTTTGATTTCTTGGCAATAATGCAAATATCAAAAGAAGTTCTTTTAAGGCAAAAAAAAAAAAATTGTTCTGCTTCCAGTTTCCCTACCTACCCTATTCTGACAGCCCCTACCCTAATCTTTTTATTGGAAAAAAATGAGAAAAAAAAAACACTCCAAACCCCCAATTTCTACCTTTTACCCTTGGCGCCTCCATATGATTGCACACAAAAATAATTGGCAAAAAAAAAATTCCCTACCTACCTATACCCTATATTCAAATGCCATGTAATTGGAAGCAGAATAATTTTTTTCGGCCTAAGCAGCCATAATGAAGCCACAACCCTTACATCTAAGACTTCGAAACTTTCAAATTTGCTTTGACAAAAAAAGTAATATCAGACCTTCAGGATTCCCTCAGGGGTAGTATGCTCATCATCGGTCAGGGATTGCTCAGGGATGGTGGTGGTTTGCTCTGGGGTTTGCTCTGGGGTTTGCTCTGGGGTTTGCTCAGGGGTTTGCTCAGGGGTTTGCTTGCTGGTAATGGCAGGCAGCTGGACCCCTCCTACAGAATTGACAAAACATTCTTGGAATTATAATATTCAATACAAATTACTTTTTAGCTCCCAAAATAGAAATTTTTCTTAGCACTTGTATTTTAAAATGTCATGTTTTTCACAGATTGTGTACACAATACATCATACAGCGGCTTAATTTACATGATACATCATTTCGGAGGGCGATCTGTCCCCCCCCCCCCACCAGAAAACCCCCCAAAAAAGCAAGTAATGGAAGGCCTGAGATGTTACAACTCACCAAGTCCAGCTACGGCCAGAGCTACAGCTCTCAGCTCAGCATCACCCTTCGCCTTGGTATCGGCCAGGGCCTTGGCCATCTTGGCCTTAGCCTGGAGGGGAGATACAAGAGAATCTCCTTGGGCTTTCATTGTCTTGCACCGGTAAATCACAAGTCAATTCATGTACATATATGCAGTCGACTTTCGTTAATACAAACTCAGCCGGACCTACCAAAATGTTTGTTATATCAGAATTGTGTATTAGGCAGAGTGCCTGTCCCATTCATTGTGCACATAATATGCATAGTCGGGTCCGAGGATGTTGGCTTTAGCCAGAATTTGTATTAACAGAGATATTAACGAGAGTCAACTGTACATCAGTCAGAAGTAATGGGATGAACAACAAAACAGTGCCTTTGTCACAGTTCAAGTCATTTGCATTGTACCTAACTGCAGCAGTTTTTCTCACTCTTAAGGATCTAATGGGAATGCTAACTCGTGTTTTGAAGTATTACCCCTTTTTAATTCCTCAAAGGTCTTACAGATGAGTGGCATATTTTATACAAGATCATTCCATTAGTATCTTTGGTTACATGAAACATCTGACAGCCAAATACAATATTTGTAATGATACTTAACTTGAAACCGTATCTTAAAAACATCGAAACATTTGCAGAGTGTATACATTTGGTGGACTGCAAATTTGAATAAAATTTCCTGAAATGTTCATTTTATAATTGTCGACTTACCTTTTTTTGCTTCTTCAAAGCACTCTTGGAAAGCTGCTGGTGCTCCTTGCCAGATTCTAAGACAACAACAATTATATTTGACCAGAATATTTAGGAAAATGTGTAATTTTGGGGGGGTTCTTTGTGTTTGTGTAAGGTCTTCATCCAGTCTAAGTGGGTCATTGTATTAATTTAGCTTCCGAAGTATGACAATTTTCCTGTCCCTGTTACCTTGGTACTTTTTAATTTGCCATTTGAGTACCATTACCAATAACTTGTATTTTTTTTAAAATTTGTTTAGTAGGCAGTCTACAGGCTATTCATAATCACTCTTGGGGGATGACTGCATTAAACCATAGATGTCAGCTCCCAGGAAGTGGATCCGACAGTTATAGGATGACCCCAAAACAAGAGAAATCCTTCAGAGGAGACCTCAAAGTCCTTTTGATAACTTACAGTAGTGCTGTGAGACAATTTCTTATTTCTACCATTAGGCCTAAGGTTATTTCTTAGGCCAAGTAAAAAAAAAACAGTTGCTCATCTTGACTTTTTGAGAGAAAAAAAAGGGAGGAAGAGGTCCTTTTTTTCTGCAGATGGTGCATTTTCCGAGATGATTCTTTCATTTTCTTGACTCTTTTCCCGATAATTTTGTGTCCAAATTAGCCGTAACAAATTCTAATCTTGAGTTGGCTTGCATAGCTACAATTTTGCTGGGAGGACATGAAAACCTAAATACATTGTGTATATTGCAAATGATTGATTTTAACAAAATAGAAAAAAAAAGCGGCTCGGAGAAAAAAAGAAGGAGGCAGGGACGGGAAACTGGTTAATTTTTTTTTACTTGGCCTTAATAATAATAATATCCATCTAACCCTCTTCACAAACTTGCTAACTTGTTTGCAATGACTTGTGTGGAATGTGTTTCCTTTTTTTTAGTCCAAATTAAATGCATAGGTAGGGCCAACAACTGTCTTAACATGTTTTATAAAGATGATTATTTTTTTTCTCCCATTTTGTTATCCTTGTCTCACTAAACTGTCAGTCAGAGGGACATTAGGTTTAAACTAGCATAATTGTTCAACTCCCATCATAATCTTTAAGTTTACCAGTTACCCAACAGGTTTGGCTTTGTTTATCATCCATAAAAAAACCTTGTTCAAAGTTGTAGACCCTACAAGTTGTAGCCTGTTAATTTGTTTACAAGGGACATGCTATTCATTCTTGTCTTGTGCTGTCAATGTCATCACAAACACTGAATGTGACCACACAATGGGCACATAATCATGCATTGTGAGGTCATGACTGTATGAATTATGATGTCTCCATTACCCACGTGACTTTATAACAATGTCTTGCTAGCAACAAAATAAAAATCAACAATCCAAATTTGGTCAGGCTTTGGTTTATGGCTATGAAAATTCATAGGCCATGGCCTACAATAAATAATAAGTCCTGAACTACATGAGACAATTTATCAACTTATCAAATCAATGTGACAACGGCAAAACCCCTAACTTGCTGGTCTAGGCCTACTAAAGTACTAGCCTACACATTTTGTAGCAGACAAGAAAGGCATGAAACTTAAAAACTAAAAAAGGGCATTCTGCAATTGTCGTTTTTTTAATTTAACTAGGCCTAGCTCACACAAGATTCCAGAAAAGACTCACAAAACCTTACCACGGCCTAACAATTTTCTGTGCAAGACGTAGGCCTACTAATCAACAAAACAGAGGTGAATTTATCTACGGTAACCGTAATCTTACAAGACCAATGGCTATTTTTGTGTACTTTGCTCAAGAACTCAAGCAACGACAATCAAACAGTGCCTGCGCGCGCCCCGTGAAATTTCCATTTTGCCACATATCGCAAGGCGGCCGTACGTGAAAGCCTGAGAACTAAAGCTGAAACACTTACCTCGAGCACGACGCTTTCGCTTCCTGGACTGTGGACAGCCCATCCTTGAGCCGAAATGATCTTCAACTCAGCTTCGAAGATTCTGAATTTGTCGTAAGTCTGTAGATATTCGCGATTCCAGAGAGACAGAAAACCACAAGGACGTCCGCTTCTCGTAAATACAAAACTGTTACTGAAAATCAGCTGGCCGAACGGCGCGTCTGATTGGTCGAAAGTCTGGTCACGCTTTATGCATAATTCATGAGACGGTGTTTTGCCGTTTCCAAGCTGTTGCTCGTTCGTCAAATTGATGGCATTTTGAGAGATATATTTGCGCCTGTGTTATTTAAAATGTTTTTGCACATTTTGGACTAATTTTACTTAGCATTTCATTTTTTTTCTTCATATAAAACTGTACTTTTTGTTTGAAATCTTTCTCGTAAGATATAATTTGATTAAGAATTTTTGAAAGAGTGCTTGACAACAAAACACAAATTGTGCTTGACAACAAAATGCAAATTACGTATGCGTAGTAGCGCGCATGCGTTGCAACCAAGAGGGGCGCCCTGCACATTATACGCGGCACGCTTAATTAGAAGAAAAAAAAATTGCCGTACCCTTACCCGTACCGTACCTGCAGCAGCACCATCCCCCAAAAAACAAAGTAGAATATTTTGATATGTAATAAAAAAAATCGCCAACTGCAATTATTTCGCATGTGATTGATCTTTAAAAAAATTACAAAAGAAATCATTAAGGCTGTCCTAAAAAAATGGAGGTGGGGGGGGGGGGGACATGCAAATTGTTTTTCAAGAGAGCTAAATTTTAGACTCTCGATTGGAACCTTTTTTTACAGATCGCTTTAAAGTTTAATTACTTTGCAGTTATGTAAAGGAACTAGTGCTTTTTACTACCATTTACTTGTTGACAACATAATGGTAACGCCCACAGAGCAACAAAGAGATCCAACTTTCACACATTTGTCATTCAGAACGGCATGGAGTTCAAACTTTCACACTTTTTTTTAATAGAAAACTGACCATGCAGAAATTAATATAAACATCACAACTAAAAGCAAATTACACTGTTCACAATAAATCGAAAGCACACGTTAATTCAAGAATAGACATTGTACTCCGCAAAATGATTAATGCAAATTAATCTGAGTATGTTATGAATCATCTATCGGTTTTCATTTTGAAATACCCTGCACACTTTTATATTACACACACAAAGGGATATTGCTCGCTAGGGCAATAATGTAAAGGTATCACTTACAATGTCTGCTTCTGTTAATCTGAGAAATGATGGAAGTTCTCCTGGCCAAGGCTCCACTAACAATGTTATTTACAGATTTTGTTTTCTGCACATGATCCCAATAGACCGCTTGCAGACGCGTTCGATAATTGACGCGCTAAGGTGAGCGACGCCATGTTATGGGACAAAATGTGCGTGAATTGATATACGCCTGTCCCACAACATGGCGTCGCGCGCCTTCGCGCGTCGATTATCGAACGCGTCTGCAAGCGGTCAATAGTCAAGAAACCTTTAAAATAATAGTATCTCATTGTTAAAATGGTTTTCAAGGTTTATGGATAAACCCAAACACTCCCTAATCCGCCAATTTCATTTCTTCACCACTGTAGGGTCAAGAATTAAATATTTTGATTTAAGTAAATTGATTTAATCTAGTGATTGGACATTTGATTGAATGACGCATTTTTAAATTATCACTTCTTGATGCCTTTGAGTAGTAAATGATGATTCTTCCCGGAAACCATCCACATAGCCCCCATAAAAAATCTTATCATACCAGGATATCACACTACACGAATTTAAAGGTTGCAAGTCATTAGTTGGTGGGTGGGTGGGGGTGGGGGGGGGGGGGGGGGAGGGGGCAACTTCCCCCTTCCCTCTGGCGGTATATGATGGAATCATAAGACAAGATACAACAGTATTTTTGAGTTTAAGATGGTTCAGAAGTCAATCTCATGAGTGACAATCAAACTACACACAATGGATTTTCCTTTTGGTTGAAAGACAACATTTTTTTTTTCTTCATTTTTCTCTTCATGCGCGCCAACAAAAGGTTCTTCTTTTTCTGGCCTGCGAAGGGATGGAATGCCTTTTTGAGATTTTGCCAAAATGAGAAAAAGTCTGGATTCCAACTGCCAAAATGCTCTCCTGTATTTTTTTATTACAAAGGTCGACTTTCATTGGAATAATTATCCATCTGAAAATTTAACACACCGTATAAAAGAGTAATACAATATAGTAAGCATTCACACAAATTAAGCATGTTTTATAATATAAAAGGTGTACTATTAAAAAATCCATATATCAAATAAGTTTATTAAAAGTGCTGATTTTGATACCAGCACATGATTAGTTTGTCCTGTGGGCAGTTTAATAGGATCTATAATAGAAGATGTATTCACCACCATCCTCAGGGAAGATTCCATCAGTTCCTAAAGAACAAAACAAGAAAAGTAAAAAATCAGGAAAATTAAAACGTTCACCAGAAATACAACCAAGAAACATCTTTGCACTAGCAAACAGGGAGTCAGGTTGGCGTAGCGGTACTTTCCTCGCCTTCCACCGCTGTGACCCGGGTTCAAATCCCGCCTGGGCCAATATGTGGATTGGGTTTTCAGTCCCTGCCTGATTCCGTGGGTTTTCCCCAGAATATTCTTCTGGGATTTTCCTCCCACCTCTAAAACTGTAACTTCTTCTCATTGTCTTCTCTCCACAGGTTTCTTCAGGCTTGCGAGCTACAGTGCCTAGGGCGCTTTTGAGGAATCCTTGGTTTCATTATCAGAAATGATTAATAATAATAATAATAATAAAAATTTGAATGCCAGTACCCTGTAATTTATACATGTACTTACACACACGCTTGTTTATGGGTGTAAATCAAGTTTTTTCTTTTGTTCCTCTTTCCTTTTCCTTTGTTTGTACTTTGTTTTTCGCAACAGCTCACATTGGTTTTGTACACGTTTTCCGAGGAGTCCCCGATTCCGTTTCTGTCCTCGATATCGATGGTATGGCATGTGTGTGTCCTCGATATACACCATAAATACACGCAAACCAACCCTCGCATCCCCCCCCCCCAAAAGAAAACCCCAATAAATCCAAAAAATACTTAATTCATAAATTTAAAAAACACCCAAAAAACCAAACATCAACCAATTTTAAAATTTTGATTTCAGTCTCAGCTAACTATAAAAATAAGAATAAATTAATAAAACGATACAAATTAAAACTGAAATTCACCTTCCCCCCCCCCCCCAAAAAAAACCCACAAAAAAAGTATTTCTAAAACTGCCTCTTGTGATCATGCAATGAAATGGAATAAGCCAACCAGTATGTCCTATGTCCCATGTATATACTACTTGAAATACTGGTGGATTCAAAACAATACATTGCATAATATTAGGAAAGCCTGAAAGTAGTCAGAATTGTGGGCTAGTATGCAGAAACAGTGTGTCCTGTCCACTGAGGTCTCAAAAAGGGTCAAAAAGGGACATTTGGGGTCCATAGAAATTGGACTTTGGTACGAACTGCCTTGTTTTCAAGGGCTTTGTGTCATAATCGACCCATCACAGTTGAATGCTCCATACCAAACAGCGCCATACAGGGTGGATAAAAAAAACCCGAAACCGAGATAATATTGCTAATTGGAACAGAAGTAGGGCACGTGTGAATCAAAGGGAGATATCCTCTGTTAGGGTTGAATCTCCTCTTTAAAATGACACCCTGATCATGTCCTTACATTCACGGTTGACTGAGCAGTGACCAATTTTATGAAAGGGTCTATTTAGAGACTTGCGAAATTTTTCCCCCCACCTGCCTTGATTGACAACCATACCCTTTCACTCTGTGACAAATGACGCAACAAAAACCACACTTGAAAAGTGGCACAATTAAAATAGACCCTTTCATAAAATTGGTCACTGCTCAGTCAACCATGAATGTAATGAAATGACCAGGGTGTCATTTTAAAGAGGAGATTCAACCCTAACAGAGGATATCTCCCTTTGATTCACATGTGCCCCACTTCTGTTCTAATTAGCAATAATATCTCGGTTTTGTTTTTCTTTATCCACCCTGTATTATGAAAGTATTTGGCTGTAACAAACATCTCCTCTGATTCCCAAACATTACGATAATTAAACTGACGCACTGACAGCTGAGGAAAAAACTCCACAAGAATCTGTTTTGCAAAAAACAAAAGTTCTACTGTAACTAAACCACTTTCCACCTCACCTGTTGAAGCAGACTCCCTGTCTGAACCAATCAGAATGCTCCAGTATCTATGGTTGACGCCGTCATTGGCCAAGCCGTTGAAGCTAGTCATAGAGTTGCCAAAGTCAGTCATCTTGGATTCAAAGCTGAACAAAGTAAATAAAATTGAATTCTTTTAAGTTAAATTTATAAATAAAAGCTAGCACACCAACAACCAACTAATAAAAGGAAGTATTCCATCTCAATTCTTTTCCATCTCAATTTATGTTTTTCATGGCTTCAATCCATACAAACATTCTCTGAATTCTGACCTCATATTAAAGGATTTGTTGTTCCTAGGGCTGTGCATCTAAACCAGGTACCGAAGTACCCAACCGCTGATGTCAGGAACCGGGTCCAGATTATGGAATCGGGTCCCCGTAACCAACTTTACAAATTACTGAATAACTTCTCAGACAATGAAAAAGAAAATTTTCGAGAGTCATTGGGGGGGGGGGGGGGGGCAATTTCAAAATGAAAACCAGGCTACATGGAAAAACAAAACAGATTTCACGTTTATGACGCTCAATAAAGTTGCAGTTTTCACCATAAAGCTAAAGCTCACTGTGCACACTTGTATCATGCTGCATTTACACAGCGATGTGGTAGTATTATCGTGTGGACCTTTTCGGGTTGGGCTACCCGGGTATTTTTTTTTTTTAATCAGGTACCCGGTACCCGTACTACCCGTAAATGCACACCCCTATTTGTTCCTTAATCAGAACAGTAACTTGAGCAGCAGTCCCTTGAGTCAGGGGCCTAAAATTGTAAAAATATCTTGACAAAGCTGACTTTTTTGGCAATCTCATAAGGGTAAATTAACTGGCACTAGGAAGGTTTAACGGACCTGAATGCGCCTTCTGAGCTTGCCATGGCCTCCTGCAGGAACTGGAACAGCGTGGACCCGGCCGGGGCAGTAGCTGACACCGTCACTGACGGCTCTTCGGTGTCGATGCCGTTCTCAATCAATATCTGGATTGTGATGGGCGGGCCGGGCTGCTCGGTTGGGACGGATGGTGCACCGCCAGACTGAGAATTGTCAGAATCTGTTCCTGAAAAAAAACCAGTTTGATTAAACTAAAATTGATGCATTCTTGGTTCTATTTGGAGCTGGAGGAGGGGACAGGAAGAGAGGAAAAAGGAAAAGAAGACAAGTTCCTAAAACTTTGTAGGGTTGTAAATTTTAGTATAATTTGACTATTCTAACTTGTATTTGATCGAATATATTCCAATATGCAATATGTGCTGATCAAGTTTAATATATGCCTGCCTTAGCTTAGTCAGAGTATCAGTCAATCACGTGTTCAGAGCCACAGTCGAATGTCTGATAAATCCGAACATTTTATGCGACTCCGTGCGCCAGCCAGTCGGAGTCGACTTTAGACACTGTGACGTCATTTCGATCAGAATTGTGGACCAAGAGCTGATTGGTCAATTTGGATGCCATGTTTTTTGTTTAGCAATGGGTTACCTAGACTCGATATAGAAGTCGCCCTATAAAGTTTCCATGAACTTTCTTCTCACCTTGGATGTTGCATGCCATCTTCACATCCTCGACGCTGCCATAGTGACGGTTGGCAAGGAGAGGCAGGATCTGCACGGTGGCTCCCAGGTTACCAAAATGGCTGTCCTCATGTTGGGTCTCTAGGACACGTTGCAGGGCCACGTCCGCACGCCACAACGATGGCGGGATGTTGGCCGCCTTCAGGGCCTGTCAGAACGACAATATTGCAAAGTATTTGATTGGAAAGAAATTAAAAAAATTAATTGTTTCTTACAGAAAGACAAAGATGACAGCAAAAATTTGATTTGAATATGAATGTGATCTTTACCTCAGTGCAAAATGATGACACAATATTCATCCTCATGGTAACATAAATAAAAATAAATTGTAAGGCTTATAGAGCCCTCGCCATCGTATCAACAATCTCAAAGCGCTTAACATTTATTCCCCCGTTCATCAAGTCACAAGACCACGCGGCAGCCAATATCAGTGCACATTCAGTCTTCTACCCTCACAGGTACCAATTCATACTCCAGGGTGGCAGGAGGCACTTGTATGTAGTCAGGGTTGCACTTTAGCGATAGCCTGCGATAGCCAAATGCTAGTCAAAACAGCAGCGGGCTAGTCAATTTAGTCCTTAAGTAGCCCGGCTTGCGAGTCATAAATTATTGGGCTACGGCAAAGATGAAAGGACAGAAAGACATAAATCATTAAATTCAGAGAGCAAACCTGTACACTCTACGAAAGAAAAACATGCTGGCTAGTGAAAATGCCTGCAGGCTATTTAAGAGTCTGTTTCAGTAGCCGGGCTGGCTTGTGACCAAAAAAGTTAATGTCGAGCCCTGATATTGAAGTAAAGTGTCTTGCCCAAGGACAAAAACACCATGATCCTGGCAGGGTTCGAACCCACCACCATTTTCTACTAATATGTTGGGATCCCTGCTGCCATTCCTCAAGCACGGTATTTATTTTGGTCATGATGATCCCTTACCACAAGGTGAATACATAATATATACAGGTTTTTTCACCCTTAACTAGCAAGCCCTGTCAAAAAACATTAACTAACTAGCAGACTGCCAGCATAGGGCCGGACACCAGCTAGATATGTTCTGCAGGAGTCAATTTCTCTGTATAACCCATTTTGCCTAATGACTCATGTTTTCAGATGGAACAGTTTAAATGCTCCCCGATCAATACGCAAATGCAGGCAAAAATACAGTGCAAATTTTGAATCCATATACCTGGCTTGCAAGTGCTGTGCTGATACCGTTTCCAAAGGAGCCGTCTTCTTGCTGTTTGCTCCTGATGCAGGACACCGTGTTGTTGAACTTTTGCACAAAGCGAGACCTGAAGGAAGCAGGCACACTGGCTTTGGCGCAGGACAGGGCCATCACACTCAGAGATGCGACATCGGGACCTACTGTAAACAACAAGTCACAAGTCAATTCACAAGTAAAGGGGATGTATAAACAAAACCAAAGAAAGGCCTTTGATCTGACACAGTTCATTTGAATTGCTTGCAAGTTCAATTTGGGCTATGACTTGTAATTGGCTTGTGATAACCTGTGATCCATCATATAGGTACCTCAAATACAACATTGTAATAAATCCTACATCCACTACTGACCTTCCCCGTCAAACCTGTAGCATCCATCTTCCCTCTGCCCGGCCAGCAGCTCTCGAATGTGTTTCAGCTTCACTGATCCGTCACCGCTCTGGCACAGCGCCAGCACCCCTAGCGAGTACTGGAAGTGGTTGTTGAACCCCTCCCGGGGGAAACGTCGCATGTTGTGCTCCAGGAGCTCCACCAGGTCGTTGCCGTAGAAATCCCGCGTGTCGTGGCAGGTGGACTCCAGGGCCAGGATGTACAAGGCCAGGCGGCCCACCGAGATCTTGGCCAGGCGGCTGTGGCGCTGGGAGCTGGTACCGCAGCCGCTTAGTCTGTAAAAATCCCCGAAGTACATTGGACATTTTTTAAAGATTTTATTGCATTACAAGATGCAACTACATACTGTAACATGGAAGTACATATGTGTGACCCTTGACATACATATACTTGTAGGTCAGGCCAGAAGTATGGTCAGACATCAGACCACATCCCACCTCTGACACCATGTAAGATCTAAGACACAGCATTAAGATCTCGTTTTATTGAGTGCTCATAACCAAGTGAAGAATAGGTACAGGAGACAGCACAATCTTACCCATACTAATTAAAAAAAACCCACAAATATATGGTTCAACACAAGTGGGCAAGGATGGGTTGAAATCAGGGGATGTTGAAGTCTAAATTCCTTAAGGTTGAGACAACTGACATCTTCACCAGGAACTCATTGTGACCATTGCAAACCTTGATTTAAAGTCCATTTCAACTGCCTTCATTATTGAGTAACAACAGTTTTCTGGTTTATAGTCAAGTGGCTTAGACCCAATTTTTGACATAATCGTGATTGACTGGTCGAAAGCACCACACTTGGCAGAATAGCCCTAGTGAAGCTATTTAGAAGGCATGACACCTGAAATTCTTTTGGGAAGGGTGCAAAATAACTACGTTTGGGTGTCCTTAAATTTGTTTTTAAGACTATTATATGATGATCTTTGTACTTTTTGACAGAGTTGTATTCTGTCCTCACATATTATCTCAAGTTAAATATACATCATCTAATCTAACATCAACAAAAAGGGACAACTTATTCAAATGCACTGTTAAAAAGGAAATCTTCTTTCATTGTTGCTTCTTGTGTGACAAATTTGTGATTTTGACTTGTGACTGACTTCATCCTAACTCTGCATGGTTAATACACAAACAGTGAAACAAAAATCAAAATTCCAGAATTTTCTCAATTTTCACAAAAGGGCCACAGATATGAAGTGTTTTTGTCAATCATTAACAGAAATAATTAGGAAGCCACTCTCCGTACTTTGCAGATCTTCCAAGCTCAGCCAGCAGCTCAATCTCGAGCTGCTTGATCCCCAGCTGCGTCTTGAGTGCCTTCCCGTGATACCAGCTCTCATTGGCAAGCTGCATCGCCAGGACGACAGAGGAGGTGCTGATGCCGCCGTTCCAGCCCCAGTCTTCCTCCTGTTGCTGTAGCAACCACTTGGTTGCATCCAAGAGGGCGCAGGTGACATCGTCGTCTACACAGGCGGTGGGTGTTTGACTTGTAGCATCCTCTGTGGAATAAATGTACAATACTAGTGACTTTTCGTTCAAGTTTCCTAAAAGTACTCTCCGTTTTAAATACTGGATTGCCATTCCCTGATGTAGATGTTACATGTTTAAGCAGTGTAGATTCAGTTTGTCTGTGAGCTTAAAAAAAAGAGGAGGGACTCGAACCCAAGACCCCTGCTAAACCAAATAATAAAATGTTTGTTGCCAAGATGCAAAATTCCATCCATAAGTCAAAAGCTACATAATTATGAGTGCCATGGCCCTGTCATGCTCTGGAGCACTGAACTCGTGGTCTATGGGTACAATTCTGCAGGGTGTGGGTTCGAGTCCAGCCTGGGGTTGTGGTATGTACGACCCCTGGGCTTTGTCACTCATTGTTTCTCCCCACCCAGGCTGGGTACCTGTGAGGGTAGAGATGGTTATTGTGATTGATTTCATCTGCTTTGTGCCGAAATGGCAGTATGGAACTGCAATGTATACTCCGCTGAGAGCTGAGATTACCTTTGGAAATTGGCCCAATGAGCTGGGGAAACAATGATGTAGCACACTGAGCACCAATAATGATAACTTATACGTTTTTTTTTTACCACATTACATTATCAACCGAGTCATGAGAATGCAGTTGAACAAAGTTTTCACTGAGGAATAACGTTTATTTCTGTTCAAAAATAGGAGACTGTTAATTTAATTTAATACAAGGTAACTTTAAAGTTTAATTTAAAATCATAAAACGTCAAGGTATCCAGCCACATTTATGTAATTTATCAAAGGGCATTTGTAACATGCACAAGAATACTGATGAATTGAAGTGGCCCGTATTATCTGCTGTGGCTTTACGCTGATGTTTGTTGACATGATAACCTATCAACTTGCTCCATAAACTGTAGTTGTGATGGTGCACTATTTGACCAAAGGGGATGTCACAACCGTTTTTGCATACAATGGGTGATAGGCCCTACATATAAAGCAATCTGACATGGTCATGAAGGATGGGTAGCAGTAGCAATTTAGTGTAAAAATTCAAAAAAGTCACAAGTTGGAACCTGAACACAAATCGTACATGATGTATTTGGAAATATCTGAAAGCTTTAAATTTATTTTTCCACAGTAAACAGAAAAATAGAAAGATAAAAACTGAAAAAAAACTTCTAACATTAATTTGGAGCAAAACTTGCCAAAACTGCTTACCAGTGGATTTACCAAGTAAAAAAAACAAAACACCAGTTTCTATCACTCAGCAAAAGAGTCGAAAAATGGGGGAAAATCACCCGCCTACTTTATTTAAAATGTCCGGACGAGAAACTTAAAATATTTACTCGGCCTGAATCCCTGAGTGATATGCTGATACTTACCCCTGAAACGTGCAAAATCAATACATTCATGGCTGAAATGAGTGCGCTAGCTTGAGTAACTCCAGCTAAAAGACTAATCATCTAATGCTATCGCAGTAGAGCTGGAGTTACTTAAGCTAGATTTGCGCAATAATTGAATATCCAGCAAACAAACTATCAATGACTAAATCCACACTTTTTCAGCCGAATAACTTAAGTCTGAATAAACAATAAAATCAGGGTGACGTCACGAAGCGATTCTTGAAATGTTTTACACTGATTGCCAGCTGCAATAGTCCATATAGTGCTAGTGTCATGCAGTCGTTTTCTATAGTTTTGGATCGCGCAGTGAATCATCATTCAGTCACACACAAAGTTAAAGTCTAGATCAGTCATTTTCTTTCAGTCACACACAAAGTTAAAGATCAGTCATTTTCTTTCAATACTTACCAAGTTCTAAATCATACCTTCTCGGAGGCTTGGCGATGACGGTCGACGACAAAGCCAACAGTAGCAAACAAATTGAGACAAAACCCTTCATTATGGAGGGAAACTAATGTCCCTGCCGTCAGAACAAGATGATGAACAGGATAGGGTTGAAGATTTATGCCACTACTAGTACTAGTACTACTATACTACACTAGCATGCACTGCCCACTACTATTTACTAAAAAAACCCTGTAGTGCGCACTGCATGCGCTGTGCATACGCAACGGCGCGACGTACGTGTACGTGCGTGAACGAACTTCCGCATTCCTGACCTTGTCACGGTGACCGCGATCCCGGACTTTTCAGTTTTATCGGATCGTAGTATGGCATGTAATCGGAAGCAGAAGTAATTTTTTCTTCACCTTAATTTCTTAATTTGAAACATACTTGTATCCATACTTACTTTTCCAGTTCTGGAAGTTGTAATGTTTTCGAAATGTTCACTGCTTTTTTTTATTACATCAAAATATTACAAATCTCCTCTGAATTTTAAGGAAAAAATCTGCCTTTAAGACCCCCCAGATTTGCTCTAAAATGCACCAGAGAGCTTCTAAAGTTGAAAAATGTTCGGGGCCCGTAATTAAGCGGGCCCGAGACCCCACGCCATGGCTTTGCAAGTTGTTGATCACGACAAAATTTTTCCCAAATTCTCACTCTCAGTTCTTACTCAAAGTTGGCAGCCCTGCATATCAGACGTTATACAGGAGACTTAATTGCTCCGTTTGAGCTCTGAATACGATGTGTATTTTCAAATACAGTACCTGTGCATCAAAATAATGAGTGCAAGTTTGTTTTCAAGATTTTATACTCAAATTGTTTTTGTAAAATGTTTTTGTCACCAGCAAATCAAAGTTGAAGTTTTGAAGATACTGTGACCCCGGCGCGAGTAGTAGTAGAGAATGGACAAACATGCAAACAAAATACATAACTGAATCTCATTGGTCAAGAGTTTTTGCCACCAAGGTCACGTGATTGTGAAGTGGACAATACATCTAGATCCATGGGCGAATTGGACAAGGGCAGACCCAGCACACATTTCTTTTGGGGGGTGGGGGTGGGGGTGGGGGGGGGGGGCCAAAAACATTTTGATCCCCCAAAAAGTGGGTCCAAAAAACTACGGCGCGGGGTTCGGGGCCCGCTTATTAAAAGGACCCTACTTTTTTTTTTTAATTCTAGATGCTCTGCGGTGCGATCTGAGGCAATTTCTGACCACTTTAACCATCTGTTCCTTGCTCTATGCTTTAACCAAATCTTTTTGAGGAAAAGATGGTTGTGTACGCAGTGCATGCCTTTATTGAGACGCCACTTAAATAAATTTAAACAAATAGCCCCCGTTGCGCCCCCCCCCCCCACCCCGCCCTGCCCTTGGAAATGGACTCCACCAGTCAAAATCAGGTGAATAAGTATTTTCCCTTCAAATTTACATCGGTGGTTGTCAGTTGTGGGAGGAGCTAACTTAGACTTGAATCTGCATATTAAAAAAATTGTTCAATTGCTTGTAAGACAGTATTGAGGACAAGGGTTCTTGAAATTTCATTCAACATTGGCAAAACAAAGAGGCGTATAAAACAAAACTGATATATGAATTTTCAATACAAGATAGAAGAGTATTTAATTCCCATTTCAAAAAATTCTCCATTCATAAATGTAGCGCCATATTATTAATACTTGTATATGACACAGCATTACATTAAGGCCTGGGTCTTCTTGATAATACGAGTGTTGTATATAATATGTACAGGTAGAAGTGTAGTCATGTATTCTATATTTATATATATATATAAAGATGATTCATATAATACACATTATTCAAATGCCAATATAGTATCGTGTACTTTTCAGTGACTACTTTCTCAAATTTCTCCTTCCCTTCTCTGTCCCATCTACAAAATGCAATAAATAGAAAAATTGCACAGTGTGTATTCATATTAAGCAGTTTGTTTTATACAATTAAGTTACAGTCTTTCTACACAGATCAGTAAGGCCATGTCTGAAATGTAAGGACAAGGGATAGGCCCGATTTCACAGCACTGCTTGGAGAGTAATTTTCAGCTAAGCATGTGCGGTTCAAAGCAAAGATGCAGAATATGACGATTTCGTTACCAGTGAAATGTTAAAGCAAATGTTTTGGCTAAGCAATAATTCATGCTTATTAGGCCGTGTCAGAATTACTTGGCTACGGCTGGAAATTACGCACGCACCTATGAAAGCCGCTGCAGCCACTTCCTATACACCCGTGTGTTATTTCTAGCCACAGCCAAGTAATTCGGACGCGGCTATTAACAGCTCTGTGCAATTGGCATGATTGGTCTGGCACCTTTTGTATCACATACAAATCTGTCATTTTGAATATGGCTACCTGCCTATTTGACACCACTATAAGATAATAAAATGGCCATTTCTCAAAGCCAGGCTTTGTCTCCAGCTTCGGCTTTGGGCTCTAGGTTCCTTACCTTAGCTTCCTAACTCAACAAAACCAGCTCAATATGGGCCCTGTTTCTACTACAGAAACACCAAAAAGTTTCCTTCTGGTTTGGTTGGAGCTTTACAAGTTAAGTATACAAATCGTTCAGAAGTCAGAGATAAAGCCCAAGTTTCAGCAATCACATTTTTAAAAGTTTTTGGTGATACTCTTTTGATGACAGATACCAAGCCAAAGTCCACCTAAGGCCACATAATAAGACAGGTACCGATAAACATTCGATTTTAACAACAATAATAATGCATGTGGATACGGGATGCAAGTCTCAAAGCCACAGCCATAATCCGTTTCATGTGAAACTAACCCAGTTCAGTATTTTCACTAACAAATTTCTTTTCTTTTTTTGTACAATATCAGTTCTCTAAAATACAATTGCATATTTAATAGACAGTAAAAACTTCAGTACGCCCAGTTCATCGCATTATGATAAAAATCGAAGAATTACCATTAATATAGTCAGCACCCTAAAAAGCTGGAAAGAGATTTTTGAAACAGGATTTGAACAACACAAATTACAGTCAAAAAAACAGTCACAACTTCGCAAGACGAAAAATGTAAAGCTAATTTCCACATATTTAGCCAAGAATAACAGATTAAGAGTTGATGCCACTTTAGTTTGAGTCTATGAGATCTGAAGTTGACATGCTTGTTGAGCAGTGTAGAAAACGGGAGCAATTCTGGAGACACAAATGAGATCTAGGCATTCGAAAAGACGTACATTTTTTTCTCTCAATTTTTCACCTCACAACTGTTCAACACCTTAAATAAGGATCATCGAAGAAAAATTGGAGTAATTTTGCACAATGTAAATGAAATTCACTGGATTTTGTTTTGAAATTGTTATTTTTCTAGTAATACAAACCTAATTCCCGTTGTGAGTATACACATAATGACTGCTTATGGGTGCAATGGTAAGAATAATCTCATGAGGTGACAGATGGAATGTTCCATTCCAAACGGCGAAGCCGAGTGGAAAGGAACACTCCATCTGTCAACGAATGAAATTTACTCTTTCCATTGCATGAATGTGGAACATTCAGTAGTTGTTTTATACGCCTGGATATTTAAAATCCTCGTCATCTGATTGGTAACTTGTAAGCTCGTACTTTGAATATTCAGCAGCAGAGTCATCAGAGCTGTGTTATAGCGCAACCAATAGTGTGACCGTGCAATGGAAGTTGTTGTCTAATACGCCTGAATATTTAAAATCCTCGTCATCTGATTGGTAACTTGTAAGCTCTTACTTTGAATATTCAGCATCAGAGTCATCAGAGCTGTGTTATAGCACAACCAATAGTGTGACCATGCAATGGAAGTTCTGTTTACCGTGGAATGGAACTGCTATTTTTGCGATGCGACCGCGCTGTGCGTTGGGACGAATAATTCAATGACATGTGATAAACGACCTGCCAATCAGATGACGAGGATTTATTTAGGCGTTGCATAATTATGGAATATAACTACCTTACAAATGATTTGCAACCAAAAAATTATGTATGTGTACCCTTTGTGCATCACAGACACAAAAGCAACTGAAAGCATATTTTCCGAGGGTTGAAAATGTCCAAAGTAGAAAAAATGATTACAAATTTAAAATTCTTCGGGGGAAAAATACTTAATATGCTGAAGCACAGCTATAACTTTTCCCTCAAAAACATCGAAGTTGATCTTTACAAAACATATTTTCTGCTAATTGACCTCACATGACAACAACCAGTTCACAGGAAATATGACGGACAGCATATACATGTAATACTCTCTGAACACTTCAGAAACACCGTTTGAAAGTTAGACAAGGCATAGCACCATTCATTTTACAAAGGCTCATTCAGTGTATAAAATACGAATGCATGATTAAAGGAGGAATTGAAATATTTCTGTACCGACTCTGAATTAAAAGACACTTTCTTCCTTGTTTCTTTCAACATGATTGAGACAAGTCGGGTGTGGAGGAACTTTCAGTTTGAGAAAACAGCTGCACTGATAAGTCATTGTGAAAATACTAACACGATTCAGCAGTAAGAACGCACTCATGCAATTTCAAAAGGAAATAGAATTTGAAACAAGACTGCGACAATTTAAAGATTTCCCCCTGTGCAAATATACCAGTAAGTTTAAATGAATTTTCAAGGAATAAGTAAATTCAACCAAGTTTAGAGATGGAGCAACCAATGAAGCAGGTTGGTGTAGCGGTACTTTCCTCGCCTTCCACATCTGTGGCCCGGGTTCGATTCCTGCCATGGCCACGTGTGGATTGGGTTTTCAGTCGCTGCCTGATTCCGTGGGTTTCCCCCAGAAAATTCTTCTGGGGTTTCCCTCCCACCTCTAAAACTGTCATTTCTTCTCATTGTCTTCTCTCCACAGGTTTCTTCAGGCTTGCGATCTACAGTGCCTAGGGCACTTTTGAGGAATCCATGGTTCATTATCAGAAATAAATAATAATTTCTATCCCAGCTGATTTTTATAAATGGAATTTGAGTGTTTTTGAATTGACATTATCTGGAGTTTCACACCCATCCCCCCAACAAAAATCATCTTTCAAGGGGTTTATCTCCTTAAAACCGTCAACTGGAGGAAAAAAATTTGAAATTGAAACATGATTTGAAATTAATGCTTGCATTCTGATTTTTCTCAGCCTTTTTAAAACTTTGCATATATGCCAAACAAAATGCGGCATTAACAACTATGGATACTCTATATCAACACGTGATTTTAGTTATACATGTTATATCTCCTGGCAATACATAAACTGTGTCTACCCAATTTGTTTTTCTTCAAAAATAAGATTTACGTTTAAACAAAAAAAATGTTTGTACAATACAGCAAACACGGCCGCGGATAAAACACAATACAAAGGACTGAACGCGATAATGGTAGACAACGATAGACCGAAAACTGACTTGCTTTCCACTTTTTTTTATAACTGGTTTGCTTTTTTTTTTTAACATAAATGACGAGTACCAAGTTGATTCACTCAAAACCCGTCAGCTCTGATTTTTGTGATTCTTTTCGCAATGCCTTTGGTAAAAATGTATCGTTTTATTTAAAAGACGGCCATGTGAGGAAACCCAATTTTTCATATGTGAATTCCACTAGTGTAAAATGCTTTCAAATTCCCACAATTTAAATATAGGGCATTTTAGGTGAATCGTAAACGGTGCTTGGCCCAATCGTGCCCTTAGTATGTATACGGAAACCGATGTGACCAAGAACATGGCAACACGCACCTGATAGCCTGGTGCCGGTAAGTACATAAACCAACATCATAGCAAGACTCCTGGGTATATGACCAAAATGGAGACAGGTTAAGTGATCAGTATTCGTCGAAATACACACAGTTTCAGGTTCCCAAACCAACTTCAGGCAGTATGAATTAAAAACTCATTTTAATAAAATTTTGAAGATTTGTTTTTGGTTAATAATCACCGATGCTTATGAAATATTCCTTTGGAGACGGCGGTGTGGCACTATAAGACGGATTCTGCCGAGCGGGAGAGGTGCAGGGGGTGGGAGGGGCTTCTGTGCAGACCGCCCCTTTTCTTGGGTAGCCTGTTCAGGGTTTTGATGATGTCGGTGAACTCCGGCCGCTTCTCGGGGTTGTAATTCCAGCACATCATTAGGACATCCTAAAACAGAAAACAATGAAAACTAAACTGATCAAAGTTTCAAAGACAATACAGTTTTCTAACAACTCAAAAAATCGTAGTACTGTCTTAACACTTCATTGATCACAGCGGGCAGATGCAGCAAGCACTGCTTTTTGGACCTATGAAGAATTGAAAGTTTCAAAAACTTTTTATTACAGCTAGAGCTTTTGAGAAAGATATAATATCTCCACTGGAAATAAATTAAAGGGAAGATGCAACATTTGCAAACACCAAAATACGAAATGATCGAATTATCACAAAATATGTTACTGGATTGTTAGGGAATGATAGTCCAAAGCATCCTGTAAAATCGTGGCTCCTGGTTTGCTGGCATTTTCGTGGGAGAAAACTGGCTTTTTTCAAAAACTGCTCCTAGTTTGTCATATTTAGTTATTCTGCATTTTCTTTGCAATTGATTACACACCTGTGAAGAGGTACAAGCCTGCTAGACTGATTCTCTGACCTTACAATTCCCCAAAGTCTATAAATTGCTGTTTCATCTTAAGCATCATTTTTCAGCATCTCTGAACCCAAAACGTGAAGCAAGTCAATTTAACAGTATTTGCTATAACATACTCCACCAAATCCATTTATATCTGAAAATTGCAGCAAAAGCAAATGCTGTACATTCCCTTTAATTCACAGATTTTGGATCAATTCATGGTAAATAACCCGCTAGGCGTACATCATTGTACGCAGTGAAAGAAGTGGTCTCAAACAGGTTAATATTATTCCGAGGCTAGATTACAATCATATTCAAAACAGTTTTTAGATGAAACCAAACTGAAAAAAATGGACGCATTGATGTAAAGTGTGCAGTTCCTACCTTGACATCTTTGGATGCCTGGAGGTGTGTGAGGGGCTGCTTGATGCCTTTCCCTACCCGCCAGATAATGGACTCGGCCAACTCCTTGTGAAATGGTAAGCAGCCGGCTAACAGCTCGTACCAAATGGTGCTGCAATGGGTAACAGGAGAAAAAAGTGGAAAACGTATTACGTTGAGTTATGTTCACTTTGGATTTTTATCTCCACTTATTTAAATTCTGCAATTGCTTCAAAACTTGGTTAATTAATTAAAAGATAAGTGTCTCTAAAACACCATAATATTTTGATAGGTAGTGATAAATTTTTTGAACATTGGTCATTCTCTGTAATATAAAACTTGAACTCTGTCGTTGTGTTTCCTGTCCGCTGGGTTCTCAAAAGTGGTTAAATAGCACCCTCTCTTGTCCGCCAACAAAGCCCATTACAAACAGCACTGTACAGAAAATTTGCCTACAGTGCAATTTGCTGAAGAAATTTAGAAGCCATATTTAAGGTGGTGCCATGTCCTTGCGCACGCCGCAAGCATTCTTAAAGACGAGGCGTGCATGCATTTTGGTAACCCTATTGATCGAAGGAGCCCGGAGTGCGTGCCTACCACCTGAGAGCAACTCGCTCGAGACTGGTGCCACCGCAGAAAATGACTTTCGCCAGATTTGTCTATAACAAACATCTCCTTTAGCTCCCCAAAGTTTTAGGTACCAATACACAAAGCATTTGAAACTGATAAGCGCTTAAATGAATGCCAACTATACAAAAATATCATTCAAAATACCAAAGGTCTACCGTATTAAAGGCAAAATCGTGTCACAGTTCAACCTACCCAAAGGAGTAGATGTCGGATGTGGTGGAGAAGGGCAACTCCCTGTCTGAGCTGCCGCTAGAGTCGACTCGCAGCGCCGTGATGAGCTCAGGGGCCAGGTAGCACAGCCAACCATCTGGTATGACCATCACGTTGGGTCGTCTGAAAACAGGACAAAGACAAAAATGAAAAACTCCTGGAATACTGTAGACTAGGTGCCAAGTCGGTAATTGTTTTGCGTACGGTGACTGGTTACTGGCTCCACAAACGCAAAATATCGCTGTGGCTGCAATACGCATAATCTGGAGTTCGACTGAAGTTCACGGACAAAATACGACTAACGACCGACTTGTCATCAAGTCTAGGAATACTGGGGCACACTTACTGAAACCAAAGATGTCATTTTTAATAATGTTTCATTACTCATCCACTCTTCAGCCTAGTGGTTGAGTCATAAGAAATCTCGACCTGCAAAGAGATTGTTGGTTGCGTTAATTTACCTGTTTTCTCTGGACAGTCTCATGATGCTGAACAGCGCAAAATCTGTGATGACCACTTTGCCGTTCTCCAGAAAGATGTTTTTGGACTTGAGATCCTTGTGGATGATTCCCTTGGCATGTAGATAACCCATACCCTAAAGGGAAAAAACCAAACACATATTTACAGGTGAAAGTTATCAATCAAAATTCTTGGGGAAGTCAGGTTGACGAGTGATTACTTTCCTCGCCTTTCCTGGCCCGGGTTCGATTCCTGCCCAGACCACATGAGGATTTGGTTCTCAGTCCCTACCTGATTCCGTGGTTTCCCCTGAGAACATTCTTCTGGGGTTCCCCTCCCACCTCTAAAACTGCATCTGTAGTGGGTATACTGGCTCTGAAACTGCACTGCTAAGCCAGTGGTCTTGGGTTCCACTCCGAAGGACTTAACCCAGGAAATGTCTTTACAGGCACTCAGAGAGCACTGAACATGCAGCACTTATAACTCTATGTAACAAAGGAAATCTGTATTTTCACAAATCTCATCTTTACATTTCTTAGTTTTGGTGACGACTAGGAGAATTATTAGGATGAACCGTAGCATGCTACAAAAACCTACCTGGGCAACCTGTGTCGCCAGGACGATTGCCTTATTCATGCCAAACCGTTCCCCTCTCTGATGCACCCTAGTGTACAGCGTCATCCCCCTGCATAAGCTGTTTAAAAAGAGGATCAATCATAGGGATCTTTTAAATCACTAGAGGGGGCTTTATTTCACATCTGCATAACTGCCCCACTTGTTAGGTGTTCTGGCAAAATGCGACAGAACTGAGAAAATGAAAAATAAAACCAACGAATGTGCGTGACTTTTGTTTCGCTTTTTCAGGATTTATTGATATTTGCAATCTTTGATATGTCTACTCCACATGTTTTAAAGAAAAAATATATTATTTGTGGAGTATAAGTGCTTTTAAGGAAAAACAATTGGCGTCTTTCATTTTCAAGATACAAAACTCAAAAGTTTAAGGTCTTTTTCTCAATATCTTACTTTTTTGACATGTTGATAAATGCGAACTAGTATAAACAGCCATAACTTGTCAACAGAATGTCCAATTGAAGTGCAACAAACAGTATTGTAGGGAGAACTTATTTTCTTTCCTAATACCCACAAACCCTCATTTCGACCTCTGCCCAGTTCTGTCTCATTTTGCCAGAAACCCGCACATTTGTGACATGATTTTGGTTTTCATTTGGGGGGGGGGGGGGTGTTAGAATGCACAATACACATATCCCTCCTTTACGAAGGAACAATCTTTGTGAAGATGATATTGATAATGAAACTATCTTTGTGAAAGAATGAGGAATAAGCATTGTAGTAGTAGGATGATGAGAATCTGAAGCTTTCAAAAACCCTCTTGCAAATTTGTATTTGTTCAAACCATCAGCTTCTCTACCTCACAGCTCAAGTCTTGCCAATGACACATAATACACAACCTAAATATATCTAGACTTGGTGGAAATTAAGGGAAGCCAAATGAATCAATTCTTAGACAAACTTTTTTTTTTATACACATACCTTTAGAGGGGGGGGGGGGGGGGGCGGGAGGGGGGTTGTTCTGGGGAGTAAACCATGCTGAGTATTTTACCTTGTTACGATGGCCAGCTTGGGCGGTTTCAGATAGGTCCCCATGAACAAAACAACGTAGTCGTGCCTTGTCTTCTTAAACTGGGAGACCTGGTTTTAAAAAAAAGTGCAAAATAATGAATGGATTGATTAATTTTATGTGGCATAGAGCTTGCATGTGGACCTCAAAACCTGAGAGATTGGCACCAAACGTGCCGTGTATAGGATCCACAACGTGTGTAACGTCCTATTTTTTGCCTTTATTTTGTGTTCCAACTAGGTTTATTTAATCAAGGGCCATAATTAGGTTCCGTGAAAGAAAAGAATGCATTTCAATTTACAATGTATTGGAAATATTTGTGAGTCAATGAAAATAGTAAAAAGACAAAATTTGACATCGACTTTCGTTTGATCGGTTATGCAGGTAACGGTTGGGTAAATTCCAACACAGGAGCATGCGACTAGGCTAGTCAGTGTTTGGTACAAAGACTTTCAAATGAAAAGTGAACTTAACCTAGTCTGGAGGTATCCTGGAGGTTTCAGACTCAAAATCCTGCTTTTAGGCCCAAAAAAAAAAATATTCGGTCTCTGGTCAGACCTAAGTTCCGGAATTGACGCGGCCACGCGGCTGTTTTTTTCTTTTTTTTTCTTCAAGCTTGGATTGTACAGACAAGGTGGGTACTATTTTGCTTTTTTGGTGTCCTCATGTACATCGGTGTCCTCCATAATTTGCCTTGGTGCTTTCGATCATTTGCCTTGGTGCAATTTCCCATTCCTTGGTGCTCTTTGGTGCTGTTGGAGCTACCACGGAACATTTTGGAAAAAAAAAAAGATCGACGTGCATGATTGAAATCGACGCGCGCGCTGACCAGAGACCGACTTTTTTTTGGCCTTAGTCGAGTTTCTTTGTTTTATCCGCCATCCAACAGAGTGAACTCACCTCCGTTTTGAAAGCTTGTAGTTGTTCCTCGTCACTCATGTCAATATCCAGCATCTTGACGGCAACATCCCCGTGCCATCGGCCCCTGAAATTGAGGATAAACAAAGTCAGATAAAAAGTTTTTGGGAATTCTAATAATTTAATCATTTCTTCTCACAAATTTTGATGTTGGAGTTTTTTCGTTTTTAAAGGACTAAAATGCTGTTATTTCTTTCAATTTGGACATCTTTAACCTTCTGAACAATGGACTTTTATTTTGGTTCGCTCACACACACACACACACACAACAAATCCGCCATATGAGCAGACTAGTTCTAATCCCACAATATTGATTCTAAAATTGAGGCCGGAACCAGACTACCTTGAGGGAACCAGTCTACCTTGCTAGAAGCAATCTGCCTTGCGAGAACTGAATTATTGGTGGGTCACAAACAGTTTGAAATTTGCAAAGAAATTATCCTATAATGTGGGCCGATATTTCATATTTTAAGTTTTCTAGTTTTTACATACTGTGTTTGAACAGTAGTATTACAGTATTCTTTAAAGGGAAATACAACATTTGCAAACATCAAAAAATAAAACTACCAAATCATTTTGAAATACCTTGCTGGACTGTTAGTGAATGACAATGTAAAGCATCCTGGAAAATCATGGCACCTGGTATACTGCCATTTTCAAGAAAAGTGGTATTTTTGTATCAATTTCCAACGCTGATCGGCCGATCAACGTTGGAAACAACTGGCTTTTTTTTTCAAATACTGGCCCCAATTGACCATCGCACTTGTTTGCAATCGATAACAAACCTATAAACGGGTACGAGCCAGCTAGACTGGTTCCCTGACCTTACAATTCCCCAATGTATGTAAACTGCTCTGTTTCTTCTTATATGGAGTCAGGCGACCAGACTACAGGAAAATGATCGTTTTTCTTGGTTTTTATAGCATTTTCGAACCCAAAACCTCAAAAAAGTCAGTGTAACTATATTTGCTATATATTCCCAACCCCCCAATTCCATCCATTTCTGAAAATTACAGCAAAAGCAAATGATGTATATTCCCTTTAAAATTTACATGCCGAGCTCCAATGAATTGTCTCCAGCCAGTAGTAACACATGTCTCTATGGAAATTAGATTCAGCTGCTTTCATTGGTGCAAGAGTTAAAACCAGCCGTAGCCATAGTAAATACAACAAAGCCTAATTTCTATGGCCATCAGATCCCTTTCATAGGCACAAGAGTTATTGCCAGTTGTAGCTGTAGCCATAAAACAAAGCTTAACTAATTTGGCTATCAGATCCCTTTCACAGGCGCAAGCGTTATTGCGACCCATAGCCGTAGCCACAGTCATAAGACAAAGCCTTATTTGTATGGCCATCAGATCCCTTTCACATGTGCAAGAGTTATTGTCAGCCGCAGCCGTAGCCATACTCATAAGACAAAGCCTAATTTTCGATGGCCATCAGGTCCCATGAAAAGTACTAACAATTTGGAGAAGCTGGTAGGATTCATGAGGAAAAGACTTACTTATAGACTGGTCCAAATCTGCCTGTTCCTATCAGCTCAGTAATCTCAAGTTGGTCCGGTGGAATGTCCCACTCCGACAATACGTTGGATTTGTGCTGCAAAAGAGATGCAAAACAAAAGTTCCGTAAGTGGATAGTTAATTAATACCACACCTTAGTCCTTTGAAAATACAAGACCTTAACCTTACCCCCCCCCCAATCCTCCAAACTCCTCTTTGCAAAATGGAGGATTTTGCAGGATTGAGGCTATACGGCAAAAAATTGTGGCTGATTATGGAGGATGCGCTGTGTCAAGGTCTTAGGCCGGACCCTTTGTGTTGTTTATGCTCAACCGTGCATAAATTTAGGCCTAGATTATACTTGAAATCCTCCTCACCGCTCCAGGATGTCACTGGCTCTGCCTCAACATATTGACAGTGATTGCTGGAGGATTTTGCAGGATTGAGGCAGTAGTCACCCCTTCAATGACCACATTCAACAAACAACGGAGGATTGTGCAGGATTGAGGCTGTATGCATTTTTTACATGGAGGCAGTTGTAGGATTTAGCAGGATTGAGGTTGCGTCCCAGCAAAAATGCATAGGGAGTTAGGGTTAATGAGCTTCTTCTATTACTCAATTGGACTAAAGTTACAACATGGATGAAAGCAAACATTCCATATAGAACAGAAACAGTCAATTATGAAAACTTACGCTGTTTTTCCTGTGCAATACTTGGTCCGCCATATCCACGTCATCGATACACTCAACCTTCTCGGGCAAAGTCCTTTCGGAATCTGTGAACGGCTGCAAAAAAGATAACAAGACGAAAATCCCTAGACTTGAATTTATGTTGTAGTTTCCGTTTTATTCACACAAGAATGGAACAAGGGATGTCTACTGACAATCGGTCTCAGGAAATAATCGGGCTCAATGTCATGGAGCTACTAAGCAGATGGTTAAGCAGATTGATGTGCTAAGCAAAAATGAGCAGAGAACCAGCCACATTCCACTTGCATTCTATGCAATTTTGACCGATAACCTGTTTTTGCTATGGAAATTTTGTTCTTTTAGCTAAGCAAGTTTTGTGCCGGACCCAACACAGCCCAAATTCATAGCGCTGCCTTACAGTTAGCAGAAAAGTTATGCTTACTTAAGCAGAAAATCATGCTGCTGCTTAAGCACTATTTCATGGCTTGGATGTGCTAACGGCTGCACACGCATGGAGATTTCTAATGTTACATCACTGATTTAAAGGGAAAATACAACATTTGCAAACATCAAAAAATAAAACTACCAAATCATTTTGAAATACCTTGCTGGACTGTTAGTGAATGACAGTGTGAAGCATCCTGTAAAATCATGGCACCTGGTATACTGTCATTTTCAAGAAAAGTGGTATTTTTGTATCAATTTCCAACGCTGATCGGCCGATCAGCGTTGGAAACAACTGGCTTTTTTTCAAATACTGGCCCCAATTGACCATCGCACTTGTTTGCAATCGATTACAAACCTATGAAAGGGTACGAGCCAGCTAGACTGGTTCCCTGACCTTACAATTCCCCAATGTATGTAAACTGCTCTGTTTCTTCTTATATGGAGTCAGGGGACCAGACTACAGGGAAATGATCGTTTTTCTTGGTTTTTATAGCATTTTCGAACCCAAAAGCTCAAAAAAAATCAGTGTAACTATATTTGCTATATATTTCCAACCCCCCAATTCCATCCATTTCTGAAAATTACAGCAAAAGCAAATGATGTATATATTCCCTTTAAGCAACGTTTTCCTCTGAGGCTCTTGATGTGCTTACTGCTTACAGTCTCTATGAAATAAACTGAGGCTGTGTTAGCACATCATCGTCCTTTAAGCAGCTCTATGAAATTGGGCCCAGATATGAGAGAGAAACTACTTACATCGTGAGAGTCGTTTGAGTTGTGGGAGTCTACGGTTATCGTCCTGTCACTATTGATGGAGGAATGGAAAGTATCCCTAGAGACGGAAAACAATACCATTTTGTAATTACATTTCTTATAAAAAAAAATTATTTCAGTGAAAGCCAGTTTTTTTTTTAAAATTTAGGCTAACCCTATCAGATGCAGCACAGTGCTATGGGTGTAAAAGTGGGTGGACCCTTTGTTGTCTTGGGTGTCAAAAGCAGTGCATAAACTGCCAATTCCGAAACAATGAGAGCTAGTCCCATTGAACAATGCCGCAGTTGTATCCTGCTGCATTCGGTGACAACAGACTTTGAGGCGGTTTGGCCTTGAGATTTTTGGACCTGATGGACCTTGCTACACTGGGCAGGCTTTTCATTTTGACAAGTGTTGCATGTTGTTGCACTATGAAGGGTTTCTAGACACAATGGCCTAGAGGGTTAGGGTTAAATCTATGGTATTTGGAGGACGGTCGATGTACCACTTGTATAATCTTTCAAAAATTTCGACTTTAATTTTTCAGCCGTTTCTGTCATGTTTCAGAACTAGAAAAACTATTTTTATTGTTGGTTTGATTTATGCTTGTTCTTACCCGTACGAGTCGAAGTTAGGGTTTAGGAGACCATTAACTGTAACATCTGCAACAGAATGAAAAAAAGGAAAATTGTTTTTTAAAAAGATGGAAGCAAATTTAATTGACATTTCTTAAATCACACAATTGCCTTTCCGAAACTACCACTGTCACGGTCTCAATACTGAATGTACTGCTGCCAACAACTGTTTTGATAAACAAATGATTTCATATTATGTCCAAGAGTCATGATACTGTTTATAGTTAACTTCAAATTTCTCACAAAAAAACAACAAACAAACAAACAAAAAATGGGGGGGGGGGGGAAATACAATAAAATCTACCACTTAAATTTGCATAACCGTCGCTGTTTACAAAAAAAAAAAATTTTCCTGAAGAATTTTCAATTTTTTTGTTTGAATTGAAGAAAAACTATTTGATATTGGTTTTTGCCTTCTGCAACCCTCTGAAATGGACTTTCATTTTGCATACAAATGAACCCACCCTAAGAGAGCCGAATTATTGTCCGGTTGCAAATAGTTCAAAATTTTGTAAAGAATTACTTCAATAGCTAAAAATCGATGCACTTTTTTTCGCGATGTCTCGTTCAAAAGTGAAAAACTTTTTAATAGCTAGGAATATAGCAATTGAAAAAAAGAAACCAATTTTTGGGTGCAAACAAAGTGGCATGGGGAATGCAACTGTAACTGAAGTATTGAAAAGCTGCTATACACTGAAATTCGACTTGCTTAAGCCTAACATCAAAAGTAGAAGTTAAAGCAAAATTTGCATTTGAACAAAGAAAAAAACACCACTCACCTGGAAACTGGAACTGTGGCTTGCAGGGGTCCATGTGCGGCGAGGGCGAGGGGTGGGCCGGGGTGGGCGGAGTTGTACTAGAGGAGGAGGCGGTGAAGGGCACGGGGCTGGAGGACGTGGAGGAGTTGGTGGAGGAGGGGTTGGAGCTGGACTCTCCGTGGGAGAAGGCGGGCACCTGGGGAGGGTACCGATGGTCCTGGCCGGACTGGGGTAGACTGGCCTCTGATACAGCTGGTGATTTGGAAAAAAAAAAAATAAAAAAATAAAAAAAATAAGTCAGAGTCGTAATCCAGGCAGCAATTTTGTTTCTATATACAGAGAGTTGCAGTACAGGGTATTAAAACATAATGAAGTTACGGGATTAGAAAATTATATAAAAGAAAACACGGCTTTACGAGTCACTGCAATAGTTTAGTCGACACTGCATTAATTTCCCCATCTGCAGGTCACAGGATCGAGTCCCACTGGGTGTGATTTTGCATTTTTTGTTCTTAACTCCTTTTTTTTCTTCTCTAAACAACTTTTTAAAAAAGTCATTGGAAAGTAGTTCTTTTGCTAATTTGTGGTTTGGAGTTTTTTTTTTCAAGAGAAAATTAAGTCCAAGGACCCGACTTGCAACTCAAAGTGTTTCGATATGCGCCCATAGCGAATATGTGGTACGGGGAAAAAAATGCATCCAGGTTAGAACTACTCAATCACAAGTCAGGCAAAAAAGCAAATCACAAGAAATTAGAAATCTGCACAAAAAAAAATTGTGTTCATCTCATTTGGCACTTCTTATTCCAGAGGGAAAATTGTTTTACCTGTTCTTCTGATCAGGAGTGGTGATGGTGTCCCACTTCCTGTTAGACAGGAAATACAACAAACATGAAATAGTTAAAACTAATTCTCTACACTACTACAGTTTAGACAGGAACACGGGTACCCGTTAAAGAAACCCAACCCAAAAAGTCAAACCCGGAAGTTGCTGTTAAGATCCTGCATAAAAGTCTGTACAATAATATTACCACATAAGTGCATCAATGTAGCAAGATACAAGTGTGTACACTGAGCTTTATTGTTTTATGGTGAAAAGTGCATCTATCACGATTGTCATAAATGTGAAATCGGTTTTGATTTTCCATGTAGCCCGGTTTTCATTTTGAAATGTCCCCACCAATGACATATGAACATTTCTTTTTCATTGTATGAGAAGTTTAACAAGTCATTTGTATTTGTTTGGTTACGGGCACCCGATCCCATAATCTGGAACCAGTTCCTGACATCAACGGTCGGGTGCTCGGGTACCCGGCTCCAATGCAAAGTCCTTACACGGCTCTTGAGATATTGGTTGTGGACACAGCATTAAAATAGATCGGGTGTCTAGGTGTGTATTACCATATTTCAAATCGGGAGCCTCTTTTAACAGAGCAGCAAAGTGTGAAACCTGCTAAGTCTAACAGAGTCTATACAAAATTTCTCGGTGGTGTGTAGACCGGGACCAGACCTCATAACATGCGTGTATATGAGGACAGGCAACGGCCCCATGCTTCTATATCTTATTGGTTGCTAAGCGTGTTGCTAAGCGTCTTGGCTGTGCCGCCCCCCCCCCACTATACTTCTCCTGTAGTCTCCTGTGTCGCGCTTAACGCAGCACCCTATTGGTACATGCTTAGATATTTAAATTAGGTTCACAGATTCATTTGACAACTGACGCACTGACCGGTACAAGACTTTAAATGACTGTCCACAATCCAGCATTTGGATTCTGTGTTCAGACTTACTTCCGTATTTGTTCTCGTACGAGTCCTTGAAGACTTGCTCGTAGCCCCGCGGCAGACCGCAGGAGCGAACCTTCTCCGCTAACGGCTGGCACTTGTTGTGGCAAACGTACCTTGTAGAAAAAGAAAAAAAATAACAGATGTTAAAATGCACAGCAGCCGATTTCACAAAACTTTACGCAAATGCTTAAGTCCACTTGTGCCACAATTTGCTGCGCAAGTTGCGCAACATTTCACGCTGCGCCACACTTAAGTTTCGTAGTGCGTAAGTCCGCAACTTGCTCAACAATTTATGGCGTAACTTGCCCAAGTACTTTAGGTGGCGTAAGCTGTGGCATAGCAACTAAAAATGACCTATTTCACCAGAAAAAAATTGTGATTATCGTGGCGCCTGTTACTGTACAATTGATCAAGGTTGATACAAGACACTCACAGCTTTGTGTTTGAAATAAGTGAATTGCTACTTCACTTGCGACATAATTTTTAGAGTTGCCGCATGATTCCAATAAAAGTCGGAAAAAACTATTATCAAAATGGTGGGCAGAGGAGATTCAACAAACAAAAATCATACACAAACAGAGCTGTAAATGATGTTATTATCCTCGTCCAAGATGTTTAGATTATTTAAAATGTTGCGTAGCTAAGCCAAGTTTCATGAAAGTGATCGTAAGTTTATTGCGCAGCTGCGCAACCAATTTGTTGCGTAAGTCCTACGCATGGCGCAAGTTACGCACTGTTTCATGAAATCGGCTGTAGATCAATGAGATCTTTGCTTGGTTTTGGATGGTTTACAGTGTCCCAAACAAGACGAGAGCAACATTGAAGGGATATAATGTCACCTCAAATAATACCTGTCGAGTAGTTTCCGAACTCAACAGACGTTATTGTGTTAATTTTTTTTCTCCATTCGATCTAGAAATCAGTGGATTGCCTTTTCACGTCCCTTTTATTCAACACTGAATCAATTTGGCACTTGAATTTACACACAAGAGAGAAAAAGACTTTTTGTCGACTTTTTTTCTGGGTATCACAGTGTTCAAAATTGTATTCAAAAGGTCTATGTGAACCCAATACACAAAGAAATTTTTCCAGTTACGAAAAAAAGTTATGTTGAGGTTGAAGTGTTCTGGTTGTGATTTACAAAACAGCGTTTACATACCACCAATTTTTCCCTCTGTAAAACTTACTTGCAATCTTTGCATTTGTAACCGTGAAGCATGATCTTGTGGCAGTAGTCACAGGTCGGCGGTGGGAAGAATTTCTTTCTGCTAAATCTGGTGGGAAAAATGAAAAAAATCAGGCATTGATAAAATATCTTTTTCAAGACTTAGATCGTATAGTGCAAATGACATTTTGCAGGCGTTCAAGCAGACCCAGGTGAAAAAGTAGAACAGTTGGAGATCTTTTCCCCCCAAAAAACCCAAAAAGCAAAACACAAGAAGACATAATTAGGAATTTGGAGGACAAATTCAGGATAAAAGTAGAAGTTCGCGGGCTTTCAGGTGTACTTTTCGTTGGGACTTCATTTTTAAGAGTTGTGGGACAAAAAATTTAGGAAAAAGCAGGAATTTCAAGAAAAAAGTAGGAAAAGTAGGAGAAAGGTAAACAATTAGGAAAAAGTAGGAAAAGTAGGAATGCTTGAAAGCCTGCAAATTGTTCATAGACAATTTTTTTCCAAAATTCACAGCCAGTCTGAGACATTTCCCTTCATAATTAAACTGTGTGTTTTTTCAGCTGTCAACATCCCTCCCCTCCCCCAAAAAACCAAAAAATTACAGAATTCTCACTGGTTAACAAAAAACAGCCGACTAATGAACTGCAGACCACTTATTTTCCTTCTGATGATTTATTATCTTTTCTAGAATTTGAATCTTATTCATGGGGAATCATGACCCTTGACCCAGTACTGACCTGTGCTTGATGGAATGTACCATGTTGCTGCGGGGGGCTCGCGGTGACCGAGGGGGCACAGCCAGGGTGTCTGAACAGAACAAAAAAATATTATCATAAACCTCAATAAAAACTCGATTCATCCTCCTAACAAACGGTTTTCAGCACAAGTTACTAAGGTAAGTTGAGGATGTTATCTGGAGTTACAACAAAAAATCACATTCAAACGGAAGCCTGTCTCGTGCAAAAATTAGTGCTGATATCAAATCACTCCATGCAAACACATACCGTACACGCAATAGACAGTCACTGCATGTCTGATTGCGTGTCAGCTCTACTGTACACAAATAGTTATGACATAATCACTACAATTTCTGTCATCTTCACAGTTTAAGTCCTTTTGTGCTTCTTAGGTATCCTCAGATGTTTCAATGATATCACTCAGATGGTCAAAACCAATAGCCTTGAACAACATCACTGGAAAGATAACTTTGTCGTGTCTAGAGTTTCGGTTAAAAAGGGTGCTCCCAATAGAGAGTACTAGCTGAAATTGAAAATTACTAAAAGAAACAAAAAGTGAAACTGCATCAAAAGTAACATCCATCCGGTCCAAAAACCTTTTTCTTTGAAAATTGATTCTCTAGAATTTTTTTGTTGACTAATAGCCTAACCTCCCTTCAGTAAAGATGCTCTTGTCATTTCATGAAATATAATTGATTAAATACATGTATTTTCATATATGAATTTTGATCTGTTCAAAGAATCTAACAGCGAACGTTGGTATTAAAGTCGGGTTTTTCAAAATGGTACCTGTTTTTAGACATGTTTCGGATTTGCTTTGCCAGATGGCTCCATTGTTGGCTGTTCTCCCTTTTTGGAGCATTCCAACAACTGGAGGAGGCGTCCCTACAGAAAGGCACATTGGTTATGGTCAGTTCGGTTGTGGAAATTGCTAGATTATCCATTTTTCCGGTTTGGGTTTGAAAATCTTCGAGCAAGCAAGCTGGAGGTTAGTTGCCATGAACTCTTTTTATTCTTTCTTTTTTAAGTAGCGAGATTTCACAAGGTGAAAAAATAGAACTTACAGTGCTAGTCGGTGAAGGGCAAAACCTATACAGAATTAAAGTTTGTTCGCAATTTGTTTTGCATGCTAGTATAAGGCGGACGTGAACTCTTGCAGATGATTTTACAGATTCTATTTTGAATGAGTTGAATTTGGATAAAACAAAAGTCTTTTCGAGGAAAAAAAAGTCTTAGCCTGTTCTATGGTTGTCTTTAGAAAGTTTTGATCAGATCTTTGCAAATTGTTAGATTAGTGCAAACGTGCTAATTATTAACATGCAGCTGGGTTAGGGCAGTTAGTTAAATGAAAACGACACATCATGCAAATAGGAAAAACCTAAACAAGGTGGACATGTAAGTTCCACAACCTTGGGTACTAGAACGTACTAGAAAGTCGACTAGACGTGATGTTGCAGATGACAATAAATGATGATGTAGGGGCGTGAATTTGGGATTCATGTACATTAACTCTAACATTCCCAACTCCATCAAAATCCATCCCCCATTTGGGGGGATTTTGGCAGACAAGCCGTGAGTACCAAGTCCATCAAACTCCATCTACAGCACTGGTGGATTTGTGGTGGATTTCGGCGGATTTGGTCCTGAAGTATTATGTGAAGCAGAGTCAGTGATGGATTTTGGCAGACTTGGTACTGTTCTTAGTAAACCTCAGTAGGCAGTTAGGGTTAATGTAATGTTAATGTAATCAAATACCAAGCAATAGGGAGGTTTCGCAAGCGAACGGATACGCTTACACTTACGTTTAGCTATCCGTATCCGTTTTTTACTTACGTGTAGCGAGCGAAATATGCGTGTCGTCTGCACGTATGACGTCATACGCCACTCACTATCCGCTAAACGTGCAGACGACACGCATATCTCGCTCGCTACACGTAAGTAAAAAACGAATACGGATAGCTAAGCGTAAGTGTTAGCGTATCCGTTCGCTTGCGATACCTCCCTATTAAATCAATATACACATCACACTTTTTAACACAACATCTCCACAGCTGACCATATCTAAATATCACATTCAACGGAACACTTTTTAGAATGTCAGTAACAGTGATGTGGTCGAGACCATCACAAGACCATCACAAGACCAGTTGCAAAGCAACCACAAGACCATACACAAGGCCAGCCACAAGTAACCAGGCACTAAACATGACAAAGGGAATGCCTTTTGGTGCAGTTCATTTGAATATCTTGTATTTGAATTAAGACTGGAGGTCTTGTGTGGGTCTTGTGATGGCCTTGTGAAGGTCTTGTGAAGGTCTCGCAGGGTCTCGACTACAACACTGGTCAGTAACAACAGCCAGTTTGTAGAACACATAATTATTACATGCATCAATATCAGGGGCCAATCACATGTATAAACACGTACACATGTACATGTAACACACTGTGCATGATTCATCACATGAAGTTAATCATGCGCAAAGTAGGTCACTGTCACGACCCAAATGAAACATACTGTGTAAGCACACATGTACATGTACATGTCTCAACCACCTACATGTATATTCATACCAAACACAGCAAAGATATGCAATGATGTGTGACAAATATTGAAGCTGAATAAGCCTCTGTACTAATGACGTCACGCTTTAGCGTGTGCTTGCCTATGGTGCTCAGTGGACCGTGGGCCCCCACTGGCTCCATAGGAAAGTGCACAAGTAAATAAACAAAGTGTGATGTCATTTAGTACAGAGGGTTAATAGCCCTAACAGTCCCAAATCCTCCAATTTTAATATGAATTTGCACACCCCTATCCTAGGGAGTTAAGGTTAAACATGTACATGTACAGTAACTACAAAAATGAATTTTTATTTCCATTTGCAGAGAAAATATCTGCAGGTATGATGAACCCCATTATTGTTAGCGAATGATGTTAGATGTAATGGGTTAAAAGCTTTCAAATGATTAGTTAGCTATTTAATCAGATGAAGTAAAAAAGGAACCAAAAAATGGTAGATCAAATTTAAAGTATTCACAGTGGTAACAATGTGGAAGGATGGTTGGACTACCCTGGCCGACTTTTTGGAACCAGAGCCCCGTTCCATCGCTAGTTACCAATAGCCTGCGCATCATAATTGACAACAGCAAGCAGCGAGCAAGCAGTTTTGTGATGACGTTTTGACCATTGTTTGACTAGTGACATTCGTACGTTGCTGTTGGTGCGCAGGCAGAAGTTGCATCCCGAATCAACCACTAGTCGATTAGTGTTCCTCACTCGACCTTGCTCTAGGAGTACATACCGGTAAACATTCACCGGTAGACAGCCAACACATGCACAAACTACACAAATACATGTGTAGCTTTTTTTTTTTTTTTTTTTTTTTTAAAAATACATAGGTGTGTGGATTTTAGGGGATTTATCCCTGGGCTCCAATCCATAGACTAAATTGTCAGGCTAAGCGAGCATCAGTGGGGAACCAGTCAAAAGCAGTATGTACTGCATGCTATTTTAGCCGGTAAGCTGTTTTACTATGCGAATATATTTACTGCTCAGCAAATTTTGGTACTGAGAAGATCCAAGAAAATACCCACTACTACTTTGTCAACAAATTAGACTTCCCTCTCCAGTCCTACCTCCCCCCCCCCCCAAAAAAAATCTGTTAAACTTCCGTGAACAAAGATGGCCTTACTAGCTTTGCCGGTATCAAATGCGGAGACCGAGTTGAACATCCCCTTATGGGGCGACATGTTGCGCCTATCCATGGTGTCTTCAGAGTGGCGACGGGAGGAGTTGAGGTTTGCCTCACAGCTCCCACCGGACGTCTGCTTCTTGAGCAAAGGCGGGATCTTACTGCCGCGAATCCTGTCAATAAAAAAACCACAAAACCACCATTTTTTTATTATTAGCTGGCCGACGTCAGCTGCACACTCATTTGGACAATAATTTCGTTCAATTATAACAGGATTGAGTTCAATTTTCAGCAAATTTGTGGATTGATTATTTTTTATATCTAGCCCACGAATTGCGACACCAACTATTTTACTTGTTTGCAATGTTTGCATTCAATCATTGTGCATTTACTTGCCAATGTTCACACATTGGGTATTAAAAGTATAATGGATATTTTGGATGGTTTAAGTCTCCTTTTGTTTGATCAGTCACAGCCAGCCAAAAATTGAATCCTGTTCCCCTGCCATGCCTTTCACACAGGCTAGCCACCAACAGTAAGAAATTGAAATATTGTAGTGCTTACATAGTGCTTTCCGTCCTATCAACAATCTCAAAGTGCTTCCTTTTGTTCAATATAAACTTATATAGGTAAAAGCACATTTGCGGTAAAACATCAGGGATTCTAAATTTCAAAGGGGATTCTAATCAGGAAAATCCTGACAGAAAGTCGTGAAATCCAGAAAAATCCTGTTGAAAATCCTGAAATCCAGAAAAGGTCCTGCTGGAAAAATTCTGAGCTCTGGAAAAATCCTGTTGAAAAAATCCTGAAATCGAGGAAAAGTCCTGCTGAAATAATCCTGAAATCAGAAAAAGTCCGGCTGAAAAATCCTGACCAATCCCAATCCTGCAGTGATTCATAAAGAGCTACTTTGTAGGGAGAATCCCAATAATCCACTTTCACTTTTCAAATCTACTGTGAGAATATTAACATAACAGAAACTACAGAGTTGCTTAACCTGATGCGCTGCTTGTAAGTGAAACAGCGCCTCAGTGAAACAGCGCCTTCACTGTATTTGCCAATGCCAGAGCTGATCGACGGAAAAAGGTCGTAAGTGTTGGGGAAAATGCAGGGCAGGGTTTTTTTTCGACTAGACAGGGACACTACCCTCTTCATTACTACTGAAAGTTGGACCCGGTGGTTTTGGTTTCAACTTACGTAAACAACCTGCGTAAATGACAGACCAAAATAAACAGTTGTGCGTCAATGTGGTCAACGTTTGGGGAACTATGAAAATATTCGTAGCCAGCTTTTGATAAAAATGCTTCTAGTTTTGATACAAATACAGCCAAAATGTCGGTATTACCTAATTTATATTGTTTCGGTTTTCTGTGTTAAAATGAAAAACAGCTACTGCTACTAGTGGCGTAAGTTACGTAACAAATCAACCACTGGTTGACTAATGGTCCTCGCTCATTACTTGCTCTAGGCTTATGAGAGGGTTGTCAGATTGAATGTAACAAAGTTTGAGCGTTTCATCCAGAAGAGTAGGTCACACAACATTTTTTTTTTCTCTTTTCTTTTACAATTTCTAAAGATTAAAAAAAAAGTCTGGTATTGTTTTAACAAACAAATATTGACTGCTTAAATAGTGTTCCACGAATGACCCATGAGATATTTCTCTGCACTGCATAGGGAAATAGAATGATCAATGAATCAGTTTCACTATACCACTTGAATCGGTCAATAGTTGCACACTATGTACCTTGACAACGAGCCACCGCCCTCAATGTCGATTCTGTGCGGCAGTGAGGCCTCGGTGGACTTGCTGCGTTTCAGCCCACTCTCGGGCAGCGGCAGGTTCACCGTGATCATCTTCTTGTTGGGCGGGGGCGTGCCCTTAGCCGCCGTCTTCTTGACCCACTGCTTAGGGGTGGTGGGCGGGGTGACCGTGTACTGGTTGCGGCCGTAGTGCTCGCAGGGGTATCCCCCGGGGGGCGGGGTCGGGGGCACACGGATGCTGGGGGGCTCGGAGGAGGCCGAGCCCATGGAAGAGGTGGAGGTGCGCTTCTGTTTGGGGCTGGTGCTCTCGGGGCTATTGGAGGTGTAGGAACTGGTGTCTGTTGGCTCCTTGTCGGAGACGTCCTTCATGTTGCTACTGATGCCATATAGCTGAGCTGTTGGAGGAAAAAATATAAACAATCGGAAAATTAAAGATGCATTCAAAACAAATGCAGGGAGTGCAGATGAGACCAAACAAATTGGACTTTTCCAATTCATTACCACATTTGCTTTGGGAAAAACAAAATAAATTGCTTGGTTGGAGTTAATACTCCGTAACTTTACATAAACATGACTTGTTATAATATATTTTATTGACTCTCACTGTATATGGTTTGAATCTCACTGTATATTGGGTCTTGCCCTTCGCCGACGTATTTTATATATAAACACTGTGTATTCAGACTCGACCCGGTCAACCGACCCTAGCATGGTGATCGAGTGGTAAGACGTCTGCACTAGTAAGCAGGAGGTCCTGGGTTGGAGTTCCACCTGAGTAAGCTTGTGAATTTTGTTTTTCTGCAAAATACGTCAGCGAAGGGCAAACACTATATAAGATTTAAATTCCCTCGACGTTCAGCGGTTACAAATACATAAAAGTACAATCCTAATTATTGCACAATGCAGAAACCATGAAAACCAGGGAAGTCATGCTCTGAAACCTTTTCATTTCTATAATTGGAGCTAAATTGCGAAGCCCACCTAGTAAACAACTCATTAGTCTTGCTGGCCGTGCGTATTTCCAGCCTAAATATAAACCCAGGTCCCGGTACCATGCACGTAGGAGTAATTCTATGACGTAAAACCTGTCCATCATGCAGCGTGACCATTTTTTGAGGACAACTTTCACTTTCTTTGCTGCCCTCGACATTCTGAGAAATGTCTCCCGTAGCAATTTTTTCCCCCTAAAACAAGTGGTCTTTAGTTTTGCAATGCCAAGCCAAATTGCAAAATCTGAAAGTTTTTCTCACCGACACAAAAAACCCAGTCCACCCTACTAATGATGATGAAACATACATGTATTAAAGGAAATGTACATCATTGGCTTTTGCTGTAATTTTCAGAAATGAACTATTTGAGGGGTTAGTATCGGCCGACCACCATTGGAAATGTATACAAAAATACCATTTTCTTGAAAATGACTTGACACCAGGTGCCATAATTTTACAGGATGCTTTAGACTGTCATTTACCAACCTCCTAGTAAGGTATTTTGTGAAAACTTGGTAGTTTTATTTTTTGATGTTTGCAAATGTTGTACATTCCCTTTAAAGCAGTGCTCCATATTCAGCCTTATGGCCTAGACGAAGATGCACAACATTAGTTTAATTTCCACACATAAAAGATGTCCGCTGAATGCAATCCGTCTATTGTCAGGTCCTACCTTTGTAAGCTCTCTTCAGGTTCTTGCAAGCAGCCAGCAATCGTCTGACCGTTCTCTCTTCACACTCGCAGTGCAGAGCCTGAGCCCTGATGTCATACTCTGTCATCTCCAACAGCTCCGACAAGTCCTGCAACTTGTCCAACATTTTCTGCAAAACACCAAAAATTATTCAGTCAACGCTTCGACCTAAAAATATCTGATCTCTCATTTTATCTGCAAGTTACATGTGAGAACTTTAAAAATTAAAAGACAGACACATCAAAGAACATACCACCCTAGACCAAAATGTATGCAACATTAAAGGTAGAGTGGACCAATTGCAGCTATCCAAAATCTATGCTGTCATTTTGAAGAAAACAATAAAAGAAGGTCATTTCCAAAGACGTGTCAAGTGACACATTTTTGGAAATTTCCTTTTGTGGTTGGTTTGTAATTGGGCAAATCCATGAATTAGTGTGAGCGTTGACACGACGCACATGCGCGCCCACATACTATTATTTGTAGGTTCAGTGTGTGACATCACGTACAGTCTACTCACTAAAAAAACATTTTATCCAGAATTTTTTTGTTTTGTTTACATGTACCGGTACATGTATTTATTGTAAGTCTGCAATGTCTCACAGCTGCAATATCACAAAAAGGTTTATGCCATACACTGTACCAGTACCTAACACTAATGCTAATTGAAAAACACCACATATTAGAAAAAATACCCCCTCCCAAAAAAGGAAGATACCGGTACCGGTACATGTATGTCAAAAATGCTGAAATTATTGACCCTCTCAGATTCTCATTAAAAAGATGTTTACAGGATCCTATGCATCCACCAACAAAACCCCAAATCTTCTCCAGGCATCTTGGAGGCCTGTGCTGCACAAGACCAAGCTCAGCACCTAACGAGATTATCTACGTATATCACCCGCAGACCTGGGCCAGTAGGCCCTAAATATAGGTTGTCTCGTGTCTTGCGTGTGTGGCTTGAGAGATTGAACCAACTGGGGACGGCCCATAACGGGCTGCTACATAAGGACAGAAGGGAATTCACACACACACACAAAAAAAGGTCATGACTTTATAGGGAAACCCGGGCATAGTAAACTCCTGTGGCCCAGAAAATAGAAAAAAAAATCTGAATCCATGAACGTGCGTCTGCGTCTACGTCACTGGGAGCTGGAATTTATTAGAGTGGCCTCAAGTCCTCCCTACTGAATTGTGACCAAATATAAACAGTCAGGGAATGGGAAGGAACAAATTTTGCCATTTACACACCACAATATTCCATGGGAATTTGTGCACGTGGGTTAAAAAAAACTTGTCGTTTTGAAGCTCAGAGGGACGTCCCGTGACGTTACCGGATAATGTCATCCCTGTATTCACTGGCGGCTAGTCACGGCCATTCATGACTTCAGCAGACTGTTGCGAGTCTACCCTTGCACAAGGGTGCTCCACCGCACACAGATTATATTTTCCTCCCCTGACATTTTCGCAGCCGAAGCAAAGTAATTTTCTTCACGAGAATGACCTATACTGGACAAGTTTTGTGACCGAAAAAATGCTTTCTTACGTAGACAGCCTTAACTTTTCTCTCTCTTTTTTTTTATCTGACAGAGGTGTACGTAAGCGGTATTATTTGCATGCACATACATGTTCATGTGATGTTTCCATGGGGAACAAAAAAGTCAGAATTTTTGTCTGATTGAATATATATGACTGCGCAAGTGACGTAAAAAACAAGAAGGCACAATTAGGCATAAATAGGAATGCATGTCAGTGGCATAGGTAGGTGTTGGCAAAATGACGTTGGCATGGTGTCTGCTGATGTCAACTTACGGCATAATTACTACCGGTATGGATATTTCTGCGATACTCATGAACACTCAGTACATTTTGTAATCTTATATAAGGTTATATTTTTGAACTGTTAGCAGATTCACTTCACAAAAACGTGATGCATTTACGTCAGTATACGTCCCAAACACAGAGGTTACATATGTACATTTACGTCAGTGTACGTCCCAAACACAGAGGTTACATTAGCCTACATCATCCACGGCGAATATAAATTGAAGGATAAATATAAGGGGCTTTTCACAAGCCTTCCTTTATCTCTGGCTTCGGAGAATCATTCAGACGTCATTAATGTTCAATCCAGATGGAAAAAAAACTTTGGCCTCCAATTTTCAGGATTTGACATTCCTGACGCAGAACACTGACTCACAATGAGCCCGAGTCTTTCCAAGTCAGGGGCCTGAAAACTGTATTTGAAGCCGGGGTGAAAAAAGCTGATGTTCTGAAAACCCCTCTAGTCAGAGCCATTTTCTTTAAAACTAAATTCACCTCTCTTGCATTTCCCTGGATGTCCACAACATGCAGCAGATGTCGCAGGTTGGGGAACTGGTTGAGCTCGTTATCCAAAGGGTAGCCATTGTTTTTGACTCGCTGCTTGATCGCTAGTTGCCGGCCGAAAAGCTGGGCCAGTTTGCCCTGCAAAAACAAAAAGTGAAAGAAGAAGGTTTTTAAAGTTTGTCAAGTTGAGATACAAGTATCAATTTCTAAAATTAAAAAAAAAATGTGAAGAAATACAGCTGTACAGATTAGAAAGGAAAAGTATTCTTCTTCCTCAATATATCGGATCATTCACCTCTTCAAGTTTCAGAGGAAAATGGTTTATCTGGAAATCCATTAACCAGCAGACTCTTTTTCCAGAAAACCTAATCAAGTCAGACAGGGACAGAATGTTGTGGTGTTTGTTCAACTCAGGGAAACTATCTCACTTCACCAGTGATCTATCAAAAAAGCAAATCATAGAAAAACCACAAGGCGGGAAACCTATTTCAAGGATAATTTCTTACTTTAATGAACAGAAACAAACAATTTAGATTGAAAACCAGGAAGGGGTGGGGTAGAGAAATTGGGGCGGGGGTTGGGGTGGGGCTTGTAGTGTTAATTGTTTCATTGTTCAATTTGTGAGTAGATACAACTCAATTAAAGGGGAAGGTCAAATCAGAAAGGCTGTTGCTTCTCAGACTTCAAAGATACGTGCAGTTGTATCGTTTTCAAGGTCAGGTCACATGATTATCACATGACATGACTGACGCATTGCTGAATGACACCAATGGCAAACAGATGAGGGATAATGTAACAGGATGAGCATGTACATGTTCACTGTACATGTATATGTGTACATTCACATTGCCGTGTACAATTAACACATTTACCGGTATGTTCCTTGCCACCAATTGGCGATTGATACCACGAATCTAGTGGCCCATCCCTTATCAAAGTGGTCCAGCTGGCCACCATGCAGGAAGTTACAGTATACATTGCAGGGTACCAGTTCCGGATTTCCTCGGAATCGAGGAACATGTCATGGCCACTCGATGTCTCTGCTTACGTGTATCTCCAAATTTGGCAATGTGGGAAAAAAGTTTGCTTGTGTGATGTCAGTTTGGAGAAGATAGTCACTGACCTTTTATAAGTCGAAAGTTATTCAGTCATCTGTGGATAATGACAATTATGACACATAATTTATCTTTTTGGTCTGTAAAAAGGTTTTTCAATGTGTACAGTAGCCAACTTTGCATCATTTACCTGTTCAAATCATTTGGAACACCAGTTGTGCAGGTGTTATTATTATTATTTTTTTTTTTGGTTTTATAAAAATATATTTCCTGAACTCTAGCCCTATTGCTTGGAAATAAAGCTGGGAACCTTCCTCAGTCTTACGCAAATCCACTACTCTGCAGAAAACCAATGAAATAGTTTCCATGTTTTCATTGGCAAGCAAATAAAATATAGAGGCTAACTCCATATCGCTGGGTACACCACGAAGTGACATATTGTCTATGGACTTTGTGCACACGATAGGCCAACGTCACTTGGTGGTTCAACTGACGATATATACAATGTACCTTCCAGAATCCTGCCAAATCCTACAAAACTTCCTTGGTGGATTTTGAGGGATCCTGGAGGGTAAGCGACTAGTGAACCTTCTGTGCTACAATGTGTACATGTACTTGCCCCATTCCCGAGAAGTTTTGAGAAGTAACCATTTTGCCCCCCCCCCCCCTTTCTTAAACATAACCTTATCTCATGTTTTACATGATGACCAACATGTACGGTAGTCGACTTTTTTTTCTGAATCTGTCAAAATCTGACCCCCAAAAATGTCTCTCAAAAATAGAGGCAAGAATATATGCCCCTCCCAAGCTGAGATATTTGCCTTCACTTTCAAATAAGTCAATTAAACAAATACAAGTACACATCAATGTATGCATGTTCACGCTCATAATGGCCATGTTCTAACTAAGTACCGGTACATGTACACGTCCACAACAATTGACCTCAGTATAATTTTGTGAACATAAGGTTTGTATCATTAAATACTGTAAGGACAGTATATATTAACTGTACTGGTATATTATTTTACGACAGATTTTATGAGTTATACACGTGCACTTACCTTGGAATAATAAACTGCATTATCAGGGTTCTTAAAGGGAATATACAACATTTGCAAACATCGAAAAATAAAACTACCAAGTTTTTGCGAAATACCTTAATAGGATGTTGATAAATGACAGTCTAAAGCATCCTGTAAAATTATGGCACCTGGTATTCTGTCATTTTCAAGAAAAGTGGTATTTTTGTATCAATTTCCAACGCTGATCGGCCGATCAGCGTTGGAAACAACTGGCTTTTTTTCAAATACTGGCCCCAATTGACCATTGCACTTGTTTGCAATCGATTACAAACCTTTGAACGGGTACGAGCCAGCTAGACTGGTTCCATGACCTTACAATTCCCCAATGTATGTAAACTGCTCTGTTTCTTCTTATATGGAGTCAGGGAACCAGACTACAGGAAAATGATCGTTTTTCTTGGTTTTTATAGCATTTTCGAACCCAAAACCTCCAAAAAGTCAGTGTAACTATATTTGCTTTATATTTCCAACCCCCCAATTCCATCCATTTCTGAAAATTAGAGCAAAAGCAAATGATGTATATTCCCTTTAATAGCGCTTATACAACAAAGACAATTTATTTGATTGCATCTTTCACCTGCTAATTCATAGTTTTGATTGTTGTTTTTTTTCCTTCAGAATAACAAATTCTTCTTCTTCTTATACACTTATAACGCCCTTATTTTTTGACACGCCAAATACAAATTATTCTAGGAAAATTAGACGCATATGCACCAACATGAACATCGATGCACATTTATAATATTTTAATTCCTAAATTATGTTCAGTATGACAAATTTAGAAATTGGGAACATCTAAAATAAAAAAACTTGTTTGAATGATGAATTTAGAAATTGGGAACATCTAAAAAATAACTTGTTTGAATGATGACATTGCAATTTAGAAAAAAAAAATAGTGCGTGTATCGCACTGCTTTTGATGTCACAAATATTTTTCTGTTATCAAAAGAGTACACATTAAAAATAGCACCTACGTGTACATGTACACATACGTGCATGAGCAAAATTGTGAACAAGATCTGGGCACATTACTACGATAACATACAAGATAGAACGCCACATTTTTTATGTGCATCTGACAAATTTCAGAGGCAGATCAGTTGAGTTAGCCGGTATCCAGGGCCCACATAATAAAAAAAAAAACCTCCCAGGTCAGCCTGAGAAAGCGCTGGTATCCAATCAGTGGCGAGCATGGATGGTAATTTATGAAGGATTTTGTCATAATGTATGCAGGCTGGACAAGATATTGAAAAGGGGGGGGGGATAGGCACAGGCAATGGTATACAAATTAGTCAGGTAATATTGTCAGTGTGTTTAGGGACAGACTGGCTCAAGATGACAGATTTGCATAATTTATGGCTGGGTTACGCGCCAGGCTGTATTGTGAGGGTTTATGGCCAGTGACCCAGCTCAATAGATACCCTTTTGTTGTTTAGTATGTTGCAAAATGTGTTTATTTCATGCTCAGGTACCACACTTTTAATTAATGATTTGGCCTCAGGGCCACGATTGGTGTGAAAATAAATCAATCTAAATCTAAATCCAAAATTGCAAAATGTATTTACCTGACAAATAAGGACAGTGCAAACTATGAAAACAGGCCTAAAGCCCTGGGGGAAAAAAGGATTTGGGCTTCAGATCAGCGTTTTGTAACAAGGCCATCTTACATGTACCGGTACATGTACATTGTACATGTACGTCAAATGCTCACGTAACCGTTTTACAGTACAAGATTTATTATACCGGTATCTGTTGTAATGCAATTCGAAGATTTGTTGCAAAACATAATGCTCCTTACACATTACATAAATGTACATGTAAAGTACATGTACCGTACATGTACGTCCCCGACTGTTTTCACTGGATGAGCTACAATCTATTACATCAGTTTCTGATTTGAATGAGGTACTGTGTATGTATGTGGATTGCACCGATACATGTGTAATGTACAACTGTACTTTGGATTTATATTCGGACTTCAAAACTTTGCATAAAAAAGCATCAATTTACTTTGTATAATTATTAGGCAAAGCAAAAAAACAACAAGTTTCTCGTCCCCGCCCGCTTCCTTTTTGGAGGCCGCCTGGATTTTTTTATTATTTTTTATTTTTGAAAAATGTAGTAGAAAAACACCGAAAAAGTCCACAAATTCATCGGAAAATAAATACCAATACCAATACAACTCTAAATGACACTGTAAATATGTTCAGTTCTCTTGTCCAACTTGTCTTTCATCTTTAAAAGTGTCTTTAAACAGTGGAACACCAACGGTTGCAGGAAATTTTGAAAAGGCGGTCATCTTGAAAAAAATAAAAAATAAAAAGCCCCGCTTCCTCCCTTTTTTCAAAAACCCCGGACGAGAAACTATTTTTTTTTTTTACTCGGCCTTACAAGTTAATCATATAATATAAAATGTTCACTACAGAAATAGTATCTATGGTATGTTTGTCTTACCACATGTAGTTAAAAATAACATGCAAGTCAATCATTAGAGCCAAATGTTTTGTTTGGATCCCCAATCTGGGAACCAGCCAACAATTCAACGTTTTGTATATACCGGTATGTTAACCAATTTGGCTGGTTGCCAGCACCCCTTGAAATATACATGTAGTTGATAGACACTCAATGCCTGCAGCAAGCAGTGTGTAAATTACATGTTTATATAAAGGTCACATTTTTGATTGTAGAATTTCTCAAATTCTCATTTCCAATGAATGTCGTTGCAGCAAATGCCAGAGGTGTGCCACAGAAAATAACAGATCAAAATGCAAACGAGTTTCTATTGAAGAAAATAACAATACAATGTAATTGTTATAATATTTAAGGTCCTTTAAAAGTGCAATCAAGTTTGGAGGCAGTAATTGGAGAGCAACCCTCCAGTGTATAAAATATTCTACACTATTAAAAAAAAAAAACAGAGAAGAAAAGATTCTTTCAGAATATTTTTCTCATCCACTTTTATTCACAGTTTGTCATGCATTTACCTTAATGTTGGTGAATA